GGAATGAACGTACATCCTCCGTCAACAAATACGCCCTCCCATCATCATCATCTTTAAACAGCCCTATATCCCTCGACTCCATCCCCAACGGCCTAAAACTTCCATGGTACTCATACGGCTTCCCGCACACGGTATCGCTCGTCGCCACGCCCACTTTGGCGTCTCCGTAGTTACTGCTGTCGACATGCATCCACATGACATATTTTTTTGTGAGATCGTTGTAAATGACTTTGGGTCGTTCAATGATTCTGTTCGGTCCGAGGTCGTCGTTGTCGTCGCCTGATGATGATGATGTCCGCGAAAGTAAAGCGCCCTCGTACGTCCATTGGACGAGGTCGACAGACGAATAACAGTTGACGGCAAAGAAGGAGGAACCTTGGGATTTGTCTTCGCCGATGAGGTAGAAGGTGTTGTTGACCTGGATGACGCCGGCGCCGTGCGCGTTGAGGTGCTCGCCATTGGACTTCAATTTTCGGTTAGTACATATATATATATATATTGAAAAGAACTACTTGTAGGAAGAGGAGAATATGGGGTTTCGGTAGGTACTTACGGCTGTCCAAGTCCCTCCGGGAACAATTTGTAGTGCAGCGAGGGCTGTGAATGTGGCTAGCCCCAGGACGACTGAGAGCAAGCTCAGAAGAAGGCGGTTGCGATGATGCATTGTCAACCTTCTCTCAGTCCCTGATCAAGATGAGTGAGACCAGCGATTACTGATCTCTCATGAAAGAAAAATTGAACGAGATACCCCGTTGTTTTTATGACTTTTCTCGCTTCCATCTTCATCTTGCTTTTACCCCGCAACTCTCATGATTTCAAACTTCAATGTAACAGCCCAAGAAAGTCAACGTCCCATCCAAGCGACCTTGACCCCAGTTGCTAAACGTCCCAATTCGTGGAGAAACAATCATGTTTTTTTCTCATCTTTGTCTGTTGGTCTGTCCCGGTCCCATCGATCAGGATACTACGTAGAATACTGGTAGGCGAATTGGTCTCGTTCATGCGCACCTTTAAGCTGGTTCTTGTGTATTAGTGACGAGCTAGGACTGTCTATCATGAATTGTCCAGATGAGGATGCAACGGTAGATGATTTGACCGACGTACAGCGGTTTCCTTTCTTTTGACATCCATGCCGGCCGACTTTTTAAGATCCGATGGAGATCCATCCATCTCATCTCGATATACCGATGCTATGGAGCCTTGAGAAGGCCTTTTTTTGATTGAAATAGATCTAGGCGTCAATCGGCCTGCTGAACACGGGCATCAAATATCTGGATCCTTCAATCCTTTTACCAACCGGCCTCTCACGGACTCACCCACCTCGCAGTCGCGTAAACCCGCCGTGTTACGCTGAGTGTACCGTTTTGGTTCGTTGTGTTACACTTGGGACTTGCACCGGGTGGTGGTTGGTGGGTGTATGTAAGGTAAGGGTAGGTAAATATGAGGGTTAGGGTAATGTACCTAGGTATATTGTTTACATCATGATGCTTCTTCCGTCGCATGACCGTACGAAATCCCGTGTTCTTTGCAGTGCGCAAAAAGCATCAATGTGCATGCGTAGATATGCTTTGGCTGATGTCAAAATGGGGGGTTTCTTTTCATGGTGTAAAAAGAAACAGGAAGACCGACATCGCAGCGCAGCCGACACTCATTGCATCCCTTGCCGTGACAAGTGGACAGTAAGCCGGCCGCCTGAGACATGTCTGTCTGTCTCTCTTGCAGGTGTCCAATGTGGTTTAATGTGACTGACGTGGAAATTCACCGTCGTTGCGTCAATTGCATCGAATTGTTTCCATGGCATCGTATCTGGCATTTAAAGCCTTCCATGTCAGCCATGTCGGGAACCATCGATCCAAGACGTGTTGGGATTCACTCTTCCCGCCGCGCCGTCGGTCAGGAAAGCAGAAGGATCTGACGGGCTGAGGCTGACGGGCGGGATGGATGCGGTGCAATTGCCGACTCCAGTATCCGCGATGTTGGTCTGCCTGTCATGACACCCATTTGTTTGGGACTGTTGTGCGACAAAGCCAAGCCACTGCATCATTGCACAGGCATTGACTGCCCTTTGATACTGAAGAATTGGGTAATGGTAATGGGAAGAGAGAAAGGTATGTTGCCGAGGTTGCTGTTGGTTGGTATTACCCCGGGAGTATTTAGTGTCCTTTGCCCTTGGAGCAATCTTCTGCTTAGTCTTCCACTCGTATTAATTTATACAGCCTCCGATTTCTTTGTCGTGCAGTCATTCAGGATTACAGACACTGTAAGCTGTAAAGTTGCCGAAAGGTCAGGCCGAAGACATTCAGAAGGAATAGGAATCGCCAATCACCACCTATCTTGGCGTTCATTTCATCCGTGATCGGGCAGCGGCTGCCCCTGGCCTGGACTTCTAGCGGGGCTCCATTACCTACCCAGGGGCATGCAGCGGGGGAATGTACCCACTGATGGACGCAAGAACCCACACCTCCGCACATCCATTCAACTCTCCGCTCTCCGCTCCCGCTGTTTTGTGGGTTGCATGTCCCCTGCCGCTTCTCGTCGATCTCACTGGGACCCAAACAGACACTCATTCCCTTCCGTCTTGTCAACCTCGAGCCCGACAGCATAACCAGACAAGACACCAAAAGAAACGGAAAGTATTTCCGGTATCTTGTACTCAAAGAAACCAGATAATGATCATCTCCCAGGAGAAATAAACTCCGTGATTTCACAGTGTCTGGTATGAGACGATAACAGTCAAGTACATAAGTACTCAAGAGTGTCATGCCCAAAACAGCAATCCACCCGAACTCCCCAAGGTAAAGGGCTTCTTCGACGCTTCCCCGAGTGGGAAAGGTGTGGATGACGCTTCTCAATCCCGCAAACGGCTGGCCGAGGCTTCCCCGTCCTCGTTCCCCCCTTTCTATTCGTTCCCGCTGCCGTGATACCACCAGTCGCATGCACGGGTAGTGATAGAGGCAGTCCTGCAGCAGCTTGCCTTGTTGAACTGCATACAAGTGTTCCGTACATTGATGTTGACAAGATGACGGACGTGTGGTTGATGACGGGCCCCCTGTATGGAAACTAAGATAGCTAAACACTAGTACCTACATACATAGTAAGCTTCTGTTACATCTATTGATGCGAGCCATGTCGCTTTCCATCATCGTTGGCTCAGTCTTCCTTCTTATCTAGGCACTCCATTGCCCGCCTCTTCCCCCTCCCCCTCCCCCCCAACATCACAAGAAAAGTTTCTTTGTTGTGTTTTTCTCTTCCTTCTTTTTAGAAAACCCGTGATAGAGAACATGAGATCATAGTCGACAGACAGAATCCCGTCATCTCAACCCCTTCTGCCTCACCCGTTCAAGACACTGGTCCAAAGGTGGACCAACCAACAACAGGGCCGTCGACCATGACCACCACCACCACCACAGGAGATATCATGGCCAAGATGCTTGACCCTGAGACACAAGATACGTCTCAACAACAACAACAGCAACCACCACCACCGCCAACACCACCACCACCACCACCACAAAACCGTCCAGCATCAAATTACCCCCTCTCATCCACAGACGACCTCTCCTCCCTTTCCAAACCACCAGTTGACAAACCCTCCCGACACCGTCATGCCTCCTCCTCGTCGTCCAAGTCCCACGGCAGCCCCAGCGTCAGCGCAAGCAGCACCTCCCTCTCCTCAGGCCACCTCGAAGCCCTCCACCAGCAACAACAACAACAACACCACCACCAACAAGACGAAATCGCCTCCATCCAAAACGCCACCCGCCTCTCTACCGTGCAAACCCGCACATCCACCTTCTCCTCTGCCTCGCGCCCGCCCGACTTTGAAGTCGTTTTTGCAGTCAACGACCCAGAAAACCCCAAGAACTGGCCGCTATGGTACCGCTGCTGGACCATCTTTGCGTGCTCGTACAGCACGTGGGTGGTGGTTTTGTATTCCTCCTCGTACACGGCCATTGTCCCCGGGTTGATGAAGGAGTATCATGTGACGAATCAACCTGTCGCAACGCTGGGGTTGACGACGTACCTGTTTGGATTGGCGATTGGGTGTTTGGCGCTGGCGCCGCTGAGCGAGTTGTATGGGCGGAGGCCGATTTACTTGATTAGTTTGGGGGTGTTTGCGCTGTTGATCTTGCCGTGTGCGATGCCGAGTAGTTTGGCGGAGATAATTGTGGTGAGGTTTTTTGGGTATGTTTTTTCCCCTCCTCATTTTCTGTTGTTTTGATTTCTGGTTGAGTTGTGGTTTGGTTGATGAAGTCAGTGAGTGAGTGAACAAGTGGCTGATATACAAACAGCGCTCTCTTCGGCGCAGTAATGGTCTCCAACTCGCCCGCCACCGTAGTCGACATCGCCCACCCCGACTACCTCGCCCTCTGCATGGCCGTAACCTCCATCGCCCCGCTCAACGGCCCCGTCACCGGCCCTTTGATCGGCGGTTTCGCCTACCAATACCTCGGTTTCCGCTGGGCCAACTGGATCGTCCTCATCCTCTCCGGCGCCGCCATCCTCTTCATGGCCACCATCCGCGAGACCTACGCGCCCGCCATCCTGCGCGCCAAAGCCGCCCGTCTGCGCAACTCCACCGGCGACGACCGGTACTGGTCGCGCTTCGACCAAAAAGTGTCCACCCTCCAACTCCTCAAAACCAACCTCAGCCGCCCCTTTATCCTGGCCGCCACCGAGCCCATCCTCTGGTTCTTCAACACGTGGATCTCCCTCGTCTACGCCATCTTGTACCTCTGCTTCGTCGCCTACCCCATCGTCTTCAAGGAACACCGCGGCTGGTCCACAGGCCAAGTCGGTCTCGCCTTCTTGGGCATGGGGTGCGGCACCGTCGCCTCCATTGTTCTCGAGCCCTTTTGGCGATCCATCATCAACAAACGCACCTCCAAGTTCGATATCGAGACAGGTCGTCCGGCGCCCGAAGCCCAAGCGTACATTATGACTATCGGCGCGATCCTTACTGCCTTTGGTCAGCTGGCTTTCAGCTGGACGTGTCTACCCGTCTCCATCCACTGGATCGTGCCCATCATTTTTGGCGTTCCTTTCGGGATGGGCAACACCATTAGTTTCATTTACGGATCGAATTACCTGGCGGGCGCGTACGGGTTGTATGCTGCGTCGGCGCTAGCGGCGAATTCGTTCCTAAGGTCCGTGGCCGGAGGCGTGTTGCCGCTGGCGGGACCGGCAATGTATCGGAATTTGACGCCGCAGATTGCGGGCACGATATTGGGTGTGTTGGAGGTGTTGTTGATTCCGATTCCGATTATCTTTTATCAGTATGGAGAGAGAATTAGAGGGCGGAGTAAGGTGATTAGGATGATGAGGGAGGAGCAGGCGAGGGAGGATAGGAGGAGGATGAAAGGGGATAAGGGGGAGAGGGAAAGGAGGGGTGGTGGTGGTGGACTTGTAGAAGATGATGAAAAAAGTGAGGAAGGACCACCTGGAAGAGCGGAGGAGGACCACAGAGGGGGGATGGTGGAGACGACGACGACGAGGATGGGTGAGGGACAGGGACAAGGGGAAATTAGTGGGGAGGGGGTGGTTGTGCCTTCTTCTGCTTTGACGACTTCAGGGGTGTTGGGCGAGAAGACAGTGAGGAAGATGGGTGATGAGGTTGTTTGATTTTGGATATCCAGGTTCAATATATGAGTGGTAGAAAGCATGGGCATGATTTGGATGAAAAGGCTAGAGGTACTAAGTGATGAGCGGATTGCTGAAATGAAAAGTGATCAAATTTAATTGAAGCTCTGGTAATCCGGTACTTTTCTCGATTCCTCGATTTCATCCCGTCTGGCGTGCCTGTGTCCATCTTGACGGGGACCACCTCGAGCCGGGCCATGCCCGATGCAAGGAGATCAACTGAGATGAGATGAGACGAAATGTTACGTGATATTGGAATATTCCTCTTCTTACAGTACGTAATTTCCATCTGGTTTTTCGCGCGCCTTCTAATACATAGACCCTTTATGTCTTCTCTACATACCTTCTTCCATGACCATGGAGGTAGGTAGGTATCTAGCATACCTAGCTAACGTTCGTCAGAGTCCAAACACCTCCATTAAAGGAGGCCAGCTAGGCTACAGTGCTCCCCAAAGATCAATAAAGATCCAACTTGCAACACGGTGAGTTCAAGGTACCAAGTCTAACCAAGGAGACCAAACAGAATCTTTGTCATGATTAGACTGCTAGGCAAGAGGCATATAGTAATGTCAAGTACAAGTCTTGGCCTGGTCGTATAGCGCAATATGATTGAAGTGTATGAGATACGGAGGCAGGACACTGTGGGAAGAGGAGTAGTCTGGTCTAGAGTACTTAGAGTGAGAATAGAGTAACAAAAGGAAGAAAAAAAATATTATGAGTTGTTCGAATATATCTATCTCTGTCAGGTTGATCATAACCCATCTGAAGTCTTGACGACCGAAGCGAGAACTCTCTGTCTAAAGGGTTGGGTTTTCTAGAGAGTAGGTGGCCACCGGGGATATATATTGAGAGTCAACCAGTAATTATAGTTGAGGATATCTTGAATCTAAGGATCGATGTGATATAGTCCAGTTATTTGGTGGAAAATTATGTTGTAGGAATACTGCACAGTGAGAGACATGAAGTTCTTGTGCATATACTAAGTGCGGGTATGCAGGAAGAAACCCCGAGCTTCATAGGTAAGGCAAGCTGCAACCGACCGGGCCAAAGAAGACGATTTATTTTGTATACAATATCAGACCACTTCAGTTAGTAAGTATGAAAAATTGCAATTTGACACCACCAGAGGGTATGAAAACCAAAAAAAAAAATCAGTGATCCGCCCCCATCGATCCATTTCCATTTTTCCCTATCCCTTGCCGGCCAGCCGGTCAGTCGGTCAGTGTCCCGTTCCATCCCATCCCATGTCATGCCCATTTCCTACTATACCACAAAGGCACAAGTTTTCCACGACTCTTATCCACATTCTCTTTCCTTCTTTTCTCCCATCACACTAAACCCCCTCACAAACCTCTCCACTTCTCCTTCCACCCACCCTTCTCAAACAACCACATGGCCTCAATAGCATACGCCCTCACACTCACACTGCCCACCCCCTCCTCCACATCCGCCGCCTCCCCAATACTCTCCAACACCCTTCCCTCCTGAAAACACCTCCACAGCGCAAACGCCAAATCATCCTCATCACCATCCCTACCGCCCGCTCCAGTTCCCCACTCCCCCTTTCCAAGACGGTACAGCATCCTCCCCAGCGTCCTAAACGCAATGCACCTCTGACTATTCACACTACTCCTCGCCAGCCTCGCCAGCTCGGGGATCGTGTAGCCGGCTGCCTCGGGCGCCTCGCCGTGGTGATGCAGGCCCTTGGACACGGGAATCTGGCGCGACAGACGGGGCGGGATCAGTCGCCCCTTGAAGTCGAAGCGGAGCGCCGAGACGGGCAGCGAGGTCTGGCCCGGGTAGTAAGGGGATTCCTGGTCGGCGGGCGAGTCTTCGGTGGGGATGGGCGCCATCCAGGCGAGTTTGGAGGGGTCGGCGGGTAAGGAAGGGAAGAACTTTTGGTGCAGGGTGGCGAGGAAGTCGGGGTCTGAAGGGTCGAGGTCGGGAGGGGCGGGGGCGGCGGGGAAGTGCACGCCCTTGAGCTCTTCGTCGCTGTGGTTGTGGGAGGGGTCGTTGCATTGGTGCGTTGTGGTGGGAGTTTGTGGTTCGGAGGAGGAGCCGGCGGTGGGCATGGCAAGGTCTTCGGCGGAGAAGCTGGTCTTTTGGGGGTAGGGCGTGGGTGGCTGTTTGGATCGGATGGGGAAGCTGCCGGAGGGAGGCTGTTCCGGGGCGAGGTCTTCGTTGAAGGTGACGGTCTTTTTGGGTTTCTTTGGTTGTTCTTCGGTCATTTCCTCATCCTCGTCTTGTACGTATGCGCTTTTAGAGGTCGAGGTCTGGATGGAGGGTGGCTTCTTGTAGGAGATGGTGGGACCGCTACCGACGTCGGCCTTCTTTTCTGTTGGCTCCTCGTCGGCCGGTTTCTCGGGAATGTCCCAGACTTTGGGGTCGTTGTTGTTGGAGCCGTCCTCGACGTTGGCTCGTCGGAGAAGCATCTGGATAAGCTTGGGGTCGAGGCCACTGAAGAGCTCTCGTTGGGCTTCGGCAATCTCTTCTGGCGACATGGAGCTCAGGAGCTTGTTGTTCTCCTCGTCAATCCTCTGCTTTTCGGATTTGATAGGGTCCGCGTCGATCTGGGGCCTCGCGCCGCTGGTGAACTGGATGGCTGGTGATGGTACTGGTGTGGTCGCTTGGGATGACGAGGACGATGGGTCTGCTTGTTGCTGTCGCTGCTTTTTGAAGGCAGACACTCGTTTCTTGGGAGCGGGAAACCCCCCGGAGGAAGCAGGCGGCGGAGTTGGGAACGAGGGAGGTTTGACCTCGCCCACTTTGCGTTCCTTGACATCGAGGATTTCGAGAGTGCCGTCCATTGTGTTGATGCCGTTATGGTCTGTCGCGGCCGTGTCGAGGTGTCTTGTATCTTTTTTTATCGGCGTTTTTCAATCAGGTCTGAACGAGTTGGGTTGTTTGGTTGATAATGGTGACGATGGTGATGGCGAATAATGGGGGATAATGTATGCGGCGCTCAAAGAAAGCCGTGGATGGAGCCGTGGGTTCTCTTTGATACAGATTCGGTCATCCGGCATAAAGTTCAAAGAAATGCAACGAGGGGCTTCCCTTGCCTGCCGAAGGAAAAGAATTGTCAGCGGCGGATCCCGGCTTTAACGAGGCCAGCACTGCATTAGCGGCGATCCAAGACACGGGGAGTACACAGTATTCATGCTAGTATTTACAGTGCATTACCGTACCGTGCGCGGCTTGGGGTTTCATTTGGCCCCGTTTTGGTCGTCTGTTTCGCGTTTCGTATTCCGAAATACCAACATGCACATTGTGCCCGCTGGTCCGATGGTCTCCAAGGGAAGAGATCAGCATGAGATGAGCTTGTTTCCAACATGTTCATCGACTATGCCAAGTGAGCTCATGCTGATTTTCTCTTTGTCAGTCAGTCACTTGATGGCATCTTGGCGGCCGTGTGCTTTGTGTTCGCCGGGTTGGTGGTTGCGTTACATACCTACCTACTGAGCGTGAGTGGGTGTCTGAGATCTTGTCATTCGCCGTTGCACCAAGATAATGCGGCCAGGGCATATCAACACACCGGCTGCTGTACGCACGCAGAAAGAGCGTAGATCGGAACCGCAATCTGGTGTTGTAATTCAATAGGTACGTATTACCACGCAAGCAGAATGTGCCTTTCCCCGGCCCCAAGCTACACTCTTAATTCAAGTCCTCCCAACAATGGATACCGCAGCCGCGACAGCATCACTTTCACTTCTAACTGAAGGTATGTGGCTGACCAGCCCGAACCAGCCGCATTGACGAGTGTGACGTACCGGCAACTGAAATTTGGAATGGCCACTGCACTGCAGAGTTCAGTTTCGTCGCGGTTATTGTGTCGCTAGTCAAGTGGGTCGCACAAGCGCGGCTCCAAATGTCGCGCAGCATCCATCCAGAATCTGGAATCACGGTACGTACCGGTACGAGCGCTCGTACCTGACAAGGGGTTTGAGATCTTGGAGGTGGCCCGTGTGCTTTCCGCCTCTTATCGCATCTTGTTGCGCTAGCACGGGGAGCACGGGGGACCCTCGTCTGGTTCGTACTGTGTTGTCCTCTTTTGAGTCTCGGCTTCAGTTTCCTCGCTGAACGGTGAATTCCCAAAGTCAACCTGACATCACACCGGCAGTTTACAATTCAAACCACTTTAGCTCTGCGGGCAACTCATCTATGAGGCAAGGTTCATTTCTACTACCTCGCCAGTTTTGAAGTTGAATCGACATCTCCTATTCTTCCCATGCTCGCCCGGTTAGTCAGCCGTGCAGCGGTGCGCGCCGTGTGGAGTCATGCATCACCTCCAACTTGAACCCCAAACGGATCGGGTCATTCACACAGGTCACTTTTTCCCAAGAACCCCAAAAGAAGCCCTGTGGCCCCTGCGAGGTGTTGCAGTCCAGTCGGTCGTCCATTGATGGGCCGTGGGAGTGTAACCTTGTTTCTCCATCTGCCCTTTCTGCTATTCCCATTGGTCCAAAATACCACCATTTCTTGGCATTTTCCTTTTATTCCTGTCTATCGCTCGCACTCGCTTCTTGTATTTTCCCGTTTCCCTCTCTCACAAGCCACCCGCACATGGATCGATGTCTGCTGCCAACTGCTTGGCATTAAGTGATAAGTACACTAGCACTTGGAGTCTGTGCCTTTTTGCCTTTTCCTTCAAACCCCGGCCCCCCACCCAAATGTTGTTGTTTCTGCAGTGCTTCTTTGGGTTCTTCCGGCCTACTGCTGCCGTCATGAGGTCTGAGATAGAGAGAGAGAGAGAGAGGCATGGCCACCTCACACACCTCACCCAAAGCAATGTTTCTGATTCGCCTTGGCTTGCCCTGATGGCCCAAAAAGCGAGTCTATCCAGGCCACTGCGTTTGGTATTGTCGGGGCCCCGGTTTTCCCTTTGGGTTGTCTTGACTTGTTGTTCATTTGCATGCAATTGGGAGCGAGCGAGCCGATGCCCATTGCATTTTAACCTGCCCGGCCAGCTGCTGGGCGCTGCTGCAAAATAATTAATCGTTCCCAGTCAGTCCATTCAACACGTAGCCATCCATCCATCCATCTCCATTCCCGCTCGGTGTTTTCCCTTTCCTATTTCCCCCTTCCTCGCACAACCTCCCACCTCCGCCCATCCTCACCCTTTCTCTTCTCTCTTTCTCACCAAAACACCCACCGACTTTTGCACTGCAATTGACAAAATCCATCACAACCATTCTCTTTTGTCGGGTTGCGCATTTCAAAAGTCGATTCTTCATTTTCGCAAATCCCGCCGCATCGAAGCGTCCAGCGCGATTGCCCGTTTCCCCCATCCGCTCGTCCATAACTGGGCATTTTTTGACCACCTTGTCACCAGGTTCTGGCAGGTGGTGCAGCATCTCTTGCGAGTTGAGGATATTCCCAACCGGCAAATCCCCACTTTTTCGCAACACAGGCCGGCGAGTTAGCAAGCGGCACCAGCAAGTCTGCCAAGAAGCAGCCCGGTCACGTTACCACGGCTTGGAGCTAAGTAACTGAAGTCGCCGCCCAGTTCAGCCAAGTGGTGGTGCATCAGTGCATCCCGCCCGCCGCCCGCCCCAAATAAGGGAAACCCCAAAAACCTCAAGAGGAACCCCCCAGACCCCCCAAGGTCAAACCACGCACTCCTTGGCAGTCCATCCATTGGCTGTTCCCGGCAGGCCCACTGCGCGAACCGATTGGCGGCTGTCAGCTAATAATACGCCCACCCACACCTCTCCCCCGGAGCCGGACACCACATCACAGCAGGGCCAGCCAAGTGTAGCAACCTACCTAAGCCAGGGCACTTTCGTTGAGGAACCCACCGAACACCGAAGCCAGGCCGGCCCAGATTGTCAGCTCCCGTCACAGGGCACTTCCTATCATTACCTATCGGCACTTGGCTACCTAGCATCCATCTGTACCACGGCGCGAGCATCAAATCTCATATCGATTGCATTTACCACACACACACACACACAGTTCCCACCACCTACCCAAGAGACAGACGCGACGCGACACGAGACACTCTGAGTGAGGACTGGACCGCGTACCCGGTATCGTCCATTAGCAGGACAGGACAGGACAGGACTGGTACCTGTTCCCCCGTCGGTACAGCCACCACGGCCAACGGCCACAAAACCACCCCAACTATCCGGTACCTCTTCACTGTCCCATACAATCGAATCGCGCAAAAACCGCCGACATGGATGAGATAGTTGTTGATCCCGGTTCTAGCGCTGCCCAGTTCAGCATCATGCAGTCCCAACAACCACCCCAGCACGGTCCCGAGGTCCGCCTGACCGCTGCCGGTGTGCCCCGCAAGAAGCCCGGCCGCAAACCGAAACCCAAAGATCCCGCCGACGAGAACTCGACCGCCACCGAGCAACAGCCCAAGCCGCGCCGCCCGCGCAAGCCCAGAGACCCCAATGCCCCTCCTATCGTGAGAAAGAGGAAAGCCGCCGCGACCGACGACGCCCCCGATGCCGCCGACCATGACACTTCGATGGAGATCGATCAATATCATGGTATCGCCCAAAGGTCAAAAGGGTCATTGATGCCCCTACATCTACTTCCCCCCGATCAACGGCCGCCAAAGATACCCAAGCGCGAGACCCATCCCGTGTCCATGAGCCATCTGCTCAACGAAGAGGACCCACCGCCCAAGTCCCAGCCTACCGCTTCCAGGCAAGTCTTTGATCCTATAAGAGGCAGTTACGACCCAGTCCGAGAAACCATGATGTCCAGAGACGTTTTCGGCACCGGCTCCATCATGGGTTCTCCGCGCGCCCCCACCTCACAGCCTGTCAACCGAGCCAGCGCCTCGCCATCGATTGCGAGCTTGGTCGACCCTCCTGCTCCCCCCAACATCATGTCGCCTGTCCCGTCACACCAAACGCCTTACAACACCGCTGCCACAAAGTCGCGACTCCAAGAATCAACATCTGCCACTCCTCCCTCCTCCAACCCTGTGCGCTCCACGCCACAACAAATCGCCAAGCCGCAAATTATCGAAGTCAGGCGTGCCCCTCCGCCGCCTCCCGCACCAGCGGCGGCCCCCCAGAGAAAACCATCGCCTCCCAAGAACTCGTTCACTAGTATGTCCACAGTTCCGCCGACATCTTCAGCAGCAGCCGCTACCAATGCAGCAACAGCGGCTCCATCAACAACAGCTCCCCCTACCAACAACAAGAAGCTCACAGCTCTTGTGCAACAAGAACGCGAAAGCACCCATTCCCGCGGAAACAAGACCGGGAGCAACCACTCCTCAGAAGCTGTCAAACCCAGTGGCGGCAGCAACAGCCTTAAAGATGCCCTCCTCCCCCCCTTACCCTCGGTCGGTGGTCACGGCACCGAGCGGTCCATCCTCGATTTTGGCAAGGTTAACCCCGGTCAGGAAATCGAAGCACCTTCAATCAAGATCCACATTCCTCTGAATGGTGAAACAAACAAGTACGTCAACTTCATGCGCATGGCCGAGGAGCAATACGGTTGGGACGCTCTACACCCTCGACAAGCAGCCAACCGGGAGCGCAAAGCGCGCATCGCAGCCGCTACTGCCGCACTAGAAAAGTCCGTGGGCACCAGTGGGCGGGAGTCTGGAGAGGAAATGGACGAGGATATCCAATCCGACGCGGAAAACAGCAACATTGAGATGGGCGGCATGGGCGGTCTCAATCCCACTACAAATGGCGTCGCCTCGGGCCCAGAGGCGCCAGCGAAACCGGCGAGAAAGAAGAGGAACTTCAAGGAGGACGAATACGATATCGATGATGACTTTGTCGACGACTCGGAGATGCTCTGGGAGGCGCAAGCGGCTGCTTCCAGGGATGGATTCTTTGTGTACTCTGGCCCGCTGATTCCCGAGGTTCCCAAGCCCGAAGTGGCACCCCCGGCTCGTCGCGGACGCGGTGGAGGAAGAGGCAGCAGAGGCGGACGAGGTGGGACAACACGCGGTGGTGCTAATGCAGCAGGACATGGAGCGGACACCGCAGCGTCGGAGAAACCAAGTGGACGAGGACGAGGCGGTGGGCCGGGGAGTCGAGGTGGTCGGGGCGGCGGAGATGGAACGAGGAAGCCGAGAATCACGAAACTGGAGAAGGAGCAGAGGGATAAGGAGAAGGCAGAGAGGGAACGGCTGGCGCAGATCACGGCGGCGGCCAAGGCAAGTGTGGCAGCCGGTGGAGGACCTTATATGCTGGGATTGACTCCACCTGCTGCGGCTGGAGGACCGACGGCGATGATGATTGATTAGAAATCTCGGCGAACTCGAAGTGGAAGAGCTTGAGACTATTGTTAGTGGGTGCCGGACTACGGTTGATGTACAACATGGGAAAAAGAGAGGAGAAAGGACAGAGGAGGCAAAAAGGCCAATGGCATTGCGTTTTCATTTTTATCTATCTGTCTGTTGTTTCTGGCGTTCTGTTTATACTCACACACGCACACTCACACTCACACAAATAATGGTTACGAATGGAGTATAAGCTGGCTGGAGCATTGGGTGCCGGTGGGCTGGCTGGCTGGACTTTTTTTTTTTTTTTTCTTTTTTTTTTCTTTGATTTGTTTTCTCTTTGTTTTTTTTTTTCCTCCTCCCATTGGTATCCCTCAACCATTTCTATCTCCAATTGCGCGCGTTATTGTGAACTTTACACATTGTAAGGCTTTTCGATGGATGGATGGAAGATGCTCGATGTCGGTATATCATTAGGTAACAAACCAGCCAGGCACGCACATCATAGACAGACACACAGACAGCGGACAGACGGAGGGAGGGAGGGAGGGAAAATTACTACGCGGAGAGACTACGGAGAGAGAAGAAGCAGAGAGAAGAAGAAGAAGCAGAGAGAAGCGCGCAGCAAGGACAGTTAACTCAACGTCAACGTACAAACTAAGTACGTGCGTACCACCAAATGCTCGTATCGTATCGCATCGCATCGCGTGTATGGAACGGAGAATGATGAATGGGAATGAGTTAAGGGACTAGAAGAAGCAGCGAAGAACAAATAAACGAGCGAGCGATAGAGAAACAGCAAGAGTAAGAGTAAACGTGAATGAGAGTAAGAGTAAATGTGAGGAGGAAGAAAGTACAGTTGCTGTGCGTAGTTCCCCTGCTTACATGAACTGTTAGCTGTCTGGACCTGTGGTCTTGGAACCTTGGAACAATGGATGTGTGGATGTACTTATACTTGTAGTTGTAGTTGTAGTTGAAGTTGAAGTTGTAGTTGTAGTTGTGATTGTAGTTGCAGTTGTAGTTGTAATAACTAAAAAAGCAGTCCTCAGGTACCACTCAACGTTATATGTATGCACTTCAGTTTTTTTACTTACTAAGCCTTCATCAGTAAGTAATCTGATGATCTCGAAAAAAATAATCGTATTGCCTTGGGCAAGATGGTACATTCGATCATCGGTCGGAACTTAACAGATCGATTAAACCGAGCAGATGAGTTTGTCCTTTTCATTGGGCAGCAAAGACAACGTAAAAAGTAAACCTGGATTCTCCTTTCGTAACATACTCATAACTCCTCATAATAAACAACACAGAAACCATCCACCCAACAACAAAAGACCATAATCTAGTGAACCCCCTATATGTAACAGAATTTACCAGCTAGTTAGCCAGCCGACCAGCCCCACTTTCTATCATCCCTCCCCCCCCAACTCTCACAGTCCACCCTAAGCCTCAATACTAGCAACAGTAACCTCCGCAGCCGACTGTTGGCCCATCATTTCCCTCTCTCTTTCTTCCCTTTCCCTTCTTTCCCTCTCCTCTTCTTGCTTCTGTCGTCTCTCCCTCTCCCTCCGTTCTTTTTCCTCCTTTTGATGTTTACCCCGCTGGATATAATCGTGGTTTTCGATTGTGACCGACTTGGTCATGTGGTTGACCTTGTAGACGCCGACCAAACGGGCGGCAAGCTCAAACATGTTGTTGCGCAGGGAGATGACGATGAACTGGGCGTTTTTAGTGCGTTCTTTGATGTAGGAGGCTACGATGGAGACCTTTTTCACTTTGTCAGTGGGGAATGAAAAAAAAGGGAGGGGGGAGGGGAGGAGGGGGGGGGGGGGGGAGGGAGGTTGGATCGAGCGGAGCGAGCAACATAAAATTAAAAAAAAAAAAGAACAAGAAAAAATGAGAAAAGGGGGTAAAAGGAAAAAGGGGAAAAGGGAAAAGGGGAAGGAAGGAAAGGGGGGAAAGGGGATAGGAAAAATACTCACATTCCTGAAATCCAGCGCCGCATCAATCTCATCCATCACATAAAGCGGCGTCGGCTTGTAATGATGCAACGCAAACACCAGCGCCAGAGAACTCAACGTCTTCTCACCACCACTCAGATTGGAAATATTCTTCCAGCTCTTCTTGGGCGGCATCACGCTGAACAAGATCCCCTCCGAGAAGGGGTCCAGACTGTCCACCAGCTCCAGCTCCGCGTTGCCGCCCATGGTGATCATCTGGTACATCTCCTTCAGCCTTAGGGAGATGGTCGAGAACCCTTCCATGAACCCTTCCAATCGCAAACGACGGAGCTCGTCGAGACGCTTCTTGGCGGCGTCGCGCTGGGAGACGGCTGAGGCCAAGTCCGAAGAACGCGCGAGGTGTTCTTCTACGCGACGACGGTATTCGGAGAGCACGGAGAGGTCAATGTTCACGTTGGAGATCTTTTCTTCGAGCGCGGCGATCTCGCCTTTGAGTTTCTCTTTGGACATGTCGGCTAGCTCATCGCGGGTGTAGCGGGGGAGTTCGAGGGGGTTGCGGGGTTTGCGCGGGGTTTTGCCAGTTTGTTGGCGGCGCTTTTGCTTTTGCTTCTTGGGAGTTTTCGTCTTGCGCTGGCGAGGTTCCTCGTCGTCTTCGTCGAGGGACATGGCTTCTGGATCTTCGTCTTCCTCCTCCTCTTCCTCCTCGTCCTCCTCGTCCTCCTCGTCTTCTTCGGCCTCGGCGGCTTCGGCTTCGAGTTGGGCTTGGAGGATGGAATCAGGGTCGTCGACGTCCATGGCATCTGGGTCGGCAGGTTGTTGAGGTGCTGCTGCGTCGCCGCTGGTGCCGCGCTCGAGGTCTTCAATGTCTTGGAGGGCGAGCTTGGAGAGCTTGTCTTCCCAGTAGCGCAGACGCTTCTGGTTCTCGGACAAGATCTTTTGGTTTTCCTCGAGCTTGTTGCGCATCTCGATTTCCACCGCCCTTGTTTCGTTGAGCTCGGCCGTCTTCTCATCCAGCTCCTTCTTCATAGCTGCCAGTTCTTTCTTCTTCTCCTTGAGTGCCTCCTGGGCCTCCTCGACGCGAGTCGTCAGACTCTCGGCAGTATCGCCCTGGTTCTGAATCTCCTCTTCCAGAGCCTCGGTCTCCTGTATGGCATTCTGCAGCTCTTTGGACGCCTTGTTAAAGTCCTTCTCTAGCTTGTGCTTCTGTTTCTCCGCTTTCGCCATCTTCACCTCGGCGGCAGAGGTTTCCTCGTTTTGCGTGGCGATCTCTGCCTTCAACGAGTCCACAGTGGCTTTTTGAGAGCGAAGCTTTTCACCACCCACCTTCATGATCTTATCCTGAAGAGCCTTAATTTCGTCCTCGACGGAGGACATCTCCTCGCGCAGCTTCTCGACCTCGCCCTCGAGCTTGGCAATTTCCTTTTCAAGGGCGGCGACGCGGTTGTCATCCGTCTTGGAAGGCTGTTGCTCTTTGCTGAGCTCCTTGATACGGCGCTGGGCATCGGCAAGGTTGCGCTCCGAGCTCTCAACTTCGAGGTTGATCTTCTGCATCTTGGTCTCGAGCTGGGGAATCATGGACTGAATCTGGCGCAGACGGGACTCGAGTTCTCGTTGGCGGTCTTGGAACTCGTTGAAGGCCTGCTCCAAAGTATCACGGTCCGCCTCAAGCTTGTCAACCTGCTCCTTGGTGGTGTCAGCCACAAGCTTGGAGGACATCAGACCCCGCTTGACTGTAGTGCCACCACCGGTCATGGTACCTGACTTGTCGATGAGCTCGCCAGCAAGGGTCACTACTCGCCATCTCTTGGCGCCATAGGCAATACGGTTTGCCTGAGCGAGATCCTTGGCGACCAAGGTGTCCTGGAGAGCATGGTAGAAGGCAGGTCGGAACTTGTCGTCTTTGGGCTTGACAAGGTCAAAGAGGCGAGGGGCGTTTTCGGGAGTCTGGATAGGAGACATGTCGCGGACTCGCAACTTGTCCAAGCACATAAAGTTGCCACGGCCGAGGTTGGTTTTTCGGAGATATTCAATACATTGCTGACCGGCCTCAACAGTGTCGGTGACAAAGTTGTCCAGAGCACCACAGGCTGTAGAGATGGCAATGTCGTACTTCTGGTCGATGGCACCGAGATTTCCAAGTCTTCCATGGAACCCATCGATACGACCCGACTCCTTCATGCGCATAAGCGCAGTCAAGACATTGCCGCGGTTTTGGGTGGCAGACAAGCTCGACCGCGCCTCGTCAGCCTTTTGGCGGGCATTCGAAAGCTGTTGCCGGTACTTGGGTTCCTCCTCCGCAAGCTTGGCAAGCTCAGCCTCGATCTTCTTGCCCTCCTTAATCAGGTTCGCTCTCTCAGCTTTGCACTGCTCCATCTCCTCCGCCTTGGCTGCTTGCCTTTCCTGGATGGCCACAATTTTCGCCTCCATCTCCTCAAGAGCCACAGTCCCGGCATTGGCCTTTTCCCTGAGGATGGCCAGCTCACTCTCCGCAACGGCAATGGCAGACTGTTTCTGATTGATCTTGTCCTTCCAAGGCTCGAGAGATTTTTGCTTTGCTGCGATCTGATCCGAGTACTTTTGCGTCTTGCCCTTGAGGCTCTCACGTATCGTCGCAAGCTCGGCCTCCTCTTCCTTGACCTTCTTCTCCAAAAAGACAATGTCCTTTTGGCGACGCTCAATCTCCTTGGTGCAGTTCTGGATGGTCTCCTCGGCTTCAACAGCCGTCTTCTCGGCATTGGCGATCGTCTTCTCAAGCTTCTTACGCTTGTCCGTCAAGAACTTCCGCTTCTCCTCGAATTTGACGCGTTCCTGCTCGAACTTGTTCATCTCCTTGACCAGCTGCTGTGTCTGCTTCTCCCAAGCGTCGTATTCCTTGCTACCCTTGGAATAGGCCTTTTCCAACTGCTTGATGAGCTGTTCGCTGCCGTGGTGCTTCTCGAGCTCGGCGTCAAGTTGTGCCTGCATCTGACCGATGGCCTCCTCCGTAACAGCAATATTGTCGTCGCATTCGCTGATGTATAGCTGGTAGAGAGCCGACTGTTTGAGCGCCAGTTCGTTTTCATCGCGAACATACGCCAGCGCCTTGTTCTTCTTGTCCTCGAGGCTGTTTCTTTCCTTTTCCACGTGCTGGACACGACCACTCTTCTCCATGCAGATCTCGTTGAGGGTTTCGACTTCGGTGGCCGACTCTTCAATTGGTGTCTTGTATTTGGAAGTGCCGATAATGTCTTCTAGATATTCCAACAAACCATCTTCGTGCTCGTTGCCGGCTTTGGGCTTCATCTGGGCAATCGATTCGACTTCGCCCTGGAGAATGAGGAAACGCTTATGATCCAGATCGACGCCACGGTCGCGGAGTAGCGTGGTCACGGTGGTAAAATTGGATGATTTGCCGTTGATGTAGTACTGGCTCGAGTTGTTCTTGAAGGCTTTGCGCGAGATGACGAGGGTTGAGTCGGGGATAACCTCGTGACCACCGCCAGGCTATCAATGTCAGCACAACAACTCCCCCTTCACAACGATGTTTGACTTACCAAGTCCGTGACTTCCTGGAAATGCACTTCCACCTCACAATAGTCGAGATTCGGGAACCGCGCCGAATTGTGGATCAAGGCCGAGATCTTGCCTTGTCGCATCTTGCTGGCACGGAAACCAAAGACGAACAGCAACGAGTCGATGACATTGGACTTGCCAGAACCGTTGGGACCCACGACAGAGGAGAACGAAGCATGGAAGGGGCCAACCTCCTGTCTACCGGCGTAACTCTTGAAATTAATGAGCACAAGGTTGGTGATGACGATGCGGGGCTTCGGGCCGGTATCGTCGACGACGGGAAGAGCCATGGTCCGTGACTTGAGCACAATATCCATGGGCTTTTCCAAAATGGTATCCATAGCCCTGACGGGCTTCTGGGCCGCCACGACGGTTTCATCTGCTGTTGATGTTGGCTGTGTGTTGACAAGGGCCTCTGATGCCGCGGTCGCTGGAGGTGGTAGGTTGATGAGGGTCTGGGTGATGTCCTGTAGAGGAGCAGGTTGGCGATCGGCGCGTTGAGTTGACGGAGAGCCTGGTGTTGGCGTCCCTTGACGGCTGGCTTGTTGTTGTTGCAGCTCGAGTTGTTGCTGCATGATCTTTGCTGGCGATCTGCTGAGCCGCCGCACAAGAGTTCTACGCTTCCGCGGGGGTGACTGAATTTCTTGCGTATCCCGTGCTTCTGGCTCCGCGATCACGGCGGTTGTAGCGGGCGATACGGCAGACGCCACAGTCACATTGGGGTCGATACCCTCCTCGATCGGCTCATCCTTTGGCTTGACGGCGGGCGCTGGGGCTTCGGGTTCGGCTTGGGGATCGATATTCGCTTCGACACTCGGTTCGACACTGGGCTCTTTGCTGGGTTTGGGCGCGGCATTCTTCTTAGGTCGTCCGCGCCTTTTCGGCGCAGCTTTTGGTGCCGGTGCCGGTGCAGCCGATGATGATGGTGCTGCTGCTGTTGCTGGTGTTCCTGCCCTGGGAGCGGGCGTAGCAGTGGATCTTCTGGTAGTGCGCTGGGTAGTCTTGCGGGCTGCCGAAGCAGGCGCGGGTGTATAATCGTCCTCCTCGTCGTCATCTTGGGCGCCTCTCGATGTGGTGTTTGCGATGTCGTCGTCCGATGAGGATTCTTCGATGATGGCGGCGCGCCTGGTTGCGGCGGCCCGACGCGATGGGCGCGTCGACATGGCTGGTGTCTGTCGGTGGTTTCGGCTTGCAAATTCTCGACTCGATGATGAAAACAACAGAACAGAACAGAATAGAAAGCGCTGCAAGATGCGGGTATCAGACAACCAAGGAGTGAAAGTTTATGTAATAACAAGTAAAGATGAAAAATGGTATTCACATTTCGCAGGGCAGTTGTTGCGACAGACACGGAATGGGACGCCCACGCAGAAACTCTTTGAGTGCTGTCGCAGCTTCCTTGCCCCGCCGCGGTTAGATTGTTGACATTCAGGGCAGTTTTTGGACGGACGGTTCTTGCAATACCGTGACTGGTAAACAATCAGCCACAGCAGCCACAGCCAAATGCAATTCGTGCACTGCAGCGGGCGACCCCTCTGTTGGAACGCTCGCACCGTGTCGCGCTATCACTAGGTGCAGGCGTGGCAGGTTAGTGGAGTCTGTGTAACGAGTATCGCGCTTACGGCTTTCTTACCTTATCGATAAGCCGGGGCGGTTTGCTAGAGGTACCTAGCGCAGGTACAGATCCGGGGAAGGCTCCATTCCAGGTGCAGGGGACGGACCCGATGGCCGTTGCATATCCCAGGCCATGACGGCACTCATCCATCCCTTCGATTTTCCCTTTTTCCCTTTCCATTCAACAGCTGCAGTGAGGACACTTGGACGTTTCGACTGTACAATCCAACTTCAACGTCACAATGCTCGATTATACAGAATACAACAACGTGTTTCCCTCCCCGGGATTCATAAACCCCTACGATCACAAGGGAGCCAGTGCCATCGAGACTTTTCGCAAATCATTGGGCGGCGTCCTGTTTGTGGATCGCGTCCTAAGTCAATTAAGCATCGGCCAAGGTCAGTGTACACTAGTGTAAACACCACACTACCAATAGTAACGCCCTAACAATCCATGACCTGTCATTATAGCGCGCTTCATCGCTAATCACCACTGTAACTAGGCACTGCATATCCGCCCAGAGGCGAGAACGGCTTGCGCTCCCTCCACCAACAAATCTGCCAGAGCAGCGCCTCGTCGATCCAAAAGATATCGGTTCTTTACTATCTCCTCCTCGACCATGATGACGTCCATCCAGGTCGTTCACATTGGGCGGACAGCTTTGCTGAGGAGACGGGACTGCCGAAAAAGTACCAGATCCTTATGAGGGGTCTGTGGCACATGGATCGCATGGAGTTCAAGGTGCGCCCGCCCGTTTGGTTCTGGAAGTCGCTCACTAGACATCAAGACGCTAACAAACGCTACTAAACAGTACGCAATCGAAAACCTAACCCACCCATCGCTCCCCACCGAATTCGCCGACGAGATCACCATCACCCTCGTCCGCCATCCGCTCGTCAACAAGCGCAGCTCCACCAGTCAGAGCGATTACACGCTAGCTCTCGCCTACTTTCACGCCGCCCAGCCTGTATTCACCTCATCCGAGGCTCTCGAGTTGCTCTTTGGCGCCCTAGCTCGTACCAACGTCACCGAAGCACATGATTTCTCGCGTCGCTATCCGGAGTGGACCCGCCAGCAGCTGTTTGAAAGGTTAGTGGCTTCCATTCTGGAGCAGCCGGAGAAGCTGGGGGCGAGAGGTAAGGAACTCGTTAGCGCGGCGTTGACGGGCGAGGAGGAAAGCTGGTTTCAGGAGTACTTGAGGCACGGGGAAGGAAGGAAGAGTAAAGGCGCAAATGTGCTTTTGAGGATGAGAGGGGTTGTGACGGGGAGGTTGAGCAGCACTGCCGCTATGGAGAACCTTGCTGGTTACCCGTGAGGCTGAAGAGTTGTGGATATACCTTCATGGCTCGGCATTCTTCTGTCGATAGGTTGATATCTGGCAACGGGCATAGCGACGGCGTTTGGATACTTTTGGGTCTTGCCATTGGGAGATGGTCACCTGAGTCAACATGTTTATGACCGTTTACCGTCAAACCGACGAGAATGCTCTTTTGCTTTTTCAATTTGCAGCAACGAAGGTCGAGTCTCGCTGACCGGCAGTAATGACTGGACGTTCCTGATTGGTTTCAATCAACTGAAAGAGGCATCCAAAAAAAAAAAAAACACGCTCCAAGACAATTTTGACCACCAAAAAAGGCCTGAACAGAACTTCTTTAGCTCTTTTTTGCTTGTGTAGTCCGATCGCAACTATTACTTTGAAATTTAGGTACAGAAACAACTAATGGGAAATCATGGTACAATTTGTTTGAGAATGTACATTGAGGACGAGCGCGAGATCTCAAGTACCAAAGTCACTTCTACATGTAAGCATCTCGATTTCTACCCACTGTAATGCGCTGTAAGTTCACTATAACTGAATTCTATTTTTACGCTCTATATTTGACACCAGTCACCCGATTACAAAAAAGGCGAATTTAATACCAACCTCAATTGGAATAACTAGAACCATTTATCTCATTGCTTCTTAAGTGCATCTACTTTTAAAGGTATTGAGTAGGAAAATTGAGAAGTGGCAGAGGTGAGTTTTAGCTCTTTTTGTGGGTAAAAGAATCGTAGGGCGTTTTTTGTACTAGCAACTTTCTCTCCGCCCGGGCAGTTGGGTAGCAGTGGAAGGCACCAATTCACTCTTTCCACTCTAATCTCCAGGCGGTAACCGGCGAAACTCCCGCCGTGCCACGTCAATGTCTTCCATCTTTCTTCCCTCCAACGCAAAACACCGTGACATTCCTACCATTACTATCATTCCATTTCTTTGAACAAGTCCCGCCTAAACGTCATAATGTCGACCCACCTATGCGCGGTTTGCAACCGCTTTGTACCCCACTGGCAACCGAAAGGGTTCAAATGGGGGAGTCCACATCACTCGAGTCTACACAACCTCCTTCAAGCGGCAGACGAGGGATGCTATATATGCCAGTCAATCACAAAAAGTTGCCATTGGAGGGATATATCCTACTTGACCTTCAAAGGCTTTCCGTTTGACTTTACAGTGTCTTTAGGGACTAACTATAACGGCTCTCACTTGACTCTTACAGTTGAAGCCACCTGTCTCACGGATGACTCGCCTAAACTCAGGCAAGCTATTGAAGCTCTTGACGAGATTAGGGAGAAGTGGCTACCAAAACTAGGAAGCATGTTACTCTTGGGATCAATTTCCTTTCCTTTCCATTTTCATCTCCGGCCTATCGCAAATGGTGAGTCATGTACCCTCTCGAGCAAAATAATAACAAAAAAAAGGGTTGACAGAAAAAAGGCAATCAAATTGACTTGCGAACTTTCAATACAGAAGTCACTGATGATCATGAACAAAGATCGACACCATCTTCTGTACAGCGTGAACCAGACATGATTGGTTTACTGAAGTATTGGTTCAAAGAATGTTACAACAACCACCCCTACTGCCGCCCTTCAAGTCCCTCGTTTAGTCCAACGAGGCTCTTGCTCATAGAGAATGAGTATTCTGCGAGGATAGTGGAAACAAAAGATTGCAATGCTCACTACCCATATGTTGCTCTGTCGCACTGCTGGGGAACTGTAAGCCGACTCAAACTCCAGAAGAGCAACATGGTGGACCTGCTCAAGCATATCAGCATCACAGAGTTGCCAACGACCTACAGAGAAGGAATCTCTGTCACTTTGGCCCTTGGTTTCTCTTACATATGGATCGATTCGCTGTGCGTCATCCAAGACGACGAAAAGGATTGGGCTGAGGAGGCGGCCATGATGAAGGACGTCTTCGAGCATTGCTCTATCAACTTGAGTGCCACCGCGGCGCCCGACAGCTCACAAAGCAATTTCACACACAGAGATGCCACAAGTATCCTGCTCCTTGAAGGTGAGACTCCCAATAGAAGAGGGGAAAAGCATGGACCATCGAGATTCTGGTTTGCGAGAAGTTGGGTGGACCTGAGGCAAGAAGACATTGTACACTCGCCTCTCCACTCACGGGCCTGGGTATTCCAGGAGGCGAACTTAGCTCGGCGCCGCATCGACCTCGCTCGATCCCAGATGTGGTGGCATTGCCAACAACACTGGGCTTGCGAGACGCATCCTTCGGGCGTATGGAGTCCAGAGGACTATGAATGGGAAACGGAAGAGAGCCAACAATATTACAACATGTGCAAGCGAAGAGATAACCATAACGCATCGTTAGGTATGTCTTCACTAAGCGGGCCAATTACTAGCCATACCTGGTTTGAGGGAGACTACCGACGCGATTGGCTTGGAAAAATCCACAGATATTCCAGTTGCGATATCACCAAGACAAAAGACAGGCTAATAGCCTTTTCCGGGATTGCTCAACGATACGCTCAAGATCAAGGACATGACCTCAATGACTATCTGGCCGGCATCTGGCGCCAAGAACTCCCTCATTATCTTCTCTTTCGGGCGACTCACGAAAAACCAACGTACCGCTCGGATGAATATCGCGCTCCTTCTTGGTCCTGGATCTCGCTGGAAGGACCTGTTCGCCCCCCACCCCCCCAACATAGCAACCTATTGCTCTCGTGGTCGATGTGCAAGGTCATTACAGCAAAAACCATCCATCAGTCCGAGCGTTATAAAGCTGGGGAGGTAAAAGGAGGCGTCATCCATTTGAAGGGCTGTTTAGTTGAAGTGCTACTGGGCAGTCAGGCACCCAAGTGGCCTGGCCATCCAAGATATGAAGGGCCAGCCACTAAGATAATCGGTCCCGGCGCCTTCGATGAACGTCTGAATGGCAAAGATTCAGTCAGCTATCTTGAGCATCCCCAGGGCCAGCTTGACCAAAGAAAAGAGGGAATCGTGGACGGTGCGGTACGAAGATCGATTAGCTTCCAAACTCTGAACGAGCTGTCCGAGAATATTCGACTATTTATCCTCCCAATTACAGGGGAAATCATCTACGAAGAATTCAAACCAGTTTTCTCATGTCTTCTTCTCTGTCAGACGTCGGATGACTGCGTGGCAGGGAGCGACATCTATCAACGTGTAGGCTGTCTTGAGTCTGTGGAGGGGCTCAAGCCTGTTCCCGAACGGGATATCTACATCATTTGACGTTCATCATTCTTCATCTGTCGTTACAGACAGAACCACGTCAGCAAAAATTTAACACAATTTCAACTTCCTTCCACTCTGCAAATACCTATATCTACCTACTGTCTAGACTCGCTACGAAATACATACCTACCTATCGAGCTATTATCCCATGGCCACAGTCTGCCTCCAGCTTAGCCGAATCCAGCACCTTGGACACTCTCCAGTAGGTAGTTGCAAAAACAGAGACGTGATGCAAAAGTCATCAATTAGGTACATTTGCCACTTCGTCCCATATGCGGTTCCAGGTAAAGCGTAAAAAAAAAGCGTTTAAGCATCCCATCAACGGGCGAAGCAGCGACACATAACACGTGCGAACGACGCCCATCGCCTTACACCGGGAAGTCTCACTTCTTACCAGATTGGCCTTCCGAAGGGAAAAAATCCCCAACTCTTCGAATGATAAATACCTCTAAGTCTACTAGGAAGCGAGTCCATCAAAGTCCGTCCCAGGTCACTCACTGTATCTGTTAGAGACTTGTGGCAGCCCTTATCGCAGAGTGTCCTGGTAGAGAGAAACGTGGTGTGTTTTGCGTATGAAACGTGCCCGCCCGAGTTTCTAACTACCTAAAAAGTCTTGGCGCCAAGTGTTGTTAGTAAAGACACCAGTGCGTAGCGGTTAAGTTGTTAACATGCAAAACTACCTTCCGTTCCAGCGGTCGGGCGGTCAAACCACCATCTCCGGGACGGCGTCTGATGATGCAGAAGGTACTGTACTGCCTTGATACAGGAATTACTATGCTATGTCCAGAAGAGCAGGAACTCAGGGTTGGCTGAGAAGGAGGAAAGTGAGGAAGGAAGGAAACCATCAACGTAGAGGAAGGAACGAAACCAGCGACAGACAGAGGGAAGAGAGGACTGCCCAAACCAGAGTAGGCCGGTATGTAGGGGCGACTAGAAATGTGTATATAATCATGAAAGTCACCCTAATTTCATGATTTGGGTGGTTTTCCCTTTTGGAATACAGAATCTAGCAATTTTTCCGGATCTTTTGGCATACTACAACCTTTTTCCACTGCAGCTCTTCTTACACCGAGGCTCAGCCTACCCTGGTGCTGCCCGTCGGTAGTATGATTCGCCCAGTGTCGCGAATGCAAGTAACTGGCAAACCACCCAACCGAACCAACATGACCAACAGCACCAACCACGGCAACGACATGGCAAACAACCCTAAATACTTGTTTTTTGCGGAAACTAACATGAGACTTTCTATACCTCGAGCTGCTTGATCCGGGTGATCAGGCTGGCACCGCACTTGACCCAACAAAACGAAGTTTTTCAGATTCCCGCATCACCTCCACCACGAGTCCCAACGAAACCAACATTTTCTGCATCTTTGACCTTCCGTTCATGGAGAAATCAAGGAAAGGGGGTGCTAGAAGCCAACGTCAAGTCTGAAAGGGCAGATACTGGCGGAAGTCAATAGGTCGCGGTATAAAGGGTGAGAATCCCACCAATGTCTACCACAGGACCACTAATCCATCCCAACCCACTACTTCCACAACTCACTCTCTTACCGCAACAACTCACCATGAAGTTCACCCACCTCTCACCCTTAGCCGACTGGGCCATCATCACCCCCTCCACAACAGCAGCTCCCACTTCTAACCCCAATGTTCCATCCAACTTCACTCCAGAACAAGCCATTTCCACTTCTTACAACTCCCGCAATAAGTCATCCATGGCAAAACGCGAGGTCAGATGCGACATCATCCCAGGCGACCCTAGAATGTGGGAGTCCCACGGAAGGTTTTGCCTACTTGATTTCTACTTGCACCCAAACGAAGAGGTAGTCATCCCTCAAGCAGGCACGGACTTGTGCGTCAGGGGCAGTGGGAAGCTGCGCGCAGGGGTAAGTGGGGATGGAGACCGGAGAACTACCAAGTGAGTTTTCCCCATCCCCCAACCTTTCATTCTTGTGCACATTCGGGTTGATTGGGGCTTTTGAAAGGTGTTTGGTGGCTTAAGCATGAAGAGGCTGTAATGTTTGGATGATAGACAAGGTGGAAAGGGCAGTGTTTGGTGCGTAGGGGAAATGTGGGGCTTGGTGGAAGAAGGGTGGGATGAAAAGGAAAGGATTGGAAGCCAAGTAGATGTAGGATGAAAGTTGTGGAAGTGATTATTAACGAAAGGGCGATGCGGTTATGGTGTAGAGGAGCGATTTCCAAGGCTGCGTCGAGGATCTTGGGTGAGTTTTCATCTTGGCTAGTACTCGGAAGGGGGAGTTGAGGATTGTTGAGTTCAGTCACTTGTGCTGATAGTGTGAAATACAGATACTTGTAGCAAGGATGGCTGGGTGGTTGGCACGGACAGCCTGGAGGGCACGAGTATCTGGCTGGTGTTCTCGAAGTAACTGAGATGGATGAAGAATTACACAGTAGGGGTGAACTTGGGGGCATTCGAGTTGATCTTCGTGATGGCGGCCAGGAAGAACTGGAAGCATATAGGATGAATCTGGAGAAATTGCTCATTAATTGTGTTTCTTGACAACCATTTCATCTCGTTAACAAAGCACGCATGAATCAAGTTACCTACTCACCGACTTCAAATTTTCTCCGTTCTCTAGTATGAGCTGGAATCAGTCAGACGGCGCAGACTGGACGATAGACAAACGTTCTCGAAGGCAGCCTCAGAATCGTCTCATCACCATCATCGCCATGAGGATAATCCACCAGTAGCTAAACTCGAAACTATAAAAGAACCCCATATCCCCCCCTCCCCATCCACTACTTTTCCCTCATCATCAACAAACCTCACTGCCTCCTCGTACCAACCTTTACCCCATCCCTCATCAAACCACTCACTCACAACTCACCGCCAACCAACTAACCACCCAAAATGCAACTCTCCACCATCCCCTCTCTCTTCCTCGGCCTCACGGCTTTCATCGCCCCCCTGGCTCTCGCCTCTCCTACCCCCATCAACGGCAACAGCAACAGCAACGACAACACCAACCTGCCCTTCAACCTAATCAACAAACACCACAAGACCGTCGTCACCACCAGCCGCCGCCAAACTGGTTCTTCCACAGTCGACACCACCCCGACCTGCGTGTCCGACCCGGAAGGGTTCATGACCATGTTCGACGCACGCTCTTGTCTCGAGGAGATTGCTGCCAAGGGCAGCGAGCAGTTGACTGTGCCGGCGCCGGGGATGGCGTTGTGCGAGAGGAGCAGTGGCAAGTTTTGGGCGGGGGTTAGTATGCGGGGGACGCAGGTTGCTGATGCGTGAGTATTTTTTTTCCTTTTTCTTTTTTCTTTTTTGGACTGCTGGACTGGGAGTGACTAGACATAGGTGCTGGTGGGGTGAAGGGTGGGAACGGGAAGAAGGAAAGGAAGGAAGGGGACTAGTGATGATTGGGATAAGGTGCTGACCGTGACTGACTGAAACGTGGTGGGGTGGATGTAGGTCCGACATCGCTGCTGCTGGACAACATATTCTGGGTGAGTACAACATTTGAATTCTCGAATAATGTTATTTTGAGTAAAAAAATCGCTGACAGAGGATATATGTAGACGCCTGCAAGTTCGACGGCGTTGTGGGCATGCAGACTGAGATGACGGGTGGTGGAGCGTACGTGGCTACCAATGGCAACATCTATGTCATGTTCTCCAAGGATGAGGAGGATGATTGATTATCCAGTTTCTTACGGATTGTTTCTGTCGCCTTTGGGTGAATAAGAAACTGGGCGGGCAATCGAGGAACACGAATGGATCTGGAGAAAGAAAAGAGAATGTGGTGAGGATTTGGGGTACCACGTGGTTGGTCCTGCGTCTTATGGTAGACGGTCGTACACCTACAGGGGGAGCTTATTTCCATATTAGGACGGGCCGCCCGGTTATCCTCGGCCATGGGTTTTGCTTGCGATACCTAACTAGGGGTAACATGATTCGGCTGGACGCGGATATGGAAGGATAGGAACATTCATGAATGCGACTTCGATTGATGCCTCGCATCTTTGAGGAGAAAATCTCTTGTATAATTGCAGTGATGCTGGATGATATTTTCCGTTCGGCTTGTGAATTCCATGTTAGTGCAACTGCTTCTAAAGCTCGGCGTTGTGGGGGAGTTCTATAACAGCGGCAGGGGCAGCTCTCTCCGCATCTCCGGGGAAAAACACGACGTCATTTGCAGCTTCCTCCCGCTGAAGCTCATGCCGCTCTCCACCCAATTTTTGGGCCGAGCTCACTGATAAGATTTATCGATTCCACATCTCGGGACTTGTGTTTCCATTGTCGCAATTGCATCTTCCATTCGACATCACCGGCCAATTGCATCAACCAAACTCACCCACAATATGGCCGTCAGAATCGCCCTCCCGCGCAACACGACCTCGTCGTTCCGCCGCTTCGTCCGCGTCGCCGGCCGCTTCTACTCGACCGAGGCCCCCGCCGGCCCCATCATCCGGGTGACCAACCTTCCGGCGCCCAACTCGGGTCACATCCGCATTCTCGAGCTCAACCGCCCTGCCGCGCGCAACGCCATCTCGCGTGCTCTGTTGTCTTCGCTCCGCGACGAGATTGACGATGTCCACTCGCAGTACGATGCCGCGACCGGCGAGGAGAAGCCCGTGGCTTCGTGGCAGAAGCGCTTCGGCGGCGTGGCTGGCGAGGATGAAAAGGGCCCTACCCGCGCGCTGATTATTTCTTCGGCTGTTGACACCAGCTTTTGCGCGGGGGCGGATTTGAAGGAGCGCAAGGGGTTTTCGCAGGAGGAGTAAGCTTTTACCTTTTCTTTTCTTTTTTCTTTTCAACCCTTCCCAACTTTTCCCCAACCATCCGGATGGCTAACGGATTACTTTCTCCCCAAAAAACAGAACAGCGGCCTTCCTCACCTCCCTCCGCACTGCCCTCACCTCTTTGCAAAACCTCCCCATCCCCACCATCTCCGCCATCTCCTCCATCGCTCTCGGCGGCGGTCTCGAGCTCGCCCTGGCCACGCACTTCCGCGTCCTGACCTCCAATGCCGTTGTTGGCCTTCCCGAAACCCGACTAGGCATCATCCCCGGTGCCGGCGGCACCTACCGTCTGCCCCAACTCATCGGCATCCCCCGCGCGCGCGACCTGATCTTGACCGGCCGCCGCGTCAGCGCCCCTGAGGCTTATTTCCTAGGCTTGGCCGACCGCTTGGTCGAGGTCGCGCCCGAGTCCGAGGAGCAGGCCAAGGAGTGGGCGGCCATGGAGCAGGAGCCGAGGGACAAGATGGTGCTGAGCCTGGCGCGCAGGACGGCGCTGAGCGAGGCGGTCCGTCTGGCGATGGAGATTTGCGAGGGCGGCCCGGTCGCCATCAGGGCCGCGCTCAAGGCCGTGCAAGAGCCCAGTGAGATGGTGGAGAACGATATGTATCTGAGGGTGGTGAGGACGGAGGACCGCGATGAGGCATTGAAGGCGTTTGCGGAGAAGAGGAAGCCTGTCTTCAAGGGGCGGTAAATGCGTTGTTGTAGAGTGATGTGCAATTTTGAAAATACCATTACCAGTTTGAAGTCAAACAGCACATGACTGAAAAGACTGAGTGGAAAAGTGATGGGGTCACCGGGGTTCCTCCTCATGGATGGACCCTGGGTACATTTGTTTCCATTGCTGTAACTTGCTTCATGTTTTGTCAAGCGTCAGAAGGCGTCACGGATCCATCTGATACAGACAATCAGGTAAGGTAAGTTACAGGTTGTTGGAGGCTGTGATGCCCCTGGTGCAGGTATTTTTGGTGTAGCTAGAGGTAGGTACCTGAGTGGTAACGTCATGGAGTCCACCAAAAGGCCCATCAAGGTGCCAAGCTTTCGACATGGGTGACAGCCACGGGACTTGACGAGTTGCGATCTACCGCTCTAGGCCCCAATGGGCGCCGGTAATTACACTATCGAAAGGAGCCTCCAAAAAAACTTGTGGAAGCTCTCAACAATGTTCATGATGGTTGGTGTGAAGGTGTTTGGTGCTGGTTGCCATGTGAAGTGGAAAGTGTACATGTGGTGTTGCTTCTCGTCAAGACTCTGAATCAGGCGTTAACTACACGAACCTCGACCGAAGCACTTGTCTCAGCTCTTGAGTTCCCGCTTTTCTGACAGATTTCACTGGCATCATCGCCTCAAAACTGTCAAGCCTAGAGGATGCAGCTGTCTCCAGCGTTCCGTGCTTGTTTACATGCGAGCCATGATCGTTGGCGGTGGAGTAGCAGGTGATAGTTCCCTAATATAACCAAGGCACGGGAACTTCACAATTTGAACAATTTGAAAAAAAATATTTGTAATGTTTGGACCAAAGAAGACTGAACAAGCTGAACCGAGAATTGTGCAAGGTACGCAGGTACCTCCTTCCCTCACAAAGACCAGCGAGGTTCACACGCACCTTCCCCGCAAGAGGACGTCATTGGCCTGCAGGGGTTACACGCAGCTGCACTTCACAATACCTATGACATCACCACAACAAAACGTGAGAGGAAGGAACAAACAAACAACCTTTTTATAAGCAACATTATCCTCGATCTCAGACAATTCCTTCTTCCCTTTCCATTCAGTCACACAAACACCGATAATCAATCAAACAACTTCCTTTTCTCCCAAACAAATAACGAGAAAAAGATCACGAACCGAATCCCAAAGCAGAGGATCTAATTTAAACTACTACAACAACAACAACACCCAAGATACCCAACACATAAACACAACAACAAACCACACATCATCACAATGTCCGCCTTCACAATTGCTACTCGCAGGGTCGCCACCCAGATCCCCCGCGCCGCCGCCGCTTCTACGCCCCGCGCCGCCTTCTCTTCCTCCGTCACCCTTCAAAAGTCCATCTCCGAGACCGTAAAGGACACCCTCAACACCGTCAACCGCGCTGTTTCTGACAAGGCCCTCGATGGCATGGACATTGGCTGTACGCATCCTCCCTCTTTTCTCTCCCCCTCATTCATTCAACAAACAACATTCACTAACTCATTCCCTCCTCAAACAGCCAATGTAGCCTCAAAACTCAAAGAAACCGCTGACACCCTCACCAACGCCTCCTCCCCCTCCGACCTCGCCTCCCGCGTCAAGGACGCCGCCAGCAACGCCGCCTCGGACGCCGCCGACGCCATCCCCAAGGACGTCAAGGGCAAGGCCTCCGAGCTTGCTGGTGAGGCCAAGGGCAAGGCTTCTGAGCTGACAGGCAAGGCCAAAGGTGCCGCCAATGAGGCCACCTCGGGTAACGTTTCGGAGCTGGCGGGAGAAGCCAAGGGCAAGGCTTCCGAGCTTGCTGGTGAGGCCAAGGGCAAGGCGTCTGAGTTGGCGGGCAAGGCCAAGGGCGCTGCGAACGAAGCGACGAGCGGGAACTTGTCGGGCGCTGCTTCTGAGCTGACTGGCGAGGCTAAGGGCAAGGCTTCGGAGCTCGCTGGCAAGGCCAAGGGTGCTGCCAACGAGGCTGCTGGTGGTGATGTGCAGGGAAAGGCCCAGGAGCTCAAGGATGAGGCGAGCGGTAAGGCCAGCGAGCTCGCCGGTAAGGCGAAGGGTGCCGTGAGCGAGGGACAAGGGAAGGCCAAGGGTATGGCTCAGGAGACGGAGAAGATGGCCAAGGAGGCTGGCAAGCAATCTGAGTTCTCTTAAAGGGGGTTCAACCGAGAAAAAGGACGGAATTTGCATTTGGAATTGAAGACCGGGACCATTCAGTTTCACAGGGATGGATGGATGGATGGGTAAAGGGAAAGCAGAGGCGTTCAGGGACGCGCGCACAGCAGTTATTGATTGCATCATGATGACTATCACGAAGTTTTCCTCTTATAAAAATCATCAAGAGTCGAATCGTAATATTTATCACATTTCACTTCACCTTTTGCTGTACCTTTTTAAACGTGAACATGTTTCTCAGCAAAGTATCAAAAATGTATCAGCGCACAACACCCAACTTCCTATCAAAACTGCCCGAAAGGCAAAGGAAGCCAGGATAAAAAGAAGAAAAAAGATTATTCTTCTCCCACCACTTGTACTCTTGGTACAAAATCCCACCAAAGTGACACTGACAAGTTCTCTCCCATTTGGGATTTGCTTGCTTTGATGTACCGCTCGGAATACAGAGCCTGGAATCAAGGATTGGTCTCGCCTTGTGCTCCACCTGAACGTGCGGAAATATTTGTAAAGGAGGAATAATTTGGGAGGAAATGGGGAGTATATGGGAGGGATATATAGGATATGTGTGAAATGTATGGAATGTGTTGGGTGTGTAGGTAGGTAGGTAAACAGGTAGACTTGTAGGAAGTGGAAGTGGAAGTGGAAAAAAAATAGAAATAAAAATAAAAAGATTACAAAAAAAAAAAAAAAAAAAAAAATTGACGAAGGGGGTTTGTTTGACTGGGATGTGAAAATAAAACTGATGGGAATGCTTGTTGAGGTTAGCTGGTAATGTAAGGCATGGACTTAAACGTCGAGAAAATAAAGGGGGTCAAGGGAAAAAAATGGACAAGTGGAAGTTGGTAGCAAGGGTGCAAACGGTCCCTGCCTGACTGAAGAGACGATGCTGGAATTGTCTTTCGTTCTCGTTCAAGGATATCTTCAAAATGTCCTTCTCGTTTTGGAAATAGTTAGTATTGTCGGGTATCTGTAGACAACTTTCCATATTCCTCCCCTCCATTTGTTCTCATCCGTAGGTAGGTAGTGTAGTGTGCTACTCGGCACTGCTTGTCGTCGGTACTGTTCTTTCGGAGGCAGACTGGTGTTGGAGTGGATTTATACGCCGGTCGTGTCATGCGGATCGATGTGCGGCGTCTCCAAGTCGGTGTTATCGCGTCCGTCCCGTAGATATATTGTCGCCATGTCAAGCCCGCAAACGTTCAGCCCTCCTCGAAGAACACCCTCTTAGTCCCCTGTTTACCCCTCTGACTCTCCATCTCCTCCAACTCCCTGTCAATCTCCATGATATCCATTAACTCGGCCTCGATGTCTCTTCCTTCCGCCTCCGACTTGTCATCCTCCACGTCCGCAGCAAAGTTCAGGTCATTGATGAACAACAAGCCCGGATCACGGCCCTGGCTCTGACTCTTTCCTCCTCCACCATAGGCACTAAACGCAACAGTGTCTTGGCTATCGGCAGCGACCCCTCCCTCGTCAATCTCTTGTGTTGATCCCGCGCCGTCGAAGCTTGCGCTCGGGGATTTGACTGCTGCCTCCAACAGTTTGGGTCTGAGCAGTTTCTCCCCGTTTTCAGGACGGGCCAAGCTGAGGTTGAACACCCTGGAGCTGGGTTGTTCGGGCTTCGGGAAGGCGATGATTGCCTTGGCGGTGCCGCTGGTAAGATCCAGCCTGGCTTTCTTACGGGCAGGTAGGGGTATCAGACGGCGTTCGGTGGATGAGAACGGACCGGCGGCGGCGGCTGCTGCTGCGGCAGCTTGATCGAAGGCATCTTCGTTTTCGTGGATGACTACCATTCTACTTTCGCCTAGCAAGATGATCTCGATAGGGAGCTGCTTCCCTTCTGTTGACTCGGTGAGAGACCCGGTCGAGCGCGGGATGGCGGTGGCTGCTGTGAGGCGCTCGCCTAGTAAGCCGGCGTTGAGGTCGGTGAGGCGGAGCATTCGCGCGGCCGGTTGGGTGCTGCTGGTCCAAAGGCTGCCTCCAGTTCGCTGAAGCTGGGCGTCCCAGAAGCGGGAGAGGATGGGGATGGTGCAGACGATAGGGTTAGTGTGATCGGCGCCGGTGTTGGAAAGCCATAGGATTGCAGACTCTTCGCCTAGGCCGTTGCGAGGGAGGGGAAGTTGGGAAACGTAAACGCCGCCTCTGACGGTGGCAAGCTTCTCGGGGGCGCTGGCGCTAGCGGAAACCGCCGAGGGGACGATGAGGGGTGCGGATTTCTGTGTTGTGGTGGGAAGGTTGCGCTGGGGCTGCGGACCGGTAGCGGTTCCCTCTAGATAGCCTGAGACGCTGAATTGGGTGAGTGCTGACCCGCGGAGGCCAGAGCTGGCCTTGGTAAAGAGACCGGCCGAGGAGGCAGTGGTCGGGTTGGCGTTGTCAATGTCCCAGATACCCCACTGACCATCGGCCAGCAGCACGAGAATCGCCCGGCCATGGGCCATCCACTCGGCGCCGACGACGGGTTTGCGCGACGTGGACATGCCCGTCCCGCGGGCGAATGGTTGGTAGAGGGAGATTAGCCATGAGCCTTGGGTGGGGAATGGGCCCTCTGAGGTATCGTCCGAAGGTAGAGATGGGATGGAGTAGTCGTAAATTCGCACCGCATGCGCTGGATCAACAACAAGAAGCTGTGTGACGTGCAGCGGGTTGAATGAGATGCCGCCGAGTGGTGATGGAAGGTACTCAGTCTGGAACGGTTCGACACGAGCAGTCGTGCCGGGCGTTGCGTCCAAGGGAACATCCCAGAAGCGAAGGGTTCCGCTCGCCTCGCGCGTGTGTGCTGCAACAACGACACGGGTTACAGACCCCTTACGGCCCTGTGATGACTCCGACCCTGGCTGCTCCTTCACGAGCGTAATGGCGACTCCTTCCGAAGGTTTGCGCTGGCCTGCTAGCAATGTCAGAGTCTCCCCCCATGCACCCTTGCCCGCATTTCCAGCGAGCAGGCTGTTCTTCAGCGCCGGCCGCGCCTTGCTCTCGTTTGATGGGGGTGTCAGTGGTAGTGTCACGACAAAGACGTCGCCGTTGGCGCATGTGACGGCAAAGACGAGTTTCTCTTTCAGGATCTGCGCTCCGTTCCAGGCTTCGTCTTGGGCGGTGCAGGTGGGCATGGGCAATACAGCGATGTGGTGGACGGCTGTGCCAAATGCCAGGTCGAGAGTCTGGACAATATCGGCGAGTGAGGAAGCATCGGTAGTAACGGTGTCGTCGAACTCGGGCTTGTCCACGAAGGGTGTCGATGGAATGGCCGGACTCTCGTCGTCCGAGTCAATAATCATAACGGCGTCTTCCGGCTTTCCCCCATTTTGCGCCGCGCCTGCTGCTTTTTTGGATGTCTTAAGTTTGCGACCGCCTCGCCATATCAAAGCGACGCCGTTTTCGTGGCCATAGATGAGGACAGTGGAGCCTTGGGCAGTATGGACGGGGTATGTCTTGATGTCGTACACTCGGCTCTTAAGGGGGTATCTGATAGACCAAAGTCAGCTTTGCGTCTCTCCCGCGTTGGAACGGTGGTAGTGAAGGACTATGCGCACGTAAATTGTGTACTTTGCGGCGTGCGCCTTGTTCTGGGAGTGGTCGACTGCATCGTCGAAAGTCAAGGAGTTCGCAAAGAAGAATCAACAGAAAAAAGATGGATGCGCTATTGTGATGTCGTTATCATGGCCTTATCAATTGGGTATTATGGCGTCGTGAAGAGAAGCAGTATTACGGTGTGAAAGAGTGGTTGGCGATGTTGAAGATGTGGTGGTGTTGGTGGTGTTGGTGGTGTTGGTGTTGTTGGATCGATCGATGGTTTTGGAATTGACGGGAACCCTTCTGAAAATCACCGCGTCACAAACGCGCTGCAGCTTGGACCATCAGAGCTCAGAGCTCACGACATGACAGCACAGCTGGAAGTGGTCTGTGCACTAGATAGATCAATGCCAAATCACGTGTCACAGCAAGCACAGACCATTTGTGATCTTGGGCCTCGGCGACATCTTCTCGTCCTCGACTTCCATCGTCGAACAACAACACTCACCCCGTCATCCAACAAGACTTACTCAACGTCTCAATACAAGATCTGGAGTTGACAGGACGGTTTTTTTCAAATGCTTAAACCAAGTACTGCTTGATGCTATTCCTTACGCCATTCAACTCTGAACAGGATACTACCTCACTGCCTCGACATTGGCATCCACTCTATAGTGTCTACCTCTTTCAACTGATGAACAGAGCCCCATGCGATGACCTCTGGTCCCATCAAGAATCTGAGAAACATTTCTCACCCTCTTCTCATATTGTTCTCACCCTGCTACCTTTCGTTCCTCACCTTTTTCATATTCTAACCTTCTCGCCTTGCAATATTGCATAGCGATATCACGAACTTAACTATTTTCAGACACTCAATCTCTCGTTTATGCCGACTGTCGGGCCCTTTCTTGCAGATCTGTCACAGGTATCACTGGCAACAACAACACGGAACCGAATTTGAGACTGCAGTTATCCATTTTTTTTGCGGAAGAAGAACCAATGATACGGATCAAAGCCAAACAGACAACTATCCCTCCGAATTAGTCACTCCTAGTACGACACAGAGAGATCATCCCCCACACCCAGCCAGTCCAACCAAACCAACCAGTCGAAGAGGACAAGACCAACATAGCCCAATCATGTACTCATGATATCTTTCATTATCGCGAGATAAAGTCTTTTCGTCGTTTTGTCGTCGACAAGACACCGCTTAAGCGCAAGCACTGCAGATGGCAGAAGCGGCGCTGATGACGGTGGGGGCAGCCTCAATGCCGCAGCCCCCGAGAACGCAACCTTGAGCGGAAGCCACGAGCTGAGAAGATTTGGAGCATTGGCAGGCGTAGTCAGCTCCATTGCAGCCGACGGCGGAGGCAGCAGAACTGACGCAAGGGGCCTGTGAAACTGTGAGTCAATGGCTGACACAAAACTCGAGAATTTAAGGCATCGGACGGGAGAACGTACAGCGCACGCGGGCATGAGAGTGGCCTGGGGGCAGTCCTGGGCCATGGCGACGGCGCTGAAGAGAGTGAGGGCGATGGTGGTGAACTTCATTTTGAAGGTTGTTCAGGAGTCGTTTGGGGTGTTGATTGGAAATGTTGAAAGTGTTGGAAGTGAAGAGGCCGTTGATGCTGATGGTGAGCAAAGAAAAGTCGTCGATAAGCGCGGATGAGAAGGTCTCTTTATACCTTTTCCGTCCAATTCCTAACCCTTCATCCAACAACAACAACTCGGAGACACAACAACATGGGTAACGAAGCACCGAATCACACATGGCAAAACACGATCGGCCTCGGTTCCCCCCAGCCTCAACTTCTGACTTCTTCACGACGTCGGATGCCAGCAACGTGCGGCCCGTACACACAGTGTCGGTGTAAGGTTGCTTGGCCATTAGCGCCGATCTTTTTGGGCAGTAACACCAATCGTATCACTCACGAGAGGCTCTCATCCCCCGAAGGATGAAGGAGGGGTTTCCTTCACGATGCAGATCTTTCTTCCTCATCAACAATAGTTCCCCTGAAAGCAACGCAGAACTGACAAGTGTTGAGCATGATGTTGACCGAGTCGATCATGATTGGTGGGCCGGCGGGCTTACCCGCCCCTTGTCGTTGCACTAATAGACGGGACCATCCTTTCACTTTCCCCGCGGCCCGTTGCTGGCTCGATCCTTCGATGCGCAAAGAGGAATTGGTAAAGTTGATGTGGGAATGAAGGTTCGCAGGTAAATTACTACCTGAAATGGAAGGCTTTGCACGGTATATTGGACGCCTTTATGTATTCCGGATTTTCTCTCTTGTCATTATGCAATGCTTCCTCGCTTACTCACCTATCCTAAACTCCCCGCAAAAACCACGCTTTGCGAGACTGCGGGTTGCGGGGAGCTTCCCGCTTTCTTTCGGCGGGGGGTGACATCGATGGAGATCCAAGTGGGTCGGATCTTCTGTTCAACGTCAGCCATTGTGGCATTGCGTCCGTGTTGGGGGACACTGGGGGCCATGTGCACCACAATGGGAACAAGGAGGTTACATTAAACTCTGAGTTGGTGTGTGATATTGGTGAATGGTTTCCGTCCTTCTCCCTCGAGCTGCCTTTTTCCGTACGGGCACAAGGGGAGCGGGATTCATTTTCAACCCAAGCTAGTTTGCCCACGATGAATGCAAGACTGCCTCGTTGTCTTCCCCGGTTCCTTTTTATCCTTTCTTGTCATTATAAGAGGCAACTCTTCTGTGAACGGCTTTTTTGTTGAGGCATCAGAACGGAATGCCAGAAGAACGAGATAAGAAATCCTCGAGATGGAGTCAAGTCCAAACAGCCGTCCACCCTATAAACATCTGCGAGAACTACGCACCCTGGGCTCGTGGTCTAGCAGCTAAGTGGCGACGATCACCTGTCAGAACCGCTGTCAAGCCCCTATCACTCACTGCTAATATTCGCAAGTTCTCTATTTATTCTTCTGCCATCCTGACTGGCTAACAGCTGTGGAGAAACCTGTGTGGTTGTTTGTGTAGCACTGGTGGGTTGCGGTTGGACCGGTATCTAGACCACCAGAACAGTGTAGCTTGTCGATGGTATCGAAGTCTCGGTGCTACGATCCCCACTCATGTGCAAATACAACCGGGGAAAAGCAGGCGGGCAGTGTCAGAAGTCTGATCCTGAAGATGGTGAAGCACCGCAAACGCCGAGGTTGCCCAAGAGGTTGAGAGCACAGACTTGAGGATGACAACAGCATGTGAAAGGATTGCAACATCGGGGCTTGTGGCTTTGTGCGAGTTGCACTTCTCTGGTGAGTCTCTGTCAGTTCGACACAGGTCAACTAGTTGCCCGTCCTCGAGGCATCAAACCTTGTGCGTCTCACAGAACGATGAACCACATACGTCACTGGGAACAAATTTCTCCACTAAGAACCACCATCCAACTTGAGACCAAAAGGTAGTTAAATACCCTTCTCACCTGCCGCTCATCTACAAGTCGTCAATCAATCCTCCACCAGACTCTTTGTTTCCTATTAGTTCATAATCCTTTCCAGTCCAGCAGCTCTTGCTACAGCATCTCAAAATAGCTCGCCATACGCACTGATGAGAACGTGGCTAAGTGCCTATTCGCGAACGATGTGTTCTAAGCAGGCACCTTACCTTATCAATCGACCGGTTGTTCGACATTATTTCCTAGTCCCTTCTTTACTCCCACCTTGGAGTTTGGTATGTTCTTACACGTTGACACTGGTTTACCGGAGTGACCCTTCGTGACCAAGCGACTCCTGATATTGTTGAAACGCATGTTCAACGTGGCGCTCAGATACAGGTATCTTGGCGGATGTCATTCGTGTGCGAAACACGGCACGTTTTTTCAGTTAGGTATATACACCGAGTTTAGCATGTTAACTCGTTGACGCCAAGTCAACAGCGGCATATATGGAACTGAACGTAGGTTTGTTACGCTTACGACGGTTGCCAAGGTAGTTATGTCATTGATGATATCGTGGCTTTTCTAAACCATATAAGAGTACCTCTAAAAGGGATGATACCTATGGAATGGTCGATTGCTCGAAGATAGTACCTGTGATGTGAAAAAGGGAAGCAAAAACCAAGAAGATGTAAGTACTAATTGAGGACAGAAAGAAATCCTCCGAAAGAGAGATGCGTGATGAGGAAAGAAAACAAGAAGTCTGAGAAAGACAGGGAATGGCGACCGTATACATCTCGTTTTGTCTCGTTTCGTTTAAACATCTATGGAAGACATCCCCGACCGTAAAAGCGAAAACATACCTAAACCTCCCACAAGAAGCCCCGTTACCTACAGACCCATACAAACTATTGATGCACTGACAGCTGTACCTCTAGTAAAGACCCTTCACTTGCTCTCATGTCCAGATCAGATCAGCGCAGTGTTGGCAAGTGAAAAAGAGATAAAGAGGCAAAATCAGAGATTCGCCCCCCCATGCCTCAACACTTTCTGCACCTTCAACACGCACATCTCAACCAGCTTGGTGAACCCCTTTTGGAAGTCCTCTTGGATCTCGCTGATGAGCAAGGCCGTCTGCGGATCGTGCTGCGCGCTGGCGTACTCGGGGATGGCATTAAGTAGCCCGGTGTGAAGCATTTGGAGTTGAGTCGGGGGCGGTAAGACGTTTTGTATTAGGGCCTTCGATTCCTGTTTCCCGGGGGCGGATGTTAGTTACTACCTAAAATTGGGGAGGGGAGGGGGGGAAGGGGTCTTTTGTGTGTGTCTCCGACATGGATGAGATTGGGGTATGTGGGTGGTGAGATCTGATGGTGAGGTGAGGTACCTGAACATTATGCGCGATGATGGAAAAAGAGTAAGAGAGAGGGTAAGAGAGAGGGTAAGAGAGAGGGTAAGAGAGAGGGTAAGAGAGAGGGTAAGTTAGGGAAAGAAAGAGAGAAAGGTGAGAGAAAGTGAAAAGTGAACTTACCTCCTCGCTATCCTTCTTCATGATCTGCTTCCACCGCTTCGAAATGGCGTTTCCCGATCTCACCACGCCGAACTCCCTTTTCAGCTCCTCCTTGATTTGCGCCACCTTCTTCTTCTCGTGTTTGAGGCGACGAACCAGATTGTCTTGTGGTGTTGTCCAGCTGTTTGTATTTGCCGGCAGTGCCGCGTCGTTGGGCTGTGGGACTTCTGGATAGGAATTGGGCATGGATGGTCCCATCGGCGGGACAATGAAGTGGTTGTGGTCCATAAAGTTGTGACTGTTATTGTTGGGTTGGAACCCAGTGGCTGTCATACCGGGTATGGATTGATTGGGTGAGAAGACGTTGTGGTGGACCACCTGCTGCAGCGAAGGGTCGACCCCAGACTGATAGTGCAGGGGAGGGTGAGATGCTTGTGCTGCATGTGTACCTGCAGGCATCCCGAATACAGCCTGTGCCTGAAAGGCGGGATGCTGCATAACAGGAGACGGGTAGGCGGGTTGGGCTATATAGGGCGGAGTGATCGAGGGACGAGTCATGTTGAGATTTTGATCAAATCCAGGTGCCTCCAAGGTATTATATGGAGAAGTAAACTGACCCATCCTACCGGATTGTGCGCTCCCAATTTGTCGTTGTTGCCAGTCGAAGGCGTTTGGCATGGGACCAGCAAAGAAGGACACGGCCTGGTAGTGTGAAGGTGCGCTTGTCCTTGGTTGTTGAGGCTCGGGGGCACTTTCATCTTGGTCATCTTGTACCTCACTCTGGGACTGGCTAGGCGACATTGCTGCTCCGTATTGGCTGAGAGATAATGAAGTGAATAGAGTCTTGCTAGTGAACGAATGGCCTTCGTGGGACCTTTGTTCTCAATGCAAAATACGGGCTAAAGGATGTTTCTGAGTGCCAAAAAAGAAAGGTATGAGAGCATGAAGAGATATGATCAGCGGCCGTTGTGGTAATTCGACACAGGGTTGGAGTGAGTGACACTTGAAGCTGTTTGGTTCTTAATAAGCTGAAAGATCAAAGTGCACGAGACAGCGGGTGAGGTTGACGCCGCAGGTGCAAATGCCACCTGGTCGGGACGCGTCCTGAAACCCGGTTGTGCAGAAAGGTTGAAGAAAGCTTTCGAGTGGAGATAGAATATGAACAGGGCCAATGTGAATGAAGCGAAAAGAATGCGAGGTAGGCCACGGATCAAAACAAGCTCCGGAAGCGTGTGAAGGGACCTCGCAATGTTCTGATGAAAAAAAATTGGACGGCGGAGAACAGAAGATCTGGGAGGCGTGAGTTTGGGAATGCCCGTTTATATAGCCGATTTGATCTTTCTCCTGCACTTGTAGTAGCCATCCCGTTGATGGAACATCTACCTCTAGGAACTACACACCGCTCAAGAGCAGGCAATGTGCCGGCATCAAGCCAAAAAGGCCCCACCGTCTACTTTTTACGAGGTAGGACCCAAGTTATGACATCTGGATTCCGGTACTATCGTTGCGAGTCTCGTTCGTTATCGAATACCCGATCTAAAGCGGACAAATGAGAAAGGAGGTCAATGTTACACGAACTCATGTGCGGTGCTGAATCAGGGGAAAGACAAATGGCAGATGGATGAGAAGTAGAAAGGATAGTTCGGGGGATCCGGTACCTGACTTTCATCTTTCGGGCGCCAAGCGGAGAGGTAGTATGTTTCGATTGGGACTCTAATCTGCCTTGCGAGATACCCATCCAGTTTTAGATGATTGAGTGTTGCCAATCCTTGCCCATCTCTTTTCTCGGGAGCCATTACCACCCATCCGTCATTGTGCATTATCGATTAGCTCTTATCTGACCGCATGAAGGTCTCTTACATAACGTGGCTCAGGAGGACGAGGGGGCCAAGTATACGGAGAACTAGGGACAACACGTAATTTCAAAATGCCTCGTGTGTGTTCACAAGCACCGACGGCCGATTGTGCGGACTATTGATCTCGTTGAACGGATTGGCTAGGAAGGAAGCGGGTAATTGACAAGATGGTCTGATGTTGGGTTGCGGCCTCGAACTGTGAGTTGGCAATTGAATGTTGTATTATGTCATCTTCGCCGAGTAAGGGCGTCTGGCCTTTCATTGTGTTAGTTACTCTTATCACACCGGGAATTGAAAGCTCCAAGCCCGCCAGTTTGTAGTTTGTATATCTGCAGCGTAGGAACATGGATAGCGCACTGTTTGCGATATGCTGCATGTGATGAGAAGACGCTGAGTCCATCCACTTGGCAGAGACTGGGGCCTTGAGGTGTCGACAGGGAGGGGCGAAAACCTACCTAGCTGTGTTACCGGCTTGACTGACAGCCGACTCAGGCTTTGCGCGTGTGAAGATAGCTTGTCAGCGAGTACCATCTTTCAGAGGCGCTGCGAAAGGACAGGTTCGCTGCGCCGCTGGGTTCTCCCGGCGCTGGTTTCCGTGGTTACCGTGGCGGTATGTATTTGTTGTTGTTGATGGTTGCTTTTGTCGTCAGCTTGGTGGTCCAAGTCGTGTTTTTTTGTTCACCGAGCCTAAAAGATCATGCCCAGTTCCAACCAGCCAATGATACTTTCTCTACTTTATTGTGGCTGAGTGAAGCTTATTGGATTGTCCCTGTCGTTCATTCTGTTCGCCTTATCCTGGGCTCTAAACACGCGATTTAGAACAGGTAGTCGGTACTTAGTCAACGTAGCTCATGCTGGCCGCGGCCCAGAAAGGCAATGTGCACTGTTCCCCCCGCCCGCTCTCTTCGGACGGATCCCAGACTGGCTACGCGTGTAGAGTAGTGTCAATGGCCGCGCCACCAGGCGCCATCTGCGAACCAGCCGTACAGCCTCTCAGCCAACCGGATAACTCTCGCTCGCCACAGCGTGGGAACCGGGATTTTTCCAAGCCTACCCCGCGACTAAATCTGTTAGCATTAACAGATACTAGCGTGTTGAAATGGTGCCGAGCGATCAACATACGTTTTCTTTTTGCCACCGGGTAAGGTATGTCCGGAGGGAGTGTCTGAAGAAACGGAGGACGTTGAAAGTGGATCCATTCAGTACACTAAAGGTCGAATGAACAGCAAATCAAATTTGTACAAGCGTTTGACAGTTCCTGGGGAATGCGGTGTGGGGCCACTGCATTTGAATAAGTGTTAGTGCATTCCCCTAAGCCAGGGCAGTACAGCGCCATTACCTTAGCAGTACGGTAACAACCTTTTTGAAGTGCAGACACACGCATGCACACTTGACACCTGCCAGTGTCAATTGCCAACACCTAACCACGGCACTCATCGCGATGACCCTACATACAAGTATGTAGATGCCTGGTAAGCGGGCTGCTTCGGGGTTTCTTCATTAACAACACCACTAGGTAAAACCTGCTCCCCAATTCCCCATTCCATTCCCACAACCACATAGCAAACCCCAACGAAGCACTTTTCATGTGACATCCAATGGATGCCACGTCCCGTCCTGGCAAGCTCGTGGGCCAGCTGCGTCTGGCCCATGATTTCGTGCACAGCGAACATGCATACACGTCAGCACAAGGTGTCAGGGGGAACACCCAATAATTCATTACCTCTATGTACAATCCAGCGTGAATTCGTATCTTGCGTTCTGAAGAGGATGGAGAGGTGCTGCTGTGGTGTTGACAGCCCCAAGTCATTGTCGAACCACGAGGGGGATAGTTCTCGACTTGATGCCAATGAAGTCTTTAGGTTGTCCTTGTTCTACTACCCTTGTTTTAACCCGTCGGAATAACCAACCTACCCAACAGACAAACTCAGTCTTGTATTGTACCATGTCCAATTGCGTGGCTGGCTGCTTTGCACCCATGGAACATGACTGACAGCACAGCCTTATAGGTTCAAAGCCAAAGGAGGTGGTGCTGGACTGAACGATCGATCGTGATGCATTTGTCTCTTTCTAGCAGACCCTATACATTTAACAAAGTTTAAGTACTTGCATGCTACGTGTGTTGAAATTGCTTAATGCCGTGTCCCGTATCCTGTCTTTGCGGGAAAAAAAGAAAAAAAGAAAAAAAACCGCCTGCCAGGCCTCCCAAGAACCATTGATGCCCAGTGCCCAGACCGATCATGTACCCTAGACTAAAGCGCGAGAATCAAAAGACTGAACGCGTGCTTTCGACCTAACATGGAAAAAAAAAGCAGCAAAAAACTACAAGGGGAAGAAAGGAAAGAGCCATTCAGACAAAAAGCGAGGCCAAGAAAGGAATCGAGTCGGAACAAAAAAAAGAAGGAGATTAAATCCCTTATCACGACCTCAAACAATCTCATAATCCTCAATCGAGTCCTTGCCAAGATCCATCGTCATCATAGCGGTATACTCGGCATTCCTCTCCCTCTGGTCATTAAACATTCTCTGCTCCAAATCACTGGCCAAACTGCCCCTTAGCCTCTGCTCCAGCTCCAGACGTATCGCCAACCTGACGTCGGCTAGTTGCTTATCATTTGTTGCAGTGGAAGTACCGGTGGAGGTTGTAGTGCTGTCAGGTTGTTGAATGCTGCCCAAGTTTTCTGTAACAGACAGCTGTTCTTGAAGCATTATTGAGTTGAGTTGTTGCATAGTCTTTTTTATTGCTTGTTTGAGTTGCTGTGGTTGTTAGCACCATGACCACCAGCCCCAGCATGACTGACTGACTAAGTCCCTCCGTATGCAGTGGAGGAAAAAAAAAAGAGAAAAAAAGAAAACACACTTACGTCGTCACTCCACGCTTTACCTCTTGCCCGCAAAAAGGCCAATTGTCTCGCAATCGTGTCGGCATCTCTCTCCACGTGGAACACATGCTCGAGAGCAATGGAGATTTTCTGAAGGGATTTTCCTTCGACTTTGTCGAGCCGGAAGATGAATCGATTCTGCTCCGGAGTCCATGTATCGTTGGAGTTCGTGGGTGCTGTAGATGTTGTCGATTGTTGAGCGGGTGAAATGAGAATGGGCGATGAGAGAGTGCTCAGATTGTGGCTGACCTGGACTGACTGTGCTGAATGATGTGATGGCGGGGGGTTTGGCCCCTGGACGATTAGACCCGGTGCCCAAGCCATCTCAGCCATTCCAGTCCCAGACATCACGGCCGCATATCCGCCGTGGGCGAAATTGGGGGAGACGGAGCTGATGTGTCCCTGGTCTTGAGTCCCATATTGAGGCGTTGGAAAAGCAGGAATAATTTGAGGATTCTGATCCAGACGATGGGAAGCTGGAGCTCGACGAACTCTCTCAGCCACTGCCACATCGTATGCGGGCGGCGGGGAGGATCCTCCCAATGTGGGAATGAACGGGCCGTCATCTTCGGTGAAGTGGCCGTAGATGTAGGTCTCATCACCCGTGGGCGCCATCATAACTGACCTCCCGGTCTCCTTCTTGCCTTGAAGATTCAAGTAAATATCTGGGAATTGTAAAGTTATGAGCTGGCTCTTGTTTTGAATTTGATTGCGTTCATGTCATGATCTCGTAGAAGGGGGCCAGGCTAGAATTCATATATATCGAGCGGATTGGAGATAAACCAGGCACCATGCCAACGTCGTCACTGAGTGGATGATTTTCCCCGTTTCCCATCCTGGAAACTTACGATCCAAGCTTGAGGTAGGGAGCCTGCTGTCTTGCCTCTGTTCATTTGCCCAACAGACCCGCTTGATGGCCCAGCCTACTTGCCTTTCGACAAGGCGTCAGTCCGCAGTTGATACCTAACTGTCAAGGAGTGGAGCGGGCACTAGGTCTGAATGCATTGGTCGCCGAATTGAGCAGGAACCAAAACCGCGGACGCATTTTACCTACGGTTCGGCACTCTGTTATGTAGGTGAATTGACGAATATTACCGAGGTCCAAATTCATCGAATGAGTGAGTACCTCTGGAGAGTCATGTAAGAAAACCCGCTTGCCGGAGAGCAGCCTGACATGTTGACTCGCGGCACAATCAGCACACCACCGCCGCCAGCAATTGACCGAAGCGGCCTGCTGGCCGAGTCTCCTAGCAGCTGTCGCATTCTAGCCAGGCGTCGGTGTTTGCGGCTTCGAGCTATCGAGCTGGGTGCGTAGGTGACTATGACTGTAGAAAGATTCGATGTCAGCACCAATCGCCCGCCCAGTAGGTAGAGGTAGATATATGATACCATCACTCAACCGGAGCGAATCATCGATGCAAATTACCTGCCTAGACGATCATCCGGCGGCCTTCTGGGCTTGAAGCCCAGCAAATCGCAAGTCCACCAATCCCCCGAGTTGTACGACGAATCCAGGCAATTGCGGTCTGGTCAGGGTCACTGGCACAACGCCCGCAGAATCCCTAGGCTTCGAGCATGGCTTCAAGCCAAGCACATGCAGGCATCGATATGCTGCATAATGCTGGGGGATTGAGTGGACGGATGGTTTGGTGGGACCTATGGCTGGCTTTAAGCCTAGGTGGGGGCCCGTTGTGTCAGCAACCCCCGGCCCCCCGGGCCGGCATACTTTTATGGGACTTGGCTCGGAGCCAGGCTTGAAGCCTTGAATACTGTATCAAAACAAAACACTCGACGTTACACCCGAAGTGAACCCTTTGTTTCTTATTTTAGGCATCTCTTCTCCCATTGCAGCACGCATGATGCTCGGTGCGGCGTTACGCGGATCCCTCCACCTTTCCCGCTGCTAGAGGTTGCAATCCCTCAAGCGTCATGTTATCTCTTTTCCATTGTGACTCTCATCCAACAGAAACGGGATTCCATGGAATGACGGAAACGCCTCTTGCCAATGAGTCCCTACCTACTCTACCTTTGAGCAAATGGCAGAACATGGAGTGAAGATATTGCGTACCAGAAAGGGAAAATTGGAACGATTGCAGTCCAGGACATGGTGTTCGTACCAGAGCCTCAACGCCAACGGCGCAATCACATTCCGGAGTATGTCTCCTACCAAGCAGTTCTTGGTAACACTTGTCCAGGGTCTGATGTCGTAGTAGGTTGCCGAGTTATCTCCTGATGTGACAAAGGCTGTTTGTTCTTTTGGTCAGAGCCGTCAGCGATTTTCCCTGTGCAGAGGATCGAGAGTTAGGACTTCACCGAGATAGATTGAGGATGATAAAAGTTCAGAACTTCCCCCGAGAATGCGTTGTAAATCGCCTTATACTCGCCTCCACAACACGTTCTTGTATCATCAGTCTTTGACAGGCTCGTTGTCAACTCTTCAAGACTCGTCGCCTCATAGGAACGGACCTCAGACCGTTACACATACACTTGTTCTTCTCTTCCGCCACAACCCAATCCGGATCACGTACCCATAAGGCGAGAGACGGACAGTTTTGGAACCAAAGCCATAGAAACGACATCCAACAGACCTGAATGCAGCACCAGCCTCTATGGATCGCCCCACGCGTGAGCACGTCCTTAGCAATGGTCGGGCATTTGAACGATCCAAGAGGTCCGACCATGCTCCTCTGGTCCCGCACACATTCGTCCCCGTGCCGGCCTCTTCGACCAGATGTGCTGGCTCAACACGGGCTGCTGTAACCGCTCCCCAACCGCGTGTGGCTCAGATTATGAGCATAAACGACCTCCTTCTGGAAAGAGCCGGGATGATTCAAATTCCCCAACTGACATACGAATGGGGCCAACATCCCCATGACATGATCGCGGGCATCACTCCTCTTCCAGCACCGCCCGGACAAGCCGAGCTCATGTACGACAACGCATTCGGAATGAACAGAGGTCTGCCAGTTCCAACCCACGTCCACGCCCACACCCAGGGACTCCAATGTCAACGCAGGCCATGCATACATGGCTATGGAGGCCGGGGACAGACTAAACGCACTTATCTGCCTCATCCGCAATCTGAAAAGGACTTTCTGGCGCAATACTACGCCGGGCCCCCCTCAGCAGACACGGGCGCTGACCAAATACCTCATATTCCCGCGGTTATAGAGGTACCTAAAGCGCCAGCAGCCCAGCAGCAACCCCAGATCGTCACCGAGATTAGTAGTACGGGCACGGCGGCGGCGGGATCCACAGGTCTCACGATTACCACCACCACCACCACCACGGGCACGGGCGCGGGCGCCACCACCACGACGAGAACGATAACCGGACCCGATGGAACCGTCCTCGTCCCTCCTCCCGTCCCCGCTCACCCAGGCTGCGAACTCTCCCCACAAATGGCCAAAGTGATGGACGAGTATGGAATCGAGCATGTGTGCGATTACTTGCGAGCCAAGAACTTGCTCAGAGACAAGGTAATTGACAAACGCAGTTTTCGTTTCGTTACAAATCCTTCCAAAGAAAAAAATTCATGGAAAAAGGCTGGACTGACCAGACCCCACAATGCAATTCAGATAGTAAAGAAAGTCCTCAACAACACGCAGGACAAACTTATGGAACTGCTGCTGAAGGAACTTGATCAAATGAGCAGTGAAGAAGAGGAGGAGGAGGATGCCGATCTTGATTTTGTCTCTGACATGGAAGATGGCGGCGAGACGGGTCGCCGCCAGGAGGGTGAAGTGGACTGGACCTTTGCGGGTTAAGATGCAGGTACAGAAGTATCTCATCTGATGAGGAGATTACCGCGGTTTCATGCCGCTGGAAAACAAAAAAAAAGAAAAGGCTGAGCGATTTGCGATGGTGGTCAGGTGGGTGGTGTTGGAGGTGGAAGGCCATGTACTGTTTGTCAACTTTTGACTTTTTTTTTTTTTTTTTTCCTGTTCATTTCTTTGCACATCCTGAGGCTGCACTGGGGTGAAATATCTGGTAGGTAGTTTTTCTTCGCTAAAATATCAGTTTTAATTAAGGAACGTAAGCAAGCTACCAAGGTTTGATTTGGTGAGATTTTGCGATACAAAACATCACATACCTCTAGGGGCACTTTTCATGGATGTGCTCACTCTCTTTTCCTTGCTTGCACCTGAGAAATCGTCTCTGCCATGGGTATCAACTAGCTTTTTTTTTTCTTGTCAGCGGTTGTAAGTAGGGAGTGGAGGTTTCATTTCCCTTCAAGGAATCATTGTCGCCTGGAGTCAACGCTGTCGCTGCCTTTCTTCCTTCCTTCCTTCCCTTCTACTTTGCACCTCAACCCGGCAGCTGCCTCCCTTCCCCCTCCTGGCTGTTCCTGCCTGCCTTGGGTGTGGTACATAAGGTACCCCTTGGCCGTGCCTTTTGCAACTCAGCCCCAAAGAAAAGCGCGGTTGGCGGAGTGGTCTAACGCATCACTCGATTTGTGGGTTGAAATTCCCGGAGAGCCTCTTTCCAAAGACCGACTCTGGGGGCAAACAATTTCAGTAGAACAAATGCTGAGTGAAGACCCGGGTTCCAGTCCCGGACCGCGCATATCTTTTCGTTCTTTTTGAACAATTTTTGGCCCATCCAGCTGTTTGTTGTAAGGACATCATTTCATTACTCGGTCAACACTTCTGTGTTTCGACACTTGCGCGTGTCTAGCTTACCTATAGCTTCAATAGCAGAGCCTGATTTGGGTCCATTCTGTGCAACATATATCGGACAATCAACTATTTTGAAGTGTACCCTTCAGAATACCGAGCTCGACTCGAGAGAGAACGGTCTCGAAATGTCACAAATCGCCGAGCTTAGGTATTAACCGACGACTTTGAGCAATGTCAGTCAATAATCCCTCGTAAAGGGCAAAGAGATGGATGACACTGAGAATTCGTTCTGACGCGACCTACAGGTCAACCCGACGTCCAGATGGAGTCTGATACGTTTGGTTGACGTGAGATTGAAGATACCTATTCGAGCAGACGAACAATGAAAAGGGACGAGAGTGCACAGGCCACCTCCTTCTTAAATGCTTATGCCAGAACCTCGATCTCCAGCCACGAGAGCATCAGGTTTTCGAGTCTGAGCCATGATGAAACGTGGGGAGTGAATCTGGTTGTCATCAAGTCAGAATGGTCCGCACCTTCATAAATACCACTCTGTTCACTGCCTGTTGACAAGGTCGTGTTTTCGGTGATTGTTCGGCGATGGTGAGGAAAAGCGTTGCTGCCAAGGATCATGACTTCCGCTCCACTTTGTTATCAGCTTACACTACTTACTGATAAGAACTCCAAATGTCGATGACGTAGGGCTCCTCCTCCCGAAATCAAACACTCCGCGCGGGGCCGAGGGGACCCTTACAACAGGAACAATCAACAATGACGATGGATTGATATTAGCCTTGTGTGAATCCTGACGGACATGGCTAATGCTCCAGTTCCCCCCTGGCTCTCTGACGTCGTAAACCCCATGGTCGGCAGTTATAAGTTCTCGGAAGCCCTTCCGAGACCTCCGCCTAACAAACCCCCCTAACATGCCCATTCATTCTTCGCAGCACTCTTGACAACCCACAACACCATAGAACCCATCGATACCCAGATACCGACCACTTGATACAGTAAACAAAACACAAACAAAGCACAGCAACACACACCATGGCCACTGCTCAATTAGCCTACGGCGTCGAAAAGATTGTCGGCAATGGCCCCGAACAGATCAAGCAGGACGTCTCCGCCTACGACCCCTCAAAGGGCACCGGCGATGCCTCGGAACTCATGAAGGCCCTCGTCTGGGAGGGCGCAAAGAAGGTCCAGGTCGTCGAGGTTCCCAAGCCCAAGATCGTCGAGCCCACCGATGTCATCCTCAAGGTCACCGGCTCAACCATTTGCGGCTCCGACCTCCACCTCTTCCACGGCGCCGTCATGCAGATGAACAAGGGCGACATCCTCGGCCACGAGTTCTGCGGTATCGTCGAGCAGGTCGGCCCCGCGGTCCAGAAGGTCAAGCCCGGCAAGCGCTACGTCGTCTCCTTCCAGATTGCCTGTGGCAATTGCTTCTACTGCAAGAACAAGCTCTCGAGCCAGTGCGAGGTCACCAACTCCAACTCGCAGATGAAGGCCATGTACGGCGGCCGCACCGCTGGTATCTTTGGCTACTCGCACCTGACGGGCGGTTTCGCCGGTGGCCAGGCCGAGTACGTCCGCGTGCCGCTGGCCGACGCCAACATGCTCGAGATCCCCGACGACGTTCCCGATGAAAAGGCCCTCTACCTTTCCGACGTGCTCCCGACTTCGTACAACGGCGTGAAGGATACCGCCGTCTATCCCGGCGATGCCCTCGCCATCTTTGGTGGTGGTCCGATTGGCCAGATGGTGGGCATCTTTGCCCTGTGGGAGGGAGCCAGCAAGGTCATCTACGTCGACACGGAGCCGAGACTTTCCTTCATCAAGAGCCGCTGGCCAGCCGAGCACGCAGATAAGCTCCACTTGGTAGACTTCAAGCAGCTCAGCTCTGGCTTCACCAAAAACGAGACGGTTGTCAGCAAGTTGAAGGAGTTGACCGGCAACCGCGGCCCCGATGTCGCTATCGACTGCGCGGCCGGAGAGTATGCCAAGGGCTGGCTGCACTGGCTCGAGATGCAGATTGGCGCCGAGACAGATACCAGCGAGATCATCAACGAGATGGTTGAGGGTGTGAGGAATTACGGCAGAGTGGGTTTGACTGGTGTCTATGTCGGCTACGTGAGTTATCTTCAAATATTTTGAGTGTCATCGGATTAAACTAACCTTCGTTCCATCCAGACCAACCACTTCAACGTCGGCTCTCTTATGCAGCGCGGCATCCGCCTCATTGGAAACGGTCAGGCACCCGTGCACAAATACTGGGAGGACTTGTTGCAGAAGATTCGCGAGGGTACTCTCGATCCCACCATCATGATCTCCCACCGTGTCCGCCTGGATGATATGGACAAGGTCTACCACAAGTTTGATGCCAAGGAGGACGCGATGCAAAAGGTCTTCGTCGAGACCAAGTTCTCTCTGCCACGGGCCCCGGGAACTCCCGAGTTGACGACGTACGAATAAGTGGAAGGGGAGGAGATACCTAATGAAATAGTAGTGGTATACTAGTAGTAGTAGTAATGCTGTGTCACGACGTTAAGAAGAATGAATCAAGCTTTTTTTCTGGATACCAACGCATGTTTTTAGTTGTTTACTAGTCTTTCTTTCTGCCTTTTGTCTCGGACAACATCTTGTGTTAGCGCACGATACAGCACCCGCCTGTCGCCATCGTAACACATCGGTAACAGTCGCCAGCAAAGCCAAGTCTGTGAGAAGCAAGCCACATATTCTTGCATGCAGAAATCGTGTGCACTGATTGACCTTATGTAAAGGGTAAGCCGCATTATCATGAGGTCCTGCATAAGCAGTGGCATGAACCTGTTTTTCGTACCAGCAGCCACCCACGTAAGCCTTGTCCGTCACCCAAGAACAAAACATCGACAAGCAAAGTAAGCCGAGGGCTTGGTGAGTGGACGGGGACAAGGTTGTTTTTGAGGTCGCCTTCCGGGGAAATAGATCGAAATGACGGTCTCAAACTTCAGCCCCCCAAAAACGTTCTAGCTCATGACGATGAAGCATCCACTTTGGAAAGATCGTCAAGGAGATTTGATCGTCGACTTAATCGTCGCTAGTCACCGTCACTGATCTTCATAGTGTACATACCGCCCTATATTTGCTCCACAGATTGTCGGTCGATAAGACGTTTCCCGATCGCCGCCGCTTGTTCTGTTCACCGGTGTGATGTTCCTTATTTCAACCAGCCTTGCGAGATTCCACGTTTATCGATTTTGTTGTTGCGGTCGGAGAGAGAAAGCTGAAAGTCATAACAATACTCCGATTGTCTTAAAGAGTTGAGTGATTGGCAGCTAATCCGACAGACACACAAGAGGAATAAGAAGGTCAGAAAGGACACTCACTTGGACGATCATCCGAGTCTCGACGGGGAATTTCTGGAGGAGGATCAAGCATCGACGCAACGAAAACCACACAGCGACAACACGTGCCACCGCACCGCAAATGCACAACAAAAACAAATTGGGATTGGAATTGCACGCGCTTCCTGGAATAATACGGTTCACAGATCATCTACCTATGCGATGCGATGCACCTGCATCCCTCAGTCATGCCCCCCCTCTCCCCCGTATCATTGCAGACCACTGCCGATGAGCATCTTCCTACCTTTTTTTGTTTCGCTGTGGCGTTCATTGAGAGAGAGAATGGGCACAGATAGAATGGCTTGGATGGTTTTATGCCGATACGCATTGGGACGGACCCCAGGATCCGTGACCGCTGCAAGTGCAATCGCATTCGCAAACCTTGTGCTGTAGATGGAATGGGCCTTGTCCTTCTTTCATCCTTTTTTCTCGTTTCCATCGCGTTGTGCTAGGATCATTGAGTTAGAGTTTTGGGACTAAAAAAAAGAACAACACAGATCGTGCGTGTCCACGGAAACATGGAAAATGAACTACCCTTTTCTACACCCCGTGGCCGCCCTCCCTCCACGGTCACGGTGGATGTGTCCACTCGATCAAGATCGTCGTCCCCGTCGTCGTCGTCTCCTCCCACCGTGACTTTGAACAAGACCCTCGGGGTCCAGCCCAACGAAGAAAAAGAAAAAGAAGAACAAGAAGTGGAGGCCGAAATCGACGATCAAGAACGACGACTGGGGTCCCATATAACTACTCGACGGCGATCACGATTACCGCCCGTTGCTCCCCCACAAGCTACTAAGAAGAAGGCCAAGTGTGATGATGTAAATCGTGACCCATCATACGACCACGACGACAACAGCAACAGCAACAGTGCCAGCGACAACGATAACGACTTCCTCGAAAGTCCCACCCTTCGAGCCCGCCGCCCCCCTCACAGTTCCCGTCACCGTACCACCACCACCACGGCATCGGCGGGAGGAAGTGACGGTCTTTTCCCACCAACGTGTGACCCGTTGTACCATCTGTACGACCTTTCGTCGTCGTCGTATTATCTCCCCGAACACGCAATGTTCTCCCTTATCCACAACCCACGCACCTTCCTCCGCTTCATCTTCGGCATCGTTTTTCTCATGTGTTTTCTCACCAACATGGTTTCCGGCGGGCCACTAGCCGCTCAACACCTCCGCGACGCCTTTCGCGGTCACCGCCCATGGAAAACAGATACTAATGAAAGACGAGACGACGACATCACCCAATCCCAATCCCAATCCTCACCACAACAGGGCAACGTAATCCGCGTCGCCGCCTCTCCCATCCAAATCGACCCTCACGGCGTCTACATCCGCGCTTCCCCTCTCTACTCCTCCTCCTCCTCCTCCGACGGGCGGCATCCCGACACATCCCGCATCATCGCCGGCTTCGCCAGCACCTCGGGGTCTGACCGCGTCCTCCGCGTCTCTTCATCCTCCAACTCGGGCGCCTCCTGGTCTCCTTTAGGTGAAATCACCCGTTTCCCTTCAGACGGGACCCACGACCTCGACAACGCCATGCCTTTAGCCCTTCCCTCCGGCCGCATCCTATTCGCCTTTCGGCACCACTCTTTATCCCCTTCTTCTTCAACAGGCTTCCACTACACTTTCTACCGCCTCGAAATCTGTTCCTCCTCTGACGGGGGCCGCACCTGGTCTTTTCTGTCTCATATCGACCAACGGCCTGCCTCTTCTTCTGGAAAGAAAAACGGCCTGTGGGAACCTTTCTTGCGTTTGGCAGCAGACGGCAACACAATCCAAGCGTACTACTCCTCTGAAAACTCCGCCGGGGACCAAGATAATCTCATGCGATATTCCACGGACGAAGGAAAAACCTGGTCTGACCCGCCTATTTTAGTCTCCAGCTCGCCAACTGCGGACTCAAGGGACGGGATGACGGGCGTTTCTGCTATCTCTTCTTCCTCCCCCAGGGAGTTAATCTGCGTGTTTGAAACGACTTCCCCAGACGGGACTTTTTCGATAGCTAGAGTGCTAAGTCACGATGATGGCCGTACCTGGGGAGAGAGGGAGAACGTGTACATGGCTCAAGGAGGTAAATGGGCGGGAGCGCCGCAGGTGTATCTGGTAGGAGACACGTTGGTGACGAGTTTCTTGACGAACGAAGGGACGGAGTTGCCCAAGATTGATGGGGCGTATACCAAGGTTGTGGTTAGTAAGGATTCAGGCAAAACGTGGACGGAGACGGGCAAGGCGGAGACGGTCGCGGGGACGGGGAGCCATTGGCCGGGTTTGTACAGTTTGAATGGGACGCATTTCCTAGCGCTGTATTCGACGGATGAGATGGGGGCGGTTAGTCATTTGCATAGTGTTTCGTGATCTTTTGACCTAGAGGTTGGATGTATATTGGGGGGGAGGCAGGATAGAAAGTAATTTATGACAATACCTAGGAATATTAATAGGGATCAGGATAGCAATGGGGATAGGAATAATGACCAAGTACCTAGATATCTTGAGGTAGCCTAGTAACCTGCGACAATGTGTTTGAGTAGGTATTCTTGTGGGATCGAAGTCATGAAACAGCGGTGGTTGAGGGTGAGGTCGAAGAAGGTGATAGTAGTAGTACTGTCGATGGAGGTACTGTGGCGTTGATAGATAGAGGTACTTACTCTTGCAAATCGTGTTAGTTCTCAAGGACGGTATCGATTCCCGGTGGCAGAGGTTGAGTTGTTCAGCGACCGCGTCTCAGAATATTTTTCCGATACATGAAGCCCCCGTCAAGTGACTCTTGCTCATCGTCCACGCAGCGGGAAAACTGAAAATGTACATCCGCTTGTTTTCGACTTGATGCTCAGGGATGATGGGATATAAATGCGATATATACTGATTGGTGAACCTACCCAAGTGAGGATTCGCATGAGCGAAAAGTTCCGGTGTCAAACGAGGGATCTTCCAGCTTCCATCTTATATGATTCCATGATGACTGGCTTTGTTTGTTCATCGAGATCGTGATTGGCGAAATTGCCATCACTGGAGTGGAGAGTAGTCAACATTGGTCGGGAGTTTTCTTCGTATATAATACAGCCACCGCGCCTGTCGAGGGCGACAAGAAGGAAGGAAACACGAAGGATGTTCTTTCCGGTGGAGATTTTCCTTCAGTATCGCGGCGTGTGCTGCACTCTTCGTTCCAGAAAGAACAAGTAGAGTACTGAGACAACTGAACGGAAGGAGGAAGGCACGAACTTTAGCCGCGCACGGTGGTGAAAATCGGCCCAAGTTCCACTGCAGTTGCTTCACGCCTAAAAATGAATGGCCTGTACTTAGGTAGTTTCGAATGCGAATTGTCTGATGCCTTGGCAGCGGCAGTTCTGAAGGACGCCTAACTAACTTCTCCTGGTTCGACCGGGCACCTTCTTTGATGCCTTCAGTTGGGAGTGATACCTAGGTATTCGCTTCAAGCTGACCCTTCGACATAACTAATTCAAACATGCTTTCTTCAATCAGACATCCTTAATTGATAAGTACTAGACCTAATTAAGGACCTCAGGGCAACTGTTCTGACACAAGGTCCTTTTCTAGTGTTCACTCGGAGACACTGGACTCCTCGCTACCGCTCCAAGTGGCTGCCGTGGTGTTGACGACTGTTTGTCTAGGACTTGTGTGTAAAATCGTAAAGATGATTGGTTTCAGAATGCATGCTGTAAAGATACTGGACACGACAGGCATTGGATCCAAATACGATGATGAGGCGAGTGGGAGATCTGGACATCTCCATTGTCGGTCGGTATTGACTGCCGCTTCTTTCCATCCTTGGTAGTTTAAGGATTTGACCAGGATATCAAAAAGGAAGCCGTGTTAGATAGTAAAGTAGAATGAATGTATTTGAAATCGAATGAAACGAAATCACGAGGTGGTAAACAGCTGGATAGTGGACATCCCGTGATATAGAGGTAAACAAATAGATATTGTACAGTCCGGGTTGTAAAAACGTCGCGGCCCGGGTATTCTTAAACTATGTACAATAAACCCGGCTATAACCCTGCGATGCCGACCCGCTATGACCTCCGGGCCGCTAACCGCTAACCGCTGCCTGTTTACAGCCCCACATTCTCCAAACGACGGATATTTCCACGGAGACTGGAAACAGAGAACATGACAGCCAACGGTTGATTGATGCCGGTGACGGTCCATTCCCCACATGGTGTGTCTGACCAACAATTGACCAAGCAGTGCAAAGCATGCAGATAGCGGTTTTTGGTTTCATGGTTTTTGTTTTTTTTGTTTTTCCCTTGATTATTAACAGGTTTATAATGGCGGGTCTAAACTCTGGACCAACATCATATCACTTTTTCTTTTACTTTTTTTCACTTGTTCTGATGGTCGATGATAGGAGTACGTACAGTGATTCGTAATATTCGGAGGTATGTACTTACCTATGTATGGACGTGAGAAGAGTGAGCTGATGAATCTCGGTACCTACCTTACCTGTGTACACGCCAGACCAGACCTGGTGCGTAGAGGCATGTACTGTGTAGACTAGAAGATGATTGGGATATGGATAGGAGCAGAAGTGAGTGATGAAATAGAGAAATCAACGTTCGCTAAAGAAGAACAGTATCGCATGAACATTGTCTTGTCTAGAAAAAGAAGAAGAAAAAGACAGTTGGTGCTTCCAAACTCCACCATCACCACCTCCCCATCCCACCCCCATTCCGAATTCCCGATCGACGCAAGCAAGGTGCCGTTCGGTGCAGATCCCATCCGCTCTCCGTGCCCCTGCCGCCCCGCACGCATGCCTTTCTTTCTGTGCGCACATACCGTAACTGTCACCCTAGCATCCTTACCTACACAATGAAATGCGCCCAACGGTCACTGCATCGACTAGTACTACACTACACCGTCTTCGTAATGCTTACTCAGGTCGAGGAACGAGCCCCTACAGAAACTTACCTAATGTTTACAATCGACAGATGCCCAAATTGCCAAGGCGTTAGAAACCTACCTACCTACTCAATTTGATCGCTAGAACACTGGCTTAGTCAAGATACACGTAGAATTAGTTTGCATAGTAGGTAGCACTCCGCTTGGAATGCAATGGAAAATGGAACTAACTACTGTACTGTATGGCCAAGCAGAGGAGGGAGCATGGAGTCAGGCCCGCAATCGCGGTCCATCGAGATCTGCTCAAGCTCGCGGTGTAGACAGGGAAGGTGCCACCTTTTTTTAGTCAGGGACGAGTCAAGTTCAAGACGAACGGACGGGCAACTACATAAAATATCTTGATGGGATCTCCCCCCCTTAGCAGCCCCCAGATTTCCTCTTCTCTCTGACTCCCGGCTTTTTGCGAATAACCCAAGACCACAAAGTGTCAGACAGACGAGGCTTTTCACCAACCATGACGCAAACAGAAAAACACAACAACAACAACCTCCTCCAGACCGACCTCCTCATCGTTGGTGCTGGCCCAGCCGGTGCTTCGCTGGCTTGCTTCCTTGCTGCTCATGGTAGGCCTTCCGTCGCATGACACGAGGACCTCGACACTGATGACTGACGCCCCCCACTCTCCAGGACGGACTGGCATCTTGATCGCGGCCGCTCCCGGCACTGCGGACACACCACGGGCTCATATCACCAACATGGCTGCTCTTGGTACGTACTAGTAGTAGTAGTAGTATTGCTTTCTCCTCCTCCTCATGTAATGCTACCCGGTACGATGCATAGGTGAAGATGGTTAACAGTTGGTTGTTGATTGTTTCTTTCTCGACAACAGAATGCCTGCGAGACATTGAACTGGAACAAGAATGCAGACTCGCCGGGACGGACAGCAAGCACATGGAGCACACGCGCTGGTGTCGTAGCATGGCGGGCGAAGAGTTTGCGCGGGTTTACTCGTGGGGTCACGATCCGAAGCACAAGGTGGGTTTGGGTCACTTACCTGCGTACTATGTCTGACGCCGCCCAAACGCTGACCAATTCGCGCACACATACACAGGGCGCCTACGAAACCGCTAGCCCGTGCGACCACATCGACCTGCCGCAAACCCTCCTCGAGCCCATCCTCGTCAAGCGCGCCACCCACGCCGGCTGGACCGTTCGCTTCAACACGCGCTACGTGCGCCTGTCACGCCCCTCTCCCGACGTCATCCTCTCCGAGGTCCTCGACGAGCTCACCGGACAGACCTACTTTATTCAGTCGCGCTACCTCTTTGGGTGCGACGGCGCCCGCAGCCAGGTCGTTCGCGAGTTGCAGCTGCCCCTCATCAAGAAGCCTGGTCAGGGGTTGGCACTCAACGTCTTTGTGCGCGCCGATCTGTCGCATCTGATGGAGAACCGGTCGGGCAACCTCCATTGGGTGTTCAACCCGGAGGAGGAGGATTACCCGGTCTGGGGCAAGGAGTGCATTGTCCGCATGGTCCGAGCGTGGGACGAGTGGATGTTCATCTTCTTGCCGCAACCGGGCGCCGATCTAAAGGCGGACGATATGAGCGCTACCAACGACGAGTACGTGGCGCGCGTGAAACAGGTAATTGGGGATGAGAATATTGAGGTGACGCTGCTGCATGCGAGCAAGTGGTGGATCAACGAGGTGGTCGCGGAGCGGTATTCGGATGGCGGGAATGTGTTTTGCTTTGGCGATGCCACCCATCGGCATCCGCCGTTTAACGGCTTGGGAAGCAACACGTGCATCCAGGACGCCTTTAACCTGGCGTGGAAGGTGGATTATGTCATGTCTGGCAGGGCGGGCAAGCAGCTGCTGGACAGTTTCGACAAGGAGAGGCAGCCCGTGGGCATGGATATCGTGACCAGGGCGAATCAAGGGCTGCGCGACCACTACGGATGGCAGAAGACGCTAGGCTTGCTGGAGAACGACATGGAGAAGACGAGGAAAATCTTGGCCGAGTTTGAGGACCCTGGCGAGAAGGGCCGCCTGAGAAGGAAGGCGTTCCGCGATGGCATCGAGAACACCACGACCGAGTTCCACGGCTTGGGCATCGAGATGAACCAGAAATACGTGTCGAACGCGGTCTATCTGGCGGATCAGGGAGAGGCGCCGCCTGCGCCCAAGGATACAGTCAAGACGCTCCAGGTTACCACGTATCCCGGACGCAGACTGCCGCACGCCTGGTTGAACACACGGGTGCCTGGGAAGAAGATCTCGACGATTGACTTGGCGGGACATCGGCGGTTCTGTCTGCTTACCGGACCAGGCGGACAGGCGTGGAAGGAGGCGGTCAAGGCGGTCGGGGAGAAGTTGGGTGTTGAGGTGGTCGCATACTCGATTGGTTGGAAGCAGGATTATGAAGATGTCTACTTTGACTGGGCCGAGAGGAGAGAGGTCGAGGACGATGGGTGTGTGTTGGTGAGGCCGGATCGGTTTGTGGCGTGGAGGAGCAGGTCGGTGATTGAAAAGCCGGAGGTGAAGCTAGAAGAGGTTTTGAGGAATGTTTTGTCGCTATAAGCCCTGGATATACTGTTACGAAGCTGTTATCGTCGTCATTGTCGCCGCATTGTCGTTGCATCTCGGATTTCTGTGGCCGTCGTCGTCGTCGTCGTCGTGCGGATCATGTCTTGTCTCGCCATATTTCCGTAGTATGTCCACAACTGCGGCACAGAGTTTCATTACACGTGTCGGTGCTGTCTGTCGTTGGTGACAGACAATTGAACTTAAAGTGAAACACAGTGCTGATAGCCGTTGCGGATGTCACCGTCGCATTTCGCCAATCCTTGCGACAGAAGACCATCGGCATCGTGGTGGTGGTTGCGTCGTCGCATCAATGTCGCATCGGTCCAGCCATTTCCGCACATCTCGACATGTATTCCCTGGGCAGTCGTCAGGATGATGAATCACCACCACAGGTCGGGCATCCAACGTTTCGTTGACGCAAGAGCCTGATCCCATGATGCTAATGGGAAACCAATTGTAAATGGGGGGGAGATTGTTGTGTCGAGACTGGCCCATTTACACTAGCGGAGAAGCGTCATTGGTGAGGTTTTGGGTGACTGACATGTGGTGGTGATCCTCCCCCCTGCAAAGTGACGTAGACACTGGTTGGACACCATCGGGGGTGAACTCTTTACACTAACAGACTATGGTAAGCACATGATATAAAACTGTTAGTAATCACATGGTGGTCAACATCTCGGCATTTTTCTCTTGGCGCCGACCGACGTCAGAAACAAGACACAAGCACGCGTTTACATGGGAAGTCTCGGGAAGGGATTCACATTCACAGGGATTCGTTGGGTTAAGGGTCTTTTTCGTTTCTTCTTCTTCACCACGTTTTTTTTTGCTGGGACGACGAAGGGCATCAACGCGATATGTGGATGGCTCAACGACGGAGCAAATGCCCATCTCCGTCGCTGGTTGCACGGCAGACAAGACAAGAGTGATATCGGGAAACAAACGGACGGGACTTGGCAACGAAGAATGACAAACCATGGCATGGCACCTTCAAGTTGTGTACACTACAAGGCAGGAATGATGGATTGGATGAATGAATGACTTGTGGTCAATTGCGGTGTACAAACCTGTCCAGTCCTTGATCATCCGTCACATTCTACCACATTTCCATGGATGAGACAAGAGCCCTCGCTTGTGACTGGTTGGGAAGAACCTATCGATGACGGTGGGAGAGGACAAGACAGGAAAGAGTCAGACAAGCATGCCGGAGACGACGGGAGGTAGATAACTCTAGACAGTGACGAAGTGAATGGGCTGCCCTGAGTGAGGTGATTGCTCATTCCCGTCCAGTCCTTCCGTCACTTCCACCAGACATTCCATTCATCACACTGCAGATTTAAGACCAGCCTTCTTCCCTCCCACTCCCGCTCGTCATCACCTCTACTCCCTCAGTTCAGTTTGCTACGACACAACAACGCAGGACAACTAGCCACTACCATCAATAACAGCCCACCGCACCCGCAGCATCAACAAAGAACATACACTCGATCACCATTACCATAATCGTAATCTAAAGACATCGAAATCAGTCACCATGGCCTTCGGACGCGGTCCCCGCACCCCTCACACCACCACCGGCACGACGACGACCACGACCCACGCTGCTGCAGACCGTCCCAGCATCTTCAACCCGATCCTCTCGCTCTTCAACATCTTTGTCTGGATCTCCTCCGTCATCGTCCTGGGCATCGCAGCCTACGAGATCCACCAGTTCAAGAAGTACTACGACGCGTACCCGGGCGCCCGCATAGTGTACATTTTGGTGATCGCCGTCCTGACGGTCGCCTTCTTCTTGCTCTCGTTCCTGCTCCACCCCCGCCCCGGTTACACGTTGCTGTTCAACCTCATTTTTAGCTATCTGTGGCTGGTGTCGGTGGTGTTTGCTGCGCAGAGCTGGTCGAGTCGCCATGTGGCGAGGAAGTGGCATGCCATGGAGGCTTTTACGTTTCTTGCTTTGTAAGTTTTTTTTTTACTACCCCGGTGATAGCTAGGTTTGAAGGGGGGGGGGGGGGGAAATCGAACTGGATGGATGGATGCTAATACCAAAATTGATAGCTTCGGCCTGTTTTTCAACGTCCTCTACGCTTGGTGGCAGCAGCACCGCGCTACTGTCCCCTCCCGCACTACTACTGCTGCTGTCGTCTAAGCTTCGCTTTTTTCGCTTTCTTGTGAAGTGGCAAACAAGGCCCTGCTGCTCATGGAAACTGCCGGACAAACGATACAAGCAAACGAAAAGGAGGCCATCAATGCAGCTACCCGTATGACATGATGACTCCAACTTGTGTCTATGACAGGTACCTGGTGGAAGTGAGAGATGGACTGAACTGGACTGGATATACCTCTACCTCTCTATTGTAAGACCTTGATGGTCTTTTTCTTACCTCTACCTACTTACGACTTGATGATGGATGATATCGGACTGAACGGACTGGACTGACTGGAAATGATGATGGCGAGAAATGAATCATGGCTTTCCCCCCTTAATACCCCCAATACCCCAATCAATACCCCTAATACCCAATGTTACTTTAAGGTACACCTAACAAGGCAATGGTGGATGCAAAGCAAGCAAGCAAGCAAAGATAGAGTAACGGACGACTGTTAATACCTACCTACGGATGGAATACCCTTCAAAAATCTCTCCATCTCTTTCCATACTACGTACCTACATGTTCATGAACTCGCTGTATGTTGACAAAATTTGACCGCGGATGAAGATGTGTGTAATTGATGCCCTCCTATGCCGTCCTGGACTGGACTGAGTTTGAGTGACCGTGACCACCGTGAATCAGCAAAGACAGATGTTGTAGCTTTCACACCGACACTCACACACCAAGAGCCGAATACAACGAGCAGGTTACTAGGTACCTAGGTACATAGGCTCGTCCCTGAGAAAATTGATGGCACCCAAGTCCACCACTCAGACGACTAAACTCAGCCAAAACACCACACAGAGTAACGATTGTTATTGCATTTAATACCCAATAAAGGTGCCTCCACAATCTGTGTAGTCCTATAGGATCCAGGGTGCTTACTAATGAGTCTATTTGTTGATTGTTTTCTGCGTTAAGGGTCGCCCATCTTGGAGTGCAAACTTGGACCCAGGTGCTATTACATCAATTTTGTCAGGGACGAGATAGGTAACTTGAACTTGAGCTTAATAAGAGAGAGAGAGGTGAGGAAGTTAACGTGAATCGATGCGATGGGTTAGACAGGTAGGTACCTAGGTACCCACCGTTTACTTTCGGCTTCCCAGTCCATTGTTGATAGCTTCATCATCATCATTATCATGATCAGCAGCACCTCACCTGCCTAACTCAAAAAATCATCTCGTCTTATCTCCTCCACACTCCTTATTTAATACTGTGAACTACACGAACCTGCATGGACTGTTAGTAACTTAATTATAGTTCAACCGGAAGAAATGATGATGATGATGATTTACTTCCTAATGAACCTAATAGGGGTATCTTCCACACTCCCTATTTAATACTGTGAACCATACGAACCTATATAGACTCTTAGTAACTTGATCATGGTTCAACCGGAAGAAATGATGATGATGACGATGACTTACTTCCTAAAGAAAATGAGGGGTATAGATCTATCGAGAAGTCGTACCTGTGACGAGGTCCTCAATTAGCACATACAAAGAGCAATAAATGTACCCGAACTGAACGACCAGAGCCTGCATACCTAGGTAAACATTAACCAGCACGTGCATAGAACAAACATCGATAGGTTAGAAAATCACATCCTTTCCTCTCTGACTCAAAATCCTTCCGAATTTCCTTCACCAAGTCTAGAGTACTATAGTCAGTCGTCATTCGCTTCATTCATGTCCTCACTGCTCCCCACATCACCTCAATAAGTACTTATGATCCTGTCCTTTCCTTTTCACTCTTTCTTGAACCTTCTTCATTCATTTGGGGAAAAAAAAAATCTCTCATCTCTCCTCTCAAATCATGGTATCATACACTAGGTAACACAACTGAACAAGCTCTAACCCCGCCTTCCTTCCCCCTTCCCGCCAAGCCTTCCCCCCATCCTCTGAACACTTCCATGTTGTTAGGCGAACCCCAAACTTCAGGTATTCATATGGTGGAATGCTTTAGATCAACAACTCCCCATTCCCATTCCCATGCTCATGCTCGTCATGCCCTATGCAAGTTGCAACCCAACCCAACCCAACCCAGCCCAGCCAACGACTCCCCTAAGCGGTCAAATGTAGCCCCCTGAGCCCTGACTAAAACCGTGATATGCATACCTTGACCTTGTCCCGGAATACTGTGCCCAATGGCCCCTGACCGTTCAACTCCGTGGATCCAATCAGGCATCTTCGTTGCTTGTGCTTGTGGTCCATGCCCTTCTTTTGTATTTGTTGCTATTGCTTGTTGCCTTGGTTGCCTATCCCATCTCCTTCACTTCTTTCCCTCCAAGAACATCTTCTTGAAGTCGGCGTTGCTTTTCTGAGCAACTGGTGGGCCTGTTGACGATTGACCGGTACCGTTGACTTGCTGCTCCGGGCCCGAGCCATCCTTCGCCGACGCTGTAGCAGCGTTCTGCTCCTTCTGCACCTTGCTGACAGGAACGACGAACCCGAGGCCTTTCTTGGCCCCCGCTTTGCCCAACACAGGCGGTCTCCTGATGGGTGGCGGCGGCGGCATCAGCTGCGCGGCGGTCTTTCCCTTCTTGCTGGCCTTGGAGTCATCCTGCTTTTTTGGCGGTTGCTGATGGGGCAGATCGATCCTGTCTATCCTCTTCTCGGCCTTTTCTTTGAACAGCTGACCGACGGACCCGACGCGCAGCTTCTTACCGCCCTCGATCTCAGTACTATTGATCACAAGAGAGGCCTTGCCGGCCGTCGCCGCATCAGCGAACTCAACGACAGCGCCGCCGTGCTGCGGGTGGAGCACGAGCTTGTTGATGGCGCCAATGGGGGCGACGATGGAGCGAACGCGCGCGTCGTTCATCGTGTCGGGAATGCCAAGAATGGCGATCGTACGGGCGGCAATCTCAGGCCCAGACACGTGACTAGGTCCCGACCCGGAGGCGCTAGACTCGGGCGAACCTTCGGCTTCACCGTCAGCTCGACTCGTCGCGGTGGTTTTGCGCGTGGGCGGCTTTGACACCTCCACCTTGAGGGGATGGTTGCCAAAGATCACCTTATCTAGTATCTCAATCGCCTTGGCTGCCTGTTCCTTGGTTTCCATCACCACAAACGCTGTGCCGGTGCTGACACCTGCCATGTTGCGCGTCAGACGGACGCTGACAACGTTGCCGGCCTTTTGGAAGAGACCCTCGACGTCCTCTTCGCTTGCTGCACGAGGGAGGTTGTTCACATGGAGCTCGCGTTCTTCGGCCTGAGCTCCTTGGCGCACTTGCCTATGGCCTGGGTCGGAGAGCTTGGCTTGCAGCTTGTACTTTCCTCCCTCCAAAGGCTTGCCATCGAGTTGAGTGGCCGCGGCTGCAGCGGATCGGTCGCGGAAGGATACGTAGCAAAACCGACGCTTGGTGTTGTACTTGAGGCTGGGAAAACGGATACTATGAATGTCACCACAATGTTTGAAAAGATCACGGATAGACTGCTCATCTGCCTCAGGCGGGTAATTGGTCACGAAGAGGGTGCAATCGGTTGCCGGGCTGACTTGGATAACTGATTCGCCGAGGCGTTTCCCATCGCGAAGCAAAGCTGTCCGAGCATCTTCTGGCGACTTGAACTCGATCAGCGCCACTGCCGGGGCACCTTCACTCTTTTGGAGGTCGATGTTGTTGATGTGGCCGTACTCGCGGAAGAACTGTCGTAACTTGGTTTGGGTAATGCCTTCGGGGAGATTGTGAACAAAGACCGATGTGTTTTCCCTGTCACGCTTGAGCTCAGCCGCACTCATAGTTGTTTCGCTCTTCGCCCGCTTGGCACAGTCATCAACCTCATCCTCAAAACCATCTTCGCGCTTCCTCTTGGAGCTGGGTGATGTGCCAGCTTGCGGGGATTCTGTCATGGGGTAATCCTGGTATTGTTGCTGTGGGTATTTCTCTTGCTGTTGATGTAGCTGCGGTTGGTGCTGGGCCTGGGCCTGGGCCGCCTGTGCCGCGTACGCGGCCTGGGCTTGAGCTTGTGCCGCCGCTTGTGCTTGGGCAGCCTCCCTCTCGCGACGCCTAGAAACGCCCTTTCTTGTCTTATAGATGGTGTCCTGGGCTTCACGGAGGGTTTCGGCCAGCTCGTAATCGTTGCAATGCTGAAGATAAACATCCATAATCCTCTCAGGCCAGTCAAGCGTGCGCACCTTGAGAGCCTTGATGAAAACACGCGTGGCAAATGAGGGGACCCGCAAGCCTTGGGCCAAGGTAGCAGGTGTAGGGCTCCGGTTCTTGCTCTTGGTAGAGGCGAAGACGAGCATTTCCCATAGGAACCAAGCCAGCCAGAAATCGTAGCTATTGGCGTGTAGCGGAATGACAGACAGCTGTTCCCATACATTGCGTGCTTCATCAATGTCATCCTTCTTTTCGGTTAGAAACTGGATCAAGATCTTTTCTAACCTGAAGTTGGGGTCACCCTGGTAAGCATCACCGTACCGTCGCTTGCCCCAGTGTCGAACGTCTTCCAGGGCGGACGGGAGGCCGACTTCGGCAAGGTCAACGGCTTCTTCAGTCGCGTTGGGGTTCATGGCGGTGCGCTTGAGGTAGCCACACCAAGCCGAGTACATTTCCAGAACTCCACCCATGCCATCACGATCGAGTTGAGCACAGCTCGTCGCTGCGTGCTTGATGCGCTCAATGTCAGTGAAGCCTAGGCCAGCTTCCTCGGCAGCCAGAATGTAGCGAGCCCAGACAGTGCCGGACCAGGGAACATGGTGCACAGCGCGCTGAAGGACGTCCAGCATATTAGGCAGGGTGGCCGAGGGGATCTTTACGCGGCCCATCTTGATGTCCGAGTGCCATGTTGAGACGAAAACGAGAAAGTTAAGCCAGGTCGCTTCATCCGAAGACATGATGCCGGTAAGAGCACGCGAAAACAGACCCAGGCAAATGCGGATGTTGAGCAAGGTATGATGGTCCTTTTTGGATTTGGCCTGCCTAATCTCCCAATCGATGTATTCGGTCATGGTGGCCTTCATGCCCGCGATATCGCCCACCTTCTGGGCCTGGTTGAGCTTCATCTCCCAAGGGTCGCGCATCTCGTACAGGCGCTTGGCGTCTCGGGCGTTAGCGGTAACGTGCAGCATCTCGGACTCGTAGTTGACGCGGTTGTACTCGGAGAGGAAGCTAGAAAACATCTGTGACGTGTTATCCCAAGCGGCATGGGGCACCGCCAGTCTGTTCTTGAAGAGATGGGTGATGCGGCGGACGCCGGCCTCGGTAGCTGTGCGGGCGAGCAGCTCCATCTCGAGGGAAACCCAGCGATTCCAGAGCTGGTGGCTGTCGGAGAGACGGTACTGGACGGCCTCGTAGCCCTCCTGCCAGAGGTTGAGGGCACGGTCTAGGGTGAAGGTTTCGCAGCCGGCGCGCTGCTCCTCCATGGGCCAGCCAGCGTCGCTACCCGGCTGGCAGTCGGAATAGAGCGACCAGAAGTATTCGCAGTAGGCCATCCATACTTTGAGGCTGCCGGGCTCGGCCTGGACGGCGCGACCAAAGGTCTCGATGACTTTGACGCGGCCTTCGAAGTCGGTGGCGCCACGCAGCTGGTGGTCGACAAAGTCGACCCAGTTATCCTCCCCCACCGGACTCGCCATTGTTCTAAGCCTTGGATCGGGGATCTCGTGTCATCGGTCGACGGGGTGTATTGTGCGGGGGTGTGCGTGTGCGATTTGGGAGCGGTAGTCAGCAGCGGGATACGGACAGCAGATGGCGGGGTGTTGCCGTTATCGCGAGGCTACCGGTGCGATATGCGCTGTGTGGTCGGTCGGTTGGCCGGAGAAGAAAGCGTAAAAATTCTCGCGAGGATCAGGTGCGCAGGCGTGGGTGCGGCGGGCGTGGTAGATGAGGAACGACGGACTGGGGGGGCCGACGTGTCAATGCCGATCAGCGGATCTGTTTCCCAGGCAGTAGTGTAAGGTATGTAGTCTAGTGTATCCTGACCCAGTGAGCCAGGGAGCCAAATTGAGAGAGGGAGGAGAGGAAGTTTCGGGAAGAAGACAAGCGAGGAAGAGAAAGAAGGCTGCTAGCAGGCTGGGATGGTGTAGACAAACAGTGATGCGGGTGGTGAAAGTGTGAAGGTGTGGACCGTGAACTTGTGGTGGTGGTGGTGGTGGTGAGGTGGTTGGCGGCCGGATGACTGAGTGAGGATCTGATCAGAGATTCGGAAAACGAAACCGAGGACGGACGGGAGTGCAAGTGGAAGGACCTATGGAAGATCCAGTGCGGTCTCCTGTTCAGGGCACTGACACTGACACTGAGAGCGAAGCTCGGGAGGGATTCTGTTCTGGGCCCCGCCGTAGACTTTCCACTTGTGACGGGGAATTTTTGGGTCGGGTCGGGCTACGTTACGGTTTTTAGTGGGCACAGTGAGGAGGTGTAGTGGGCCGGACGGCACGGGCGGTACCTGGCGTCCATCGCCTTATCGCTGCGGTGCAGGGCAGGCAGGTGGTCCCGCCCGCCGCGTTGTCCACTCTCCTGGGAGAACGCGGGAAGGAGCTGGAGCGGGATGGAGGTCCCAGGTCGAGATACTTCCACCCGGACGGGCTATTCAATTCGAGGCATTGATTGCATTGCAGTGTTCAGACACCGACGGAAACGTGACATTTGGTGATCATGGAACTTGAGCGAGTCATTCACTTCACTTCAAACTGTCCCTTCTCGCCTCATGTCAGTTCCTCAGTCCTTCTTCAGTACCTCTAGGTAATTCTGTTTCTGTTTCTCAGTCGCACCTGTTCTCTTGGCTTTTGCTCCCAGGCCGCACCCCTTCTATTCCACTTCTGTGTGGGCGGCCGGTCCGATCGGATGTCCCCTGCACCTTCTTTGGCAGCAACAACAACAACCTCGCCAGCCCCGGCCAAATAGTCCCCTGACTGACAACCGACCGTAGCGCGGCGGGATAAGATGGAGACGGAGGGAGGAGTGAGTCCCACGGTGGAGCCCCGAACACCTTCGCTGCACCATGCCCGCTGCTCGCTTGCGCAAAGCTCCCGTCACAGTGAGACTTTGGCGACACAGTTCACTGGGCGACGACTGGACACTGGATGGTACAATATCTCTATTGAAGGCTAGAACATTGTTGATCGTCTTCGACCACCGTCTCAGGACATCCAGATCGTCTCCCATAGCCAATCGCCGTGTGTGTGTGTCGGACGCCAAGGTCCTTTTTGCTCCTCATGCTTTGGCAGCTGCCTGGAAGACGGAGGGACTGAAAGTGACGGGTCTGTTAGTGGACCCTTGATTGACTGTGATCTTTTTCACGGCTCGGCGATCTCTGTTACTGTGTGTGAACCCTACAGTTACATGTTGAGGTTAAAGGCGCCCCGGCATTTCTCTCTTTTTGCTTCCCACCTCACTGCCCTGATTGCCGTTCAACTCTCGTAACTGGAATCGCTCTCCTTTCTGTCATGCTTTTTTGGTCCTTCGTGTTTGGCGGCAGAAACGTAACGACATGCTCTAAAAAAGACTTGGCACAAACTCTCAGCGGCCCGTCAAGTGGGCAAACTTCATGATTGCCAAGAGGGGGACAAACCCAAGACGCTGCGTTTTGCCGGACATGCACATGGCCAGGATGGCGAAATAAGCTCTGTGGGATCTCGCTGGGATGTCATATCTCATCTCCATTCCATTTTGACAAAGCCCACCAATATGCGACCTTCCTCCTGCGGCCGTGTCGCCGGCTCCGGCTCCGTTGAGAGATTTAGCGTCCGACTCGTATGGGAATGGCATGGGAATGGGACCAGTGGAACACACGAATCCAGTTCCGACCAAGCAACACCACCCTTTAGCTTGTGATGGCCTCATCCAAGACGGAGCTAAGCACATATTGGCGGACAAGACAAGAGGTGGTGCCCCGAAACGCATTGGTGCTGACTGCTGACTACTGCTGACTTTGCCCTTTGACTTTCCTTGATGCTTGGAGCTTTGTCCGACAGAGCCGGCCAGATCGACAGAGGTCTAGAACTGATCAGAGCAATTGATGGTCTGCCAAATTTCCTGATTGCTTTGCGAGTCCGATCGTGAGTGACACTGCATAAATTCCAGGAGGTGCGCCTCGTGTGCCTCTTTTTCACGCCTACGTTTCTGTGTTGCAATCGTGAAAACCTACATGGTGGAATGAAAGAGATTCAACCAAAATCGACAGAATTTCATGAGATAATTCACATTTCAAGCAAGTTGCCGACCAAAAATGGAATCCCCGAAATCCGCTGCCGACATGGAATCCAAGATTTCGACCCTGGCGTAACGGGGAAAAAAGGGGTCAGGGTCGGGTCGGGTGTGCACGACGGCACACCTCACCAGCGAAAAAAGTCGTCATGACGACACTGTCGGTCCCCGCTCTGAGAACAACCCACTTCGGGTCATCCGCGGGTCCAGGTGAGGAAGTGCTGATTTCAGTATGATTCAGTCTTTTTTATGCACGGGCATTTATCTATTACACTATTACATATGTACCTCCCTCACCATCTTTCAATAAAGGGTCTACGATTCAGGGTCCTACCGCAAACTATTGGCACATCTCCCGTGCGGCTGCAGTGCAAAAGATCCTTTGGAAAAAGCCAGCCAGCGGAGGGAGCTGCCAGTTCGTAAGAGTAGTGTAGTCTCCAAAAAGTAAATCGGCCGGCCGAGCACCTTGGCGCCCACAAAAAACCCCCTTTTGCCGATCTCGCTGATCAACCCTGAGCCAAGCCAATGAAGTGCCTGTTCGCTGACTGGTCCCTGGCTTTCCGTTCTCAGCTCCCAGCTCTGCCCTCTTGGCACCGTTGGCTCCCGCCGAGACCCCTTTCCTGCCGTTTTTGCGTCGTCTCATTGTTTTTCGTTGCTGGCGTCCTTTTTAGTTTCCTTTGTCTTGCGGCATGTTTTCTCCTCTTTTCTCCCCGCCTTGTGTGCATAATGTTGTTGGTGGGTGTGGTGGTGTCAGGATCCCATCATCATTACCGTTCACCGTCGCTATGTAAGTTGTTCCTGGGTCGGGCGGGATGTGGTTCCTTTAAAAGAACATGGCTGGGGAGGAGGAGAAGGAGGAGGACGAGGGAGAGAGAAAAACAGAATGATCTGGCCAAGACCGCCGGGACGCCGAAGCCAGCCCAGCAATCCCGTCGTAGCTGTGCGGAACAATTGCGGGTGCAGTCCGTTTTGTACTGTGGACCTTTGAGCCTGTGACGTCATGGTCAAGCCGACCGAGTGCCGTCACATCCGAGCACTTGCCGCTCCACGCTTCGGCCATCTGAAAAGCGATTGGTGGTCCCGGCCTGCAAAGTGGGCTGCTAAGGGAAAAGAAAAAGTCCTGCCAAGGTTGGCGTCATTGCCGCCGGGATTAGGTCCGCAGCATCAGAGTCGAGTGGAACCGCACGCACTAAATCGTAGTAGCGGCGCATTCGACCCGTTATCGATCCGTTATCGAGCCCGCCCCCGACCGCTCGACGGTCCGAGACCGTCGATTGGCCGATTTTGGTCCACTGGCAAAATCTCAGCGACGGACTTTGAGACTTTTCATTCCCAGATGATTTGGATGGATGCAACGTTCTCGAAAACAGTCACTCTCTCCATTTCACACCTCTCGCCAGAAAGCTTCTTGTTCTTATACACACACAGAGAGAAAGTGTGTGTGACAGAAAAACTCAGTTAAAGTCAATCGAGCAATGAGTCTGTTGGACGTCACAAAGCAGCTACGGGACAGGGACCCTTGAGGACCCTTGGTTTTGTGACATGCATGGAATGTTTTGTTCTAGAACGCGCACAGTACATACAACAGTCAAACGAACAACCAACAGCCCTCACTTCAAGTTATTTGTTAAGGGATCTTGGAGCTCTTCAGTTTTCCTACAGTAGTTGCCTCCTCCCAATCTGACAATATCACAGACAGGACTGCCTCGCTGCTTTCAAAAGTAGCTACTAAGTATTGAAAGAGATCGAATATGATCTGATCCGTGGCGTTTTGAGATTACTCAGATGCTTTTTGTTTAGTGCATGCATAGTACTGTTACTCAGCGTTGCACTCGCGCCTGAATCCGCTGCTCCCGGCATCAACACTATCGATTCTACAACGACACAAGTTCCAACACTCACTTTTGCATAGTCAACATGACAACTGAACATGCGCTAGTTCATTCAAACTCTTACCATTACAGCAATGACTGTGAGGTGGCAATGATAAACTCCAAATTTCAAAATACAAAGTCCATGTGCGCATGCCTACCAGTATCTATGGTGTCCACACTTTACATGCACGTTGCCTTCCCCCCAATGTAAACGCAGCTGGCATCCTACCAAAGAAATGAATTCCAAAGTGGTGATGCGCTGGATATGTAGGGTTACATGTCTTACATGGCCACCAGCTGAGTGAAGAAGGAGCAAATGCCAAAATCGAGTGGAAATTTGAAAAAGTAATAAACGTCCGTGCTTGCCTCTTCCATGAGCCATGATGTGTTGCTCTTTCCTCCTCCTCCAAAACCAGCATCACAATGACGACACCGACTCTATCACCCCAATGCCTCCTTCCTCGCAATCCCGCACAACCTTTCACGGGCCATTGAAACTTCCTTCCCAATTACTCCACAAGCCTCCGTCTTTTATCAGTCTCCCTCCCACCGCTTGTTCTCAACGGACAAGAGTAAAAAAGAACAAGTACGACTATCTCGTCACCATGGCGCAGCGGTAAACAACACAAGGCAAGTTTCCATACCTTGGGTGCTCCTCCTCCTTGTTCCAACTCACATGAGAGGATTCGAGTTCGATTCCCCGAAAAGGCTGCCAACCGGCAACGTCCTCCAAATGATGAGCTTAATTAGACTCCGATGATAGGTCAAAGTCAAGACCACAGGGAAAAAATATGACGAACATCATTTCTCGTTAATCTGAAGGAAGAATACAACTGTTGCCTTTACTACGATTGATCCTTCAAAAGTTTGCCAAGTTCCGGTGTGCTAACCTTGGATATCCCGCAGCTCTACCTTTCTGATATCCGTGATTGGATCCCACCGATAATTCTGATCTGTGAGCTCCAAAATAGCCACATCACTACAGTATCTTTTTGGCCTGGTGTCCTTCGTCTGATGACTGAGTGTCCCAAATTGCGTTTACTGACACCATCGATGCATCGCTGCCCTCCTTCCTCTTCTCTTTTCTCGCCAACTGCATTCTCCCCTTGGCATATCTCTGCGAGTCAAAACCCCCAATCCCACCACTCACCAACTCCATGAGCAGCAACATCATCTTATCCCCTTCCTCATCACCACCCGCCACATCCTTCGCCACCTCGCTCACCCTTCCCTCTCCTTCCAGTCCGCAGTATCGGTCTGCAATGTGATCCCAAGGTGAGGAAAGCGCAGTGAATTGCGCAGACTATGGTGGGAGAGGTATTCAACTTTGGCCGGAAAGATCACGACGGAGAGTGTCGGCTTTTTTTTTTTTTTTTTTTTTTTTTTTTAGCTGTGTCCAGGACTACGTTTCGACAGAATGAAGGACTTCAACGATCCCAGCAAGAAACTCACGTCTGGTCTCTCAGCAGTTAGTCGGCGGTTGAGTCGATGGAACGAAGAACCTGGTGCGGTCGGGACTGGAACTTGGATGTTTCCGCCGCTGCCGCCGTTGCTGGTCGGGGCTTGATCGTTTGAGGGGGCAGCCAAGCTTGATGACTTCGAGGCGGTGACTTGAGGCTGATTGGTAAATGAGCGCATCTTGCAGTTTAGCCTGCTGTCCGCTTGGCTTGAAGTCCACGTGGCTTAGAGTATATCGTACGGCACTGAATGCTGTGTACTGATTTCTGGAGCTACAATCACCCTCGTCGACAAAGACCTTTGGAGTAGCCGTTGTTGACCTATTATTCACCTATTCTCTTACTTTCTACCTACGTACATTTCTAGGCAAGTTTAATAGCAAAGCATGTCACCATGCCTGTGACAAGAGCAGCAAGAAGGTTTCGGTATCAATGCTTAATAGACCTCTTAGGATGACAACTTACGGTTGTTGTTTCACAGCTTCATGGATAGCATACGAGTCAATATCTTTTTTTTGGCAAGTAATTTTTGCAGAAATAAGGGCGAAAATAAAGTCGTAAGGACTCGATCGTCATGAATCAGATGTGCTCTATTTGCAGTCAACAATCATCGACATCCTTCTCCTTCCAGTATCAGCATACTGAAAGCAGGAGAGCTATTCCAAGTATAAAAGCTAAGAATGACCTCATGATACACAGTATCCAAGGCGGTCGATTCCTGTGCGCTGGAAGAATTTACGCGTACCAGTATAACCAAACAAACAGAATGAACGAAATGAACTCGACGGCACAAAAACTGAAGAAGCGCAAATGGTATGCGATCAACTTGACTAGTTAATTAAGGTCTAGCAAGATACATAAGCCTACCAAAGACCAAAACTCCACATGTCTACAAAAACAGCTGCATGGCGCAGCGGAAGCGCGCCGGGCTCATAACCCGGAGGTCACTCGATCGAAACGAGTTGCAGCTAAAATTTTTGGCCTTTTTTTGTTTTTCTCGTCAGCTTCTTGCTTCAACACAATGGTCTTTTTTCTCATTTGCGTACGAAAATGGTGTGGAAAAGGTTTTCTTTCATAAACAATTCTTCTCAGGAGCAGTTTGATCACAGGCACTTCCAGGTAGCTAGTTACTTCTGTCCTATTTATAAGCTGCTACTGTTTATTTATCTTTCACCTCAGCTTCAAATACCTATTTCCACCCTTCTTTGCGTTTCATTAGGTACCTCAGGTAACTTCCTCCTTCCTCCTTCTCAGTTTCCTCCTTCCTCCTTCCTCCTTCCTCCTTCCTCCTTCCTCCTTCCTCCTTCCTCCTTCCTCCTTCCTCCTTCCTCCTTCCTCCTTCCTCCTTCCTCCTTCCTCCTTCCTCCTTCCTCCTCTTACTCTTACCACACTCCGCACTCCCTCCCCGGTGCTTTCCCCAGCTGCACCTACATCTCGCCAAACTGAACCGTGGTCCGTGGAGGCCAGACGTTTATGACAGAGCGTGAGGATGCCATAAGCATATATCAACATGGTGAATACCGGCCGAAATCAAAGCCTAGGTAGATCTTCGTTCAGTTCATCCGACAATTGAGAATACATCACTTGTCAGAAAATAACCTTACCAGCTATAATCTGCGACAATCTCGACCCTGCTCGGATCCGGACCGCCTCGCAAAATGTCGGACTGACGGGACGGGACTTATTATTGCACGGAAGTGGACCCACCTTCTACTTCAATGGACCAGACGGAAGTTTTTCTTTTAACCTCCTACTCTACGTCTCAACTACCAACCTCGGGATTGTAAAAAACTGTGTACCTAGAGTTGGAGCGTTTCATTCTCAGCCGTAACGCCGATTTTACCGCCCTGCCCCTTTCGTACTACCACCAAGAGGCCCAAAAATCATGAACGCAACCGACATCCCAACTTCCTATGGAAATAGGGACGTCCGTCCCAGCGGCAACCCGCATAATATTAACTGATTACTGCGGATAGGTGTGCCTTACCTGACGACGCCTAAATTGTATAATAATTGTGTTGTACTTGCCTTCTTCCCCCTCAAAATCGTTGTTAGCTTTAAGGTAAGTGGGCAGGTAGGGGGCTTTATTGACTTGCCGCAGCCATCAGTTGATCCCCGCTGTTGGTACCGTGCAAAAAATAGGTACCTCTAGGTAAAGACGCGCAAACGAGCTGGGTTGAAAACAAGCTTACCTCTATTAACAAACAACAAGCTTAATACGGCCCGTCCCATGATATATTTGCGGGGTGTATACAGTACTCGTGTGGTTGCACGAAATCTCACCGGCACCCACCCGCAAAATCGGCAACTCGCAATGTATTGACATGCAGAGTTCTTTCTTTGGACTCATGTCCATGGTTCCCATCCCTCCTTCTCCAGGATAGTCTTATCCAAGAAGGATAAAGGCTGCGCTGGAGCTGAGTGTGTTCTTCCGAGGTATTCCCGGGAAATATTGTTTCTTTTTCGTACGGCTGACGACCCGACTGAAGCTGAGCAATGAGTAGATACACACCTGTTTGCCGTCGTTGCATAGAGTTGCACTGAGGCTCATGTATTGTCTGAGTAAGCAAGGGATGTATGTATGTGGTTCGGTTGAACCAATGTTCATATGAGGCGCCGGAGAGGCGCTGCCGATGATTGGGCGAGAGACCCCGTTACCCTGCTGAGTTCCTGTGGTCTGGGGATGTGCATTGTGCAGAAGAGACAATTTTCGGGAGAGATTGCAACCTTTTCGACGGACGGAATGGAAGAGGGAAGATGCACATCTGACTGATAAATTGACGGGTTTGCACAGTTTTACCATGGTTCCATTGATGTCGGCGTAGCTGGAAGTACATTGCGAAATCAACAATGGGACCAACCAAACTCGAGGGGCATTGAAGCAGAGGCAGAGACTACCGAGTCCCTCCCCACTCCGTATGTCGTACCCCATGGGGGAGAGATAGTTCCGATGGCTTGGGCAAGGAGCTGGAGGGAGTCAGGTACTCCCCTTATTTGTACGACGATATCTGCGCGGCCCTCCCTAGGTAGCTCCCGAGACCGAGGAATGAGGATATCGATCAAAGTATAAGTGATGCTCCTCCCTCGACTCTCCCCTGCTGTTCTCTCATCCCGCTTCACCAGTCCAACATTCCTCAGTCTAATCCGTCACCGCCAGTAACCCCCAACTCCAGACCTCAAAGATGCATCTCCTCCCATCTCTCACCATCCTCGCTACCGCCTTCACAGCCCTAACCTCCGCCGTTGCCCTCCCCCAGTCCGAATCCAGAGCTGTGGTTGAATCCCGCACCTACGGCGGCGACAAGTGCCTCTGCGAGGAAGATGCCAACCTCCTCCGGGACGCCTACGTACGCATGATCAGCGCCTGGAACCCGGCCGATGCCAAGTACCTCACGGACGACTTTAGAGACACAAGCGGTAGCATCAACATTTTGATTGGGAAGCCGTTGGATGGATCAGTCCCTACGTTTGCGAACAAGCAGGAGTTTGTGGATCATATGACTGTTATGGTTCGTTCCCTTTTTTCCTGTCTTTACTACTCTCTCTTCACTTTCACTGCAGTTCTCTAACTAGGTACTACCTAATAACAAACAGCCCGACAACCTCCCCCTCCAAGTGACCTTCTCCACCTTCAACTGCAAGTACATCACGCTCATCTGGACCGCCACGTTTGGCGTCGCCCAAAAGGCCGTGCGCGGCATCGCCGTCGTGGGAACCGTGTACGACAAGAAGAAGAAGATGTGGCTGATTAATAGCCTGGATGTTGAGTGGAACTCGATGGCTTATCTTTTGGATATCGGGGGCAGCTATCAGGTGCCTGGACAGCCATAGATTGCTTTCCTGGTTTCTAGGAGGGGGGCGCTGGTTGGAGCGACGGTCGGGAGTGAAGATTTTGAGAAGAAGGCCAGGGAAGGGAGGGGAATGGTGCTGCGGTAACGCGGTAGTGGAAGCAGGGACGAGAATGGGGTGGAATGTAAATATTTCGTGGTGATTGGGTAATTCGCGAACCGAAGCGCAAAGGGGTCAAGGGGGATCTCGGGTGCCGAGCCGGGAACAAACATTCCATTCAAGGTTGGCGGCATCGGTTTGCATGCAAGGGACTGGACCCGGTGCAGCATGTGTCACGCGTGGTGCCTGGCTTCCATGTTTTCGTGTTCTTACACGTTGTATTTGCTGTTTGTAGTTGGATGATAGTTTAGTTGTTGGATATAATGAGATCAATCTGCTTGCAATTGACTTGCAGTTCACCGGTGATGTAGGTTGCGAGAATGAAGTTTTTCCTTCTGGATTTTTCAAGCCCAGCATCAAAGTGCATGCTTAGGTGCAATTGCCATCACTACAGAGGTAAGTGCTGAAGCATGCATGCCATGTAGATGGAGACATATGCTGTGTTCAGACTGTGACTCGTGTCGAAAAAAGGGTCGCTGAGACACTCACTCTGCCTGCGCTTCGGAGCCTTTGCCGATGCCGTGCCACAACGCACAACGTTAAATTTCTGTATATCTCCGTGTGTATTGCAGAACATTTAGACATAGAAGACTGATGAGAACGGAAAGTGCGCGTTTTGGTGATGATTTCCAAAGATCTCAGGCTATGGAGAAACGGAAATACGGCTGTACCCTTGATAGTTGCCGGCACACATGACATTCGTACCATTTCTTGCTTTATTGACGCCTATGAAAGTAATAGCGGTTCTGATCAAGTGGACTGAGGTTTTTTCTGGCTGATTAAACTTTGTGCTGGTGCTCAAAAACTCGAGTGTCCCTGTTGTCTGCCAGTTTGCGCTGTACAACAAATCCACATCACGAACCCCTTTCAATAGAGGTAAAATCGAGACAATATGAGAAGACAATTCTACATTTGTTTTTGCATGCACATATACTCCCAGTCAATCCAAGCTTCGCGTGGCTGCAATCTACGTAGCGCTGTTTATGCAAGTTGACTTCAGTCGGGTGCCCAATTGGGCTGCAAATGGAAAACCAGCGTTGCGAATGCACGCAGGTTTCGTGGGGAACTAATATGGCACCCACTTCTCGTAGTCCAACGAGTGAAAAAGAGGAAGTATAGAAGGTGTGAGATCGAATACCTCCCTCGGCCAAGGATTGGATGATGGAAAGACTGCAGTGCATGTTCATCACCTCAGAAAGGTCGGAGTGTAGGTGTTTGTAGGAAGATGTGCATGTGAAGAGAAAAGGGTGTGTCGGTTTTGATTCTGAGTGGTCAGCACAGTCGTTCCGAGTTGGCGCGATCCAAGATAACAACGAAGTGAGGGATAGGTGTTCAGGTCCCTAGGACACATTTGGAACGCCACTTCAGCCTCACCAAACTATACCATCCAATCGAGCTTGACTTGCCGTAAACTCACAAGTCATTCCTGCATTGGCACCTTGCGCTTACCCGCCGGACATCGGCTTCTTTGGGTATCGATTCTCTGACCCCGCTCTCTTTCCATCAACATTTCACGAGGAAGTGAGCGATATCAATCCATCAACCATCAAAACCTCAATCTGGTCCCAAAAACACCTCCTTCCTTGACGCCTCCATCTCTAGACCATTCCTCGCATACTGAAACAATCCTAAACCGCCAAAACCCAATCATGGACAACAACACCTCCCCCTCATCACTACCACCTCAGCACCAAGAACTCTCCTACACCACCATCCCCCTCAACACCCCCGCCACCGAAATCCGCCTCCTCGAGCTCTACCCCTCCGCCGACTTCTCCTCCCCGCTCCACTGCCGCCTCTACACCACGCCTATCGCCCGCCTGCACCCTTCAAAGCCCTCTCCTACGCGTGGGGCAGCGACGACAAGACGCATCTGATATACATCGATTCGTCCAATGTCACCAGCGACAACGGCAACGGCAACGATGCAGAATCAGATGCAGATGCAAGCCTTGCAAGCGGTCTCAGCGCTGTCGATATTTCTTCCGATGACAACGAGGTCGATACCGTCGACGGCGGTAGGGCTGGGGCTGATGCTCTGAATGGAGAGAAGTGTATAATCCGGATAACAACCTCGCTGGACACTTGTCTGCGTCATTTGCGCGCTATACACCACCGCGACCACCCTTCGGCCATACTGACACTCTGGATCGATCAACTCTGCATCGATCAATCTGATTCGGATGAAAAGGCTGTTCAAGTCGGACTTATGAGTCAGATATACTCGCGCGCCAAGCAGGTGCTGATTTGGCTGGGTCCGGCAGCGGACGGGTCAGATGAAGTGATGGATGTATTGGCGGAGCTGGGGAAGGAGTTTGAGATTGTTGGAATTCGCCTGGGCGATTTGGAAAAGATTTTGAAGTTGACGAATGAATATGTGCGTAACTCACTGCGTATCTCAGCTGAGGGCAACGTGGGTGAGAAGAGGAAAGAGAGGATTGGGGTAACGAAGGAGAAGGAGGTATCTCTACCTCTAGGAAAGGAGATCGATTGTGGTATTGGTGTTGAGGGAGGCACTGGAACTACCTGTGGAGGTGATGGGGTCGTCAATGCCCCTGGTGGTGGTGACGCTACTGCTGGTAACAGCGATGAGGTTGAAATTGGGGTTGAGTTAGGACTGGGCGTGGACGTCACCGATATCGAGGCATTGGACGAAGCAGCAGTGGTCTGCACCACAAACAAGGCCGATGCAAGCACCGGAAAGACCGTTGTGGCAGTCGTGGAGGATGGAGCAGCAAGACTTGGTCGTATGGGGGTGTCGGGAGAGTTGCAAGCTTTTTTCCGACGCCCATGGTTTACGCGCTTGTGGGTCGTGCAGGAGGCGTGCCACTGCGCCGACACTGTCTTTGTGTGTGGAACGAAGCCGCCGGTGAGCTACGATATTCTTGGGACAATTCCCGTCTGTACGCTTCGCGCCGTACAATGGCCTGGGCACAAGCGAAACGACATGTCGGATTGGGGCGGGGTAAGCCCCATCTGCACCCACCGCAAAATAGCCGGGGTGGGGGTGTCGGATGATGTGGCCGAAGCCTTTGATGGCTTGTCAGGATATACATTTAGGTCATACCTAACTCGGAGAACAATTCAGCAGATCTCGAAAGGAGTGGGGGGTGACGATCTATTCACGCTGCTCGTCGGTACGTACACGAGGGGAAATCGGGGTGGAGAGACGACGTTGTACAGAGATCGAATTTATGCTTTGCTGGGTCTGGCGACGGATATCAATCAGCTGGAGTTCCAACCCGATTATTCAAGTCAAACGAGCACTGCGCAAATCCTAACCGACGTAGCAAAGGCTATCATCAGCAAGACGAAGCGTGAATTCCCGGTTGAGGTTCTTTCTTATTCGCAGTTTCCCAAAACAATCCTCGACGATGGGAGTGATGAACAACTACCATCGTGGGTACCGGATTGGAGGTCTGACTTAAGATATCCTTTTTATTATTCACTCAGTGACACGGATATGTTCATGGCATGCGGGCCTCATCGCTCAGTCGATATGGTGCCGACTACACCTGCTAGTGTGCTGGGTCTACGAGGATATCTGGTTGATACCATAGAAGAGGTGGTTGTTACTTCGACGATAAACAGATGGCGTGAGAGCATTGAGTTCTTTGAAAAGTGGGACAAACTATGGGAGCTCTCGAAGCAGAAGAACAAACCCATATATGCAACTCCAGCACGAAGAGAGGAGGCACTTTGGCGTGTGCCCGTTGGAGATATAACAGAGGATTGGCAAAAAGATACGATGGGAGACACGAGGGCAAAGGCTGGTTTCGCCCTCGAATATCAAAAATGGAGACGTACTTTAGAAGATGAGAAGAAGAAAGCTACCTCTACTGTATACTTCTTATACGAATTAGACGCAGATAAAGGATATTACTACCGCAGCGCTACGGGAAAAATGATCGGAATGAGGCTATACCTCACAAAAGAAGGGTACATGGGTATGGGACCCTCCAACATGCAACCCGGGGACGTGGTTGTTGTATTTCCAGGGGCCCGGATCCCTTTCGTGTTACGACCCACGGACGAAGACAACACATTCACCTACGTGGGAGACGCATACTGCGATGGCATCATGGATGGAGAGATCATCTTCAGAGAGGAGAGACGGGATTTCTTCCTAGTGTAGGACTCGGACCGAAAGCAAGAGCAATGAATAGGTAGAGGTGGTGAACCAGTCAAAATCGCAGTAACAATGAATACAACACAGAAGCTAGGTGGATAAAGGTGTCCAAGTCCCAAGACATAAGCAACTAATCCGTTGTATTTTAAAGGTAAGAATACCCAAGAAGGCTATCTGTGATACACACACACACACACACACCGACACACACACACACACCGACACACACACACACCGACACACACACACAACAACAACAATAACAACAATAATAAAAATAACAATGATAAAAACAACAATGATAATAATAATGAATGTTTTTTTAAAGAAAAAAGATTAAAGAAACAAAAGGAGAAAGAAAAAAAAAACACTGATAGGTAGAGGTAGACAGCCAAGAAAAGAACTAGGTCTAATTACCTACCTCCTTGTTCATCGGTCAAGTTGCATGGTTCGTTGCCGGTTATTATCCTCAGCTTGATCTACTGGTCAGCATTGCAACAACGGCACAACCCCGCCTCTTCAAGTGCGGGACATTGCTACACACCAGAACGGCAATGCGCATGTTTTCGGCAGCTATATTGACGAGTCTATAGTGTTATACCTCTAAAATCCCGGTTATGCTCGTATGTCTATGTTCGAATGTTGGCAGGACCAAGGATTTGTGCGGCCATGTTCCTTCTTTTGTGCGTTCAGGCCCTGTGCAACTTTTGCGTAACAGTCTTCTCAACCTTACTGACAACGCTATCCAACGAGGGGCACCTGTTCTTGTTCTTAGCCCACTGCTCCCGGCCCAGGTTAAAGAACTCGCGGAGGCCGAAACCCTTGTTCCATCCCTTTTCGGTGCGGTAGGCCTCCCTGATTTTGAAGAACATGGAGCCCTGCGACCAAACACTTCTTGTTAGTATAGCTCTTGGCAAAGGGTTAACCCGGGACAATGGATGGTTACTCACATCATAAATCCTCCTCAGATCCTCCTTGTCCACCATCCCGTCCTGCTGCACCAGCAACCACGTCACCCCAAACTCAAAGATGCCCGCAGCCCAACCGAACGGGTCCGCAGCGAGCCTGTTGGCAGCTATCATGTTCCACAGCTCGCCCGCCGACAGCGCGCCCTTGTCGCCCCTGTCCCACTTGCTGAACATGTCCTCAAACGCCTGCGGCACGAATCGGCCTTCCTTGTCGTACGTGCCCGAGTCCGAGCCGTGCTTGGCCTTGTGGATGGACGGCAGATACAGCCGGAAGTAGGGGTCAGGAATGTAGGAGACACCGAGACGGGTCGGGTACGAGAAGTTGAGGTTGATGACGAGTGTCGCTAAAAAGCAGAAAAAGAGGTTGAAGCCGAGTTCGTAGAAGCCAATGAAGGTGTCTTGTGGCCAGATCACGCCATCCCTGTCGCGATCCCAGAACATGCAGTGTTGTTGGAGGACGGTCTGCGTGTGGGGAGGATGGATTTTAGCGAGTGGACTTGGAGGGTAAACGGAGATAGAGAGGGTTGGGTGACATACGTAGTCCTTGAGGTCTAGGGCGTCGACATATTCGGCACTGCCCTCGGGCTGCTCGGTCGATGGGGCCACGTTCGCGCGAGCGATGCTAGGCTTGTAGATGTCGACATCAATGTCGATTGCTTGGGGACGTTCAGCCGTGGGAGGACAGTTGGAGACGGCAGTAGCAAAGTCGACGCCTTGTCTTTCGTCGTCGACCTGTTCATCCTCTCTAGGAACTACTCTGACCGGCATCTTGGTTGGTCGCTAGTCTCGTGGGTGTTGGGGAGTATACAGCTTGGTCTTGTAATGATGTTGTCCAAAGAATGATCACAATTCAAGTTGGTGGGAAGAGGGAGGTTGATATAGGTGACGATAAATCGGCAGTTGGAGGTCGGATGGAGGAGACGGACGACACCCTACCAGATCGCCTGAGGGGTGCCTGGTAGATGTGATACGGACTAAAGCTCCATCCAATTGGGTTGGAATGGGCGGGAGTAGCCGGAAGTGGCTGTCATCGCATCGCATCTGTTAAGCGACGTCGAAAAAAGAAATGGGATGGCACATGTCGTTTTCCTTGACTTTGTGTTATTCGTGGACCTTGATGGATTTGTTGATGTAGTGACGTCATGGTGAGAGCTCGAATGGAACGAGTACACTGAAAATGGGTCCTTTGAAGGCGGGGTTCAGTGTTGACATGTGCTTGTGCTGACTGGAAGTGATGAGGAGGAACAACAGAAAACGACTGGAGTTGAAATGTCTTTGTAGGGCAAATGAACTTTTCCCAATCATCATTGCCGGCAATTCCCTTGCATGTGAAGATGGCTTGAGGTTGTCTGTCGATCATGTTCTTGTCTCAAAGCCAATGTTAGTGTAGTGCACTTAGCTTTGTTTATCATTGCCTTTCTGTACTCCACCATTCCTACCCTGCCGCTATTGAAGTGGCCCGGACCCTTCCACTTCCTTTGGCTCCTGGAGGCCAATCAATGAGCCCTATAAGTGCCGGCTCGGAAGCTGCTATAACAGGCACTAACAATTTCCACACAGCGGACTCCCCAAACGAATGGAACGTCCACACACAGGGGCAACTTCTCATCCATCACAACACCTCACCCGCCCTGGCCCATGTTTCGAATAAACAATCTCCCTTCTTGTCGTAATATGTATCGCAAATCATCCGCGATCCTCTCCTTTACCCGTGTCATATTACCTCCCGTGCCGTTGGCGATTCATCCTCCAGAAACGGAAGCCCGGAGACGCAACAATAAAGTGGCTGGCAGGGTTCCAATAACAGCCTTTATACTGGGCTGTTTGGTGACACGACATGTAACGTTGATTTTAATTTGCGCGGGCATTCTTCTGCTTGCAAAGTTACACGTCAAAGCCTTGGAGCAGGATAATCGCGACGCCCAAATCATACCATGAATGGAAGCCTGGTATAAGGTGCCCTCGTGTAATGTTCCTCGATCGCGACGCTGCGAAGGCCGCAATTGCCCGCTACCTCTAGCCTCACCACAGCGCCCATCCACCGTGGGCTCTTCACGATGCACCTCAGGAAGTCTCCATTAACGCTTCAGGTGTTGTTCGGCGCCATCCTTGGTATTGCCATAACCACTGCGGCAGACTCTAGCAGCGCTCTAGTATCAACACCAGGCCAAATAGCACCCGTTCCTGCATGGTACTTGCAGTCATCAACAAAAGCAGCAAGTGATTTGGAAGCTCTCTCCCGTCCAGGCATTGACACATCAGGATGGCTGCACGTCAACACATCCAAGTGCACCCTGATGGGCTGCCTGCTAGAAGCCGGCATCTACAACGACACCGAGCTATTCTACTCGGACAACCTCCGAAGAGTGGACAGCAAGCAGTTTGAAGTCCCGTGGCTGTACCGACAGGAATTCGGACTGGATCCAGGAGCTGGAAAATACTTCCATCTTCTCACGCATGGAATCACTTCCCGCGCCGACGTGTATCTGAATGGAAAACAAGTAGCGGACAAGAAGACACAGGCGGGTAGCTATGGAGGACATACGTACGACATCACTGATTTGGTTGACAGGGACAATGCGTTGCTCATCCAGGCACATCCCACGAGCTACTACGCCGACTTTGCGTTGGGCTGGGGGGACTGGAATCCGTGGCCTGCAGACAATGGCACAGGAGTATGGCGAGATGTGGAAATCAAGCAGACCGGATCTGTTGCTCTTGGACCCCTACGAGTGGTGACCCAGCTGGGAACGCCCTGGGATAGCTCACCCGCGAACGTGACTCTCAAATCCCGTGCCCAGAACTTGGAGAATGAAGAAGTAACCATCACCGTTACCGGCACCGTATTCCCAGAAGGCTACACCGGCGAGACACTAACCTGGTCCCAAACCGCCACTCTCCCGCCTCTGTCTACCACAGACGTAACCCTCACTACCACTGTCCAGAAGCCAGCCATCTGGTGGCCAAAGCAATGGGGTTCCCAACCACTTTACAACGCTCAACTCTCCGTCTTCGCTTCCAACAACACCCTCTCCGACCAGGTTTCCGCAGTATTCGGCTTCCGCACCGTCACCTCCCAGCTTAACTCGTACGACGACACCACCTTCTTCATCAACGGCCAACCATTCCAAGTTCTTGGCGCTGGCTACGCCCCCGACATGTTCCTCCGCTTCTCTTCTACCAAATTCGAATCCGAAGCTCAATACATTCTCGACCTCGGCTTCAACACCATCCGCCTCGAAGGCAAGAACGAGCACCCGGAACTCTACCAGATCGCCGACCGGCTAGGCATCATGATCCTCGCCGGATGGGAGTGCTGCGACAAATGGGAGGCATGGAGCTACAACCAGGACCTGGCAGTCCCAACCCCAGTCTGGAGCGAAGACGATTACGGTATCGCCAACGCGAGCATGTTCCACGAAGCCGGGATGCTTCAAACTCACCCGAGTATCCTAGGTTACCTCATCGGCAGCGACTACTGGCCAGATTCCAAGGCAGCACCAATGTACATGAACACCCTTCGACTTCAAGACTGGCCAACACCTGTACTATCCTCCGCTTCAAAGAGGGGAGGATTCCCCTCCTTCATGGGCTCGCCCGGTTTAAAGATGGAAGGTCCCTACGACTGGGTCCCTCCCAACTACTGGTACGACACCGAACCAAGCGCTAGCCGTTTTGGAGCAGCATTCGGTTTCGGCTCAGAACTAGGCGCGGGCGTTGGAACCCCCGACTTATCCAGCCTGCACAAATTCCTCTCTCCATCTGACCTCACCGACCTCTGGAAGAACCCCAACAAAGATTTGTTCCACATGTCCTCCACCGAAACATCCAGCTTCCGCAACCGCAACATCTACAACTCTGGTCTCTGGAACCGGTGGGGCGCACCCACTTCTCTCGAGGACTATGTCCAAAAGACCCAAATCACCGACTACGAAGCCACCCGCGCCCAATTCGAAGGGTACGCAGCCAACTGGAACTCCCCCAAGCGGCCTGCCACGGGTATGATCTACTGGATGTTAAACGGTGCTTTTCCAAGCTTGCACTGGTCTATCTGGGACTACTACATGCATCCTGCCGGGGCGTATTTCGGTGCCAAAGTCGGTAGTCGGATTGAGCATGTGGCGTTCGACTACGTCAAGAAGAACGTGGTTCTTATCAATAGGTCTTTGGACAAAGAAGGCCCAAGAAGTATCGATATCGAAATAATAGATCCAACTGGAAAGACACTATACACCAAGACAATAAAAACGACAACCGAGCCGAATACAAGCAGGGAAATCACTTCTTTGGCTTCTGCTTTTGAGGATATCAAAGATGTGGTCTTTCTTCGTTTAGTCCTCTCCGACAACTCTCCTAACTCCAATCCAACCTCCAAAGACACAGAGTTGAGCAGCAACATCTACTGGCTCTCCAGCAACCTCGACACTGTAGCCTGGGACAACTCCAATTGGTACTACACGCCTGTAACCAAGTATAGCGACTACACAGCCCTCAACAAGCTACCTGCTGCGAACGTGAGTGTCAGCGTGACTGCTTGGTCCAAGGGGCATTCTGAGTACGAGTCTTCTTCGAAGGTGCAGGTGACGTTAGAAAACCATTCTTCCTTTCCTGCCTTCTTCATCATTCTCAACTTGGTAAACAAAGAAGGAAGGGATGTGGTGCCGGTGATTTGGGAGGATAATTACTTGACGCTGTGGCCAAGGGAGAAAGTTACGGTGCAAGTTAGGACTCTAGAAGGGGCGGGACTGGCACATGCAGCTGCTGCTGTGGAGGTGGTTGGGAAGAATGTCAAAGGGATGACGGTGATGGTCGGTTAAGGGTGGGAATTAAAGGTCTTGAACTCCGGAGTATTCAAGTTCGGTCATGCCATTGAAGCGGGGGGAACGCAGTGGCTGACAGACATCTCGAAATCCTGGGACCATGGTGTTATAACATTGCTTAATTTGACATTATTCATGACTTCGTACAGGCTTCTACATAATGCTCAACGGGCTAACTGCAAGCGAAGCGAGCGAGGTGCATCCACGGCATCTCGGATCCGAACACGCCCCATATTTCCGGCTCCGGGTGGCCTGTGCACCCATGCCGTATGACGTAACTCCCGGGTGATCTGATTCCGGGCCCAGGTCTCTTCTCCGCGCTCCTCCTTTAGCGGACAGTGTATCCACCGTCAATCAGAATATCCGCGCCGGTGGTGTAGCTGCTGGCATCGCTAACCAAGTAAACATAGGCACCCTTCAACTCCTTTGCATCGCCGTTCCTGCCCAGCGGAATCATGCTCTTCCACAAATCCTGCGTCTTCTGGTCGACAAAGTCCGAGAGGCCGGTGTCAATGTAACCGGGCGAGATGCTGTTGACACGGGCAAAGTCGCGCCACTCGTTGGCCAGCGACCGGGCCATGTGGATGCAGCCGGCCTTGGCGACATTGTACGACGTCTGCTCCTGCGGGTAGTTGGCGATGTGGCCGGAAATGGAACTCGTGATGACGAAGGAGCCACGGCCGCGCTCCTTGAAGTGCGGGCCGACCGCCTTGGCGCAGTAGGCGGTACCGTTGAGGTCCGTTTCGATGACGCGGTCCCATTCCTCCTTGGAGCCGTCGAGGACACCCGACTTGGCTGTGGCGCCGGCGCTGTTTTCGTTTGTATTAGCATGGATTCCTAGATAACCACGATAGTTAGAGAGAAGAGAGAGCGTTAACATACTTGGCAATAAAAGCATCAATCTGGCCGAAATCCGCAATGACGTCCTTCACCAGCTTCTCGCATTCCGCATAGTCGGCTACGTTCAGCTTGTAGGCCTTGGCCTTGATTCCGTACTCCTTCTCCAGCTCGGCAACGTTCTTCTGAGCGCCCTCGGCCCGCGAGGCGTACGTGATGGCTACTGAGGCGCCCATCTCGGCGCAGCCACGGGCGGCTTCGATGCCCATGCCGCGAGGACCGGAAGCACCGGTGATGACGACGACTTTACCCTTGAGGCTGAAGAGGTCTGAAAGCTTGGAAGCCGAGGGGATGGCGTTGCCTTTGGTGGTGGAGGCCATGGTTGCGGTTTGGTATTTGGGCTTGTATGGGGTTGGTTTTGGTTGTCGATGTGGTTGTGGTTTGGTCAAGATGGTGGCTGAGAAAGTTCTTGGTTGGTTGTGTTGTGGTTTTGAGAAGAGAGGAAGAGATGAGATGCAGATGGGAAGATGCCGTCTGGTCAACGGGGAGCAAGTTGTTGATGCTTTATACGTTCGTACTGCCTGCATGATTGCTAATACCTACATACGTACCTATCTACCGATCACCACTTCTCGTTCGACGTTCAATGTAACAGTGTATGCCACTGCAGGTGTGAATGGGGAGATTTCTTTTGTCATAGTGGATGACGGGATGGCCCTTACATGTAATGATGTCATGATTAGGGGAACTGCAACGCGCATGCCGGTTCGGAAATAGTGGGCATGCTGTATTAGTGTTTGGGGAATGCCTAGGCCCTATCCTGTTTGTCGGTCTGCTAACATTTTGCTGTGTTGAACAGCTGCCTAACTGATAGGCCACTATTTGCACCGGACGGGTCGCGTTATTTCGCTATCTTGGCCCTCACTGCTCCTGCATCCGGATACAGATGCGTGTGCATAACCGAGCCCACATTGAGCTCACTCGGTGGGGTTTGGTGGTGGTGAACGTGGACGCCTGCCAACATTTGCTTTTGCTGATATCCTCTTGGCTCGCTGCTTTATAATCTCGGTGTCACTGACAAGATCATGATGGGAAGTGTGAATGATCGTGATAGCCTGCAAGAATGCTCGCTGTTTACCAATACTGCCAAGATCCATCTTCATGGTTCTGTAGCTGCTTCCCCTAAATTCTGTTGTTACACGTGTACTTGCATTGGCAAGAATGAAGTCCCTGATCACTTTTGGCAGGACCCAAACGACGGCAACTGAAATCACTGCCTGCAGGGACCGCGGGCGCGGATCTTCCCGTCGCGCGAACGCAGGCACCTTTCAGTCTTCCTGCGACCTCTCGGCTCCCGAGACTTCCCCAAACCTTCACTCCTCCTTCCCATGCAGTGCTGTCAGTCAATCAGCCACCTCTGAGCCACCCGTACGCAACCATTGTTGGATACACTCACTAGGTACGTATAGAGATATATAGATGCTCATTGACACACAGCTATTTGGACTCTTTCCATCAATGCCGGGAAAATGCAAGTACCATTACATCAAAGTTCACGATCGCTCCTCTTCATCACGTAGAGCACGGTATCAGGTGATAAGCTCAGATGTGCTCCGGTTCCGTCGTGTAAAAGCAACAATACACCTCGCTTACAAGAATAATGCCTCCACCACGACCTTGTGGCACCCAGAACCCTCTTCTATCAATCGCTTAGTCTAGTAGGCGAAGACGGTTCAAAGGGAAGATCTACAGCCTGGGCCGAAAGAGACAAGTGAAGATGGGAATAACACCAGACCATACCGCCATCCAGCCTCGAAGCAGACCCATGATCTCAGAGGCTGGCCCCTTTCCTCCTCGTCATAACCTATGGCTCCCCCCGTCCAGGAGCCACCGCAGACCAACAACCTGGAAGGTGATGGAGAAGCGTCTGCCCTTCGACGAGCCCACCATGGACCTATTTATTTACCTCCATCTATATCGCCCTCCTCATTGACTCTTGGGTCCTCACATGTGACATGTCTGCTAAACAGAGGGATATCCAGTTCCATCTCAATTAACCCAAGAAGAACCATGGCTACCACCTTGGTACCTACCAGTCTACCACGACCTCACCTTCCGTGCCCAGCCTAGGACTAGAACTTTGATGAATCGACCTGGCTACTAGAACTAATACAATTCCATGTGCCGTAGTATGTAGAACCTTGCCCTTTCGTCTTGCACATTACCTACACTACACCTAGGTTTGTGGCAGGTCTGGGGCAGGTCTGAAGCAGATGTGAGTTAGCTTGGCAGATCAACGGTTGGTATTTATTCGCCCCTGGACAGTGGACTGTGGACTTTGAACAATGGACAAGGGAACTGCATACCTTCCGAATAAGGACAGGAAGGGAGAAGAGAATTGAAATGACATGCATAGAGAGGTGGGGGGAGGGGAAGGAGGAAGGAAAGAGAAGAGGAGGTTACTTGGGATTGAGTGTCCTTCAGTTAGTTCTGATAGTTGGGGTGGTAAATCTTTTCAAATTTTTCTTTTTTTCTCTTGCTTTGTTATGTCGTTGTGTGTCCAGCAAAGAGATGATTGTATGTTGAGTGTTAACGGGATGGGAAGAGATTGTCTAAGTACCTACCTTTAATTTTGCACGTGCGACGCTTTTTGTTGGTGATAGCTTACATCGATAAAGACTAGATAAGAATGACAATGGCGGATTCCGGAAACAGCTCTCATTTTAGTTCTAATTCTGATTCTGGGTTTGATACTGGGTCTGGACGGAAAGAATGATGGGAAGGGTGATGGAGATGATTGCGACGAGAACAACCGATGTGCTGCTGGACGGGGTGTTGGTATGGCTGCCACTTTGAATTGATGCATGGCAATATGAAATGGCATTCATCGGCTAAAGTTATGCTAAACATAAAAACAGTCGGATGAGTATGTGGAATGGTCGCATAAAAAGGCGTTGTTGATGTTATTGGACACTCCCTAACAATTTTGCTTGACAAAAAGAGCTTTGATGTAGATGCCCGCGGATGCATGAAACTCCGATAGCTTCCGTACATAGTTCGATTCTTCCTCGGGTTCCCGTATTTGGTCGGTCATCACCATCTCTCTTCTAAGAACTTGTGCATGCTTACTGTAACCATCGGATATCAGCGGCAAGCGATGCCATAGGATTTGACCCCTGGCTTTGGGCTGCCATCCAATGTCAGACGGGATCGATCTGGCGTAACACAAAGACCACACATAAACTTCGGCGTCAATGGACCAAAAACGGTTACTTCTGCTGTCAGCAGTCAGCATGCACGCCACCGGCACACGTTCGGTACCGTTGCTTGCGTCACACACCTTATTTCAACGACACGACACGACACGGCACGACACACATCTTTGACCCTTTCATGATTTTTTGTTTTCTTTCAATTGTTTTCTTATTCATAAACTAGCAATTACAATTTACATAGCTAGCGGCGGGTATAATACATCCATCCATCCATCTCTTTTGCTTTTTGTTATTTTTAAAAGAGAGAAAAAAATTTACTCATCCTTGATGTGAAGGACAGCCTTGCCAAAGTTCTCGCCCTTGAAGATACCGACAAGACCCTTGGGGGCGTTGTCGATGCCCTCGGTGATGTGGAGCTTGAACTTGACGGAGCCCTCGGCGATCCACTTGGAGAGCTGCTCCTGGTGCTCCTTGGCGTACTTGGGGCCAAAGTCCTTGTCGAAGACGATGAAGCCGCGCATCGTGAGGCGCTTGGCGACCACCTGGATGAGGTTCTTGACGCCGTAGGCCTCTTCGGGCTTGACGTTGTACTGGGAGATCTGGGTGATAATTGCGGTTAGTACAAGTGAAATAAGGAAGCAGGGGGAAACGAAGAAAAAGAAAACTCACCATGCCGCAAGCGACAATGCGACCAAACGTGTTGAGGCACTCGAGGGCAGCGTCAAGGTGCTCACCACCGACGTTCTCGTAGTAAATGTCAATACCCTGAGGAGCCAACCTCTTGAGGGCATCGAGCGGCTTCTCCTTCTTGTAGTTGAAGCCACCATCGAAGCCGAGCTCGTTGATGATGAAGTCGAGCTTCTCGTCGGCGCCGACGGAGCCGATAACCTTCAAGCCCTCGCGCTTGGCGATCTGGCCAACGACCTGGCCGACAGCACCGGCAGCACTGCTGATGAAGATGGTCTCGCCGGCCTTGGGCTGGCCAATCTCCTTGTACGACGACCAAGCGGTCAGACCGGGCATGCCGAGGGGACCGAGGAAGAGGCCGAGGTCCTTGAAGCCGTACTTGTTGTCGATCTTGGTCTGGACAACCTGGCCGACGATGCCGCCCATGACGGAGCCGACCTCGGTCTTGGTGAGGGCGGCATACTCGGCAATGGGCAGGTGGGCAATAACGAGGTCACCGGGCTGGTAGTCGGGGTTGTCGGACTTGAGGACCTTGGCGACGGTGTCGTTGGTGACGGGGCCGCCGAGCTGGTAAGCGGGAGCGTAGGACTTGATGCTGGCGTCACGCATGCGGCCGCGCTGGTAGGGGTCGAAGGAGGCCCAGAGGATGGAGACGGTCATACCGCCCGGGGGAGGAGCGGCATCGGGGTCGAAGCCACGGTCCTCGACGACGATGTGCTCACCGGGGACGGGGTATCCCTCGGGGATCTTCTTGAAGACGAGAGTCTTGTTGTGGGTGGGAGCCATTTTGATGTGTTGTGGGTGTGATTTTTGTCGGGGTGGTTTTGAAAAGGGCGACGAACAGACAACAAACAGACTGGACCATGGGATTTATATCAACAAGAGCAAGAAGGGTCCGAACACACGGTGGACAGCGTCAACAGTGGGGACATTGCTCGGATCGACTGGAGACAGTTTTGCTGATAAAGCACGTTTTCGATGAGACGATTAGAATCATGAAGAAATGGTGACGTGGGGCAATCGATTCGGAGACTTTCCAGAGGCCACGGCCTAGTGTACGATCCGCCCCTGTGGGCTGCTTCCTGGGATTTGGTCCCCTTTGCCTCGGATCATGATGCACTCAGACACCGCCGTAAAGGAGGCTGTTTCATGGGTGTAAATACTACCTACTTGTAGTCAAGCGGTGTTGTTTGTTGTGTTGTATTGTTGTGGTGATGCTGTGGGTGATGGTTGCCCAGCAATTGCGCCATTCACCTATTGTTCAGGCAATTCAGTTGGCTTGATAAGCTGCTAGAGGTATCGTCATGACCTGTATTTCCAAGCAATCCAATCATAGCAAGGAGTGGTCTGTGTTCCGAGTCCCAATTGACATCTCAAAGCTGCTCTCTCGCTGTTCAATTGGTTTTTTGGAGCTCTCGGAGCTTCCAGCTTGCACTGTAAAGGTACCTATCTTATCGCCAATCGCAATCGCCGAGAACTGAAGTGAGAACTCAATCGGCGGAAGGAGCCCCGCGCGCGGGGGGGCCGCCCTTTCCGCTGCCCTGGGATGTCGCCAAGTACCGAGGCATCTCCGGGGGGGGGGGGGCATTTAAGCTTGTCTCTTCACCGTCCGTTTCACCAACGAATTTCCCCTGCCCGTCCGCTTCTCCATTCTGATTTCTAAGCACACCACAACACGAGTTTTATGCAAGATCTTAAACCTCGGCTTGTACCGCTGTACAAACACTAAAATATACCCCGTCCCTCGTATCACTACCGATTCCGACTGGTGAAACAATCATGTACCGCGGATGGTCTACGTGCATTGTGCAACCTCGGGAAGCTCCTTCTGTTTGGTTTCAGAACTTTGACAGGCCACGATTGTTTACATTACGTCATGAACTATGGATTTTCCCGGCAGCTTCCGGCAACCGGCCCTCCCGGCAGGCACTGATGATAACCTGTAATGGTAACAGCTTACACCCTAACCCTCTCTACTCTTTCTTTCCCCTTCCCTCGCCATGTTCCCCAACACAACACAACGACCTCAATGCGCAAACCTGAAATCCAACCTCCGACTCCCTTGCACCTTGGTCGTCTTGATATACTCGGCCTTCTGCTCCTCCGTCAGCCCATTCCACACCTTATCTTTCTGCTTATTCCTCCACACATAGTACGCCTTGGTGAACAAGAAGACGCCAATCGCCAGGAAATTAATCACCACTAGCTTGGTGTTGCCATCATGGTAATACGGCTTATCGTAGTCCAGGTAGATGAAATTAGCCACCACGTTGCCTAGTTGGACCGACATGTTGTACAGCGCCGCCGAGACGCTGCGGGCCCCGACATTGTTGGCGTTTTTGGACGTCCAGGCTACGAGGATGGCGTGGCAGTAAGGATACGACAGGAGGACGGACATGAGCGCATACGTCCCCCAGGCGTTTTCGATCAGACCGGGCCAGAACCTGAGCGCCAGGATGCAGGGGAGTGTCCAGAGGCATTGAAGCATGGCCACAAAGGTTCGCTCCTTGAGAATGTCGGAGAGCCGGGTGAGGAGGAGGAGGGTGATGATGTGGACGACGGACTGTGTTTTCCCGTCATGTCAGCATTTGGCATTCCCCAAGGAACATGACAGGGATAAACTCACCGATGGAATAACCAGCAGATTCGTATTGAAAGCGCTAAACCCCAGCCTCCTCAGCGTCAAAGTCAAATAATAGTTTACCGGCGTTTGCGGAATATACGCCACCAGCCCAATCGCATACAGCGGCCAGAGATCGTAATCCTTCAGAGTCTCCCACAGCCTCTTGGGCGTAATGGCCTCACGGTTATGCATATCGCCCTTGGACGGATCATCTCTCAGCACGCGGTTAACAACAATGGAGACTTCGCGGTCCGTGAACCACCCGTTGGGGCGAAACCACGTCTTGGTCTGCACGGCCGAGGCAGGCATCATGAAGAAGGAGGCCAGGCCGATGCAGAGCGTGATGAGCCCTTCGACCAGGAACATCCATTGCCAGCCCGCCCAGCCGTTGATGCCGCGCATGTGCAGGAGGCCAAAGGCCATGAGACTGGTGATGATGGAGGTGGTGGAAAGGGTGGTCCAGAAGTAGGAGAGGCGGATGGGAAGCTCGCGCGAGGTGTAGAAGTAGGAGAGCCAGAGGACAATGTCGGGGATGAAGCCGCCCTGGAGATTGTGTCAGTTCTTGTTGGCCTCCTTAAATGTGGACGGGGAAGGTCACTGCAGGTAAGACGACGAACCTCGATAAGACCCAACAAACACCGCGTAGCGAAGAAACTGCCCCTTCCATTCAAGGAGCACTGCGAAATCGCAACGACAGACCACAACACAATCTGAATCGGGATCCAGCGATCCGGACCAAGCTTCTTCGACAGCAACTGAGACGGCAGTTCAGCGCATAGGAACGACACCAGGAAAATGACGTTGCCGTAGTTATAATCTGTCATGTTCAGTTAGCCTCATCTTTATCCTCTCCCTCTCCCTCTCCTTCCCCCCTCCTTTTCTTATTCCTTTCTCTTTTTTTTTGCTTTCTTTCTTCTCCTTTCTCTCTTTTTTCTTGTTCCCAACCCACCCCCAAATATAGCACAGATGACGGGAACTCACCATTCGTATCCAACCCCAAATCATCCAACATCCCATCCGCCAACGCCTGGCTCAAATTCCCCCGATCGACCTGCAACGCAAAAAACATGACTATCGCCCACGCACACGCCCGGAAATCAATCTTGCGAATGATTGCTTTCTCTTCTTCTTCGCTCCAGGTTACGCTCGGGTCGAACACCGCGCGGCACTCGTAGTCGGCTTCTTCGTAGACTTTGCGCCAGTGCGCGGCGACGACGGGGTCCAGAAAGGGGTTTCGTGTGAGGTCGGCGTATTCGGAGGATTCGGAGAGGTCTGTTGATGAGGAGGAGGAGAAGTTGAGGTTCTTGGTGTCGGGGGAGGGGGAGGGGGGGATCACGGTGCCGTAGGATGAGGGCTTCTTTTCGTCGGTGGGGGTTGGGAGGGCGGAAGAGGTGGAGGAGATGGGGGAGTCGGAATTGGGGGAACTGGAGCTCCCGCCTGAGCCAGAGCCTGGGTAGGGTGGTGGTAGTGGTTGTTGTTGTGGTTGTGACATGGCTGTCGAATCGGTTGGATGTCTGGTCGTGTGGTGTCGCTATGGTTGGGGGTAGGTGAGATCAGATGAGAGGCTACCTCTACCGCGGAAGCACAAAGTTTCGAACCCGACGGATCTCTTACAGATCGGACTGCAAAGACTGGCAGGACCCTGAGATGAGACGGGATGAGATGAGATGAGAGGTACCGACAGGCTGGTTGACGAGTTAACCTAAAGTAAGGCTGGCTCAACTGTCGAGAAAGATGTGTCGAAGATGAGACGCCAATGGCTCACGCAACAAGACGGCCGGGAAACGAAATGACTATATTTTTCCTAGGTAGGAAAATACGGACAGGTAGGTACTTGAAAACAAGTTACTTTGATGATGACAGGAGATGCCTTATATACAGTCCAGGGGCAAGCAAGCAAGTTACTTGGTGCTTCCGTCTCATTCCCGTCCCGGCTCCCACCACCATTGAGAAGGGAGCAAAGAAAGCACTAACTAACATGGATTGAAGTATGCAGGAAATATCCTACCTTGATTGCGTGATGGCTACCTACCTACTTACTTACTTACTTATCAGCCCGGTTGTTGGGTTGGCGGGTTATCGCTCGCAGAGTTCACTTGGGGAAACAAGATGGGGATGGGTAGGCACTAGGAACAGCAACTCTCGGGCCGCCCGTTCGCCACTTTTCTTTGCCCTATCTGTGGACTACCGTTGACGTTACTTGATAACGCTGACCTACATAAACTCCCCGAGCGACAGGGGAACGGGAGCAGGAGAAGAAAAGCGCAAGTGAGAAAAGCGTGGGGTGGGCAGCCGTGTCAACAACCGACCCGAACCCGGGAAACCACTACCGCATACCGGTACATGACACGGACATTGGTGTTGGCAATCACCTTGGAAGAGATTGATCAATGGTCAATGGTCAATGGTCAACGGTAGAGGTACGTATCCCGCTGCTGACTATCTGTATGCCCTGTCCGGGTTCTGGATAGACGAGGAGAGTGTCCGAGTGGAAGTGGAAGTGGAAGTGGAAGTGAGAAGCGAGAAACAGCTAGCTACCTAGCTATCTATGTCGTGATTCCTTTCCGGGATGAGACGACTTCGTTGGGCTCGGAGTGAATAGACTATAGGGGAATTGGTCTAGAGATCCCGCACGCATCCCGCATCCCAGTCGATATGTAGCTAAGGTAGGTAGGCAGGTAGGTACCTCTAGTCTGGGGATGGCTCTTTCTTTGGGAGAGGTGCTAGATGACGGTGAGTCTGGGGCTATATGTTCTAGACTACCTAGGTAGACTGCAGTCTGTTTGTTGGTTTAATCATCGTTAGATGAGATGGGAGGGTGCTGTTGTTATCCACAACGAAACGAGAGTGAAGAGGCAACACTGGCGATAGGAGTCAGGTACCTCCCGTCCATCTTCATGAGACGTAAAAGAATGCCAATATCGAACAAGCAACTACCAAACGACTTCGCCATGCGACTCTTGACGAAGCTTGTTAAAAACAAAACGCAAGCTCGAACGCGAACCCGCCCGCTCCTTCCCGCCCATTCACAACAAGCTTTGGTTGGCATGCGAGTTACGCCCACGTTGTCGTAAGCTGTTTAGTTCTCGTTTCCTGACCAAGATATAAACTACGAATGGCGAGCCATGGTGGTGGATGGTGCAATCAAATAGTTTCCCGTTCTGTGTGGGAGCTTCGCCAGTGATGTACGGTCTTGGGGGCTGTTCGTCAACCCCCTGGAGTATGGCACCATCGCGACCCCACTCGCTGAATGGGTGTGTCAGCCAAGTAAACACTCACGACATGGCGACAACAGTACGTCCGGAATGGGTCAGAGGCATGAAAAACAGAGAGAGAGGGGGGGGGGGAAAAAAAGAAAGAAAGAAAGGGTTTTGTTTTATAAAGGAGCTTCGAATTTCCGGCGTAGTTTTTTATGTCTGGTCTTTTTCGGTTCTTGGACTCTTTGGCAGCACAAGTGTGCCGGCCTCTTTCGACACATTTCCTCTGAGCCCTGTGATTGATTGACTTGACGAACTGGAATAAACACCTTGCCCTTCATCCTTCCCACTCACCACCATCCGCAGCTTCCCCCTCTTCCTGCTGCCTCTCCTTCCTTTCACGCCGTTTCCTAGCCTTCTTGATCTTCTTACCAACCAATCTCATCGTCTCATCACGGAATTCTCGATCCTTCCGCTTCCTCAACCGTTCCCTGTAATCTTTTCTCTCTTCCTCTTGCACTTCCTTCCCCAGCAGAGAATCCGGGACTGTCCGGAACATATTTTCCGCTCGTCGGTCTATCTCCCTCTCCTCTGCTGCACGCTTCTCCTCCAATTCCCTCATCTTATCCGTTTTCGCCAGACGAGCGTTCTCATGCTCGTGACCGTACTCGACCACGACCTTGTATGCCGGCCCATTCAGCGACTCCATCATTACTTGCATCTCATTCTCCGCATCCTTTTCCCGGATTCGTCTGGTCCGGAACGGCATGTGGTAGTGCCTCAGATCTGGCGGTCGGACCGTTGCGATGCTGATCTGATTTGCAGCAACGGGAGGTTCATTCTCCCGGAACGTTTCGACATGCGACTCGGCTTCCTCTAGCAATTGGTCCTCCAAGCCAGCCACACTGTTCAAACGACCCGGCTTTTCGTCTTCAGTAAATCGAGCGTTGCCCTTCCATTCGGTAACCTCACCGTCTGGTCCTGTGCTCTCAAACCATCGGATCGCGTCGATGAGCTCATCAGAGTAAGGACCGCCTCGACTTTGAGCAAAGGGCGCCAAGTCGTAAGTCTCGGAATTGAACCAGTTCTTTTGGCCTCTCATTGGGATGTCATGTAATCCTGGGCGACGTCTGTCGAGTAGGATTCGTCGCAACAGCTTTCCCATGGCATAGATATCCTGCCATGTATCCGGCTCTTCCATTTGCCAGACTCGATCCCTGGGGCTCACGCCATATCTAGCCTCTAGAATGCGATCCTTGGGTAACGTTAGACGGCCAAAGTGAATGATACCATTGTCGTGAGGCTCTTCACCTTTTCTTGCCGCATTATCAAAGTTGGTCAGCACCACGCGCGGAAGTCGGCCATCCATGCTCTCTTCGTACCCTTCCTCCCCATACTCCGGCCAATGCAGCATGATGTTGTCCATGGTCAACCATCGGTGGCAAACTGGCTGCCAGTTGCGGGGTATCCTTTCTCCGTCCTCGTTGCGTTCGTTCCCCTGGCGTTCAACGCCCCAGTGCAGATAGAGCAGGGCTCGGGAGAGCTGCTCAATGAGGTGCCAGATGAACGGTTCCTCCACGCACCGGGCACGTTCACCTTCTCCCCAGTTGATACGCATGATTGCATGCTCGAGCGAGCCGCCGTTCAGGTATTCGTAGTACAGAGAGGCGTTGTAGACTTCCTCAGTGGCCCTACCATCTCTCTCAACCATGCCATGGTCCAGATGCCCATACATCTGGTCGTGAGGAAATCCGTAGGCGTACAATTTCTGGAAATAGGGTTCATTCGGGAGGCGCACCTCTACACGCGGGTCGCGGTGGTCGCCACTAATCCGAGCGAAACGAATATCCCCAGGGATTGGGTGGGCGTACATCTGCAAACGCCGTGGCAAGCGTTGTCTTATGTCCTTCCGCTCGGGGTACAAGGTCGCCAGGTCGGAACGCCGCAGGTACTTGCGTACGCGCTTGTTGATGACCAATTCCTCGGTGTACAAGTCGTGGACAAGTAGAAGTCGGTTGAGTGGAGCAAGCTGTTGGATGAGAAGGAATCCCCTTGTACCGAGGCTTCGCGCGCGTGACTGAAGCCACTTGTAGCTCTGGATTTGATTGATAGCGATGTCACCGTCGTTCCATTCGTTGTCTTCTCGAGGGGCCAAATCCCAATGAGCGACGGGAAAGAGGATGGACCAGTGAAACATGTCCCCGGCCTGGGTCGGGCGCTGTGGCTCTGGTGATGCAGCAGCATCTCTTCTTCTTCTTCTTGCAGACATGTTTAAGTTGGTGCTCTGCGTTACCTCGGACTAGAATTTGCGACGAATGGAGAAGGTTACGGGAGCAAGTAATAGTTGTGAATTTGCCTGGAGTTGAGCTCACGAAGCTTTATGGGTATCGTTCTGGTGGAGACATCCTTTGTATCCTGCTATCCGCTTTCGGTGTCGAGGCGTCGAAGCAACAAAGGATGTTGGGTGGTCCGCACTAACTGTATTTACAACAATCAACAAAGGGAGCCAGTACCAACCCAAAACGGTTCAATAACCTGCACGCGTTCCAGTCCGGCCGGCACTGAGTAGAGACAATTGCTTTCTTGGTCAACAGCACCCTTGGAAGACCAAGGGATAAATGGCACCCAGAGGGTCGAAAGCCGTTTCGGATGTGCCGAGTAGAGGTAGTAGAAGCACCTTTGTACAACTCCCAACACCCGGAAAGTGTAAGTTTATTGTCGTAGCGGCTCATATGTTTAAAGACCTTTTAGCGATGCAATCAGGTTGACGATATGATGAGGTTGGCGATGGATAGGATCAATGCCCTGAAGGCTTGGTGCACTGTCAAAATTACTGACGGCGCGACTGATATTCATGCGCATGAATGTTTCGAACATTCCTTCGTCGGGAATCTTCACACAAAACGGTGGATCTTTCATCTCGACTCCAGTGCACTCGTCTGGGCTAGAAGACTCTTTCCCTGGAGATTCCAGCTGCGACTTCTCAGAGCGTTCCGGCAGGGAAAGACTGGGAGCGCGAGGCGCTTCTGCTTGTAGCTGAGACGAGTAGGTGATATGTGTTTGGTGGAGTGAGATGGTGTCTGAAGTCAAAACGGGTGCGTGTAAAATAAAGGGGTGGTGTGGCAAGTTAAGTGTCTCTTCAAGCCATGCGCGATATGCGGTCAGGTACCGCAGAAACTTGGTCCGTTCACCTTCGGCTTTCACCAGACTCTGAGTGCAATGAGTGGGCTTTACCAGGCTCGATTGCGTAGAGTGCCTTGCCTCAAACATGCTTAAGATGCGAACATCCGAAGACGAACGGTCCGAGTTTTTGCGGTAATCCTCCTGTCCTGGGACACTAGTGAACTCTGAACCAATACGGATCGCAGTTGACATCATTATCCTCTGCAAGAAGAGGGCGAGCTTCCACTCTCCAACCACTGTAGTCTCTGCCGTTCTGTGCAAAGGCCAATGAAGTCTATCCGTGGCACCGATGGTCGGTTTTCCAGGTGCCGAGGGAAGTCCCTCGTGGGCCCAACGAGCAGTCTCCCGATGATAGCATAGCACCTTCGGGCCATATTCTTGTATTATAGCTGTGGCGAGGTGCGTGAGGACTGTGCTGAGCGTTGTCTTCTCCGAGTAATCCTTCCCTTTACGCAGAATGAGCCTGTAGGCATTTAGGGTCTCCTCGAGACGCACAACACTGGACATGATGCCCCCCAGGAACTCGTGCAGCCGCCGATACTTGGGATCAATATTCGAAGAAAGGATCATCCACTCGAGCAACTGCAGCGCATCCCGAATATCCTCCCAGCCCATTACCACCCCCTCACCGCTCCCGCACGAAACCACCCCTTTCCAAGCCAGCACCACTTCCTGCACGATCAAATAAAGGCTGGGCGCGACAGTCATGGGGAAGTAGTCGGGATGGATCGTAGGAAGGGGCTCGTCGGGGTTCGGGTTGCCCCAGATGTACGACACGGCCTGGAAGGGCGGCGGTGATGCGGAGAGGGGGGCATGACTGAGGAAGAGAGAGACAACTGGCGGCGCAAAATTGGACTCTGAGGGTGCCTTGTGGGTTGTGTCGAAAGTTAAAAGCCGGATGTCCTGTGTTGTGCGGGTGAGTGGTTTGTGTGGGGATCTTAGGACCATGTCGGCGATATCGTAGGGGTTTGGCCCGCAGTCACGGAGCGGAGAGGACGGGACGAAGGTTGGGTCAAGATGAAGCTGGGTGGTTCAAATTCATTCCGGGTGCCGGCAAGATGATTTGATCCAAACTTCAAGTATCGATGGCAGCAGGAAGAAAACTCTTACGTCCTTCAAGTCCAAGCGAGCGCTCTCACGGTTCATATATTGGGCGCCGAGATAAGAGGCAGCCATTCGGGGCGATGGTCTCCAATCCAGTCCCTGCCCACAGTAAGCGACAGTAAGGTTACCAGCGGCGCTTGCTTGCCGCTGGCCCACACATTCGCGTGGTCATCACGACGCGGAGGATCCATGCCACGATGGCCAAGCTTGTTGTTTGCCAATCATTGAGAGAAGGAAAACAAAAATGATGCGACATGCGCCCAAAAAACATCATGGATGTGGATAGAGCTTAGAAACGTGAGGTGTAAGTAAAAGTGATGGCAAAAAGAGGGAAAAAGATAGGGCTCAACCGGGATTTGAACCCGGGACCTCGCACATTCATGGTGACCATGAGGGTTTAACCCGAAGCGCGAATCATACCACTAGACCATTGAGCCATTTGTAGTTGTTGATATTGAGCTTTGTAAAAACTGCTCATATTGCAAGTTCGTGCAATCACTTGGCGCGAATCCTTCTGTTTGTTTATCCGTCACCTTCCGGCACTGCTGCATTTTCTCCTTTCATGTCTGGTCGCTTGAAGCTTTCCGACATGCACCGCATCCATTCCCTATCCCTCTCTTCTTTTCTCGATTTCGCGCCCTCCCCTTCAAACTTTAACGCCTCAAAATATAATCCGTTTTTGTCTCTCTCTTTCCACCTTGATCATCAAGGTCATTCCTTGTCGTCTAAATGGCGCGCTCCACGATGACGTACGGGGTCTGCCCGCCGTCTCGGTAGCGGGGACCAAACCCCAGGAATATCGAAGTTGTGCGATGTGCCTCCTGTTCCGTGCTGCGCCGCGGCTTTCTAGGACGGCTTTTGTTGAGAAGTGGCAGCAAGCGAGCGGGTGCTCTTGGCACACACCGTCCGACAAAATGTCCGACTTGGTATGGTAGAAACCAACAAAGACCCGGAGAATAAGCGACTCCGACAGACGACCCAAATAGCTTTAGGAGATGAAATCTTCGTGGTGGGCAAACCCTTGTCTTGAAAGATGAAACAAAAAAAAGTCCCCTACACAACACTCAAAGAACTCCCCGGCTCCACCAGGTCTTCGCCCCGTCCCGTTTTGCGTCGTCTCCACCGACCCCAGAGCCAAGAATTCAACATCCCCAGATGATCTACAACCAGGACCATCCAAGCCACCTGCCGAGAACTTCCTTGGATGACGCGCTCGAATCGCCTTGTTTGAAGCACCTTTGACAGGTATGATAGGTTCCTCGCAGTTGCGTGTTATCTGGTACATTCCGGCCGTTGCGGCATGTGGGGAGTCGGGGGGCCGTTGGGATGGAGAGGACAGGGAGTGGCATGTGCATCAATGACATCAACCGTTATCTTGGACTGAGTTTATCTCATGTGTATATATATATTATAGTCCTTCTACCTCTACCACAGCAGTACCATCTTGGTTCCCGTCAACCGATTCTCCAAAGGCCACCTCCATACAATCATCAGCACCCACATAAATCACCAACACAAGTCACCACCACCACAATAACCATACCACACCAACAAAACCATCAAAATGCTAGCCCGCCGCGGTGTAATAGCCGACGAACTCACCGAATCCAGGTCCCACGTCCAAGAAGCAGTACTCGGAAGCAGCCCCGACAACCGAACCACCCCACAATCGCACTCCGAACCACATCCCGAACCCCCCAAAACATGTACCGATCCAAACTGCCATTTCTCGCCCTCTACCTCCGAATCCGCATCGGCAACCTCCTCTTCCACCGTTCGCCAAGCACAAGGAAAAGACCACCACAAACACCCCACAACACACCACAGCCACCATCACCACCACGAATGGGATAACCTACCGGGAATCACCTCGGAAGCGGAGGTTTTGCGGCAGATAAAGATGCAGCAGCAGCAGCAAAGGGAACAACAACACCACCACAAATGGGATAACCTACCGGGAATTACTTCAGAGGCCGAGGTTCTGCGGCAAATGCAGCAGCGGGAACAGCGGGAACAGCAACAGAAAAATGGTGGTCAGGAGCAGAGCCAGGACCAGGATTCAGAGGTTCAGGGAGGTAACAACAATAAACCAAAACAAGTGGTATCAACGCTTGAAGAAGAAGGGCAGGCTGGGAACAGTACCACCGGAGGCCTCTCCAGTGAAGTCAGAGGACAGGAGCAAGATAAAGGGAAGCAGAGAGAGGGTGACAGTCCAAATAGGGGACGGGCGGCGGGCAGTACAGGGAAAAGTCACGGTTAGTCAGAAAATCTACTGTGTGATGTTGTTGCAAATGTGCTGACCGATCCTTAGGTACAGAGGCGAATGTAGGAAGCTGGAGTCATTCAAGGGAAAGGAGAAGTTCTTCCGCCGAGGACAAGGCGGGAGCTGGACAGGAAGGAGAAGGAGCAGGAGCAACACAGGGTTCATATGACCCCAATGACTATGACCGAGGAGCGTATGTGGAGACTAGTAGGGTTGGGTTGGAGTAGTCATTCACCACCTCAATGTCGACTACTTACCACTCAATCCAAGATTTTCCTCTTTCATCTACCTGGCAGAGATGAGGTTTATCACATAACGATCATTTCCACCCCTTAGTTATATTCCCTCCCTCACTGCAAATTCACAAACAACCCCCCATCAACCAATACCTGCGCCCCCGTCACATACCCACTCAACTCCTCACACGCCAAAAACACCGCCGGCCCGCCCACATCCCCCGGCCTTCCCAGTCGTCCCAGCGGTATCCGTCCCTCCATATACCTCCTCTTCTCCCTTCCCTTTTCCTCGTCAGCGTTCAAATCCCCCTCATTCAACTGCGTCTCCACCGTCCCCGGCAGTATAGCATTACACCGTATCCCATACCTCCCCAACGCACACGCTATACTCTGCATCAGACTCAACACCCCCGCCTTGGTGGGCGTATAATGCGTCTGCTCTGCGCCTCCCACCAGCGCAGAAATGGAGCTGATGCCTATTATGCTTCCGCCCGGCGGATCCTGGTGACGCGCCATCTGTCTGGCTGCCGCTTGGACGACGTAGAATGCTCCGTCGAGATTGGTTCGGACCGTGTTGCTGAATAAGTCGGCATCCATGTCTAAGAAGTCGGCAAATTGGCAGATGCCGGCGTTGGAGACGCAAATGTCTAGGCGGTCGGTCTTGAAGGTGTCGAGGGCGAATTTGACTAGGGCTGGACCAGTGGACGGGTCGCGGACGTCGCCGGGTAGTAAAGCTAGGTCGCCTATTGTTGTGTGCTGCGGTGAAGAGGAGGAAGACTTGAGGGCTGCGGCTTCGGCGATCAAAGAGTCGACGTGGTGTCGGTCGCGCGGGAGATCGAGGTGGTTAACGGCTACGGAACAGCCTTGGGAGAGATAGGCGAGGGTGATGGCGCGGCCGATGCCGGTTGTGCCGCCGGTGATGATGGCGGTTTTGGAGGCTAGGAGGTTGGTTGGTGGCATTTTGGAGGGTTTGAATCGGAGGGTGGGAATTGTCGTTGTTGGTTGGGATTGGAGTGGTGAAACTGTGACTTTTCAATGTAATGATTCAGAGTCAAGCAAGTGCGGTTTGATGGGGTTATAAACTGGCAATGGAAGAATGAAGAGAAGGTCTCGGTTAGTTTTCGTCAGACACTTCAAGCAGTGATCACAAAGAGATGGTGTTGAGCCAAGGGAGCTTCAGATTAAAGTCTCATATGTACTGCGTATATTCATGTCATCATCAATCACCTCCATCTCATATTGCAAAGTGTAATCCATCCAATTGGCCCGACTAAAAACCATCACAGGCTAGTAAGAGAGCAGATGGTGTTCGAGAGCTGCGCAGACAAAATGGAGGGGAAGAGGGGAAGCAAAAATATGGTGGGTCCCAAAACCAATTCCTTGGCCCACCATGGTGGGGCTGAACCCAGAGATTCCTCCACTGTACCTCGGGGAGAATTACAGCGAGATTGGCGAGGTCGGTCCGGTCATTCCACTTGTCCGAGCACCCATTAGGTTCTCCTGGTTCCTTCATTCTGGAAATTGATCTTGCTTCTATGTATGATACTTTGCACTCTTCGCAGGATTATTCAATGTTAGATATCAATTGAATCAAAGTTTCCAGACACGAAATCGGTGTGAGTTCAGAACTACAGAGCTGCCATAGAGGTTCTCACGATGACGTCAGTGCTGTGCTCCGAGTAATGATCGGGTCAAATTGTTTTGGGTTATATGTTCAAAAAAGGAGGACGGATGAAGTATTGATCATTAAACTCATTTCAGACAAAACTTTGTAAACCTCATATACGACATTTCTTCTACAAGCTCGTAAGCTCCTGAATCCTCGCTACAAACCCATCAAGCACCCCATCACTCTCGTCCTTGTGCTCTGTCACCCCCGGTGCCGGCGCCGGCTTTGTCTCCTCAGCACCTGTGACACCCGAACTAGCACCCGCCAGTGTCGACGATACCGCAGGTGGTGGTGTAAGCAAATAAGCACTGGGGATCAACTTGGCCCTCGCTACAGGATTAAGCGTCAACCCAAAGCCCGGCTTGTCCAGGTCCGCCGTCGTCAAGAACCCCTTGGTGGGGATTGGTTCATCCAAGAACAAGTCGCCAAACACCGGCAGCACGCTCTTTCCGTCAGGCGAGTTAGCCAAGTACTCCTGGAACGGCGTATTCGGCTGGCTCATCACAAAGTGGTAGCTATACGGTCCACTAGCGTGCGGGACAACGGGAATGTCGTAAGCGGCCGCCATGGCAGCCACGCGGAGCAGCTCCGTCATGCCGCCGAGCCACATCACATCCGGCTGGATGATGTCCAGGTTTCTGCCCTCAATCAGCTTGCGGAACCCGTAGCGCGAATACTCGTGCTCGCCCGTGGTGAACTTGACGGTAGGGTGGGCACGCTTGATCTGCTCGAAGCCGTCCGTGTCGTCGGGGGAAAGACACTCCTCCCACCAGTTGATGTCGAGGTCCTTGGTCTTCTCGACAATCTCAATCGTGTACGACACGTTGAGCGACATGTAGCAGTCCACCATCAGGGGAAAGTCCGGGCCGACGGCCTCGCGATGCTTGCGCAGGAACTCAATGTTCTTTTGCAGGCCGACGTGCCCTTCCTCCGGGCAGTAGGGGAGTGGCACCTTGGCGCCCCAGAAACCCATCTCCTTGGCGGCTGGCGGGTCAGGACCGGTGCAGTAAAAGTTGAGTCGCTCCTTGGTGGCGCCGCCAATCATCTTGTAGACGGGCTCGTTGCGGATCTTGCCGAGGAGGTCCCAGAGGGCGAGGTCGATGACTGAGATGACGGCAACGGGAAGACCCTTGCGGCCGTAGAACATTGAGGCGCGGTACATCTGCTCGAAGAGGTGGTTGGTGTTTCGGGGGTCAGCGCCGATGAGGAAACGTTCAAAGTGTTGGTGGACGAGCCAGCATGCCGGAGGACCTGTTATTGTGGTGTCTTGGTTAGCTTGACTTGCGTCTTGTGTGAATCGGGAAGTTGAACATTACCTCCAAAGCCAGTTGCGAATCCGACAGTGCCATCGGTGGCCTCGATCTCAACAAAGAAGGAGCCCAGGACATTGATGCCCCAGCTTGTACGGGAAGCCCGATACTTTTCCCATTGTGAGCATGGCGTCGAGATGGGAGAGTCGATTAGCCTGTGCTGTTAGTGTTCAGTCCCGAGGAGAGTCTTGGTAAAAGGCATACCAATGGCCGCCCTTGACATTGTGGTAATCACCACCCGAGCCAACGCCGCCGATGACGAAGGATCGTATGCTCTTGATGGTAGGGAACTGTCTTGCTGTCGCCATTGTGTCTGTGGGTCTTGAAGAAAAGGAGGCATGAAGCTGAGAACGAAGTGCACGGGGAGCGAGAAGATGTCCCTGTATATCTAACTGATCCTAAGTTCTAGCGAGGTCAGGTACCTAGCCTCGGCTTTTCCAACATGGGAAAGCACGATGGACGATGATCACTAGCCACCAAAGAACAATCGAGAACTTGGGCCACCATTCGGGTGGTGATGTCCCGACGACGAGCAAAGACTCCAACACATTGGAGATTCCGAGCTGTTTGTTCACCCGGGAATGGTTTTGTTAGGTTGGTCTGGTCCCTTGATGCAGCAAGCCATCAACCCCACCTCCACGTTTCAACGGTGGCCGCACCAACGGCTGCTGAAAAAGAATACCGGCAAAAAGAGAGCCGATGAGCCCGATATTAATCAGAACTCTATTTTGATGTTGTATAGTCCGAACGAATACTTCGTCATTTTAACCATCGACATAGGGTGATAGGGTTGTTGGTGGTTTTGACGGAGTTTGGAGGTACACAGTACCAAGGCCTGGCCAATGCCTGCCTCTGCTTATCCCGTTTGGGAATTCCATTCATTCTTCCCCGCTGGCCCAGGCCCGTACCGATTTCACTACTCAACACTCATCAGCCCGAACCTCTTCTGACACGGGCCATTTCCAACCATGAAAAGGTCACGCACTTTGTCTGCGCCTGCGCACCTTCCATTCCGCTCGCCCGCCAAGCCCACCTGTAAAAAGCTGAAGAGCCCTTGGCGAGGGAGTGGCTCGATGTTGATGTTCACAAGACAGAAGGTCACTTTTCTGGGGGATTGGTCTTTCCTATCAATTTCTCGGGCAGATAACCCAAAACACATACTTAGGTAGCCAGAGATCATTCAATTAAAAGTTCCTTCACAGATCCATTCCACCTAGTTAGTTGTTCCCACAATCGGTTATCCAATAGACGTTATTCAATGCATGTACAATTTACCGTCTCCGTTCAGGTCGGCGTTCTTAGACAAACAAGAGCGCACTGACCTCGAACCCACGGACACAGGATCGACATCAGCAGGGCCTCCACTCCACCCAGGCAACCTAAACGGCATCCGCTGCTTTTCATCCCGAACAGCCTCCCCGCTCGGTCACCATCACGCCGAGCAACCCAACGCGACTACAACCCTCGGCTCAGATCGGCCGTCCCCAATCGCAATCATCAATCAGTAGGTATACAGGCATCCGATCGAATCGCTGCCGACCAGCGCGATGGCTGCTGCTGCTTCCGGGCAACAGCATCATGCAGCGGCAGGAGGACCGTCACGACCGCCATTGTTCCAATTCCAGGGGCAGCAGCAGCAGCAGCATGGCCCGCCAAATGCCTCCGTCTACAGCGACGACGGCCAGCAGAGCGGCGACGATGACGACGACGACGACGACAATAACCACGCTAATGACCAGGTGCTTCCTAATGGCAAGCGAAAGAGACCGCTTTCTGTCTCGTAAGTCCATATCATATATTCATTTCATTCTTTTCCTATTGGCCTCGACGACGACCTCCACCATACTACACTCGGCATTGTTTGTTAGTGCCACCATGTATCATACACGTTGTTGATAACACCCCGTACGTCCTGGCATCCTCACCACCACCAACAACGACCACATCATCATCAACATGGCGGGCTTTTCATAGACATCTTGTGTACCTATACTTGAATTTCAGTTCCAATTGTGGTGTAGTGTTGTATCGGCGAATGAAACTAACCAGGGATTTCAAGGTGTGAAACTTGCAAAACTCGAAAGGTTCGCCTGATCTTCCCAATCGCAACCCATCTCCCCCCTTCCCCATACTAATGCTGAACTAGGTAAAATGCGACCGCGGTCAACCAGCCTGCGGGTGGTGTAGTAGAAATACAGTCGTGTGCGAGTACAAAGAACGAAAGAAGCCCGGCCTCAGAGCAGGCTATGGCCGCGAGTTAGAGCAACGTCTCGACAATCTCGAAGCAGAACTCAAAAGACACGCCGACATCTTAGCGGCACACGGACTCGACCTCAACACGAGCCCGGGGAGTGTCAACAGTCGTGCTACCCTCAGCATCAATGCCAACAACAGAAATAACCATGCGCCATCAGGCCATCGGAGCACACCAAGCCTGCCGAGCAACGGCCACGGCACACCGCGCGATACAGGACCCCCTCCGGTCTTCGCTCACGCCGGCCCAGATTCGGCTGAGAGGGCTCTCTTCATGCACAAACCCCCGACTTCAGCCGATTTTGGTCTGGGCCCGCACACTCCAGCCGTCATCCATGACAACTTCCAGCACGTGGCGACTCCTCAGCCTCGTATGCAGCCGGCCATGACCCCTAGTTCGGCCGTTCAAGAGTACTATGGTGCCCCCCGAGCCGTCTCCCATCAGATAGCGGGTCCGTCGCTCACAGCAGCCGTTTTGCCGGTCACCCAAGGGCAAGGAGGCGCTGAACAGGAGCTTCCGCCGTATGGCGTTTGTTACGCTCTCATGGAGCTATACTTCAAGCACATCCACCCATGGTGTCCGATCCTGAACCGTGAGACCACAAAAGATCTGTTTTTTGGAGAGAGAATCCCGAACGAGGAAGAAAAGATCCTGCTGCATGCCATTGTTGCTACAGCCATGAGATTTGCAACTGACAAGATGCTACCCAAGGAGAGTCGGCAGCGTTTCTACACGGCCTCGAAGCAGCGTGTTTTACTCTATGGAATGGAACATTCGTCCGTCATGTCGCTGCAAGCCCTGGTGATACTTGCGCTGGATCTATGCGGTAGTAGCAACGGGCCCCCAGGATGGAACATCATGGCTCTCATCACTCGAGGGGTGGTGCAGCTTGGCTTGGCCGTCGAGACGAACTCCATGACAGTTTGTCCAAGCTATCCCTCAATCTACACTCTTCGCGCTATGGTCCTTCCAGAACCTCGCGACTTCACCGAGGAGGAGACCCGCAGAAGGTTATTCTGGATGGTATATGTGCTCGATCGCTACGCTACCATTTCCACGGCGTTCGACTTTGCGCTTGATGACAAGGAAATTGACCGGACCCTTCCATGCCGCGACGAACTGTGGATTAAGAATCAGAAAGTTGAGACTAGATGGTTCCACGCCGCTGACGATGATAGCCGACTCAACAGCAACAGCTCCGCCGACTACCAAGTCAACAAGCCCGAGAATCTTGGTGCCTTCAGCTACTATATCGAAATCCTGGGCATTCTCTCCAAGATCCACAAGTTCCTCAAGCAGCCCGTCGACATCTCGTCTCTCACCGATGTTGAAAATTGGCAGCACCGCTATCGAGAATTGGATACAATGCTCAAAGTGTGGAAATTCGAACTCCCCGATGACTACAGCAACATGGCCAAGATCTATGAGCACCCCAGGGTTGCCCGTACTCTAAGCTGCGCCTGGATCATGCTCCATGCGACCTACCACACCGCCGTCATTCGTCTGCACTCGTCAGCCGCATACCCCACCGTCCGTTCACCCATCTTCTCTCCTTCCTACATGGCCTCTCAAACCTGCCGCGACACAGTCAATAATATCCTTGCCCTGGGTAAATTCGTCGTTGAATACAACTTGCTCTCCACACTCGGTCCTCCCTTTGCGTTCACGCTCTGGGTCGCTGCCCGAGTCCTACTGGTCCACGGCAGCACTGTTGAGCGCAGTCTCAACCCGGATATCCAGTTCTTTGTTGACACCCTGCGCGAAATGGGCAAATACTGGCCCGTAGCCACGCGCTACTCCAATCTCCTGACGCGCGTGGTAGACGAATACAAGGCCAGCGTGAGTGAGGGCGACGAGGTGACGCCCAGTAGCGTGCGGATTCTGGCGGACATGCGACGGACCGCATTCGACTTGGATCTGTTGATTAGTCGCCAGCCTAGGCATGGCTCGCGGCAACACGGAGTTTTGACGGGTACCGCGGCCGGAAACAGTGTGATGAGCGCAGGCGTCATGATGCCTGTCAACAATAACAGTAACGGGCACTTTGCTATGGGAGCAGAAGGAGGAACAGGAGGAGGAGGGGGAGCCAACGATCTGGAATATCTCGATGTTTTTGACTTTTTCAACATGCCCAGGTTTCCTCTGTCAGCTATTGCCCCAGCTCAGAATGCTAGCGGGACTGAAACGAACCAGAACTACAGTATGGGCCAGGGACATGGTATGGAGGGCGCCGGCGGCGGAAGAGGACTAATTGATGATGGCGAAAGTGGTAGCAAGCAGCAGCCAGGCCAAGGCGTGGGCGGCGATGTCATGCATGGCTCGGCAATGGGAGGAGGAGGATCGGCACAGGGAGTGGGGCAGTTCAATATCATGGACTTTATGGTGTATCCTGAGCGCGATTGGCTCGAGAATCCTCGCGGTCCTTCTTGGGTCGATGCTACAGGAGGAAGGCCTGAGCAAGGGACTGGTGCTAGTGGCCCTAAGACAAGAACTGGGACTGGAAGCGCGGAAGGCGCTGGGGCTACTCTTTAGGGCTAGGAGCGCCCCCAAAACCATCAACCCCCGCATCGGACAGGAAGGAAAAGGAAATACAAGAGAGTGGTTTGCATCCGATGTAATCGGTGGAAACAGAAGGTGAGTTATTCCTATCTTGTGGGGAGGTGCTGATATTGACATGGCCATGTTCTTTCAGTGTGACTGCCAACGCCCTTGCTCAAATTGCATCCGTCTCAACAAACAAGATGATTGCCGATATGAGTATTGAACGCGTCCGCGGCCAAGGAGCAGCCAGCAGGTGTCTGGAACTGGTGCTGCTGGAACACTCAGAACAACTAGCACAGGCGAACCGCAGTTCAGATTATATTTCTTTTCTCGGAAGGATGAAGAAAACAGGTAGCGAGCGGGCCTGGACGCGTGATCTTGGGTATATAGCGTGTGATCATATATGAAGGAGATGGCTTATAGTAAATAGTGCTTTGGCAGGCATAAGCATGCTTGGCTTTTCTTGCTTATTGTAGAACGGAAATAGCGAGTACAAGGTAGTCAGTTGAATAACTTAACGAAGGGGAAATAGCGGTGTTCTTTGGAAGTAATAAATATTTTTGGACTTATTTCAGGTGTACTGTCTTCCACTCAATGTGCACCCATCCAGCCCTTTCACTTACCTTATCTTGCTCTTATACTACAAATAAACAGAAATATGTGTATGAAATGGATCGAATCAAGTACATACACTACAAGAATAGGTGACAGAGCGGTGCTGGCTTTCCACCGCAGGGCAGCAAATACGAAGTTCCGTCGATTGTTCAGAAGGTAAGGAGGTTGCTGAGGAGAAACGAGAGATTTCCCATAAGTTCAATTGAATAAACAAAGAAAGAACAAAAGAGCGAGAAAAGAATTGTCATCCGGCAAGGCGAACAAGACTGAACACATGAGAGAGAACAACTCGGCAAAGCGGCGGGATCGAATGGATCGCCGGAACCACCCGTCCGCCCGTCGGTTAGTCAAGGATCAATTGGTTCAATGTGGAGACATTTCCAGCATGCATGCATGCACACAATTGGGATCAATGTTTGGGAACGATTCGTTGTTTGGAAACAAAAAATAAAAAGCACAGAAAAAAAGAGATAGAAATGGATGATCCATGTTTTAAGCCGTCCCGCGGGCCGCATGAGGCGGCTATGAGCGAGCATATTGAGCGGGCATGAGCGAGCGGGCATCGATGGATGCGGGGAAATTTGAGACCTACAGGATGGGAATTCGTGCACATCGGTGTCTTCAAAAATTGTGAGAAAATGGAAAGTTGCAGCGAGTAAAGTCTAAAACAGACATGAGCAGGGAGGAGTAGAGGAAAGGAGAGCAAAAGGAAAGAGGCGGGGTGGATTGAATTGAATGATTGATTGATTGACGGCACGTGCTATGTCTCTCAGCGCAGATACTCATTTCTTTCCTTTGATCATCGCATCGTTCAAAAAAGAATAAAGAAGAACTGAAGAAGAACAAACCCCGGTCAATCGCGGCCTCGGGACTCGTTTCGCTTGGAGATCATTTTTCGTTAGTTAGGTAGTTGGATACTTAAGTAAGCAAGCAAGCAAGCAAGCAAGCAGCCTTGCGGATGAATCCGTTGGCTGTCGTTGTCGATTGAATTGATTGAATTAACGGGTAATTATTTTGGGGTATAATTATCTCATCTCATCTCATCTTATTTGATCTACGTGCTGCGTATCTGCATTGGTGGACATTGGATCGGAGATAACATTACACACTATTGGCACACGACTCGCTCGCTTGCACATGATGACGGACGGATGTTGGGTCGGTCGCCGTTGTCTTTGAATTGAACTGTAGAGGTATAAAAGACAGTCCCCCTCTGCGAACCCCTCTTTTTCGGAATGGCCTCGCGTGTTTCGTCGTCTGCCTGTCTCGGTCAATCGGTGGTTTTGATGGTATGACGACTTGTCGTTCGGTTGTTGTTGTTGTTGTTGTTGTTGTTCGTTGCTTTATCAATGCGATTCCACTTGGGTGTGAGTGGGGTTTGGTCGCAATGGGGCCGCGGACCGGGGAAAGAGGAAAGACACAAGGCGGCTAAGCTGGAAGTGGTTAGGGTGATGTGCATTGGGCGGTGAGCGTTTTTGTACCTTTGTAGCCTCTGGCAGCTGGTGGATGGTGTAGGTGTTAATGAAAGTGTGGAGGAAGCCACCAAAGCTATAACAAAAAGAAAGACAGCTGACAGCTGAGGGAAGGTGCTGGAGGACTGTTGTGTGGTGTCATTGGTGTGAGCGGGTACCTGTTCGGCGCAACCCTTGTCTCTGGCACAAGCCGCGTCTGGGCCTCTTTTCACCCCGACACCTTTCCATTTGTGGTAGGAAGTCTTGGCCGCATCTGTAAGCGGGCTGCAACGATTGCGCCAGTGTCAGTCATTGGCGACGAAATGCACGCATTCTCTGCTTGTGCAGTGGTGACCTGGCGCGTCCTCGACCTCTGGAATCGAATCCACAATGGACGCCAGTCATTTCTGCTGTGTGTTGTTCAACGCCTTCATACCCAACACGAAGCACATGAGGACCGGACCGGGGCCTCAAATGGGGACAAGTGGAAGACATGGATCATTCTGCTTGAGGAACCCGGGGCCACGGGGACAGGGGGGGATGCCCAACCAGTGCTCGCCGTTTTGGTCGTTATCATTCAATTTTCCTTCTTTATTTTTTTTCTTTTTTTTCGCTCTTTTTTTCTCTCTCCATTTCCCTTCGTCTGTCTAACCCATACCCACCGACCGATATCCTATACCTCTAGCCTATAGACCGGCGAGGCCCCGTTTCTTCTTCCTCTCAATTCTGCTGTCATCAGGATCCCAGTGTCAATACCGGAACACCCACTTTGCCGGGTTCACCGTCCTTTGCCGGCCAATCCTTGCGACTTCCGAGTCAACGATCCGTGGTCCTCGTGCTTTTTCCCGACCTTCTTTTTCTCCATCCTGCCTGCAAAATCTCCGACACGGCATTCGGGTATCTGTGCACAGGTGTTCCCTACCTGTTCCTTACCGACTTCTACGCTGTTCGTCCCTAAAAGCCACAGCGCCAAAGCGAGTCCAGATTCGTGCTCCCGGTGCCGCCGATCCTCCAGTCAATCAGGGGTCGACACTTCAGCAGCATGGTGGAGGTGGTGTTGACCAAGACACCATCCTCCTCCTCCTCCTCCTCATCCTCATCCTGCTCCTCTTCATCCGCCTGTGACGACAACACATTCCAGCGACGGTTCCCGAGTAGCCCGACGAGTCCAGTATACACACTATAGGCATGGGAATGGGAATGGCAGACGCCGCGACTCCGACCGCCGACTGCGAACAAGAAGTAGCCGTTGCCGCCGCTGCTGCTGCTGCTGCTGAGCCCGTAGCTGAGCTCGTGCCGCAAAACCCTCCAACATCACCCACCGCCGCCATGGGATCCAGCGGCGATAACTCCGCCCAGGGGGCACAGCCGTCGGCTATGCGGTGCTGCTGTGGAAGGGAGGACTGCGTCTATCTTAGGCACAACTGTACTCTCCTCAAGAGTGTCGAGCGCGATGTCCATACGGCCGCCAAAATGGGCCAGGTGAGTAATCAATGACGCAGACCTGCTTCCTGTTTGATGCGTGCCGCATTCCTTTCATCCGCTCCCTGTGCGCCCGTCACCACCGTCAATTGCTCCCTTCATATCCCTTGATTTGGCTCCGACCATGGCTTGGTTGCAAAATCATCTGCGTCTACCTTGTCTTCCTCACAGATTGCACAATGCTAGAGTGGTCGGAAAAGACACCTGCAACGCACAGCAAATGGCGCGCGCGACAACCCAGGCCGGAGGAATGCTTCTCCTCGCTGACCTTTTCCCTCCAGACTCTGCTCATCCGCCATGAAGCCTACATGGCCGCCGCCGAACGCGACCGCGCCGAACTCACCGCTCGCATTGAACAGCTGGAACGCGAAAATGCAGAGCTCGAGGAGAAGAACAGGGAAACGATACACGAGAATTACAGCCTCCATGCCGAACTCGAGTCGCTCAATGACACCGTCCGAGAGGCCGACACTCGCATTGACTACCTCGAGACCACCCTGCGCGAGTCCCAGCGCGAGATCCGCCGACTGGAATTGGCGGCGGAGAGGGCAGCGACCCTGGAGAAGCAGCTCTCCATGCTCGAGGAGGAGCAGGCGACACTACAGGCGACCTTGGTCAATACACAGGAGGAGGCGCGCACCGCCATCACACGTTGGAAGCAGGCCGAAAAGGGAATCAACGACTTGCAGGAGCAACTGGAGCGCATGGAGAAGGAAGCAAAAGAAGAACGGGAACGACACGCCGAGGTTATCGGCCGTATCGAAAAACAACGAGAAATGGAAAAGGAGCTCAGCACGGCAGCAGGCAGACTTAAGGGTGCTGCCGCTGTCAAGTCCCTATCCGACACCAAGAGCACGCGCAATGTCGTGTCGCATTTTGTACGCGACCTCTTGCAGGACAACGCCAACCTACAACTGGGCATTGCCGAACTGCGTGAGATGCTAATGAACTCACACGACGAAATCCAACTCTTACGGGAACAGATACATTATCACCAGCCGTCATCAAGTAATCCTAAGCAGTTGGGTACCGTATCAACACTACAGACCGAATTCGACGATCCAGACTCGGCCAAAACACCAAAGATCTCACAAGCCGTACACGTCCACCACCATTACCATATCGCCCAGAAGGGCGAGTCACGAAAACAAAAGAAGAACAGGAGATCCATGACTTCAGGTACCTTTTCGCCGCCACACATCATCTCAGCACCTACAACACCAGTATCCTCCCAGAATCCCCAATGGCAGGCGGGCCGTGGCCTTGGGCCACCCTTTATCCCGCGTCACAGTGCTCACGATTCCACCTCGACAGCAGCAGGCCGTTGGTCCCTAATCTCCGAAATGCCCTCCGAATTCGCGCCATCCTCCGCGCCGACCTCTCCCCAATCGAACCCCCGGCGCAATTCCGTCTTCGACCGCGGCATCATTGAGGTGTCGGTCCCCAACTCTCCCACAACAAGTGTCGATCCAACTTCCCCCGAATGGAACCGAAAGTCGCACCGCAGACAGGCATCCCAATGGTCGACTCGTAGTACGGCCATGCACAATTCCGGCACCTGTTCACCACCATATCCCGGCCACCGTTCGCTAGCCGGTCTCGTTCTTGCCGAGGAGCTCAACCAGGCCATGGGCGCCTACACCACCGACGACGTACCCGACATGGCCCACGGGGTTTCCTCCGCCGAAGACGACACCGTTGAGACCATGAGCGCAAATGGCGATGTCGATGACCCGGAAATTGTGACCGACGACACGATTCACAGAGATCTCGACTTCCACCCCGAAGCGGCAGAGCAACGAACAGGAGGACTCCGACGGATGACCTCACACGAATCCATCATGTCCCTCTCCAACGGTCTCGACATCCACACCCTCAAGGTCCGCCCGAGCCAACTGACCCTGCGACCCCTCGGCCTCAGTGCCGCCGGAACCGGAATCAGCAACGTCACGGCCATGCCGACCATCTCGGCGCGCGGTTCGCGCGGAAGCATGCACGCCAGAGATAATTTGGCCCTGGTAGGACAGCGCCTACCCCGACCCGTATCCACCTCCCAGAATAACAAACGTCCCTCGGTCGCCGAGCCGCCCTTCTTCCTCAATCCCAATCGTCGCGCCCACACTGACGGTTTGCATATGTCCTCTTCTGTGCGATCAACAGCCTCCCGTCAGCTGTCTCTTCCTACCTTGGGTAGGCTAGTCTCATGGCGGCCTTGGAGCCAGAGTTCTAGCCAGCCGACTACCGCAATCGACGCAGCACCCGGAACCACGGGAAGATCAACAGGACTGGAGCCAACCCCGGAACTCCCCGAGCCCACATCCACCCCGGTTGGAACAGGAAGCACAGGCGCAGGCACCGGCCTAGGCATCGCCATTGCTGCAAGCGACGGCAAGTCATCCTACCGAAGCGTCAGCTCGTCCACCACCACTGGCACGGCCGGCACGGCAACTACAACCACCACCACCCCCCTGTCGTCTTCCTTGCGGTCCGTGTCCTCTGCAACGACGGGGACTACCATCAAGCCTAGGGCGCCGGGCATCAATCAACCCGGCGTGATCCCAGGGTTTCTGTCGAGGAAGGGTGGGTTGCCGAGTAAGGTGACGGTGGAGGCGTTGGATGTGAGTCAGCTGGGGAGTATTGAGGAGGCTTTAAGGGAGGGAATATAGGGGTGATGAAGAAGGGGATATATAAAGGAAAGGAATTAATGATGTGGAATGATGGCTGCTGTAGAAGGAAGGAAGGGAAAATACGACGAAAAGGTTGCAATATTACTACATCATAACTTTTTTTTTTTTTGTTTGGATACAGATTCAGATTCTCAGTTGTTTCAGATTTTCTCATGGCGACCCGGCCCAAGCGATGGTCAGCAAGGCAGAGATGGTCAGCAAGGAAGAGATCTTGGATCTTAAAAGAAGGGATTTCTTGGATGGATTTATTTTGTTTTAGCATCTCTGCGTCTTTGCATCAGGAAGCGGTGTTTTGGGTCGTTCGAAGGTATCGAATTGTTTTGTACATGTGTCTCTAGGTTATTTATACCCTTGTTCAAATTCGCTATTGTCTGCTTCTTGTTTGTTGAGTGCTTCTCTTGCTCTTCTTTTCCTATTGACTGCGGGTCCAGCTCCGTTCGATAAGATTAATCCAGACTCGCAGTATATACACAATATCTCATGTTGTATTTTCAAACCACCACTAACTGAACTGGAAGGGCACATCGGGACTCCCCAGCTCTCTCTCTCTCGGGACCGCAAGAGGCATTCTACCCAATCTCAGCTGTGGCTTGTCTTGTTTATACAGTAGCGTTTCGTACTACCGTATCCTACCAAATACTTCAAAGAAACCTACTCTATTAATGCACACCCTTCTCAATCTCAGCTGGCCTCAGCAGCGGCCGGTTGCGTCTACTCCGATCGACTACATCTTGTTGGTTACCTAGATAGGAGAGGTACCTACAGATAGAAAGATCTATGTTCTACTAATCGCCCATACCCAATCCAAACGTAACGTCTCAAGTGTGAGGTTAGTCTCTCCTTCGTCCTTCCTGAAAACATCAACTCCCGAAAGCTAATTCCCTTACCACCACAGAATCTTCACAACAACCGTTGCGTTGCGATTTCGAACCGACCGCTAGGTAACCATGCCACCCATTTCCCTAGATTATACGCGCCGGCCCCTCCAGTCTTCTACTCTCTCTCTCCTCTTGACGTCTCGCGCGCTGGTGCGGCATCTCCGTCAATGTCCTCGGAAAATCCACTCCCCTAGACACCAACCCCCCCGCCCGGTGCCTCGTATCACATTCCCGAAATCTGCCTGGAGTTTGAGCGTGCCGGCAGCGACCTATCATGTGTTGGATGTTGGACGAGATCAAAAGCTGGACTTTTCTTCCAACTCTGTTAACTGAAGGAAGTTAAATCGACCAGGGGACGGGGTGGAAAGAAGTGGAGGGTCTCTACGACTGAGTGCCTCGATTGGAAATTCATTCAGGAAAAGCAGATGGATGGATGGATGGATGGCAGCAACAATACGTGGGCGAGTGCGATGGGATCCCATCGTTGAAGCCAAGGATGAGGTATGGCATGATTTTGTCAACCTGGATTCATCACATGGGTAATGTCCAGATGAGATGGTGGATCTCATGTCAAACATGGGTGATGCTTTTGGGAAGGAACCATCGATTCTTCCAAACTTATGCTTAGAGGTACTGTAGGGAGAAACGGCCATGATCAGACAGGAAAGAGGGTGCCCGGACTTCAATTGCCAGTGGAAATTGCGTGGCGCTAGCCGGCTGAAATTGTCATGGTGAGGTGTACTTCTCTTATGAAGTGGATGGAGGGGGAAGGAGTTTGGCTGACGATTAGACTGAGGGGGACTGGTCAAGGGAATGAGGAGTTCAGCTTCCGTCGTCATGACATGACGCAGTACTGTCCAAGTGAATAAGGAACAGTGAGTGCTTGACAGGTTGCACGAGAAGCCTTGGGTTAGTTGTGAAAGGCAGAAAACGAAATTGTTGTTGTCGTTGGCTGTGAAGGAAAGTGCTGCTCAATCATCCTTTCCACTTCTTTCCGATTGGATAGTGGAAGTTGCTGGCGTTGATTTTGGAGATGGAAGACGAATAAAATGATCCGAGTTTCAAGTGACTGACTGCGCCTCCTACAGATAAGCAATTCGCTGCATCATGCAGCTAGGTAGCGTTGTGACTGTACTCTTCAAGGCAGACCGCAGGAGGCACTTCGAGCCTTGACGAATAACGGGAGAGAGCGTGGTTGATGGGTAGTATCTCGTGTGGAAGGAAGGAACTGAACGAAGGCATCGCCCAATTATTGAACGTCCCCACCACACTACATGCAATTCTTACCTACTAGCCGATCCAGCCTCTCCAGTCTTGACTCTCGAGCTTCACACTCCTCAATCTGTTCTCTTCTTTCTCACCAACACTGGACTCACCTCCTGTCCTCCGTCAAGTCGTCGCTTCCCGCCTCAACATGGACCCGGCGTCGATTATCGGAATCGTGGCCGCTGCATGCCAGTTCGCTGAGCTGGCGGCAAAGGGCGCAATCAAGGGCGCTGGGCTGTTGAAGAGCCTGAGAGACACGCCTGCCAAGCTCACGGAACTTCTGAGACTTGTTCAGATATCCAAACAGAATATGGTACAACTGCGAGATCACCTAGCCCACCCAACTCTCCTGAGCCTTTTGCCCCAACTTCAACTACAATCCTTTCGAGACGACATCGATCAAGCACACAAAATAGCCGAAGAATTGGAAGTGCAGATCGAATCCCTTGTTGGACCTACCACCCAGGATTTGAGGGGGATCAAAAAGCTCTGGCGAGACGTCATCACAATCAAGAAGGAAGGGGAGTTCAACGACAGATTCGAAGCCATCCAGCGGTACAATGAGCAAATCCACCGCGGACTCTCAGGTCTCCAGGTTGCTCTGTCCACCAAAAATCTGTGAGTAAACCCAAAGTTGCCCCTCAAATGCAATAGATATTAACAGCCTTCAGGGAGAGCAGTGTAGCCATTGGAACGAGAGTCAATCAGAACACTACCGTGCTGGCTGAGATAAAAGACAAGGTCTACGAGCTGAACAGCAGGAAGACCGATGTTGACATCGATGTGAACGTGCATGGTTCTACGCTCATCGCAGCTCAGCAAACTCGAGCCAGCCCAGCAACAACCCGGGTCGAATTCGAGCTGCGACTTGAGCCGGTGTCGATCAGAGACGAAATTCGAAGCGAACTGATGCTACTGATGACTGGTCAAGGGCCGTACGCCAGTGCGTCCAATGCGCTTCTTCCCATCGTATCACGCCTCTCCCACGAAGACAGAGCGCAAGTAACTAGCATGCTTCTGATGACTCAGGCTCAGCATGCAAATAACCCGAGAAGACACAGCAACTCTGCAGCAGTGAGACGCTCCTTTGATTGGCACTCCGCCCCCTGGCCACCACTGTGTGATTGCGATATCAAAACCTATAACATCGAAAAGACATTCAAACGTGGTCCATTCTCTTTTGGTTATGGCTATGAGAACCAGAAGCGACATCACACCTCTTGCCCCTACAATGGAGGAGAGGCAGTGAAACAAACCTGGAACTATCGGCTATGTATGCAACTCCTCCCTCTGGTCAACAAAACGGTGCAGTTCGCTCTCTCTGCGACAATCGGCGGTGACGGCCTTGAGCTCCAGTTCCCGCTCAAAGTGTTTCCTACCGTTCAAAGGGCCAATTCAGCGATATTCATGCTCTTTGATAATTTCGCCGAGCGATGCGCAGAGCTCGGTTTCTTCAGGGGATATTACGTTAATCAACGTTTGTATCCTCAGTTCTTGGTCCACGGCGTTTATCCCATAGACAATGAACACGACAGCAATACCGCGGTTGCGTGGGACATTGATCGTGTTCGCCAAGAGCTCCGACACATTCGTAGGGTGTTGTGTGATGCTCATGTACTGCGAATCGGTTCAATCAGAGACAGGGATGAATCAGGATTCACTGTCCTTCATGTAAGCTGCCTTTCTTCAACACACTATACCATCTTTCCTACTTGTTGGGGCACTAATTGCGGCATCACGTCCTTCATAACTAACAAACCAACAGGAGTTGATGCTTTTGGTCCTACAGTTGATACCGGTGTATAGCCACGTCGTAGACGAAATCACAGGCCTTCTGAAGCTCATCTCAGTTAATGACATCGACGCACACTGTGTCACCGAAGGAGTTGGATCATGCCGCGTGCAAGCAGTTTCAGCCTTGCACTGGTATGACCCGACCATACATAGGAAGAACAGGTACGTGAGCCTACATCTTCAATTGCAATTCGAATTTAAACAGATATACTTGTACTCATTTTGCCATGTACCATAGTCGCAGACAATGTTTACCGACGGTAGAATATCAATTGAATAGTGCAACAGCCGCTGTTTGAATGATTTTACCTCTATTCGCACAGATACTCGATTCACAAGAGCAGCCATATCTCCCACTTGATTTTATGCTCGGCATTATGTCGCTGGATTCCAACGGTAGCACGCTACAACTACATCACGATGTGACATACTACGACGTGGCCGAAGATTTCGAAGTCTTTGAATCTGATGGAGAACAAGGCAAGGCAACCATGTATGCCTCCGTTTATCGTGCGTTATGGACATTGCTAAGGAGGAAACCAGATTTGTCTACAAGTAAGCAAAGATATGCCTGAACATCTAACCGCCTTTGAGAGAAGGGGCCGTCTCGGCTTAGTATACCGCTGCTGATATTTATCATAAGTTATTTTTAATGGAGAACTCGCAAGGATCGTTCTGGATCGAGACCTCCTTAACCTGGAACAATTCCTGACATCATCCACACTCAACTGGAGAGCACAAGCATTTGGGTTATACGGAATAAGCATTTTAGATCTGGCTGTGGGTTGGAGGGAAGGACTCCAGGCTCTGTCTGCCGTCTGGACGTGGGATGCGTCATGCACCTTTTGGCTGGCGTTCATGATATCTGACAAGGACTCTTGCCACCAAATTCTCGACTCGTTCTTCTTGCCTATGAACAGTTGTACTTTCATAAGGCTTATGATGGACTTAATCAAGGCTGATGCAATGGACTGGGCTCAAACCGTTGTCAAGTCGCATGTTCGCAAACGCAGAGATCTTGCCGCCCTTGGCCGTCAACACTTATCGCCCACCGACCAAAAGAGATTGGGACTTTCCACGGCCGAAGTCACACCATTGAATCTTCGAGCGCGGGAAGTATACGACCTTTTGAGGAAGAAAGAGATCCAAGTCCCTCTAGCCTTGCATCCTGGATAAACTGGGTCGATCTATCATGTCTTGGCCACCTTTTCCGACTATTACTATGGGTTAAGGTACATCTTCGGGACGCGTGTTCGAGTTCCGTCTACTGCAGAGGTCTGTGACAGCTTCCTGCTGGTCGTAGTGGCGCAGCAGTTGTTCGACAACGGCTTTATCGTTTTCGACAAGACCCATCTCAACATGAGAAGAGACAAACTGGTGCTAACGCCCCTGGAACAAGCCACAAGGAACCTTTCTGGACTGGCACCACTACCGATATGCGTATGGCTTCTACAGAAGGGTGCCAGTCCGAATTTCCCACTTCCGATACATCACAAGGAACAAGGCTACCTCGGGCGTCGCAGACAGAGCAGCCGCAATCTTTTAGAGCGGCTAGCAAAAGGATGCACTACTCAGCCCAACTCACACTGGTCTTTGATGCGTCTGCTAGTTCAGTACGTTTCCGGTCTGTGTCCTCTCATGTCCACAGACAGCTGTGACTGTTATTGCCTCACCTCGAACGGATGTCTACCACAACACCTCCACGTATCCTTTGATGTCTACTCCTCAATATGCAACAAGCATGAGCACAAAGCTAATGCGTTAGTTTTCTGGCTCGAGTCATGTTTTCTTACCCGTGATGAGAAGTCGCTGTGCTTCGAACAAGCAGTGCGGCTAGAGTTGTTTGACAGGCTCGGCCTCGTTCACACATGCTGTCTAGGGCGGGAATACAAAATGAACCCTCCCAAACCCGAAGAAGTCGAAAGGATCAGAGACGATGACGAGGAGCTAGCATCGCAGTTGGATCTGTTAATGTTCGCTTACCGTGGGTCCCTCCTCATGTTTCTCCGACGGCATGATGAAGATGAAGAATACTCGACGGAGTTCGATTGTGGCTGTTATGAATTTGAAGATCTGGGGAAAACGCCTCCTTCATGGGGTAGCCATAATCTTGATGGCCACACAACTCGGTTGCTGGCTCACTGGCGCCACTGGTGGAGTGTGACGGATCCAATAATGGCCGATATTTACAGCATCACTCGGCTGGATCTCTATAAAGCTTATGGTGGAGAGGTCTTTAGCGTCAGATGTTGGTCAGAGGAGGAAGTAGCAGATATGATGCGTGAGACAGCTGATAGGAGGACTAATTTGAATCTGGAAGAGATGGGATTCGGCGACCTCGATTACAAGGAAGTAATCGAGCGACAATTTCACAAAGAATTGATGTACGCAAGAGAGAACATTAATCCTGGACCTGGCGAAGACGGGAACTATTGGGAGAAGAAGTTTGACAAGGCAAATTTTGTACCAGTCTACAGAAAAGAACTCCTGGACGAGTTCATAGAAAAGCTAAGGCGAGCTGTGTCGGGACAAGATGAGATGTGGATAAGGGAAACGGAGATATGGAGTAAGTGTCAATCTTGGTAATGAGTAACGGGGAAGACAGTGCAGTACTGGTTTGTTTGTTAGTTCGAGACCTCGTGTCAACTTTCCTGTGCTTACCTCGAATACGCTATTTCTGATATTCAATATGCCATATGAGACCCTTGCTAATGCCTTTTGTCATTCGTGCTAGCCATTTTGATATGTTCTTGCGAGGTTTGGCACAATACTCGAGATAGGCTTCGTCTACGTAGTGCAGTGTACAGAGTACGGCATAGTACCTACCTAGCGTACCGAGCTGAAAAACAAATAAACCAGTACTAGATTGTGATGAATTCGGGAGACGGATAGAGAAATAGCTTCCGTTGTGCATTTAGTTAGGTATATAATGGCGATAGACAGTTACGTAGCTAAATCAGCATAATCCTCAATCTGACTCGTGAAAATCGGCTCCGTATGCGTTACCTATACCCTATCTCCTCATGGAAGTACACTCTTGTCCTTTCCTTCTCTTCCTTGGGGACAGTCTAAGCATTAAGAAGTCCAATGAGTGGAGGTTATTGTAGACTGTGTAACTTATGTTGATGGGCACAAGTGAAGGAAGGGAATGTTGATAGGTCCAGGTTGGAAGGGGGAATAGGTAAGTGGTAGAGAAGAGCGGGACTTCAGTAGGTGTTAGCTGCCTGAGATACCGAGGGAACACATGCGAGACCAGTGTCGTAATAACCAGCCCCAGATTTCCGACTTCACTCCCACGATACACAACCACGAAAGAACAAACCCCAAAAACTTATTCCCAATTTCCAGTCAACTTCCTCCAAAAGCCGCTCAACATCAATCTATTCAATCCTTCGATGCAGACAGGTAGTTAGAATGATTTGTTCCATATTCTAGGAATAAAATCCAAGACAGACAATATAGGCTTACCAAAAGCCCTCACTGACCAATCAACTACGACAGCTGAACCAACAGTTGTGAAATCTTCCGTAGTATAGTGGTCAGTATGTGAGCTTGTCAAGCTTGAACATGATATCAGTTCGATTTCGCTCGAGACCCGGGTTCAATTCCCGGCGGGAGAGACCATAACTTTTTTTTGCCATTTTTGCCTTCACACCCATCCCAGTATTCATCAATCAAAAGTCACTAACACAGAGCTTTTTGCTTTTCGGGTTTCTATTGGGCGAGGGAAACATCGATGCTCTGGAGGTCCCTGCCGGCCGTTCCTGGACCGCCCCACTGAACAAGCAGCAAGAGTGGGGACATTGGTCCTCCACTTACAACCACAACTACAACCACAACCACAACTTCCTTCCAACTTCTTCCTGTTTTCCTATTTTCTTCCTCACCACTTGCGAAGTTGGGCCTACGGCGGATGGCGCTCTCTCGCCGTCATGCGTTTAACCTACAAAGGACGGAACATTCCGACATTTACATCGCTCCATCGGCCTTGGAGACGACTGAGGATTCCAATCACTCGAAAGTCCCCCCAACTTGTTGACGAGAACGATTTCTCTAGTTGATGGTGAATGAATATCTCGTTAATACTTATAATTGCTGATGCTCAACTATTCACGCGAATCCGTCCCAACCGAACTATACCTGTGCCCAACTTGCTTGGCTACCAAAGCCGATCTTTTCTTCATAGGATCCTTCCCCCTTGCCAGAATGCTCAGACGCCGTGCGATCTCCTGCACAAACGACCGGCTGGCATCATCATACTCATAGATATAGTCATACGCCCCGTAGGAACAGAAGCCAAACAAGAAAACCGAGATGCCCAAAGAGACCAGGTACGTCACCGCCACCTTTGAATCCGCATCCCACTTCCAATCCGACTCCCCCTTTTCAAAAACCGGTGTGCACACGACAACAGACAGCCCGGGCCAGGTAGGAACACGGTCGAATACGCGATGAGCATGATGAAGCATTGCCGCCACACAAACGTTCTTCGCGAGCTCAACACCCAATGCCATGCCGCCGCGAGTCTTCTTCAGCAGCCGTCCCCGCTTCTGCTTCTGCTTCTACTCCGTTGCTTGTTGTGTTGCCTTTTCTGGTCCATGTGGTCCGCCTTCAACATCTGCATCTGCAGGAAGATGAGGCTTATTATAGCGACGCTTTTGCGTCGTGAGGATTTGCTCCAGATGAGATGTCGTCGTATCACCACCTTTGCCGTCTGTACGTCGTCGCACTTTTCAACCACGTCCAAATCCTTCTTCTTCTGGATGAAGAGCGACAGCAGCGATAGTTGCTGAGATGCGAGAAAGATTGATGCAACCGAGATACAGAGTGAAAGCGATGTATACCAGACCAGAACGCACGACCGGTCCAGTGCGAAGTCTTGACAATGTCCCAGGAAAAGGATCCGGTGATGATGGCTGTCATGACAGCGGCCTATCATCCATTTATTATATATTGTTAGCATTCATAGGTACCCTAAGTATCCCCGTGAACATGAAAGGCCAAGGGGTGTCTGGTGTTGTATGCCTACCGCGACTGCCATAAAGGATAACTCGTCCCTTTTCCCCGTCCGCCACGCCGCAATGGCGACCAATTGCGCCTTTCGGTTTTCTGCTACTTCTGTATCCAGGTTGGCAACTTCCTCGATCTCTTGGGCCGGCCGAACTGTGTTATAGATGTAGAGACGTTGGTATGGGAGTGTAGCCAAGAACTTGAGCAGAGTCAAGACAGCCATAAGTGCCGTACTGAGCCAGACGAGTACTATCTCCATGATTGAGACTTCTTTTGGTAGGTGCTTTGAGGTGACAGGTAGGTAAAGTATGGATACGGTAGGGAATGCAACAAATCTTGAGAGCTGTGAGTACTCAAACAAACATCTGCTCCTTCAACCGTGCAGCGTGCTGGGGGTTCCAGCTAAATACCTACCTACCTACCTACTATCACAGGACTCAAGTGCGAGTGCTTCAAAACAAGGGAAGTTGAGTCCGAGAAGTGAGAACCCGAGGGGCTTCGGCACAGCCCGCATCTATCAAATCAAATAACCAGGACCGATATTCAGCTGCATGTGCAGGTGACCCAAAGAGGTACTAGATGGCGCCCGTTCAGCCTTACACCCATCCATAAAAATCCGATTGTTTGCTCGCTGCTCATTAGCACACCAATGACGTATTTCAAATCCAGAAAGATAGCAGTTTCTGGTATTGTGCGAGCGATCCGCTTTTGATATTTTTTCCCATCGGCATCCAGCCTGTACCTACTGTGCCATATCGCCGCACTAGGGGGCTACCTCGGAGCCAATCCGCGAGCAACGCGATTTGTCTAGACTAGACCACATTGCAGGTGGCTTGCATAAGTTGCATAAAATAGAGTTCGGCTTTGGCAGCCTGATGCCGCCGTGCCACTTTCCAAAGCCCAAAACAGGAATGATGAGGTAACTAGATATCTGATTGCCGGTGGCACATGGGCATAGTTGAAGGAATCGGCCCGGCCTGCTCCGATCGTTTGAACTGGTGCTGAACTGACGATAGGTAGGCTCAGTGAAGGCGGATTGGTCCACTTTTCGGATGGAAGATATCTGGTTTGCATCGTCTGGGGAAAGTCCGGAAAGTAACGGGAGGGTAAAGACATCTGAAAACTGGCATTTACGAGCCATGGTTCTTTTGGTCGTTCAAAAGAGATGGAGATAATTCACATTCTCTCGAGAAACTGTTCATCATTTTATGTTGGCTGACTCCTAGTCATTCATGCCGTACCTTGTTCCTGCTCCTCCTTGTCCTCCTCCTCCTCCTCCTCTTGCTCCTCCTCCTCTTGATTGTGCTCTACTCGTTCTTGCCCCTCCTGATGTTCTTGACGTCCGTTGCCGTCGTTTTGCTGTTCCTGTGCGTCTGGTGCCGATGGCGCCTCTTCTTCTGGCGTTTCGTATGTCTCAAGGTCATCTTCTTCCTCTTGCGCCTTTTTATCTGCTCCCTCCCTTTGCCCTTGTGTTCCCTCTTCTTGCTCCTGGTTCTGTGTCTGTCTTTGTTCTTCCTCGGCTTGCTCATTTGCATTATCTGGTGATGCATCATCTCGCTGCTCGCCGTCCTGCTGTTCCTCCTGTTCCTGATCCTCCTCTTCTGACCCATATCCCTCTACATGTCCCTCACCCTCCATCGGTGTCGAGGCGGACGTACCATCGCCTCCCTCGCGCGACACCCCATCCCCTTGCTTCTCAACCACACTGCCAGGCGGCGCTCTATTGTAACCCTTTTTCGGTCCACGTCGTTTCTTGGGCGGAATTGTATGCATTCCTACCTGTATCCCCTCGGAATCTCTTGGTCGTATTCTTTGAAACCCAGGGAGATCCTTCGGCGGAGACGGTGGGCGCGGTGGTGGTGGCGGTGCTAATCGTGGTGGCGGTGCTGCTCGTGGCGGCGGCGCTGCTCGTGGCGGTGGTAGTGGTGGAAGCGTGTGGTCCGACGCCGGCGGCGGTATCTTTGAGGTGATCATGATCTCCTTCAGCTGCGCGATCGGCCTCGCGATCGGCCTCTGCAGCTGTTCTTCCACCCGTCTCTGCAGCTGTGCTTCCATATGTTTGGGCCGGAAATTGCTCCACTGCTCTGGCATCTTTCTCGGTTGATCCATCACTTTATACATGGAGAACGCAACTGGGTTGTCCCTCCCAAAGAACTTTGCGTATTTTAGCCATCCCTTGCCAAAGGCTTTGTTGTTCATGTCGATATCCAGCCAACCCCTGTTCCTGTTTGCGGGATCCATGTCGAGTTCCACGTCAAGCTCGCCAGCTCGCCGGCCGATCCAGTCGAAGAAGATGCGCACGGGAGGCATGGGGTCATAGGGGGATCTCCGTCGCGGATACTCGACGTAGAAGTCATCGCCTCGTCTTCGCTTCTGATGGGGTATATGTGGCAGAACCTCAGGGTCATGGAGTAGGTAGGCTGACAGTTCCTCTAGCAATTGTTCCGATTTGGCGAGGATCATGGTGCCTAGGGCAACTTTGAGGTTGATGGACGCTACCAGGCCGTAGCTGTCAACAGGCCAGTTGAGAATGTCGATGGTCATTTCGCCGGGACGTCCTCCCCATCCGCCGTCTTCCAGGGCAGGACACTGGATTAGCCACGAGCCGACCAGCTCTTCGATCTCAAAGGGCTCATATACTTGCTGGGGGTTTGTCCGTAACAGATCGGCTTTTATTTGACACAAGCGGAAGTGAGGTTGAAGTGCCAATTCCCAGGTAGGGTTACCTTGAATCTCCACCCGCTGTGGCGCCGTATTTGCGACTTGTTGGCGCATGGACGTCTCTCTCAGCTGTTCTATTACCTCAAACGGCCTATCACCCCAGCCGATAACCGTCTTGTCGATGCCGTTGCCGATGAAGGCCCAGACACGGAGGTCGGGGACGCGAAGGACGGCATGTGTCAGGATATTTCGGATATCGGGACCTCCAAACCATCCCTCGATGACGATGGGCTCCTGCGTCAAAAAGGGCATGGGGCGTCCGTGTAAGCCGGTAAGAAAATATTTGGATAAAAAGTAGTCGATGTGAAAGTGGGCCTCCATGGTAGGCACATGGATGGTTATGGACGGATGAGAGGCTGCAATGCTGGCAAAGGCCTCCTCGATGGCCCTCTCGATGCCGTACCACTCCCAGCAGATGACGGACCAGAGAGGCATCATATGGGACCGCAACCTGGGAACGGCTTTGACCACCTGGCGGGTGCCGTCGTAGTCGTTTAGTTTATGCAGTATGATGGGGTACCGTGTTTTCCATCGATCAGGTTGGCCTCTGTTGTCGAGGAAATACTTGGCCATGAAGAGGTCAACGCTGCAGTTGATCTCGTCAGTGGGGGTGGCGCATCGCGCAAAGGTTTGCTGTTCCCAATACGTGAATGCTTCTTTGTACTGTCTGTTGATGTCGTTGAACTGTCTTGTGAGGTTGTCCTCGATGGTCAGAATGTCAGCAGGCGGGAGCTTGCCTTCTTTGATGGTTTCTCTGAATAGGGCGGTCTGTAGAGCGTAAAACAAGTCGCCAGGAAGAGGCTCGGCGCCGGGGGCAGATTGGTGAACAGGGATGCCGTAGTGTATCAGTTGGGCGTGAAACCAGGCTTTGGCGACGGGTTCGATGGGCGGAACGGCATTGGGATCACGCATGATCATGTGGAGGTTGTAGGGCGTCTCCCGCTTGAAGCCCAGGGCCTTGAAGCCGTCTTTATCATATGTGAAGGGTCCATGAACAGCGGGTGCTGGAGGCATGGGCTTTGGTCCTGGGTCGGGGGGCGGCGGGCCAAAATGTCCATAGTTGCCATTGGGATGAGAGCTTGGTGCTGGCCGAGGATGAAGATCGGTATGAGGCCCGGGTGGGGGGCCATTGTTAGCGGTGGTGTTGGTGTTTGGATGGCTGTCTGATGAGGTTGAGGAGTTTCCGGTCAAGGGTCGATTTCCATCCGATGAAGGATTGGGACGGGCTGGTTGAGTTTGTTGTTGCTGTTGTTGTTGACTTTCTTGAGGTTGAGTCTCAGGTCGGCCATCAGCTTGGGATGGAGGTTCAGAATGAGATTCATGGCTGTCTTGATCTTCAGGCGGGGCATGGGCGGGACTTTGAGTTTGAGACTCGAATGCGGGTGTTTTGCCATCAAAGAGAGAGTCGACGTCCTTGTCGTCGTCGTCGGCTTGCGGGTGAGTCTCGGCGGCGGGATCTGCAGCCGTTGGACTTGACACCGGGTCCATTGTTGAGGCGTCCGGTTGGCGGTCGGTGGTACAAGGTTCCATGGCGACTACTATGTGTCATTGATGTCGCTTCATGTTGTTCAACAAGGTCACCGTGGCTCCTGTGAAAATGGCGAATGAGTGGTGATGTTGACAAACAGAAAGTGAGCTGCCCGTCGACGAACTTCAGACGCGCAAATTGACAAACGATTTGTTTTCGGCAGGCAATGCTGGTCCAATCAGTGGATCCGGACCCCACATTGGGTCTCTCCACCAAGTCACTATCAGCTTTACCGGATTTTAGGGTGGTAAGCTGTTAGTGTATGAATGGTTGCTCTACCGGCTGCCGACACCCCGGCATCTATTCTTTCAGCCCATTCATTTTCTCGTCTCATCCTCCTCTCCTTCCATCTCCTCTTCCAAAACTTCGAGACGGAAAAAGTGCTTGAGACAAAATGTCCAAAAATGTGGCCACCAAGGTACCTACCACAACTCTACCGCAAAGAAGCGACCGAAGGGACATGGAATGTTTCCGACGGCAATGACCGAGGTACTTTCACTCCCGACTCTCCGGCGACCACTTGTCTTGTCATGCCTGGGTTTCCATCACTCAGTGACCAAAACACCACGGCAACAACGTTACGCGGTTGCGCCTTTTTCACCAATCAACATTTCTCCAAGCGGGAACCACGTATTGACCGCATTTTTCCCGGGTGTCATCAGCTTCCAAGTAGGGGACTTTTATACTCATCGGTCCCGCCCTCGAAAAGCTTCGCGGCTCGACTTGAAACCCTCCATCCGACGGGAGACTTGCCGTCGGGCGGTTATTCTTTCCTCGAGTGAAGAGAGTTTGACCATCACACTCACTGACCGGATTACCATCATGTAATCTTCCCGACACAATGACTGTCGCACTGGCAAAAATAGATATCGAGGTAGGCTCAAGTGAACCTGCTATATAGTAAGATATAGCCCTCTTCTCACATCTCGTCTTCGCCCGTGTTTGCCAAGTCCATCAACTCGGCTGGACATCCATTGTCTACACTCACCCTTCACACTGCCTTCGGCAACACCACCCCAAAAACAGATATACCAGCCACCATGTTCACCAAAGCCCTCCTCGCCTTCGCGGCTCTCACCTTGGCCAATGCCACTCCTCTTCACCTTGACGACTCCTCCCCCACCTCTCCACAACCTCCAACCTCAACAGCCCTCGGCTTCGCCCTCGTCGCCAACCTCACTGATCCCGACATGGCCCGCAACCTCTTCCTAGACGACATCAACCACTGGTCCCTACGCGGCGTGCACGTCGGCGCCGGCCAAAGCACTGCCGTCCTCGCCAAGCCCAACACCACTGCATCCGGTTCCTCTGCACACACCATCGCCGAAAGATCCAGCTCCGGTCCCCACCAAATCTACTACCAAAACTCCACCGGCGGCATCTCCCTCGACAGTTCCAACCCCTTCCCCCTTTCGATTCGTCTGGGCGGCATCTACGACTCCGACTTTCCCTCCGTCCTCTACCTCGGCATCTTCTTTGGGCTTTCCACCCCTTCCATATCCATCTCCTCGCCATCCGGCCACCCGCGCCTTTTTATCTCTTCCGCTGGCGCTGATTCACCCCAAGCTGACCAACCCACTGCTCCCGGGTCGCCCATCACGGATAGCGAGGCACCGGAACTGTATCAGCGCGGCACGTTCATCGTGTGTAACGAGACAGATCCGGTTTATACGAGGCCGCAGTACCCGGTTAGGTTTGTCAAGTCGAACGGGGATGGGACGGTTAGCTTGCCGGGTAATTGCGCGAGGATTGAGTTGCTGGCTGAGTGTGGGGTGTTGAGGTATTTGGATGGGCAAGGGATGGAGTATGGACAGGATAAGCCGGGGGTTGTCTCATGTTTTGATGGGGACCTCTGATCTTAGTATGGCTTCACTGTGTAGGTCTCTGGTCAGATGAAGAAAAACGATGGTCCGTGTTCAAAAGTATGGTTACTGGGGAGGTGCTTAAAGGGCTGAGGAGGGAAAAATAAAGCGCTGTTGTGATGGTTTATCAAAGTGGATGTTTGAATGCATGCCTTTGGATCCCGGCGAGGGGTCGATATACCGAGGTACACAAGGTATTATAACAGTCCCCAACCCTCCTAATGATTGACAGTTCTCTTGGATCAATTAACACAAACTTGCTTTCTGCATGAAGACGCCAAAAGGCTCGATGAGACCACTGCTAAAAGACATGTTGACGTTGCAGTGGTGTTCACTCAAACCGTCCCCTGATCCACGGTCCGCGACAGATCTACAGTAAATCCTCATCTCCCCCTTCCCCTTCTCCATCATCGTCATTCTATATTTGCTCAACCAAGCCAAGTTTATGCCAGCCCTATACCATACAACTTCAACCACCCCCAATCCTCGCCAATCTTCCACCGTTGCATTTTGACATATCGTTTTACCCGCCTTGGCACAATGTCAGACATCTCGCAATAAGGACATAGCTAAGCGTGGTACTGTGCGCTTCAACCTTGTCTCAGGGGCTCTTCATAACAACTGAGTGGTCAATGGACAACAACCGAAACAGTTGTGTGGCGGCAGCGGCACCATGTCCACTAAGAACTAAATGACAAAAACTGCAAATGGGCGGGTGGTGGTCAGGGGTTTTTGTGGCGGCCGTTTAAAGGATGAATTAATGACAAAGACTGTTCTGATCAGTTACTCACCCTTTCTCATTTTGGTTTGGACTTTTGCATCATCTTTTGCACTCGTTTGGAGCCTTTGATGACTGTGAGGCTAAAAAGGGAATCAAAGTGTCATCGCGACGACAGAAACGTCAAAGTCTACATGCTGTCTTCACGATTCTGCGGCGTTAGGCCTTGCTAAACGACAACCACCAGAACCTTCACCATGGCGCGCTTTTCCTCCACTGGCAGCATAATCCCCCGCGGGTACCTCCGCCCCAAATCTCGCCGTCGTCATATCTTCCTCCTCGCCCTCTTACTTCTCTTCAGCATCGCTTACTTCCTTCACTCCTCCTCCTCCTCCTCTTCTCCATCATCAGCACATGCTGTCTCAGAGTTCGCCTGGCTAGAACACCACATGAACTCTCCTTTCCCCTCTCTAACCAAATTAATATCGAATACTTCTTTCGACTGGAACTCCGTCCCCTACAAATACCCTCCACCCTTTCCCCTCCGGCACTTACCTCTACCCATCAACTCCTCCCCCTCTTTACCACCCATCCAACACCACTTCCCTCCCGAATCCCGCGCAGCTCGCAAACTCCGCGAATCCCGACGGCAGCAAGTCAAAAAAGTTTTCATCAAAAACTGGAACTCCTACAGGACCCTAGCATGGAAAAAGGATGCTTTGCTGCCCATTTCCGGGGGATATAAAGATCAATTCTCCGGATGGGCCGCTACGCTAATCGACTCACTGGATACGTTATGGATCATGGGTTTACGACGGGAATTCGACGAGGCAGTGGATGCCGTTGCTGATATTGATTTCGGGACTGTCAAAGAAGGAAGTGGAAGGGTAAATACCTTTGAGACCAACATTCGGTATTTGGGCGGACTTTTAGGGGCGTATGACCTAAGTCAACGGGAATTTTTACTTATCAAGGCGAAGGAAGTAGGTGATCTGTTATTCGCGGGGTTCAACACCGCCACTCGAATGCCTGTGGATTTTATCGATTTCGAGCGGGCCAAGGAGGGAAAAGAAGGGTTGGAAGTGGAGGAGAGTGTAGTCAGCGCTAGTCCGGGAACGTTGACTTTAGAAATGACGAGACTGGCGCAGGTGACGGGGGACATGAAGTATTACGATGCGGCGGCGAGGGTGATGGATGTTTTTGAGCGGGGGCAGAATCGCACCAAAATCCCGGGGTTGTGGCCTGTCTATGTGTCGATGGCAAGGCAGGACGTAGTGACGAGCGGGAATCAGTTTGGCGTGGCGGGAGGCGCGGATTCGTTGTATGAGTACTTGCCCAAGATGTATGCGCTGACAGAGGGGATGGAGACGCGGTACGAAAGCATGTCGAGAGCGTTTTTGGAGGCGGCGGATGAGAAACTTTTCTACAGACCGATGGTGCCGGGGAATGAGGACGTCTTGATGATTGGGACGGCGGATGTCATCGTGGACACGGATGGGAAGGAGGAGATGGTGCTGAATCCGGAGAGCGAGCATTTGGGGTGTTTTCTGGGAGGGGTTTATGGACTTGGTGGGAGGTTGTTTGGGAGGCTGGAGTGGGTGGAGAACCAGGGTGTCAAGATCACAAGGGGGTGTGTTTACGCTTATAGGGCGATGCCGACGGGGATGATGCCCGAGAGGTATAACATGGTGCCTTGTCCGTCACGCGATGATGCGAGTTGCCGGTGGAATGAGGAGGTGTGGGAGAGGGAGAAGAAGAAGCGGCTTGAGTGGAAGCAACATCTGCCAAAGGGGTTCACGACGGCGAAGGATCCGAGGTATATCCTGCGGCCAGAGGCTATTGAGAGCGTGTTTGTCATGTGGAGGATTACGGGCAGACAGGAGTTCCAGGAGGCGGCGTGGGATATGTTTACGGCTGTGAGCAATGGGACGGAAACCGAGTTTGCGAATGCGGCCGTGCTGGATGTGACCAAGGCCGAGTATCCTCTGCCAAAGGAGGATTACATGGAGGTGAGAGTTCTTCTTACCTTGACCCGATATGACGCCGGATTCAAGCAATAGCTGACAGTGGTTCGCAGAGTTTCTGGTTGGCTGAGACGCTCAAGTATTTCTACTTGGTCTTTTCGCCGCCAGATGTCATCAGTCTCGATGATTTCGTCTTGAACACCGAGGCGCATCCGTTTCGAAGGCCAAAGAAGCCACGGGGCGATCGTCCGCTGAAGGTGTAATGTGTAGACTGTCCATGTGTGGATACCATGATTAAATTGGATGTACCATCATTGATCACCTTGACCATTTGTAGCAGTCGCGGTTCGCTGGCTCATTGGAGTGACCGGCGGGGCATGAACGGACTCGATGTTGCAACAACGAAGATACCCGATTCGGACCGCTGATGTTGGGGAACCAGTGTGACAACTGCCGAATGCGCATCCAGATTGCCCTCGTGAATTGGACGAGTCAGATTTGTCGACCAGATTAAAGTCGCAGTTGGAATTCCAGTTGGTGATCAATTGGGGAAGGAAGCTGGAAAGCCAACCTGCTTGTAACTGCAGTGGTGGGATGTCTTCCTTCCTGTTGGAGGAAGAAGCACGACACGTAAAAGGAAGGTGCATGTCAACTCTGCATGACCTGCAAATTCTACACATTCCATTCACCAGGTCATTTCCTACTTATCGACGATTGAAATGAACAGAAGACGTCCGAGTTCATGGAGACCAGATGTTTGCAACTTTCCGTCTCCCTGTCAATGCTGGGCTGAGAGAGTGTCGATCTTCCCCACCATGGCCATGTTCTGTTCGAGCTAGACTGTACACTCATGCCTTAACAAAGCAGCCATTGACCTGAACTCTGTCGTTGTCTGTTTCGCTGTCAGAGAGATGCCAGAACAAACCGAAGAAGCATATTACGATTGTGATTCTCACCGTTCTTTGACACCTTTGTCCACCCCTTGAAATAACGTTGTTGAAGGACATCAATAGTTTGAGGATGATAATGTTAGTGATAAGAGAAAAGGTACCTTGGAGATCAGTGTTTGCAGTCTGCACTGACGTACCTTAGCGCCCTCCCCCCACAAAGTACTGTACCCCTCCGGTACCCTGACGGTTTTCACCAAACCAGGCAAGTTTGCTTCTTCCCCTCCTTCTCCTTCGACTCCTCCAGTTCATTCTCCCCCGCACCCATCTATCGCTTACCTTTATCCGCCTCCGAGCTCCAAAGGTCTCCTTTGGTTTGTTCCAGCTCACGATACCCTCCCAAGTGCTATGGAAGAATGACTAGGTACCAACCCGACATCGTATTGTCTGGTTGCTGATCGCCACTCACGGTCATGGCCCGAGACACTGGAGGACCCTGAAGGTGACACACTTTAGTCAAGACAAATCTCGTCGAAGTATCCAATCAGATCGTCTTGTGCTAGAAGCTAGAGCTAGGCCAAGGGTCCTTGGAAAGCTGGCATGGCGCTGTGTAATGCGCACAGCACAAGGAAGGGCACGAGGGTAGCTAGGTACCCAGGTTTCTGGCTCCTTATTACCAGAGAGTAAGCCCAGCGAGCTTCCACTTCGCATCACGACAAACTTAGCACGATCCTGAACCGCAAATAACTGTCAAGAGAACAGCCCGCTGAAGTCACCATGGCTCACTCGATCGAAGAAATGGACCCAGACAAGGAGAAGCAGTTGGATGAGGTCGAAGTCAGCAGGAACAACGAGGTTAGTAGCAGGTCCATTGCACCGTGTCTCAATCTCATACCTCCAACATGCTGACCCGCACTTTTAACAGTTGACCCCGGAATTCGAGTATTCTCAAGCTGAAGAACAAGCATTGCTGCGTAAACAAGACTTGACCATTCTTCCCCTTTGCGCCGCCATCTACTTCCTCTGCTATCTGGACCGTTCCAACATCGGCAACGCCCGCATTCTCAACTCGTCGACACACAATGATATGCAGACCGAGACCCATTCCACCCAGTACCAGTTCAACATCGCCTTGATGGTCTTCCTGGTAGCATACGCCACTTTCGAGGTGCCATCCAACATTCTGCTCAAGAAGCTGCGGCCTTCGCGATGGATCGCGTTCCTCATGTTTTCATGGGGTGCCATCACTATGGGACTGGGTGGTGTTCAGAACTTTTCCTCCTTGGCTGCTGTGAGGTTCATCCTTGGTGCTTCCGAAGCCGGTCTTTTCCCTGGGTTGGTACTACTGATGGCCCCTTTGACCACATCAAGCCGCTAACCATCTGGGCGGATAGCCTGGTCTACTACCTGACTTTTTGGTACAAGTCCGACGAGCGTAGTGTCAGGGTCGCCACCATTCTCGCCAGCGCCACGCTCGCCGGTGCTTTTGGGGGCGCAATCGCCTATGGCATTGGCCACATGAACGGCGCAAGCGGACTATCTGCATGGCGTTGGCTGTTCATCATTGAAGGCGCCCCATCTTGCGTCTCGTCGCTTTTTGTCCTCTTTTTCCTGCCGGATTACCCAGAAGAACACCTCAAAGGAAGAGAACGCGAAATTGCGCTAGCTCGTCTCAAGATAGAAGGGAGCAAGAGTCATCATCGCAGCATGACGTGGCAGGATGCCAAAACTACGCTTACGGACTGGCGGCTTTATGGCCACTACCTCATCTACTTTGGAATATCGGTTCCCTTCAGCTCGCTGTCGTTGTTCACCCCATCCATCACTGCGGGTCTGGGATACAAAGATCTCCGGGCTCAGTTGATGAGTGTGCCACCTTATGCGGTAGCTTATGGTTAGTCTGCGCATACCTCCGTGATGAACACCTTACTGACGGAATTACCTACAGTCACACAAATTGTTGGTTCGTGGTCAGCAGACCACTTCAATGCCCGCGGTATTCACAGCGCCGTGTTCTCGCTCCTCGGTGCCGTAGGGTTTATAGCCATGGTCACGCTACCAGTAGATGCCTACCAGCACAGATACGGTTGTCTCATCCTTGCATCGGCGGGTTCCTTTGCCTGTGTCCCACCAATGCTGGGATGGCTTTCATCAAATGTCTACAGTACCGCTTCCGTAGGTCTAGCCATTGCAATCAATGTGAGTGTCGGGGGTGGCATTGGCCAAATCCCTGGGGTGTGGATATACCCAAAGGAGGAGGCCGCTCGGGGATATCCCACTGGTCACTGGACCAATGCGGGGATGCTTCTTATGGTTTCGGCGGGAGCAGTTGGACTCCGTGTCTGGTATGGCTACAAGAATCGGAAGCTTCTTCGCGAAAGTAACGGACAGGAAGTCCGGTTATTCCGACTCTGAAGAGGGAATCTGGGTTAAGATGGAGGCCGACTGACGTATTTACCATGGACAAGGCATGCATTTCAGCGTCGTATTCGGCTTTTTCCTTCTTTTGCTCTTCTTCTCTTCTTTGTTCTTTTCGGATAGCAATCGCAATTGTCCAAAGTCAGTCTGTCCCAAGTCAGTCAAGATGCACCCACACATGTGAATCGAGTTCGGAGAGCAAGTCATAGCGGCATACTTTTGCGCGGAGCAATTCGAGCGTGGAAGTGGAGTTCTCTTCACTCTTCTACCCAAGCGTACATGCTTGTAGACAGGAGAGATATCCTTTTCGGACATGGAAGTCCCGGCGAGATACCTGCTCTGCTCCTGGTACTCACTAATATGACGTTTGATGGGTCCAAGAAGCGATAGTAACCTCCATGAGATCGGACGGGATTTGGAGGAGTGGGGTTCTAGGTTGGGGTCCCCAATTGAAAGGATTCAGGTTGCTTCAGTAACAGAACCTGAAGCAAGAATGAGAACCCCAAAGAGTGAGAAGAGAGGAGCACCGTTCGGGTTACCGCCAGTTTGGCTCAGATCAACAATTAGGCACGTATTGCAACGGAGGAAGAAGATGTAACAGTGGCAGCGAATATACCTTGGACTCGAGCCGTCCCCAATCCCTGCCTGCTGCCGGTAAGCTTCTCCGACTACCACATAATCTCAAACAACTCGTATTCCAGGACAGGACAGTCCGACAAGGCAGGGTTATAACTCTGCCATTTGCTTCTACAGCCACGTACTTACAGCCAAACGCAACTGCCAGACCTTTAACCTGACAGATTCCGCACGACTGTGCCTATCCTGGAACTGCAAGTTTGTGTGAGGCTACACGGTAACTGCATGCTTGGTAGCAGTACGCAGTCCCAATAAGTATTCCCCGCTCGAAGCTGTAACTTTGTGCTCCTCATCTTCCCCCGTCACTCGTCATTCGTCAAACCCGGGACAGTGTCTCGCACGACCCAAGATTTTGAGTTGTAGTCTTCACGCTGTGTTACCTTCTCTTTCCAGAAAAAGAGTAAATGTGGTATCAGACTTTCAAAGCACACCGATCAAGCTTTATTCCAACTCAACCCAAGGTCGCCGAGCTAGCTCCCATGATCCGACCTCTCCAATCAAGCCTAGCATTGAAGGTGGTCTTGAGACTGCAATGGATCGAGTTGGCAGTTGCGGTTCAGTGTCACACCCGCATGACCAGCCTAATGCATATATCTGCCATGTCTGCTTCTCCAGCTTGCCCTCGGGCTGCTCCTCCGCCGCATGGCTGCTCTGCAAGTCAGCTTGCAGATTCCTGAACTCCCATCCTGTCGGGCACCTTGAGCAGGCTAGCATCTACCCCGACCGTTCAGCTTGATGACAAACGCTAAGAGAAGCCGCCAAGGTATTACGCTGGATACCGACTGTTTCAAGCCATGGAAGAAAGGTTCGCCTCTTCAGACGAACCCCAAGATGCCGGATCACGGCCAACCGAACCTCGTGATAGCACCCCAAAGGTTGGGATATCCTCGGTAGGTGTCGTTGCAGCTGGTAAGTCATACAGTTCTGGTTCCTTTATAAAGGGACACCAAGTGGTTACCCGTCTTCACGATATCCTTAGTTGCACACGTTACACTGTACCACGTTCGGTCTACCACATTTGACCCGTCAACCCAGAGGATTACTCAACTACCCATGTTCTCTACTCGGTCTACTTCATTAGTCCACTCTGGTCATAACCTTTGGTACACGGGACTGAACAAACTGTTTTTCCTTTATTATTCTCTCGCTGATTCTCCTTGATGACCTCCCCATCGACAGACCATCATTGATCTCTTTACTTCCTTGCATAATGACGCGTATCACAGCCTCTCTTGCCGGAGTCGTCGCTGTCATCCTCGCCATCGTCATCCAAAGTCATGCCGTACCCGGCACATTAGGATGGTGGAAACGTGATATCCCACCACCAGCCTCCAGCGCGGCAGCCCCAGTTTCATCGTCACCGGCAGAACATAAACCAATACCAACAACGCCACCTGATAATTGCAACCAGGCCTTCTTTACTAGTATCCTACCGCCCGAAGCAAGCCTGGAGAATATCGCGGCTGTTCCGGATGGCGGCAGCCATGGTGAAGGAAAGGCGAATATTGCGTATCCGACTGACCCAACGGACCTTCCTGCATTATGTGCGGTGACGGTCAACGTGACGAGTTCGCCGTCGAGTAGCTATCGGTTTGGGCTGTTCTTGCCGATGCCGACGGAGTGGAGCGGGAGGTTTCTTGCGGTTGGAAATGGAGGGTTTGCGGGGGGGATAAATTGGCTTGATATGTATGTGTTTATGTTGCTTTTGTCATGGTTCTTCCCCTCCTGTCAACGGAGTACGAGCATTGCTCATTGTTATGGAATTTGACCATCTTTGTGTCTTCGATGGCCGAACCAGCTGCTAATGTTATGTCTCTGTCGATCCAGGGCCCCCGGCACACATTACGGCATGGCAACCGTCTCATCTGACCTTGGCCACAACGGGTCTGTAATCGACACATCTTGGGCTATCAACCAGCCTGAAAAGAAGACCGACTGGGGATGGCGTGCCCTTCATGGAACCGTTATGCTCGGCAAGAAGCTTACAGCCGCCTACTACGGCAGCGATATCACTTACTCGTACTATAGCGGCTGCTCTACGGGTGGCCGCCAGGGTCTCCGCGAAATCCAAGAATTTCCCGACTCCTTCGACGGCGTGCTTGTCGGCGCCCCAGCCTGGTGGACTTCCCACCTCAACAACTACCTCACCCAGCTGGGCATGTACAACCTCCCCAACACCAGCGACTCGTACATCCCGACGCCCTTACTCCAAGTCGTCGCCGATGAAGTCGTCCGCCAATGCGACCTAGCCGACGGCGTCCAAGATGGCATCATCAGCCGCCCCGATCTCTGCACCTTCAACTCCTCCCTCCTTCTCTGCCCATTCAACGAACCAGCACCAACCTGCCTAACCAACCCCCAACTCTCCACCCTCGCCAAAATATACTCCTCACACCACCACGAAACCACAGGCGAACTCATCTACCCGGGCCTGACCCTCGGCTCCGAAGCCCAATGGTGGGCCATCATAGGCAACACCAACGGCGTTCCCTCCCCCTTTGGCATCGGCTACCAGCGTAACTTTCTCTTTGACAACGCCACCTGGGACTACACTACCTCTTACTCTGATTCCGTCGTTGACCTCGCTGAGCGTCTCGACCCGGGCCAAGCAACAGCAGATCACTACGACATTTCGGCCTATAAATCCCGTGGTGGCAAGATCATTCTCTATCATGGCTTAGCAGATGGGTTAGTTCCCACCAAGGGGTCGGAACTTTACTACCAGCGGACTATGAAGCTTTTCAGCGACGAAACAACGGACTTTTTCAAAATGTTTCTAATACCAGGGATGCAGCACTGCTGGGCGAGTCCGGCGGGGGTGGACGCGCCGTGGAATATTGGCGGGGCGTTCCAGGCTGGTGTCATGGGGTCTGGGGTCTGGTCGGTTCCGGGGTTTGAAGGGAGTGAGGAGCATGATGCGTTGGTGGCGCTGAGGAAGTGGGTGGAGGAGGGGAGGGAGGTGAGGCAGTTGGTGGCGACGAGTTGGAGGGCGGGGATGAATGCTAGTAGTGGGGTGAGGAGACAGAGAAAGGTTTGTGCGTGGCCGGGGGAGAGTGTTTTGAAGGAGGAGGTGGTGCAAAAGAAGGAGGATGGGGGGGATGTGGATGTGGATGTGGATAGTGAGGAGGTGTGGGAGTGTAAGTGGCCTGAGGAGGGTGGTGAGGGGGAGGTTGAGGTGGATTAGGGCGGGATGAAAGGGGAAAGGGGTATGGAAACGGTAGGAAGGATTTTTGGGTAATGGACAGGAGAAGGAGATGCTTTGGTTGGGACGGTTGAGGAGAAGTGTTGTGTAGGAACACTGGTGCATGGGGCTTTTGGAGAAGTACCTTGGCTTTGGGGAGTCGGTGAGGAAGGATAGCAAGAGGCATCATTTTAGCACCCGTTGGAGTTTAATACAGAAGAATTGTTTCAGTTTTCTCTTTGGAAATTTGATAGCACGATGACAATGGTTGAGTGTTTACCCATCATCTCCTCTGTCCCTTTGTCCAAAAAGCACATGGGGTTAGGGTTGGAGGAGACAAGTCCCGTGTAAGTGATAAGATCCCCTGTATAGCGATAACGGTTAGGGAGCTATGACCACCCTGAGGGGAGAACCACGTCGGGCCAAATTCCCCGAATCCCCAATTCCTTCCCAATTCCTCTTTTCTCCATCCCGCCTTTGGTCACCACTTGACGCCGACATCATCCGACCTACCATGCCTCGAATCCCCACCGTCGAGCTCAGTAGATATCTACTGACCGGCCACATCGCCTCTCCCGGTTGTCTTCGTGCCCGTGCCGCACTTCCCGGCAAGAATACGCGCGTAGCTCTCGGCGGTGCTCCTCTCCCCTCGCGACAGCTTCAGCCTCGTCAACACGCCTGCCACCTAACGACTGAAACCTCCCCGGCGAACCCCTCAACCACAACCTCTTCTCCCGCCGCCGCTGCCCCCTTCCGCAAACAACTAAAAGAACAAGCCAAAGCCCTCAAAAAGTCGGGCCACAAGAAGAAAAAGAGCAGCGACAACCAAACAGTCCCCGGCTGGGAACTCACCGTCGGCATCGAGATCCACGCCCAACTCAACACCGCCCACAAGCTTTTTTCTCCCGCAACCACGCCCTTCAACGACCCACCCAACACCCACGTCGCCCCCTTCGACCTCGCCCTCCCCGGCTCCCAACCGCTTTTCCAGCCCGCCACACTGATTCCCGCCGTCCGCGCCGCTTTGGCTCTCAACTGCTCCATCCAGCCCGTCAGTCGGTTCGACAGGAAACATTACTTCCACTGGGACCAGCCGAGCGGGTACCAGATCACGCAGTTTTACGAGCCGTTTGCCAAAGATGGCTTCATCACGCTCTACGCGAGGGACGGGATCGCGGCGGAGGATGGGGAAGAGATAAAAGTCGGGATCAAACAGGTGCAGATGGAGCAGGACACGGCCAAGACTACGGCACAACCGGGCGATGTCCAGTGGTTGGATTTCAATCGCGTCGGGGTTCCCTTGATTGAGATCATCACGCTTCCCGAAATCCACCACCCCGCTACGGCGGCGGCGTTGGTGAGAAAGGTGCAGATGGTTTTGGCGAGTGTGGATGCGTGCGTGAGCGGGCTGGAGGAGGGCGGACTAAGGGCGGATGTGAATGTTTCGGTCAGGAGGATGGATGATCCCAGTGGGAAGTTGGGCACGAGGACGGAGATCAAGAATTTGAGCAGTTTCAAGGCGGTCGAGGACGCGATTATTGCTGAGAGGGATAGGCAGATCAAGCTACTGGAGGAAGGCGGGGAGGTGAAGGGGGAGACGAGGGGGTGGAGTTTGGGAAGCACGGAGACGAGAAGGCTCAGAGGGAAGGAAGGCGAGGTGGATTATCGGTATATGCCTGATCCGGATCTGGGGCCGGTGGTGATCGGGGAGGATCTGGTGGCAAGGTTGAGGGAGACGATGGGGGTGTTGCCGGACCAGGAGGCAGATCAGTTGATGGAGAGGTATAACCTCAGCGCCAAGGATGCCTTGTCGTTGATGTCGCTTGATGGTGGAGCTAGGATTCAGTACTTCTACAATGTGCTTGACTCCCTTGAGGAACGCCTCGTCGCCGATGGGCAAGCCGTTCCAGAAGGCGCGGAACACGCAACCCTGGCTGCGAACTGGTGTCTCCACGAACTTGGCAAGCTCACCGACTCCGCTTCTTCCTCTACCTCCTCAGATACAGATGTCCTCGAAGGCCTAGCCATGACACCCCTCGGCGAATCACCCCTCGTTCCCTCCTCCTCCCTAGCCGCCATCCTCCACCACCTCTACTCCCGCACCATCACCGCCAAAGTCGCCAAGGACCTCCTCTGGGCTGTCTACCGCGGCGAGATCCCCGAAGGCGGAACAACCAGCTACATTGATACCCACGGCCTCTGGTTCAAGGAGCTGCCAGAGGAGGAATACGCAAAACTGGTGGATGAGGTTATCCAAGGAGAGGAGAAGATATTGGGCGAGTTCTTGAGGTGGAAGCAAGGGAAGATGAAGGCGTATCCCCAGGGAAAGCTGATGTTTTTGGTGGGAAAGATGATGAGAGGGGGGCCGGAGGGGAGGGTGGAGGCTGCTGGGGCGGAGAGGGTGTTGAGAAGAAGGATTGAAGAGGTCTATTTGCCTGAGCTGGAGAAGGGGGAGTAATCTTGCGTTCACAAAAGGGGGAATCCCGTAGTTGGGGTCTCGGTACCGTCATCGACTCGGGTCCACTGGCCGCAACGCAAGCTTCTCGGACTTCTGATCACAAACCTGTCGTGACCATCTACCCTCCACAACAAGGAGGAAAAAGAGCGATGGGGAGGCGATATCTATGGCCGTGGTCCTGTTGCCATCGTCACTCCAAAGGCACGTCAAGCGCTCGCTTCAATGGACGATAACACCGAAGCCTGGCCAGGTAGAACAACGTTCGGCTTTACACCTTGCACTCTCGGCAAACGGAACAATTGCAGACCGTTCTGACGAAGAACCAACTGCATGCCGTTCCGAGCTCGTCAGACTTCCCTTCCCGTGCCATGCGCCGTCACATTCCGACCTTGGCTCGCATTGACTGCTACTTCCCCTCCTTCCAACATTCTCAAGCGACGTATTATGGAGCCATTTCTAAGCTTACCATTGGTGATTATCGCTCTTTACAAGGCAACGACTGGCATAAGATGCTTTCGATTACCCGAATAAGGTTTCATTGGTCGTCAATCGGTCCATTGGCTGGTGCATGACGAGACCTCGGAAACAGATGGTTGTGTACAATGGGGAGAAACGGCCGGCCATGGGTCAAAGCACAACACTTTAGCCATACACTGATGGACACCCGAGGAGGCGAATGGACAGTGATTGCAATATCTCGGAAACAAGTTACCAGGCTCGAACCCCTCTCACTATAACGGAACCAGGCCACGCAATTTACCCGCTGCCATGAGTCCTGTGTTGCGCTTAACAAGGTAGTATTCGTCTAGATCCAATCAAGCAAACGCTCATTGTTGGACTTCATCTATTAATGTTCCCCTTCCACCATTCTGGTGATTTTGTCCCATCCTCACCTTCATCCTCCGCCCTTCGAGTCTCGCACACTCCTTTCTTTCCCCTTACCACTGTGCTCATCTGCCTGCCATGATGAAGTTCTTCTTTCTCTCCCTCCTCCTCGCCCCTGCTCTAGCAGCCGCCGCGGATGCGGACCCCACTACCACCTACGACTACATAGTCGTGGGCTCCGGTCCGGGCGGCGGTCCCCTTTCCGCCGAGCTCGCCCGCGCCGGCTACTCCACCCTGCTAATCGAAGCCGGCACCGACCAATGGGACAACCCGACCTACGCCGACATCCAGAACTTCAATGAGGCTGCTAATGACGAAACTACGCGCTGGGACTTTTGGGTCAAGCACTCGGACGACGCGGCAAGGGACTTGAAATTCAAGCATACCACCTGGGACACGGGTGACGGGACGTTTTATGTCGGGTTGGATCCGCCTGAGGGGGCCAAGTTGTTGGGGATTCAGTACCCGCGTGCTGCCGTCTTGGGCGGGTGCGCGATGCATAATGCGGGCGTGGCGAGCTTGCCGGAAGATGATGATTGGAATCGGATTGTGAATCTGACGGGGGATACCAGCTGGGAGGCGGGGAAGATGAGGGAGTATTTGAAGAAGATTGAGAGGAATGAGTATGCGGATGCTGATGATCCTTCGCATGGACATGATGGTGAGTTTTCTTTGTGACAGTCTTTTGTATGATGAGATGGGAACTGACGACGAGGACGGTAGGCTGGCTAGCAATCTCCAACTCTGACCCCTCCTGGGCCAAAAACGACAGCAACCCGGCCGTCAAAATTATGAAGCGGCTCGCCGAGCTCATCGGCCAAGACCCTTCGCGAGTAGCCGACCTCGCCAACACCGACATCCTCGGCGACTTCCCCAACCGCGACACCATGTCCTCCTTCTTCAACCTGGCCACCCACGCCGACAAGACCGGCAAGCGCTTCAGTCCCAACAACTACATCCGCGCCACCCTCGCCGACTCCGCCAAGTACCCCCTAACCGTGAAACTCAACACCCTCGCTACCAAAGTCCTCTTCAACACCACTGGACCCAAGCCCCGTGCCATCGGCGTCGAAGCAATGTCCGGCCCCTCTCTCTACCGCGCCGACCCCAAACACGTTCCCGGCACCACCCCTCCCAAAACCCAATACTTTGCCAGACGCGAAGTAATTCTCTCCGGCGGCGTCTTCAACACCCCCCAACTGCTCAAACTCTCCGGCATCGGCCCGGCCACCGAGCTTTCCAAGTTTGGTATCCCCGTACTCGTCGACCTGCCCGGTGTAGGCGAGCGCTTAACCGATAACTACGAAGGTTCGCTTTTGGCATTAGGCAAAGTCCCCATGGAAAGCGGTCTCATCACCATTTTGTTCCGAACCCCCAACGCGCCCACCTCCAAACGAAACATCTTTGCATGGTGCGGTGCTTTTTCCTTTGAAGGATTTTGGCCGGGGTTTCCCACCTATTACGGCCCCAATCAATATTCTTGTGCAATGGTGCATATCAAACCCCGCTCGCAAGACGGGAGCGTTAGGTTACTGTCTGCCGATCCCCAGGATAAGCCTGAAATCAACTTTCGGTTCTTTGAACATGGTGGGGATGAGGATCTAGCTGAACTTGTGAGTGCGGCGAATATACTGAGGGAAAGTTGGCAGGCGGCGGGGGAACCGGTCTTGCCTTTTGAGGAATTGCATCCGTGTCCGTCGGCTGAAAAGAATGGAACAACGTGTTCGGATGGGAAACAGGCTCAGTATTTTAAGTTGCAAGCGTATTCGCATCATGCGACGTCGAGCTGTCAGATTGGTGCTGAGGGGGATAGGTTGGCGGTGTTGGATAGTAAGTTCCGCGTGAGGGGGGTGGAGGGATTGAGGGTTGTGGATGCGAGTGCGTTTCCGAATGTGCCGGGGTTTTTCCCAAGTGTGCCGACCATGATGATTAGTGTGAAGGCGGCGGGGGATGTGTTGGCTGCGGCGGCGGCTGCGAAGGGGGCAGCTGCTGGGGTTGGGAAGTAGAAAGGGGGGAGGGGTAGGGTTGAGGAGTGGTGTGAGGGTTTAGGATGAGGTTGGCGGTGATGGTGATTTGGTGTTGAGTTGTTGATGTGTGGGTGTTGTGCCAGACCTTTACGTACCTCACCTGAAAACTAACTTTACTTTCTTCATTCCATCGCAGTGGAACATTCCATCTCCTCGCCCTTTCTTTCTCGCAAGCATCCAATTCAATCAATCGCTCCCGTTTTGTTCTCGTTGCAAGGGATTAATGTTGCCAGGTGCCTAGGATTGATTTGGACAACGGAATTGAGGAGAGTTGAGGTCGGGGAGTCGAAGTTCAGGATTGGCGTTGAAAGCATGTCTGCATATGCAGGCGAAGCATGAGCGCATTCCCTGCATGTTTGACTTGTTTGATGCAATCAAGAGAGCCTCGGGTTGTCAAAGCAGGCCGTCTGACGATGTGACTGTTTGGTTCTTCGAGCTGATGATGTTGGACGGAACTGCATTTGCACATGGAGATGGCAGCAACATCGAAGGAGACGGATGACAAAAACAGGAAAAGGGGTATGTGTAAGCCATATCTGGATTCGATGAACTTCCAGTGAAGAGATACGGACGGAAAAGACAATCCGAATGCCGCCAATTCTTGTTCACCTTCCCCTTTTACTCCTCCTTTTCTGCAGGATCCGTTTCCAACATTATGCACCTTGCAGACTTGGACTGGAACTGACATATACGAGAAGCAGGTTTCGACATTGTTTTGGCAACTCTTCTTGTGCAAATAGAGACGATGTCTTGGTAAGCGTCCTTGTATAGACAGACGGGGCGCGAGCTGGGTATAAGAGCTCGTCTTGGTGGTCCGCCCTTCCCTCATTCTTCTTCACCTTTTCTCTTCTACGTTCCCATCTCCATGCTTTTCTAACCACCCCGTCTCCCTGTTATCTCAGCTATCTGCACTTCAGTTGTCAACAGGTCACGATACCCAAAACCCAATAAGCATGGCGTACCGCCTAAACCTATTCCAATCTCTTGTCTCTGTTCTTGTCCTCTGTAAACCTATCTTGGCTCTCGATTTTGGTCAGTGGTACAGCGCTGGCAACTCAGACTTACTCGCGCCTCGTCTGTACACAGAGCATGACCTCAAACGCAAGGGGCTAAGCGATCATGTCAGCTTTCATCCCGAAGGTGCCTCCGAAGGCTTCTACTGCCATTACCCCAACTTAAAGTCGAAGGAATGGGAAGCCTGCAATGATGGGGCCGATTCAAGATGGTGCTGGTTGAGACAACTTCAAGCTCAAGAGGGCGAGTCACATCCCAAGGGATACACCGTCACAACCAACTGTACGTGCGCCCGCCGCTTTCATATTCTGTTCATCATGCTACTCCTTCGTATCGGTTTATACTGACCAGGCGACCATTCGGTCGTGTACCTAAACAGATGACAACTTTGCTCCTATTGGAATTCAGAGACATGTACGTATATCCTTACCAACCAAACGTAGGCCTGTGTCTAATAAATCAATCCAGTATCACATGGACATTTCCAAGCAGACCATTGCCCCCGATGGTACCCCTCGAGAGGCCCGTCTCATGAACGGCACGTATCCCGGAGCCATGATCGAAGCCTGTTGGGGCGACACAGTCATCGTCCATGTGACCAACAACCTCGACGACGAAGGCAGCGTCATTCACTGGCACGGTCTTCGTCAGTTCTACAACAACGACCATGACGGCGTGGCCCTGACGCAGTGTCCTATTGCCAGGGGTTCCACGTGGACCTACAACTTTACTTTGCTGCAGTATGGGACAACCTGGTATCACAGCCATTACATCTTGCAGGTAAGCAAGCGCTTTGATAATTCAGAAACTTATATAGTGTTGGGGCTAACAGTTTACTATCAGTATGCCGATGGCGTCCTTGGACCGATCGTAGTCCACGGTCCAGCCAGTGCTCCCTACGACGTTTCCCTCCCGTCGCCCCACTTCATGTCGGACTGGGTGTACAGGAAGGCGGAGGAAGAGTTTGACAACGAGAAGGATCCGGTGGTCCGTGGATCCAAGGCAGACAATATCCTAGTGAATGGCATTGGCAGAAGCAAAGAAGCCGTGGCTGCTTACAATGGCGAAGACATTCGATCGTTGTACCCCATCACTGAGATCCTTCCGGGGCAGAGGGTCCGTTTGCGATTGATCAATGGAGCCGCTGGAACATCGTTCATCTTTTCCATTGACGGACACGCGTTGGAGATTATTGCCAATGATCTGGTGCCTGTCGAGCCAAAGATCGTTGACTCGCTTCTTGTCGCCATTGGTTTGTCGGCCCCCTTATTATTCTCTCCTCTTTCCCTGTCCCTGATCAGTGAGAGACTGACAAACAACTACAGGTCAACGATACGATATCATCATCCACGGCCTTGACAACCCTTCCCCATCAGGTAACTACTGGATCCGCACCCATCCCGCTGACGGGTGCAACACGTTCCGCAACGGTCTCTTCAACAGCACCGACAGCACCAACGAGGACCCCCTCGACCCCCGCACCGGCATCCTGCACTACGGCCACTCCTCCGCCACTTACTTGTCCCTTCCCGACACAACCGCCAACACCATCACCGACTTCTCCTGCGCTCGCATCTCCGAGCAAACCTCTCTCCGGCCCGTAGTCCCCTGGTCCATCTCCACCACCCCTCTCAACAACCTCACCTTATCCACCTTCTACCCCTCCCACCAGACCGAAAACGACGTGCCCTACGGCAACTACACCCACTGGCTTCTCCGCCTCGACCCCCTCGTCGAGAAACAAGGCGGTGTCAGCTTCCACAACCCCTTGTTCGCCAACTTCAGCACCCCCTCCCTCCTCGACTTCACCAGCATCGGCCAAGGCGAGAACGACAACGTCATTCGCCTTCCGTACTCGTCCAACTCGACCGACTTCATCCACATGGTCATCGACGGATCTCTCCTCCCTTCCACAAACCAAACAGACCTCGACCCGGACGTGATCCCCTTGCTTGCCCACCCGATGCACTGGCACGGCTCGGACGTTGTCTTGCTAGCCCAAAGCGAGCAGCCATTTGACCCGGCGACGTCGATGGATACGTGGAACTATGAAAACCCCCCGAGAAGGGATACCATCATGGCGCCCGCCGGTGGATACGTGGCGGTGGCGTTCAAGCCGGATAATCCGGGGGTGTGGTTGGTGCATTGCCATATTGCGTGGCATGCGAGCGCGGGGTTGGCGCTGCAGATGGTGATTGATGATGGGAAGGGGCTGGTGGAGAATATGTTGGCGGGCGAGAGGATGAAGAGGTTGGAAGGGGGTTGTGAGGAGTGGAAGGCCGATCTGGGGAAGGTGGTGGATTATGAGAAGGAGGAGTCGGGTGTCTAAACTTCTTAGGTATGTTTTGCCTGCTTGTTTGGATGCGGGAGAAGGGACGATAGTAGATGTGCGTTGAGTTGAGATTGTGTTTGGACAGCTACCTAGGTGGATGCAATAAAGAGAGACAGACACATGGTAGGTAGGTAGGGAAGCAGCGAGTCCTCCAGATTGGTCACATGCACACAAGGACGAGGGGAACCTATATCACATTATTTGAAGGAGGAGAGTCATTGGGACATTAGTACTGACATTGCAATGGTAGACGATGATCACTGCAGAAAAGAAAAATGGTGAATTATCACACCGGGTATCCTTTAATATACATGCAACAGATTGTTGAACACCCCAAACACCAAGCTGTAACAACAGACAACCACCTTTTTTTGTTGATGATATTTTGCCTCGTTCCCATTGACTCGCTGATCCCATTCTCATCATAGTCACCCCATGGTGTCACACAATAGCATGAACATGTGCCAAGTCAGCATCGCTCCCCTGGATATAGGTCTGGTAGGCAAGCCATTCCGACATTCTCCGCGTGTGCGAATCCCGGGTTGGTGACGTTTGATCCTGATCATACGCGATTGTCACCTCCATGTCCCGTCCGTTTACACTCCTTCCTGTCGGTTGTGGGTCCATAACTGCATGCACCGTCCCAACACCACCACCATGGTTTCCACCATTGACACTCGGTTGATTTACCGTGTCATCACTATCCCCTCGTGAAAACCCCTCCGCAGTCTCCACGCTCAACTCTCTGCTCAACCTACTCAGTCTGCTCACCTCCGCCGGCCTCCCATCACCATGTCCATTTGCAGCCTCCTGCCCATCTCTCCTCCCATCACTACTGCTTCTGCTCCTACTACTCCCTTTACTCCCCCTCGTCAAACTCGTACTCAAACTCCCAAACAATCCCCTCTTCTTACTACTCTGTCCCGTTTTATCGCTCCCCGTAACAGTCATACTCCCTGTTCCTCCCGTCCCTTGTGTCGTTGTCCCCTGCATCCCTTCCATATTCCCACCCCCCTCCTCCTGCCCGTTTTGGTCCTGATTCCCATTCCCACTCTCACTCTCCAAACTCGTCAAATTATAAAACTCTGCCGGCGGCGGCGGCGGCAACCGCGACCCTCGTTCCATATCCTTCAACAACGCTCTCAGTATCGGTATACTCGCCGCCACGACCGTAATCGCCGACTCGGCAATGCCCCAAATCACCAAATTCGTACTCGCAAACGTGAAATTCGAATTCCCAATCGTCGGCAACTCGCTCGCCTTAATAATCGACGCGCACCCCGCAAACACACCCATGGACATTGCCACTGTTATCCCGACCTTTTCCGGTTTATTCATCGTCAAGATCCAAATAATCTTCCATGGTAGGACTGCCAACACAATGTCCATCGTCCCTGAATAGACAGCAGTAAAGATGTTGTAGTGGATCTGGATGGACTTGTCGATGCAGGTGCCTGGCAAATAGGGTTGCCAGATTTTGGGGATCGGGTCGCATTGCCCCCATGTTAAACCGACGGCGACGCCGAGGCTTAAATTGACGGAGATCATGATGAAGATAATCAGATAGCGGATCCAGTCGTCTTGGGCGATGCGCAGGACGGTGATGGCGAAGGAGGTCTTGGACCAGAGCGCGGCGAGGATGCTAAAAGTGCCGGCGAAGTTGGTGATGAGGAGGTAGTGGTTGAGAAAGGGGATGGAGTTGGTGGGGTTGAAGAGGGAGGTGGGGAGGCCGAAGCCGAGAGTGGTGGAGTAGGATATCAGGGCGGAGGAGGTGGTTAGGGAGATCTGTGGTGGTGTTGTTAGTTTTTCGTTTGTTTTTTTCTGGCATTTTTAGGGAATTTCTAGTGGATTTCGCTAAGGGGGTGGTAGAGGGAACATTAAAGGAAGGGGAAGAAAGGATGGATGGATGGATGGATGCTAGGTTTGGGACCGTGGTTAGGTTACCAGGAAAGACATGGAAGACATACCCATGATAGAATCAAAACATAATCATCCCACCACAATCCACGTCCTCGGTATCTCTTGCAGTAGATGCGCAACCCCAAAAACAAGGTGGCGAAAGCAGTCAGGAACCAGCAACTAAAGTTCACTAGGGCCACCCTCGACCTGTGATCTGGAATCACCTGCACGGTGCCACTGGCCCTTCTTCCCTCCAGATGAATGGCGTTAACAGCATGGTGAGCAGCCGCTTCGACAAAAGAGGAAGCGGCTGCTCCTACTGTTGAGGCCATGAGGTTATTGCTGTCTTCTCCGTGTGGATGAAGCTGTACTCATACAGTTAACTGATGATGTCGGTACCTGTGAGAGTTCATCTACCGGCATGAACCCCTTGTTTCTCTCCTTCCCTTTCCCTGATCCCCCCCTGTGGGTTACGCCAAGAAACGGGTTCGTCGGTTTATCAGATGGAGATACTGTATGTATGTATGTATGAAGTGTAGAGATGAAAATGGGGATAGGCGAGATGGGATGGGATAGTCAAAGTTCCGTTGGTTCGGGTCCGGTGGTCTGGTTGCAGAAGGGGCGTGGAGCCCAGTTACCACCAACAGCCAACTAGATAGCCAAGGATCAAAAATGGCCCAAAAGCAAGGTGGCAGCGGTAGTTGATAAGTCGGACCGAGAACCGCCGCAATGATAGGTAGGTATGTAAGAATAGCAGTAGTGTACTGTGTAACTCGAGTCAGTGGAGAGGAGACTTGCTTATTCGTGATACCCCAAGCTCTGCAGAGGGTAATTTAGACGAGAAGCGGAAAGAAAGGTTGTTGGCATGTGAACGAAGTCGAGAAAAGGTTGGACTCGAGTCAGAAACCAGGAACCAAAAAAAGAGACGGAGACAAGCAGGATGGGTGAGACGGGAAGGACGGGAAAGGTAAGACGACGTCCGACCTGTTGGACGACCGGTGGGCTGGACCGAGGCCCGAACCGGTAAAGGATCTGGTGTATAGCAATTTCCACTTCTTTTTTTCTTTCCCCCCCCCTTCTCCAAGTCCAGAACATCCCAAGAATCTTGAATGTGACGCTGGTTTTACGTGATTGGTAACTGATACTACCGTCGAATAGGAAGGCGAAAGGGTTTATACGGCCATATCTCACTTCCATGGCGCCTGTTTTTCCCTGGGGCCACTCCCGCAAAATCTTGACCCTCACGACGGAGATGCTCTTTCGGGGAAGGCCGCAACCTTGTGTGGGAGTTTTAAAGCTTTGCTCCTGGCTACCATGGGCAGCACCGTGTCATCAACCGGATTGGCGCAGAATCCTGGTGTGATGCGCGGAGCAGGTCTCCGTTATGGGCGAATTGTGCGGTAGGCCATGGACTGGGACAGGGCACGCAAGCGAGCTCCCCTAATCTGGGGTTTCGATATCCCAAGACTCGTTTATACTGTTGACTATACCCAACATGGAAAGGAAATCGTACGGGATGCAACGTCAACCGTCTGGGCCGTTCTTGGCATTGTTTTTGGGACTTTGCCCTGACACTGGTTTCCCACTAGACTGGTTGATAGAAAAGCCAAAAAAAGACGATATAAAACGAACAATGATTCGCATGTTTCGATATCCTTTTCAAAGCGATTTTCAAGTCGGGCTGAAGTCCAAGTTACCTAACGCCAAGAACGGCCCAGACGTTTGGCGCTGGGAACGGATGACGGAGATGATGATTCCGCCACATCCCGGAACCCCCGGCCGTCCGCCTGTTTCTCATACTCTTACCGCTCAGCATTCGACCGAGGCTCAAAAAGGAGCGTCGAGTGTGCCGAGGCTGGGTCACACACAACCGGGTGGCTTCCTCGTGGCTTTTCCCGTTCCATGATGATGGAGTCAATCGCTGTTGCATGAGGACATCAGATCTTTTGTTCATCGACAGAAAACAAAGGGGTGATCTACTGGTACTCGCCAAGATGAGATGCCACGCCTTTTCCATGCATTTTGAAATGAAGCAGCCACACCAAGCCACATTCTTCATCCTCGTAACTTTCTGTCAAAAGTCATCCACCTGCCAGAAAGCAAAGTCGTGAACCTTGAATTAAGGTAGCGGCTTAGCGGCATCGATCGGCACCAGGCATGTTGTACGTAGTGTAGTGTATGTCCTTAGCAGCTACACTAGTGTACGCACGTTAATGCTGTTAGCATCGCGAGATTATCACCCAACCCAGCCAGCCAATTACCCCCACTACCCATCACTCGGGGCCGTCAAATGTCAATACTCATCTCCACAAAAATCTTATTTGAAAAGGCGCAATATGCTTTCCCGAATACTCTGATTCCCCCTTCCCAAAAATCAGATCGCGCAGTCGATCAGGATCAAGAGTATGCGCGTCCTCAGCAAAACCTCTTTGTTGCGACACTTGGTTATGGGGAAGGAGATTTGGCCGAGCGCAATGTTCTGGCTGTGGTAAATTCATGGCGGATGGCGTTGGAGGAAGGTTGAGTGATGAATCGGAGCCGGCAGGGCTGAAAGCATGGTCGGGGTTTGAGTACCTACGTATGGGGGGAAGGGGAAAGAGAAAAAGGGAAGGCGGGGCGAAAGGACGTACATACAGCTCGAGCATGATCTGAATCTCGGCGAGAAGTTCATCGCGTGTGAGTTCCGAGTCAAGTCGATGAAGGCTTGCGCCATGGCGTCTCGTCTTCCGGCCGGCGTGTTCGTCCTTCCCCAGTCCATCCAAACATACATTTCTGTGGATGCGCTTGCTCGATACGCTGTTGCTCGTCGTCAGTTCCCTCGGTCCGTCTTTACCTCATCCATCGTAACTCCCAGATCACCCACCCGGTACCTACATGTACCCAGTCGGCCTCACAAACCCAACCTCACCCCCCCTTCGCTCCCTAACACGGCAGTAAAAGGCCATGACCTCAATAGCGTGTTAGCAGCACGAATCTGGAAACATCATGGCATCAGCGTCAATACCCGCGGCACGGACTTGTCACTGAGTCATTAGCCACTAAAACACCCCTGTAACCGCTAAAAGATCCTGCCTTTTCAGGCTTTTGGTAGCGCCTTCTGTAGCACTGTACTTATCTCCACCGCGTCACGTTAGAAACGATAAACGAACTGCCGTAGACTGCCCACTGCCCCCGAGGAATATAGAATAGGGAAAGGAGAAAAAGTAAATTAGGACAATAAAAGGACCATGTCGGATTGTGAACTGTCTACGGTCAAGATTGAGCTCAAGTCCTTACATATGTTCAAGGTCTGGCCAAAAGATTCATCAAAATCACTCGGCGTGGTGGCAGAGTGGTCTAATGCGCAAGACTAGAAATCTTGTTCCTTCGGGAGCGTCTGTTCGAATCAGGCCCACGTCGCACGAATGACCATTTCACAGTTCCTTTTTTCGTTTTTTTTCTACGACTCAATTGCAAATAAAACATCGTATTTTTATTCTTGTCTCCTTTTACTTTTTTTCTCGTCAAGTTTTGTCTTTAGAATAATGCATATCACCGTGTTACTAGGCTGCACATTATAATGCCACACGTTAGGATCTCCACATTGCCATTTTCTAGGTATTGTGAACATTAGAAAAGCACATCACGAAAGTGGTCTCCGTATCTGTACTCGTCCCCATTGCAGGCTAGACATGACCCATTTCCATTACCGTGAATCGTACATCTATCCCGTTGTCCCATCAACAACTATTTGTTCCATGCGTGCCCTTCCCTACCAAACTTCAAGTCAATCCCAAGTCTCAACCTGAACCCTTTTGTCTGTCCGTCTTTTACATGCATGCGGTATCTAAACCGAGTTCTCTAAACCCAAGTCTTTGATGATGAAACAACCTTGAACTCCGTGTGCCATGCCGGTACCAGGACCCCAATCCCAACCAATGTCATGGACCATTAATAACCCGTGTCGTAACATAAAGTCGTAAGTCGTAACCAGCCAGATCCCCAAAATCCAGCTTGACCTCTCCCCCCTTATACTCCCCTCTCAGATTCAAGATTCACAAATCAAGAATCCTCATCATGTCCCGGCCACACAATCTCTCTCTTCACCACCGCCCTGACGCAGCGATACCCTATAAACGCCCACGCCAGAACCAAGGCAACCGTCATCCCGCTTCCCATCCACAGCACCCCCTCACTGCCCAAGCCAGCCCCAATCTTGATACTCGCAATCGTGAACCCGACATTCGGGAAAACGGTACTCCACCAGCTCAAATGGAACCGCTTGTCCTGCATGCCCGCGACACACCCGGCCACGGCACTAATAAAGAACCAGAACCCCAATCCCCAGAGAAAGACACCAAGCCAGATGGCTCCCAACTTGCACCCCGCCGCCAACGTCTCCATGCTCTCGGGTCCCATGCCGCCAGTAAGGACAGCAACGCGCGCGGGATCCAACTGCGCAAACACCCTGGGGATGTCGCTCGCCATGTTGATGACTGCCGCACCCGTGAAGCTAGGCGGGCCAACGGCGATGAACATGCCTGCGCGCTGGGCGGGTAGACCAAATGCCATTAATCTGCTAAGGTACGAACTGAAGAAGAAGAAGCTGACGAGTAGACCGAGACCCTGTGCCGCTAGACCAGCGCAGATCATGCCGATTGCTGACGAGGGGGATTGGGTCCTGGAAAACGAACCGGCAAGCGTTCCTATCAGCATGACGGGGAAGATGGGCAGGACCCAGGCGGGCGTGATGGTTGTGAGAGACAGGCGACGCTCAGCTTTGACGGTGAAGAGGAGGTGGTATTGGATTACGGAGGCGAGGAAGGTGAGACCGGAGAAAAACCAAAAGGCGACACAGAGAAAGGTGGCGAAGGAGGTGAGTGAGGCGCGGGGGTCGTCGTCGTCGGAGGGGACGCCGTAGGAAATGTCGCCGTTGAAAAGAAAGATGCGGGCGTATTCGGCTACGTTGCAGAGGATGGCGGCGATGGAAAGAAAGAAGGTCGGCACGAAGAGGGCTTCGTGGGGCCGGGTGAAGGCGCGCCGGAAGGTGGACTTGTAGAGAACGAAGCGAAGGGTGATGGAGGTGGTGATCACCAAGAAGAAGAGCAGGTCCAGGAGAAAGATGACGAGGCCGATGGTGGAGAGACCGCGGAAACGGTGGGGGGTGATGGCCAGGACCAGAGAGACACCGCTGGTGGACAGTCTGTTGGGGATGTTAGTCGGTGATGTTCATGTCGTGACATGAGATGATCACTCATCAGCAAAGTGAAGAGAGGATGAACTTACGTGACGGTGTACCAGGCAAAGGTAAAGTGCATCAGCCTCTTCCTCCACGGAATGCTAGGCTGGAGAACAGTCGGGATTCTCTCGAGGAGTTGTCTGGGTTCGGGGAGATTGGCATCATCCGTGTCGGTGTCGACGGCACTGGGTGGTGTTGTCGTGTCGTTGCCCTCAAGCTTGAAGGGGACAAAAGAGCCGATTACAGTCGTGGCGGTTGAGTTGGAGGGAACCGATTGGTGGCCTCTTGCTGACTCATGCGTCGGCGCGGGATGGTGATGTTGGACGTCGGTTGCCATGATGGGCGATAGTGATGTTCGATATGATGATGCTTGATGATGATGTTGTTGTTGTTGGATGTTGATGATGAAAGCAAAGGAAGCAAGTCTTGGGCTGAAGAGCTCGAGCTGTGCTGGATGTGGTATTGGGAAGAGTTGGAGGGACAGGAACAGGTCAGCTCGATGTCCTGATAAAGTCGGCTAAGCGACATGTAGTGTGGACGACCTGGATGGCGACCGTTGATATCCAGTCGTTGTAAACATGTTGTAGGGTTGTTGGTATCCACTCAAGGCCACTGTTCAGGGTAAAGTACGACTCTGTTCATGAGCAATCAGAGCTGTTCAAGATCAACGTTGCTGCGCCTGGTATGAGTGGTCTGAAAATGGAGATACAACAGCGTTGTCCAGGCGAACCAAACAAATGGCCGACGGCGGTTGAAGTGGCGATGCACCTGCACTCAGGGGAAAGTGTAACAATGGCTGTGTTCACAAACAATCGGGTACGTTGCCGAAGGGATTCGAACAATCATCCCGCGCAGTGTAGAAGCCTCATCAAGGCCCAACGAGGGTTTTCCTAGGTAGCATCGCGTGTCAATTGTCCGATTCGTTCCTGGGTCTCGACCTGTCACCTCATCGACGATGGACTCGGGCTGTATAGAAACTATCCACTCACCGCACTTCCAGCTCTTTGTCCATTACCAAATGACACTCAGTTCTCATATCTCAGCATAGGCCCGAGATGAGGCCACCCGACAGAACAGGTGATGATGTCGTCGATGAAATCAATGCATCGTTCGAGTCTCGATACATACTCGGTAGCTGCCGAGACTGGACTAAAAGTGGGAAATAACACATTGAGACCGAAGCTCGACCCGTCATCATCATCACCTTACTTTGCGGGCCGTTGTCGTCCGGATTACGGCCGAGGACGAATGGGAAGAAAGATGAAAGGAAATTCTGCATGGTCCAGAATCGACACGAAGGGGCTGAAGGCCCAGATCACGCCAAAATTCAGGGGGGCGATCCGCTAACGGCTCACTGCGTGGCAGCTGCGTGGTGGTCCCTGTAAGCATGTCAATAGCCCGAACCGAACCTTATTTTGAAACATCGGACCAAGCAGTTCTTGGCGCCAAGAATTGGTGATGACTTCGTTCTTTTTGTTTGCGCTGGCATTGCCTCGTCACCAAGGATGGTAAAAAGACTTTGGGTCTGTTCACAACTTGAACTGCAGGTGCCACCGGTGGACATCTCTCGACAATGTGCTGGGTGCGCCCATGACAGTAGAGGCGCAGACAAAACCCTAACCTCGATCATCGTTCAACAACATAACAGGATGAATGATAGGTACTCACAACACGGCAATATTTTCAACTGTCGATAACGGAAACGGAATAAATGATTGACCAACATTATTCACCATCGGTAGACACTTGATACAGATAATGCCAGATTGATCGCCTCGAGGATGCCAAGCACATCCCTCCTTCCCCTTCCCCCTTCTCCTTCTTTTCCCCACACCCTCCCTTGATGTCCCCTCCATATCCCCAGACAATCCCTTCATCCTCCACGTGGCTCCCATCCCTTCCCTAGAACATCCCGTCCCAAACATGCCCGAAGTCTACATCTATCCATCCATCCCATGTTCTGCATCTAATATCTCGGGTCCGAGTCAAACAATGCCTCCCTCCGAGTGGCTCCCCCTTGATTATTCCCCCCTCGGCTCTCTCCCTGGGCAACTACCTATCCATAGGTAACCTCGTAACAAAGAAAGATGACCGACCGAACAAACAACTACTACTAATCCAGCCATACCACGCGATCCACACAACGATGGCGCTCAGCCTCTTTCTCTTTCTTCCCCCTCGCCCTTCAACGGCGACCTAGTTTCACTACCTCTAGTAGGTACTACCTACCTAGAAAACATGGAGAAGTCCAGTCTAGTCCGACCCGCGCGCACGGCACGGCACGGTAAATTCCATCTTGCTACTCTACCTACCTAACTCTTTCATCAAAAACCCTTTGTTGCGTGGCGGTGGAAAAGGGAAGGGGAGTCCGCACGTGGTGAATTACGCGATTAGCCTACCTACCTACAGTATCTATATATCCTACTTATTCACTTCAATCCCGATCTGGGTACCTACAAACCCTAGGTATGTCTGTATGTAGACAGAGAGGTAGGTAGGTAGGTATGTAGACTCGCTTCCGTTTTCTTTCGTGCTTTTATTACCACTTGGACGGCCTGACTTGCCATAGTTAGGTAGGTAGGTTCGGTTGGGCGAAGCAATGTTGTGCTGTGCTGTGCTGTGCAGTTGGTTCTGTGATGGACTGCGGTGGTGAACATGAACGGCACGTGGAAGACACGACACGACACAGCACGATACGGCACGGCACGGTAAGTTCCATCCATCATGATGTCAACCAGACCCAGATCCAGACCCAGCAGACATCCCGTCCTGTCCACTTTCACTTCCGTCTTGAAGCCCCCCTCTCTCATCGGGTAGTGCCCCTTTCCCCCCTCCACGTGGCCCACGTGGATGTGAATGTTGATGTGGACGAGCTACCTCCATCCACCTACAGCTTCAGGCGCATCATCTTTCTATTTCTCACCTTTCTTTCTTTTCTCCTTCTTATCTTTCTTTCTATCCTCCTTCTCATCTTTCTTTCTGTCCAGCCATGCATCCATGCCAAGCCACCAAAAAATTACAGTTTGTTTTTCCCAAAACAAGGGGTCCAGGCTCATTGTTGGTTCAAGTTGCCGGATGCAGGGTAGCAGGGTTGCCATCTCTAGGTCCGACGGCTAGAGTTGGTTAGTTCTTTGTTGCCGACGCAACAAACCTGTCAGGGTATTCAGGGAGGGGGGTGGTGGCGCAACGGAAGGGAAAGAAGGGTCCAACTCTTTGACTTGACTTACCTGGAGGTAAGTATCTTTGAAGAAGATGGGAGGTTTCAGACGGGGCCGATAGGAAGGAATCACGTCTTCGAGCAATAACGGAAAGGTCTGTGGACATGAGTACGACGTACGAGCGTAGTGAACATTCATGTGCAAATAAACAATGAGCAACTCCAAGCGACGAGGCAAATCAAGCCGCAAAACGGATGTAATAGTGCTGTGATCCCAAATTCAATTGCTCCAGGCATTGACTACCTCTCTCTACAAGAAGTGATACCATAGTACACTCCAACCGGACATGCCGCCGATATCAGTCCTACATCTCCAGTGAACGACCGTAAACCGCCCGTCCGTCAGTCAGACGCAAAACCCATCCGGCACCGGCTTGCAACGCTCAATATGTAAATGACAACAAAGCATCACCCCCAAAAAAAACTCCTGTAACCCATTCCAAAAGTATGCAATGTGCACCTTTAAACCCGTGGTATCATGTGAACAAACAAGTGAGAGAGAGAAAGAGAAGAGCGAGAGGGCATGAACTATTACCCGCACACCAAACAAAAGAAAAGGTCTGCATTACATCGTTGAACTCTCATTAAGGGAAACGACTGTGCCATGCACCCAAACAGGGTCGATGAGGGCGAGTAGGGTCCGATCGCCAGGACCGGAGTGTAATGGGTATCAAGTATCGTCCTTCGTAACCATATGCCCAAGGTATCCGTACATTCCAGGTCCGGGATAACGAGTTGAGGATCTGTATAAAGGTGCTTCGGTGTCGAATTAAGTAAGGCGAGCCTATGGAAGCCGAGGTCGGCGATGCAGTGTAACCGACAGTATCTTGGGCGATTTGTACCGAGGCTCGGTACCATTGGACATGGTGATATGGACCGATCCGGTGTCGCATAACATGTGTTGCACACAAGTATGCGCTGTGTGACATCAACTATGATGGCAGAGCCGAGGTGTGATCGCCAGGAAATACAAAAAGTACCGGGCTGTTTAGTGCTTGATCTCGCCCGTCTTCTTGGTGGTATGATGAGTATGAGCGACATGTGGGTGATGGACAGTATGATGTTGATAATGGTGATGGTGCTGCAGTTGCGGTTGATGATGGGTGTTGTGGTGTCGATGTTGATGGTGGGCATCGAACCTTACGACGGGGTCGCGCTGTCGGCCTCGAATCTCCTCTTCATCCTCGTTACTAGAGCTCAGTCGTCTGCGATCCTCCTCGTACCATGCGCTCAATGGCTTGCCGCCAAACATGAGATCATCGTCCTCGATAACGGTGGCTACCATCCATGCGTTGGTGTTGTCAAGCTCTATCTCGTCCACCGTTGGGTCCGGGACGTGCAGATTAGGAACAAGCATGTAGGACTGGCCGACCGGGCCCTGCGGTGAGCCCTGTGGTGAACACATGTTTTGTGATGTGTGTTGTCGGAAGCAGGTGGATCGTGGTGTTCGTTCAATGGTTGTGGTGGTTGTTGTTGCGATGCTAGCCTGTTCCCTGCTTGAGTGCTTGTTGTAATTTGAGGGTGTTGGTGTTGAGTTTGTGGATGAAGGTAAGGAAGAATCCGGCTTCGAGACCATATATGGCTGTTGTGGTTGTTGTTGTAGGTCAAGGTTGTTGGGTACGTATGGGTGGTGAAAGAGAAACCCAAGACGAAAAAGGGAGGAGACCAAGTTAATATATCAGACAACGGGTTGCCTGTTCAAGGTATGTGGGTCTCGGTTGTCGGCTTGCCGGGGAGGCGACACACGGACCGGACATCAATCTCTCTGAGTCAGGTTCTACACTACACTAGGTCTTGTCGCTTCGATTCGGTATTTTGGACCACCGTCAGGTGCAAATCGACAATCGCGATGTACCGAGGATTCCAGCAAAAAAATGTGTCGCGGGAAAAAAAAGACCGAAGCAAGGCGAGGACAAAGCGGGCGATCAGGCGAAATGGTCAGGCTGCTGGGCAAGAAAGATATAGAGAATAGCTGTTGGTTGCCTGCTGGATATGGGACGGGTCGGTGGCTGGCAAGCTGAGTGCGGAGCGATGTCGTAAGCGTTCAGTCAGGAGTGCCTGGTATAAGTCCGCGCGGGGTACCTGCTTGCTATGTCGAGAGCAGATGACAAGGAGAGCCCGGTTGGGTGTCGTCGCTTGTCAGTTTGATTGAATATTCGACTAGGCGATCGATTCTTGTTTTTTGGGTTGTTTCAGGATCGGACGGGGGAGTGTCGGTCGTGGGACAACAGATCGGATCGGGAGTTTTTGAGTGTTCTTGTCGCGTGGGCGAAATGGATGTTATATGTACCTATAGAATCAATGCGATATCGATACCGAGTGGTATTGGATTAAGCCGAGTGTGGACGGGAAGTGTGGAGGGAAAAGATTGGGGTCAACAATGGAGTACTTCTGTACTTTATATCCCCGTTCGGTTCCGTTCCTTTCCAGTCTTTAACGGGAGAAAAACAAAAAGAACAGGACGGAGCAGGCAAGAAGCTCGGCGAAGAACTGGAGGAAAAAAGGGTACCTTGCAGTTTTCGATGACGTTGTTGGGAGAAACCAAGCGCTGCCCGTGCGCTTGGCTCAGGTCTTCCTTGCTGCCCCGACAGCGGGATCCCTCCCAGATTCGGTACCTGATTGACCCCCGCCAGCGTGCGCCAGCGGTGTGTTCGGCGACGATTCGGTACCCCCCTGGGACCCGGTTTTAGTGGGCTTCTAGCGCCACCACGACACCCAAACGGAACCTTGTCGCAGTGGGGAGGGAGGGATATCCACCCTTCTTGCACGGCACCCCGGATTCGCAATCGCACCCGGACCCGGACCTCTTTTCTCGCGTGGAATCTTGTTCGCTCTTGTTCGCTCTCGTTCGCTCTCCAACCATCATCGGACAAAGATCCGACGGGAGCTTCCCTGTTCAGACCTGCCTGCCTTTCTGTTTTGCTTTTTTGTTAGGTAGTCTGCTGCGCCGTGTCCCAATCGCAAAAATTCAGGGTTCACCACGTCTTTGGATTTCTCGTCGATGGACGACAGACTTTTTGGTCTTGTGGCACTGACACTGATCGGCGTTTCTTGGCCTGTGGTCCCCTTTTTGCTGCCTTTGCCTCGCAGACAAAAGTCGTCTAGTGTAATCATGTAAAAGGAAACGATTGTGTCGCTCGTCTGACCGCAACTTGAGGAAAAAAAGGCGAATATATCTTGTGCGGTGGCACAGAGGGCTGAGTTGAGCTGACCACTGCTGACGGAGTATAGTAAGTAGGTACACTTGCGATTTGCAAAAGAACGAAGGACCAAAGAGCCGGATCACGGAGGCAAGTTATGTGTGTCTCACGATACTTGTGGTTATCATGTCTTGGTAATCTGCCTGTTGCCTCGATACATTGCAGTCCGTCTCTGAACGATTGAATAATAAAAAAAAACAAACAGGAAACTCAACAGAAACATGTGGTCAGGCAGTTGTTTGGATCGTCGCCATCTTGACCTTCCCCTTCTTGCTTGGTGTCGTTTCAGTTTCTCGGGAGCCGCACAGGCGAGTACATAACCGGTAGGGCTTGGCGGGGCCATCTGGTGACAACACCATGGGCACCACCATCATGATACATCACACCAAGTCTACCTACCTAATTGAGATATATGTTCAGTTTAATGGAGTCCGTGTTTCGACCCAACCGTCCTTCCGTTGTCGGCGGCGACTGTCAAAATGCAAGTTTGGGCATCACAACTCCCGGGCCGAGTGAGTGTCCGTCTGACGCTCCAAGCCAAGCCAAGCCGACTATGACACGATACGGTTGATATAGCCCAGCATAGTAAGGCTCGCATAAAGGCCAACGCATTTCGCCACTACCATAGACACCGAGGTTGATAAGGCTGAGATGTGTGCAAATCGCTTGACAGATTGGGGCTCTTCGCGCCGCAATATACCATAGGAAGTAGCGTGTAAGCTGACAAAACTCTCAAAAGAGGTAACGATGGACATGACGGAGCATGACCTTTGCATTCGCGCGTGTAACGTGAGAGACGGCCTGCGCCTTGTGGCCCTCCATCCCAGGCCTCCCTCCTGCAACTGATGATAAGAAGATCGATCACCCGCGACGATTCAATTACCATCAGCAGGACCGCCAATTGGAGAAAAGCGGCCCCGAGATTCCTTCAGGGTCCCGTCGGCTATCTCCCATCCCGGCCACTTCCTTGTCCGCTGATTAGTTATTGTGGTGATCGGTTGCCACCAACCTTTGTTTTTATGTCGACGAGATGCTGAAGGGTGGCTTCTGAGATTCTCATTTTTGACCGTTTCTGGATACACCAGCATTATATGGCAATCATGATAAACTCTGGATTTGATGAAAGGCAATATGTCGCCTCGAAGCAACTCGGCTTAATCCAAGCCAAGAACTGAAATATCGCATCTGCGACCCAAAGCAAAAGTCCAAGCCTCCCGTGCCAACATCAGAACTGAACAAAACGATCAGGCAGAAGTCCTACACAGAGGAAAGACATTCACATGGTCCGTCTCGTGCCCCAGACCTTGTCCACTTGACACCGGTAGTGTAGAGGTCAGAGAACCCTCCCTTCACAGAACACCCCCTTCCCAAAATGCCAGAATGCGGGGGATGACCCACCCCCACTTTTGCTCCTTGAATTTCCCCGGTGCCCCGTAACGTTCCATCTATCCGTTCCACCAGACGGATTGTCTTCACTTTTTATCAAATTTCCGTCACTCTCTCTTCAAACCAACATGCAATGTCTTTTCGCCTCTTTCAGGCATCTTCAATAGTATAATTCCAAATATCAATCCCACCACCGCCAAGTGCACGATCCAAACAATCCGGACGAGCGGTCTTTCTCAAAACTATGTAAATAAGTACGCGATGGGTTCGTTGTCCTGTGTGCAATCAATCTCCTCTTCCTCCACCATCACCGTGCCACTCTTATTTTTTCTTCCCCTCCCAGCTTTGATAGATCTCCCCGCCTTGGAAAACATCACAAACGAAACGCCCTTGACGACATTATCGCCCTTTTTTCAACACGGGGAGCTTACAGCCAAGACCACTCAGGGAAGCATGAGGAAGCTCTAGTGAACCATATCACCGTGATTCACGTCCTGATTTCCTCATTAGGGCATCATGCTTACATACCCAATTCATTATTCCCATCTTGACACAGAGGGAGAATCATCAAGGTTGTCGTCGCTGCCGTCGGTGCATGTCGCGAGTGCGGCGGCCGATGACCATCATGATGCCTTTCGTTCCGAATATGGACTTCCGGGAGCTTGTCCCGGGCTGGTCCCGGACGGAGATCCTGGTGACGTCATGAGATCCCCACCCTAACCCTGTTGTGGAATAGGCTCGGCCGAGTTCGGCTCAAAGAAACGAAGAAGTCACTCGAATGACTTCGAGATGGTTCTTGGTTTGTTGATGGTAAAAGTCCAGTGGAAATGACTCACCATATTCATGGTGAGTCTCTAGCCTTTGGTCCTTCGACAGTGTCGAAATTAGGTATTGCATGGCCCGGCAAATGCGAACAAGTCAGAGGGTTTTAAAGTTTTCCTTATAGGGTTAACATGAAGGGTTACAGAAATGGCTACAAACACACAACATCTCACCAATGAATTCTTTCCTATTTTCTAACCCCTTTCAACTTCCCTTTTATACTCAAAGGGACGAGAAGTTAACCCAGAAGCAAAAGGAAGAAGTCCAAATAAACTTCTCGCAGGCAACTAATCAGGCTAATGCCACTAGTGAAGGTAAAGGACACACGGGTGGTTCCTTCACTAGTGGTATTATATCTTTACAAGTAGTATTAGCCTGATTAGTTGCCTGCGAGAAGTTTACTTAAACTTCTTCATTTTGCTTCTAGGTTAACTTCTCGTCCCTTTGAGTGTAAAAGGGAAGTTGAAAGGGGTCAGAAAATAGGAACGAATCGGCCCATCAGCAGCAGCGAGTGTAAACAAAAAAAAACACTAACTGACACGCGCGCGCAGAAATCGAAATACTGAAAAGAACTCTGCATCGACCTCTGCACCAGTTCAGTGAGGGATAATACGAAAATTGTGCTGTGGCAGTGCATCATTGACCAGGGACAAGAATCATCAGTAGAAGGCAGTAAATTTGACCAATACCACCTCTTGAAATAAGTGCGCTTGGGAGCGCTCGGTGTGCCTAGGACAAGACTGGAGTGATTAAAGAAACTGGAAATTCTCATTGTTAAGAGGCGCTGTTGTGGAAGCATATAGGTGGGTAGGTAGAGGGCGGGTATGTCGGACCTGGAACATAAAGGGCCATTGCAATTGTGCTGGTCACAAAGGGTGATGGTGGTAGTGGTGGTGGTGGTGGAGGGAAAAAAAAGTGAAAAGAAAAGTTGAGTGTAGTATAGTGTATGTACCTCCAGACAGCGTTGAAGCCATCACCAGTTCTTGGCATTCCTTGGCACACATGTAGATATGATCCACACATGGTTATTCTGTACCTCCTTCTTTGTCTAATTCTCTATCTCTTTATCTTTAATCAGATTGATACATCCACTAGCACTTCGTCCTTCATCCGTAGTTACCTCTTTCCAATGACTTGACAGATACCAATGTTATGAGTGTTTCAATGTGTCTCCAAGGTGCGCAGCATCATCAGGCTGTCAAAGCTGAATCTGCACAACTGCAAGCCACCCGTGTGTGGGGCAAATCACGTTTAGCAGCCTATGGTGAGGAGACATGTCACTGCCCGTGCAGGTTAGTGTAGATCCACTGCAAGGACATTGATCTCGAACACCTAACAGAAGGTATGTAATGTCTTTTAGGTTCAAATGCGGCGTGAATGATGTGCAATGAGCGAGGGAACAAGTGGATTTTGATGAATGAGGCTGAAAGACGCCATCCTCCCTTTGGTCCACCTGCATATGTAGCTAGGTAGATAAACATCTCCTTGTGATTGGACTGTAGTCGGGCTCTTGGGAAGACTCAACTTTCACAGCACTCCACCTCACATCTGAGTCCTATTTAGCGGGAACCCCCACGCTGGTTGAGGGAGTAAACAAGTGTTTAACTCACAGCTCAACACTTGTTGTACACCTGTCGCCTTCTCGAAGCACCAAAAGAAGTCTCAACCATGAAGTGGCTCAGCAAGGCAGGCACTTCTGTCTTGATTGCGGCCAGGTTCTGGGTCACGCTCCCATATCAGCATATGTTTATATATTGTACTCTTCGGCCGGCCCAAGAGATCCAGGCTGTTGCAAACCTGGATATAGAAGTACCGGCAAATCGAACGACACTACTGAAGGCCGTCAAGACTTGGCGGGCAGGGAAATGGGACGAACTGACTCGTATAATAGTCGGGGTAAGATTTGGCAACACCACTCAGCCATGAAGTTATCGTGTTAATAACGGATATGTAGGCATTTGCCTTGACAGCCATTGTCACTGCATCCCTCTCTTGGGCAAGCATCCAGACTTCACACTGGACCGGCCCAGCTTTGTGGTACGCGTCGCTGGCGCTGTGCATCCTGGGATTCGGTGTCGCGTCGCAACAGCAACTATTACTCCTGTTGCTCGACGAGGAAAAGGCTTTGGACGTGGATAATCCCGTCGACGCAGACTCGGCAAAGAAGGTCATACTACGACATCTGAATCAGATCCTGGCGCTAAAGAGGTTGACCCAGCAGCATCTTCCTAGTAGTACAGATGTTGAAGCACAAGCTGGCGCATCAACACAGGGGAGTCAACCAAGCAGCAGCAGCAGCAAAGCAGGTGCCGTAGTACCCGTGGTGGTCGGAACGGCGACAGCTGCTGGGCAATCCTCGCCGCCGCCGCCGCCGCCGCAATGGGTGTTGAGCGCACGAAGAATGTTTTTCTGGCAATGCTCCATCATGGTCATGTCGTGGTCAACCGGCCTTTACCTGATCGGGCTGTCGATTGTCGTGTGCACACCGATTTTGGAGAGGAGGCCGTGGGATTCCGAGTCGTATGTGGCGGTTCCGTACATAATCTCCCTGGGGCTGGCGGCGTTTATGGTGACCTTCATTTCGTACGAGGCATATGACTATGTCCCTGTGCCGGAGGACGCCGACCGAACTTTTCTGCAACAAGTGAGGCGGCGAGTTAAAGATCTTGCAGAGGGGAGAGATCCTTTTCAGCCCAGGGAAAATCGCTAGTAACGAAGCTGGAAACTGGTTGGATACGATGACCGAGTAATGGTCAGGGAACTGTCAAATAAGAAGATAAGAGAAAGTTGGAAACCAGCAGCAGAAATGGAAGATGTGGGTCGGTTGTGCTTGAAGTCGGTAGAAGTAGAAGACAGTGTCTCCACTCTGCTCTCGCTTGCTGCTTGATAAGTGGGGCGGTCCAGGCGGGAAGGGACCTCGCTCGGAACGGGGACTGGGTCACCCTACCATTTGACCCACCAGCTGTCTGGGCGGGGAAGAGCACTGAAGCTCTCGCATCGTCGTCCTCTTGTTTCCACCAGACAACTTTCACTGCAAAAAGAGGAAAGAAAGGATGAATCACCGCCATATCAACACCGGATTGTCCACGGCAAAAATCGCGACGTGGTCAGAATGACAGCATCTCATTTCTCCCTGTCCCGAACTTGCGAACCGACGAAATCCTAGGCGCCAACCCGATACTCGTCAGGAGCTGATATGAACAGACATTGATGTTGCGAATCAACTCCCTTGGGCAGATCCCGGATACTTTATGGGCTGAAAGGTTTCCTGGATGCGGCTTTGGCGGCAACAGGCAGCGAAGCAAAACTGATGGAATAGGTTGCCGAACTTCTCTACCGCCAACCACAGTAAGCAAGACGACAGCGGCACAAGATTGGCAAAGATACTTATCTGACCGGCGCAAACTTCCCGAGAATCTAGCCGTCCTGCCGTCCTAGACGGACCCTGGGACCGTTTCCAGCTTTGCGGTGGATGCCGTCGGGTGGCACAGCACGCCTGGTTGCACAAGATGGCTTACGGGACAAAGGTACGTACCTCCGCTTCCTTTCCCGCTCTCAACAGCCGATAGGTTATCAACAAACAAGGGATGCTCATCACCCAGCCAGGCTCCCGGGTCGCGACCATTTCAGAAGACTAACTGGACCTCACAGCTACCGTTGCCTTATCCGATCTGCCTTGGACGAGGCACATGTTGGCTGTTGTCCATGTTGACGGCCCATTATCCCAATTTAGATATTTGTCAATTCTCAACTGGAAGAAGATGCCTTCAACCTGCCACCAGCGATTAGAGATTCCACGGAGCCATGGTCGATATAAGAGTGTATGAACATCCCCCCACCAATGCTGTGTTCCCTTCCCTCTCCAGACTTTATCTCGTCGTACATAAACACAAAGACTCTGCCTTTTTCTGTCCATTCGCCGCAACACCACAAACCATATTGACAGGTCTTGCTCTCCAACAACCACCAACATGACCACAGACGCTGTTCAAGAGGGTACCGGCCCGGAACCAATGTCCGTGTCTCCAACTCCAGACGACATCATTGCAGCATTTCTCGCAAGGCAAGACGACATAGTCATGTACGGGCAGTCTCAGGAAGACTACTCCGTGCCCGAGCAGAGTTTCTCAAGTCTCTCTATGGATAAAAGTCCCCATGGCCAGCAGGAGCACCTCTTCACCCCCAGCAACACATTCACCGATGCCCTACTGAGCCCGCCTTCGATGTCTTTAGTAGGTTTCCAACGAGACTTCCAGCTCCCATCTCCTCCGCAATCCCGTTCCGCGAGTCCATCAGGGAGTGATGAGACTGCGCCTCGTCATCGTCGCACATCCTCCTACCCAAGAAAGACAGGTAGAAACGGTGGGGCTCATGTGAGGAGGCATACCACATTGAGTACGAGTTCAAAGGGGCACATGGCGCATATTCCCATGGTCCCACGCAAAGCGGAGGATTGGGAGCCTTGGAAAAACGTCATCCACCAATTGTACATTGTGCAAAACCACATCCTCAAGGACATCATTGTCATCATGGAAAATACCTACCATTTCAAAGCAACGTAAGTGGTCCTTGTTCCTGGGATTGACTGTTCAAGGAAGCAAGACTGACAACGACGCGCTACATAGACCAAAGATGTACAAAAACCAGTTTGCCAGATGGAACTTCTTCAAGTATGCCATCAAGCGAAGATCACGCTCGGGAACGGACACGTGCTCTGGCTCGGATGCTTCTGAAAGCACAGAGCAACCTTGGATGATCGATCAAAACCACAAGCCTGAAGACATGCAAGCCGACACTCCTATCTTTCGCAACGATTGTGATGGTCCCCTTGACGCATACCCGTCTCACTACCTTGATGATAGTCCCTCTGAGCCACCTTATTGCTTTCCGTCTTCACAGGAGGAGCTGGTCCCGTTCTGTCTTGATTCACAGATCTCCTCGTTCGCCCAACACATCATCATGAACGACCCTGATAGCAAAGACTTGGCAACGAGATGGAACAGGGGTGACTTTGGTCCTGACTTTGCTCAGCGCTTACATAGCCTATACAACAAGGTCACAGCCATGTCAGACTCGAGTCAATCCTCGGAAAAGGTTTCGAAAGCAATCCAACGTGTCTACTGTGGATGGATGAGCGACTACTACGAGTCTACACAACAGTGGTCGGAAGTGTTCGAGTGGAAGAAGAAGGGATTGTCCATGACTTCGAACCAGCAGTATGTGGCCTGCTCGATGCGTCTGGAGGAGATGATGCGCGATCATGGGTCACCGGAAGAGGCAGAAGATTTGAGAAGGGCAAGGATGGATATCGGGTGGTTGATGAGCGGCGTGTTGCCGAGTTTGTTTGAGTGTCTTTCTGCGAGATGAAGGAGGTTGTGAGGTCTATGATTTGCGTGAATAGACAATATCGTCGCAACTTGTGAAGAATCGATTTCCCACAGGTTTTCATCCAGTTCGCATTGCAGTAGAATCTACAGTGCATATCTCAGATCATGGAAGTGACCAAGTCCCAGATCAGTGTGCTGTGACCTACCCCATCCCTATCACCCAGCTCTGTACACTGGCAGCGGTTTTGGTGATCTTTTTTTTTTTTTTCTTTCTTCCCCTTCCTTTTCTCTCTTGCCCTTTGTTCTTCCCTTTTCTTTTCTTCCACATTGTCTTTCCACTTGATCAAACTCAACCGCGCCACCGTCTTACTTCAGCGACATCACTCCTCCTCTTAATATCCCCAACCCATGCTATCAATTCGCTCTATGTCACCCACCACGTCAAGTACAACCTTCCCGCGCCCGTTGCGAAAAAAAAACCCGCGCGGGCTTCTAGACTACCTTATTCTAGGTATCATAACCGGACAATGTCAGCTTGATATCCAACGCTCCAAACCCTAGGTACGGTCTATCTCTCCCCATCCCCGTAGAGGTATTTTCACCACATGCACAATTCTCAGCCACTTCCACCCCGTCCTCCTCCACCATCAGCGTACTCTTCCCCTCCCCGACATCCTCCGGTACATCCTCGATCTCCTCCTCCTCCTCCTCCCTACCATCGCAATCCTCCCACCTCCTCCCCGTCAACCACTCCCAGATCCTCTTGGCCTCCTCATGACCTTGACCCTCCATCATCTCCACCCTCCTCCTCGCCGCCTGTATCACCGTCATGCCTCTATACAACGCCGACCCCACCACATCCGCCCCTGCCTCAACCAACACCTGCACCGTCTCCAACCTCCGCCACCAAATCGCACAATGCAGCGGCGTGCCTTTTTTCTTAGGGTCAAGATAATTCAAGTACCACTGAACGCCCCCCTTCTTCTTTTCCTTGTCTCCCCCTTTTATTTTTTGTGCAGCAGCTGCATCAATGAGCAATCGAACCCGCTCCGCGCAGGCCTGGTCTTTGTTAGGAACATTCCTCCACCTGCAACTAGCCTCGATGGCGCTATGGAGCATGTTGGGCTCTAGGTCCGCGCCGTGAGCCAAAAGGGTGCGAATGGCGTCGGCGCCTGCTTGGCCTTCGGCGACGATGGCGGTGGTGAGTGCCGAGGGAGCGCGGCGAGTTCGGCCTCTCATGGGGATGGAGAGGAGGTTGGGGTCTGCGTCGCCGTGGGTGAGAAGGAGGTTCATGAGAGGTGGATTCTTGATGGACATTCTGGTTGGTGTGGGGAGTGTTCCGTGAATTGTTAGCCTCTTCTTATTTTTTCTTTGAGTGAAAGTGATAGGGTAAGTAGGTACGTAGGTAGGTAGGTACCTGGAAACGAGAGACAATGTGGTATATGACGATGGGACAGGAGGTTGAGTTACAATGGGCAAAGGCAAGGAAAGTAAACACATACCTAAGCGCCGTCCCCTCCTCAAACTCGGTCGTATTAACATCCCACCCATTGTTGATAAAAACTTCGAATGTAGCTGGGTCGCCGCGGATGATAGCTCCTTGAAAAGTCCTCCGATTGACCCTGGCTCCCCCAGAGAGCAAGAGGTCTGCTACGGCGAGATGCTCTCCCTGCACAGCTTCTGTGAGACCGTCTTGTAGCTGGGCTGTTGATACTTGTGGAGTCTCGTGATTGAGGATCCTGGTGACGGTTTCGAGATTGCCGGTTCGGCAGGCGGGGAGAAAGTCGGGATGGTACAAGTGCGCGGTGATGGTCATAATTGCGGTTGAAATAATGGTGTTGAACAGTGGAGGATGGAGGACGTGATTGTGGGAAGTGCTCTAGAGATTGTTTGGTGATGTTATACCGCACAAGTGATCGAAGCCCAGATATGAGTGACACCGAACGGGCATAAGCTTGAGACCTCTCAGCTCGTTGCGATGTTGGAGATGAAGGGCAGGTGAGCGGGGAATGAACAAATACGGGAAGATCTTCATGAACCACTTAACATACAGGGACACTGTGTAGATATGTTCTGTTTTACGGATCGACCTGCGTGCCGTCCAGTCGTTCTCGTGCTTTGTGGGGGCCAAAATCACCAACGCCAAGGGCCGTCATGGTTCCCCGTGACTTCCAACCATCTTACGACCGTCGTCGGTGAAACCAGAAGAACAGAGTTTGAGGTCCGGTCTCTTTCCTGGTGTCAACCACAAACGTCCCGAGCTCCTAGCACTCATCATTTTGGTGAAAAGGAATACACCAAGCAGCCAGCTTGTCGGTAGCCACCCACACCCCCGTTGTTGCCTATATCGATCAAACGTCAGCAAACGACTTGCTCATGAAGGGCGCTGGACCTCAACCACCAAATGGAGTGGCTGGAAAAGAGAAGACTTACAATTCTTCCAATCGTTGTAAAGTAACTCATAACACCCATCCTTCCCGTCCACACCCCCCGCGCCCAACGGCCTCCTCGGCTCCTGCTCTGCCACACCACCCGCCAACACACACCCATCCTTCCACTCGACGCGCATCTTCAACTTCATCCCCGTCCGTCCCCACATGTGCACATCCTCCCACGCTTTACTATCCTTGCTCATCTTCTCCGGCAACTTTAATTCGCTTCCGCACGCCACCTTGGCAGCCTGCTTGACTGACCCCTCGTGCACGTCAAAGTGCTTCGGCCACTGTGACTCGAGGTAGCATTGCTGCTCCTGGAGGGCCAGGGGCGTACCGCCGCTGTCGGAAGAAGAACCAGGAGGGATAATGTGGTACGAGTAAGTGCCACAGGTAACGTCCAGAGAACCGGAGAGGGCCATTACGTTTTGTTCGCCGCCTGTATGACCGCAGGTAGAGTCGGCGATGGCGCGGTAGGCTTCAGTGCAGCTCATGGGACAGTCGGACTGTGCGGAGGAACGGGAAGGTCGCCATTGCAGGGAGACGCGGTAGTCTTTGTAAGTGTCTGGGGTTGTGGGTGGTGATCGTTTGTTGGAGATGGAGTAGGAGGGCTTGACTTGTTTCAGCACGGGGATCTTGTTTCCCTTTGCATCGACAATCCAAGAGCGGGAAGAGGCAGGCTGGCGGTCGACTTCGGAACAGAAGTGGCTGACGACATTGTACTCGGAGCCGTCGAAGATGTTCCAGGGCAGGATGCCTGGCTGGTCCATCTGGCATTCGGGATGGGCGGTGGCGGTTGGGACCACAGGTCCTCCTCCTGCGGGTCCTGGCCAGGCAATGGTGGTGACGGTCTGAATCGAGGTCGTTTGAGTGGCGCAGCTTCCACAACTGGTTTTGCAAGCAAAGAACTGGGCACCAACTTCGGTGCAGGTTGCTTGACAAGCCGTTGCGGTGCCGGTGCACGATGTGGCTGTTGTAGTAGGGATCTGCTTGGTATTATCTAGGATGTCCTTGGGAATAATGTTCCTTCCGCTCAGGGGAACGTTATCGATGATATTGTGGACGCCCAAGGCAAAGACGAGGACAATGATGTCGTCGAAGACTCCCGGTGGCATCTCCAGTAACGGGGCATAGTCCTTTGCAATGTCAATTGCACGCTGGGCGGCAGCGGTCAGAGGGGCTCGCAGTTTAGAGAGGAGGTCGGGGGTGGCGACTCGGATGAGAGTCAGATCGTGCAGAGGTCCACCGGGAGTGGCCATCTCGACGGCTCCCCGAACACCACACACTACGGCGCCATATTTGGTGTCTCGCTTTGATCCCTGCTCTGCGTCAAAGTCGCTGCCTTCTTTGCAGTCTGTTGTTCGGCGCATGATCTCGGACAGGCGGCTAGCCAGGGATGCGTCTAGGGTGATGACCGTGTCTCCAGCAACCGCGTCTTTCTCATTGCCTGTAACGGCGGTGGCGCTGGGGGTGACAAGCCTGAAGGATGGAGTTAGCATGTGGGAGACTATGAAGGTAGTTGAGTACGAGGCCAACATACCCGGTAACTGTAGTCGGATCTGGAGCCATGGTCACCGTCACCACAGCGGTTCCAGCCGCAGATACGGTCAGTGGCACACCATTAGTGATGGCGGTAACCTGAGTAGCTTGGGCGGCAGGAAGAAACTGGGATAAGGGGACTTCGTGCTGCTGACTTAACCTTTCTTGGGCGATGAAAACGGAAGCAATTCCTACGAACAAGCCACCAAGAAGTAAGACAAAGCGCGAAACGATGCGTGAGAAGTCTCGGCGACTGACGCTGCTGTCGACTTCCAAGTCGGCCTCGCGGAGGATTCCCCGTACATATTGGAAGCAAAGGTTGTCGACAGTTGGACAGTCCTTCAGAGCGTCGTTGATCTTTTTCTTGACATCTGGGGAGACGGCAACCAGAAATCCACGTTCATGGTCATTATCCTTGGCGGAAAGCCAGACTGTGTTTGAGGGCAGGGTTGAGGGAGGGTTCCACTGTGTGATGAGTGTCAGTGGTAGTTCCGAATGTCTGTGTGAAAAGAGGACTCGGAGGATCCGGGTCTGGTGGCTTACAAGGGGTGTGTACTGGTCAAGAGCTCCAAGGTCGAGCACTTGGTTTGCTGTTGCCAGTGTCAAAAGGGAAAGAAGGCCCAACCCACGCTCGAAGGCGTCTCTAGCAAGCCACCGCATATTGAGGCCGGGAACTGGGGTGGACGAGACAATGGAACAATGTGTTCAGCTGAAAGTTGAGTGTGAAGATGGTGTGGTTTGGCTGTTTGAGCTGCTTTCAGACTTGATTGAAGATGGACACAGCCATCTTATATATGTTCAGACTGTCGTCTGATGACATACTTGATGATGTCTCTCCTCACTGTGCTTCTCACAAGCTCAATGAAGCTGAGATGAAGCTGAGCTGGGTGGCATTGGTGGCATGCCCCTTCACACCTTGCCGACGACACGCCTACATCATCATGAGATGTCAGGCGAAGTGTCATGTTGAACAGTTGGCGCCTGGTACAGTGTGTGTGTGTGGATGTTGTTGTTTCCTTTGGGAATGTCAGCGTGGCTGATCTTCGCTAAAAGGTCTCGATGGGATCAGATGCAAGAAGACCTACATACCGCTCGTGCCTTGGCATTTCTCTTCTTCTGAATGGAGTCGTGACAGTCGCGGATTGGAATCCAACGGCATTGCATGGAACACAAGTTGAGGGGCTTAAAACCTGAGGATTGCTGTGGATCTCGATGTCACCGCCCCCGAAAAGTTACACGGAAGGATCGAATGCAGGTGGATGTTGGTTTAGGTCACATTGACTCATGATGGTTGCCGAATCTAGCAGGAGCCGTCGGCCCGGCCCTTGGCTCTTGTTTGGTGTCCGCGGCCCCCACAAGCCACAAGTTAAAGGCACAGCAACAGCAGTATGCAGGTCCATTCGTGAGGAACAAGGAAGGATAAGGTAAAGAGACGAAACTTACTTCTACTCTCAGTCTCCTCACCGTTCGGCTGTTGGTTCTTCAACTCAACACCCCGCCAACTCGAGGTAGCATTCATTCCCACCACAACAACCCGACTGTAGGAAATTGACTTCACTGAGTGCGTGTCCGTAGCTGGGGGCCTCTTTTCACACCACAACCTTTACCTGACCATTAACTTTTCTCCCTTCTCTAACTCGACATTGAGCATACTTGCGCCTCACCAACACTTTGATCATGGCTGCGGAAAGCGACTTCATCACCGCTTGCGAAACCGGCAACGTCGAAGCGGTTACCAAAATCCTCGAAAACGAAGTCGTATCGGACGACCAACTGCAGAAAGGCCTGTCCAAGGCTGCATGGGGTAGTCACCCTGCTGTGGCCGACATCTTGCTTTCCAAAGGCGCAAATGTTGACAGGTCAAGCTTTGTGGGAAGCGCCAGCCGCGGCTATTCGACCATGTTCGAACTTTTTGTCAAGTACGGCTTTGACATCAACACGACCGAATTTGAAGATGGTACAGCACTTCGGTAGGATCATCTCAACTTTTCAGCATCGTTACATACATGAACCCTCTACATCAAGGATGCTAACTCATCTTTGGGACCAGAATGTCCGTTGGCAATGAGAACCTTACGCGCTGGCTCCTCGCCCATGGTGCAGACCCCAACGTTTCTCATGATCGGGCCCCCTCACCCCTCATCTCAGCTGCGGTCACAGAGAAGGGTTACGGTGCCATGCGTCTCCTTCTGGAGCACGGCGCAGCGTTAGAGCCCAACATCCTTCATTATGCCGTCGGATCCAGAACTAGGTTGTCAGATCGCCGAGAAAGGGTCGAACTGCTGGTGCGAGCCGGGGCCAACATCAACCATATCGATCCCAAACGGAAAGGAACGCCGCTGCACTGCGCCGTATGGCACAACAGAGGTGACGTGGTCGAAGCGCTTATTGAGCTGGGAGCTGACCCCAATGTAGTGTTCCAAGGCCGTACAGCGGCAGAGTTGGCTAAGGAACGGGGCCAGAAGCTCGAACATTACTTTAAAATTTACGACTTTCTGAAGGAAAAGACAAAGGTCACTCCAGAGGAGTAAGTTTTAGGAACCCAAAGGATACCTCTAGCTTCAGACTTTTGATTCCCATGTTTCTCGAATATTATATATAAAAGACCCAGCCGTTCTCCTGTTCTTCTTTCCAAATAGGCCTCAACCTTCACTCTCATCACTGTTAACGCATCTCAACCTCGAACAATTTCCTTCCATATCAACCACCCTTCTTATCCATTCTATTCACCTTACTTTCCCTACCGTCAGCCCACGATATGAAGCCATCCTTGGTCCCTCTTACGGCGCGGGCCAGCTTTGCGCTTCTCGTGGTTCTCATCGGCCTTAGTGCGCTTCTGTCTTTATCAGGTAGGTCGAACTTCCGAATCGATGACCATTACAAGGGCCTAAATCATTACCTAGAGATTGTATTAACTGAGTCACAGCGAACCATGCCGGCGTTCAGACACACTTGCCATCCAGACGGTCTCCCAAGTTCACCATTCATCCACACCATCCCGTGAAGAAGCGAGATGGATGCCGGAACTCAAGCCAAGGCCACAAAGCTTGCGGCGCTTGCAGACCCCCTGTGGTGTTCACCACTGCGAACTCCATTTCCGCCCGAAACTCCTATTACACTCAAGCTCAAGCATCTCATAACAACAATGCTTCCCTGCTAGAAGCGCGCATAATTACCGAACCGACCCCCGGCAATGAAGATGAATTCATGGTCAACGAAATAGCTCAAGCCACTCAAATGGTCTGGCAGGTTCCCACGGGTACCGACGTCAACACGGCCCTGTTCACTCCTTTTGACGGAAAGGAAGCCATCAGCGTCGGCACCAGCCACCTCTGCGGCTGCACCTCCATGGTGATCATCAGCCAACGCGGCGTCTACACGACGCATTACTGGGAGACCATCTCGTTCGATACGGCGGATGACTGGCGCATTAGACCCTCTGAAACAGACGATCAAGTGTTTGAGCGGACCGTGATCACGCCGCTCCAGAAGGGTGCCAGTCGTCGCACCATCGTCTCACAGGAGAAGCTGGACCCGCGCAAAATTGGGAACGAGGAGGGCGATAACATCAGAGCCTTCTTGGTGAGGCCTGATGCGCCGGCTGATGATACCAAGATGGGGGATTATGAGCGGAGGTGGGACAGAATCAAGCGGACGGTGGGATCCATTGTTAGCTTGTTGAATCCGTATACGGAGGTGGGCAAGGCGAGGTGGCAGGAGGTGATATATCATCCTTTGGAGAATGAGGATCAAGATCTGAATGAGAAAGCGAACGGGCGAGTTTTGATCAAATATGACCCGGACCATGAAGGGAAGAAGAAGGTTATCCTGTGGGTGGAAAGGAGAAAGATCTATGAGCATGAATGGAACTAGGGTAGGCAGGTCTTTCTCATACCTACACCCCAGGGATCCCTTCTCAAGCCGAGGAAACATTCGATGCATTTCGGGGACATATCCCAGGAACAAGCTTTCATTACATCATATAGGTTGGACACGATGCCTCTTTTAAGACAAGAAATACATTGTTGGATGAAATTAGGAACAAAAATTTACATATTCTGTATGCGTAAAACTCTCGCCTCTTTGCATTAGACATCGTAATCTAGCCCCATTCTTCAGTTACCTTAGCAACCGAATCATCTTATTCTAGTCCTCAAGATAGAACGGTAGCGGCACGGGGAAAGGATGTACAAGTCGTGATGATGAAACTGAAGCAACAAATGCCAGAGAGCAGTCAGGAAAATGCATCGAGAACAGTGTAACAGGATAGGTAGCCAATTCGTACCATATTGGCTTATCACTTATATACCTATATAGGTAGGTAGGTATAACCAGCTACCTACCTCCTAATTCTCCGGCATCGTCCTCTTGGAAATATCCAGCAGTAATATGCTCCTCTCCCTCGGGGTCTGGTATGGTATAATGTGCTATACCCCCACCGACTCTGCCAACCTCACTCGTCCGATGTCTCCTCGAGAAGGAACACCATCATCATATCCTCCTCGGAATCATGCGTGGTGCTAAAGTAGATGAGGAGAGCATACATAAAAGCGAAAAAGGAGTTGCGAGGATTTGAGGGTGCAAGACGAGTCAAAGGACAAAAAGGGGAAAGAAAGGTGATAGATTGTCGATTTTCTAGAAATTCGCTAAATAGACCTTAAATGCACGCATTTAGAGGTAGGACAATCATATCACAGCTCTTCTATCCTGTGACAAAAACGATACAAGTCAAGTTTTCATAAAATGAGCGTTGCTACCAAGGAAAGGAAAAAAAAAGAAAAAAAGATATATACAAGAAAAAAAAAGGGGGAAAAAAATCGGGGCCACCCGGGGATTGAACCCGGGACCTCTCGCAAGAATGCTCAGGATTGAACCCTAAGCGAGAATCATACCACTAGACCAGCGGCCCTATTGTTATTGGATGGTTGAAATGCACGGACTTGGCGCCTACATATCCCTGAACCTTGCTGCAGACATCTTGGTACATAATTTGGGAATTGCAGACTATCGTCACCACGTATCACCAACCATCATCCACCATCCATATCAACCAGCTGCCGAGAAAAATACTATCATTACGTTTATACTCTTATTAGGTATGTACATGAAGGCATTCAATCATAGGTACCCAACACTCATATGTACAACAACAACATCCACCCCCTTTTTTACTGTGGCCTAGTGATCCCCTTTTTCCTGTAAAAGTCCGCCACCCATTGTCCCATCTGAGCGACCTCCTCCTCCGCAACCTTCTTGATGCCCTCGTTGGCGCTCCAGTTGGGACCGTAAAAGTCGGAGCAGTGAGTACCGCCCTCGATGACGCGAACCTGGTGGTTCTTGTTGCCCTTGAAGGGACCACCGGGTCGGAACTTGGACGACAGGGTAACGTCTCTCCAGGGATCAAGCGAACCGTTGGCCTGCATTATGCGCGTGCCGTTGGTGTGCTTCCAGCCGCCCGTCCACTTGTTGACGTCCTCGGCGCGCTTGCCTTGCTTGATGCCGTAGGTGGCGTTGGAGCCCTTCTCGGCGGGGAACCACAACGGACACTGCTTGCGCCAGTAGTCGGCGTCGACGAGGCGAGAGACGATGGAGGGGCGGCCAAGAGGGGCGCCATCTTGCCACCATTCGAAGCTGTTGCGTGCATGTCAGTATAAAGGAACGGTAAACCAGAGGGGGGAAAGAACACGTACGGCTCATTGCAGAGGAACCAATTCCACTGGCGGTTGTAGGCGTTGTTGACCGACAAGTCGTGGAAAATGGGGTTGGAAGCGTTCTGGTTCTGGAAGCAGAGAACGTTATCCTCGCCCTTGAAAGCGTCGTAGCCAGAAGACTCGCAGGTGCCAGGAAGAGATTCCTCGACGAACCACTTGGCATATCCGTCGAGGGCCTTCTTGATGCCAACACCGAGAGGCCCAGGGACCTTGTTGGTCGAGTTGGGCCAGACGTTCTCGACGTAGTCGCAGAAGCGGTAGTAAGGGGTGTAACCGGTGGTCTTTTCCGAGTAGAACTGGGTGGATTGCCAGCTCCAGGGGCCGCTCTCAATGGCACTGCAGACAATAGGTCAGCATTGATTTGCTTGACAGACAGTTCAAGACAACTTACGAAGCAAAATCGGCATCAGTCAAGTCCTGCAGCTTGAACTTGGACTTGAGCTCACGCTTGGCCTTGGGAGTACCATGCAGCAACACGGAATCGACAAAGTCAATAACAGCGGTCAAATCCTTGGTGCAGTTCTGCGGCGTCGCTTCCAGGACAGGGACGAAATAGGTCCAAAAGTGTCCTACGGTTTCGACCACACCAGAAGTGCCGTGATACGCCCAGAAGGTGCCCGGGTACAGCGCCTCCAGCCAACCGGCCAGGGCGCCCGAGTAAGAACCACCGGAGAAGATCCAAGGGGCGTTGGCAGGCTTGCTGCCGTTGGTCTTGTCGAAGGGCAGCTCAATGTGCTCGGCAAAGTAGTTGATGTCCTTCAGCGAGTTCTCCAGCGTCAAATACTGCAGATTCTTGACTGTCAACTCGTCGAAGGGGCTGGAATTGCCCCAGTATCTGTGCTCCATGATCACCACGGCGGCGCCCATGTCCTTGGCCATCCAACCGGCCAGACGCTGGTCGGAGAGGTACGACTTATTGAAACCATCGGCGGCCTGCTCGCCGGGGTTGACGAGGATGATGGGCGAGCCGGGGCCCTTCCAGTATTGGAAGCCATACCAGAAACGCTGCTTGAAGGTGCCGAGCTCGGGGGTGTTGTGGTCGATCAGCTGGTCGAAGGTGCCGTAGCCAGAAGTGCCCTCGACTTGGGCGCGCTTGTTGAGGGACTCGATGTGGTCGTCGATGGGACCAATTTCCATGCCGATGGTCTTGAAGAAGGCGGCATGGGCGGTGGAGGCGGCCGCTAGAAGCGCGGTGGCGGCGGAGAAGAACCTCATGTTGCCGGTGATCTTGCCTCACTCGCGGGGAGCAAGAGGTGAGGGCAAGAAGGGGAGGGTGAAGAGAGGGTGAGAGGAGAGGAAGGGAGGGCGGCCATGACTAGCGACGGGACCTACGGGCGCTCTTATATCGCCAACAGACGTGGTTCGTTCAATAGATCCACTTGGCCCAAGTATAATTCTCCGAACATGGAAGGAGCTGTTGGGACGGGAACACGAATTGACTTTTTACTTGTCGTTCCTGGTTGTCATCCACCGTGCCATTGGCCGCTGCGAATGTAACCGATGACTGGAGCCAATGAAGCCAACCTCCCACGATTGAGTTGTGAGCAATGGAAATTGGGGTGGTGGTGGTGGCACGCGAGAAGGCGAAGGAACTGAAGGGCTGCAGAACCGGGCATCCTCCACCTTCCGCATCTTGACGGTTGACCGTCCGGGCTTGAGCCGGGATATGTCATGGTAACCACGGCAGGGCAGTGCAGGGGCAAAGCGACCTGCCAAGTTGAATTAAGCATCGGGCCGGGGTCCCCCGCGATGATGGAGACCCCAATTCCAACACAGATATCTCGCGATGTCTTTCAAGCATTGTGACCCGATAATTGAGGGAAAAAAGGAGAAAAATAGATAAGCACTACAACATAACCGCATGACTCTTTCTCGACCCGACACTCATCGTCTCTCTTCTCTTGCGGCGGCATAGCAGCGGCCCCCCCAAAAGTTCTTCCTTCCGTACTGCCCGGCGATCGCTTGTCGGTGCAGTGCGCTCACAGCGGGGCCGCAACGATCGCCAAGCGATTGGTCACCCCGCCCCGGCACTATCTTTCCCCAGCTTTGGTACCTTCTGGATTGGGAATAGACCAACTCGGTCGTCATCGACCTCTGCTTGGACAGTTTATTAAGGACAGCCGATGATTTGCAATTGCGAAAGCAGCCTCGGCAGATGAAGACCTCGATTTCCTAAAAAGATGACCTCGCTTTTGTCGATTGACCGCGTGGGAAGCCATATTGACCGCCGCAACAAAACTTGTCGGTCAAAGTTGATTCAGACCTAGTGTACTCTCTTTTGCGGAGCGGGTGTCCGATAATGGTCATGTTGACGAGTGTCTTTTGTTCAAACGCGATGGATTTCAGAGTAGGAAAACGACACGGAACAGTCGTTGCAGAATGAAGACCACAGTCCGGTTGGGATGGGATCAAATCATATGCAACGGATAATGACAAGACGATATCGGGGCATCATTGATATCGGCAGCTCGGATGACGGCAGATCACGAGTGGAGTTTCCGCGGCACGCCAAGGCCCGGACGGTAGGTGGCCTCGCTCAAGACAAAATGGATGAGACCCAAGTCCAAGTCTTGATCTTACACCGGGCGAAAGGCTGGGCAGCTTTAACACAAAACCATCCACAATTCAATTGATCGAATACCATGAAATCAATAGGATTACCAAGGCTTGAACTACGTTGTTAGCGGAAACTGCATACACAACAATTTATTGATTTTCGTGGTGCTTGGCTGAGTTTGGTGTGTTTCTGGATGGGGGACTCGGGTGTCATTGATTTTGTCCTGAGCGAGGCGAAGTTGTGATCAATTTGGGCAAGGTCCATCCGTATTAAACCCTAACCCATTAAACTGGACAACGGTTGCGAAGAGAAGAATGGGTCGGGGAGACACTCTCCTTTTTCTTTTTGTTTTTTCCTCTTTCTCATGAACTTTCAGAGGGCCAGGAAACTACTATAAGACCTGTCCTTAGGTACACAACCGTCGAAATGTTCTTTGTCTCTACTGTTCTTGCAACAACCTCTGACCCGAGACATGTGATCATCTGATCGAAGGTCTCGGCCCTCCTCAAGTTCGACGACAAGGTCACAATGTCCCTGCATCACAAGCGCGGTACGCTACATATATCAATGACAATCTGGTTTCATTCCAGGCGCTAGGGCTACCTAGACTGTTCTACATGCATTCGTGTCTCATTTACCATTCATCCTGTCCACTACAATCTGTCCGTCTGTCCCTTGACCCAATTCCAAGCAGTGTATTCCAATCACATGGTTAGGTACTTAATTATCCAGTCTGATGTATCTTCAGTACCCAGTTCCATCAAAACATTAACGCCCCACATGAACAAAAGAAAGAAGAGAGATGCTGTGCTGTGTATTGTTTAACAAATGAGAGTTTAGACCACCACGGGCAATGGCAGCGACCGGTGGGTAGGTAACGAGCGGGTTGTATGTCGAATTAAGTTGGTTTCTTGTCCAAGGAAAAGACGAAATGATTGGTCGATCCAAAAAGGAGCGTCGATGGTGTCAGGGAACGACTCCCCTTAATGCTCAATATAAATATCCACCGTCCTCCTCCTCCACCCCCTATCCTTATCCCTAGAGGTATCCTCGCTACCCCTCCGACGGCTGCTCCGGCTCCGACAAGGCAGCGGTTCCGGCAACGCAGGAGGAGCAGGCGTAGGACATCTCACCGGCGCGGGAGCAGGAGCAGCCGCCGGGCGATGATATCTCCAGGGGAGGTAGTAGTAGTATGAAGTAGACCCATGACGGCTTCGGCTGCGCGTGCGTCGGACGGTAGTTTCGTACTCGTACTCGCGCTCACGATCATGCTCGCGGCGGTGACGCGAGTGCGAGCGCCGAGTTCCGTGGGCGCTGGTGCTGGTGCTGGTGACGGTGCGCCGATGACAGGTGTAGGAGTGGTAGTACCATGAGTAGACGGGGATGTGCCGACAGCAGAGGGTGCAGTAGTCTGTGGTGTACCAGGCCATTGCTTTGCTTTGGTTTGGGGAAAGGTTGTTGTCGTGGCGTGGGTCGAGTTTGTCTTGCTTCGTGCAAGTGAGCGTTTGGGTATTGTGTTGGTCGGTTGAGCTTTGCTGGTTCTCGTTGAACGTTTGACTTGTGAAAGCTGATCGAAGGAAAAACAAAAAGACACAACAGATGAAAACACAACATTACCTTATATAACCACCTCCCTCGCGCAAGAAGTCTTTTGACCACTTGCGTCCATCCGGTCATGACCTCCTCAGACTCAACCTCAGAGTCATCCAAAGTGTCATGAGGCCGCCGCCAACGGTCAAACGCCAACACCCGAACACCTTAGCTTTTCCTGCCCCGTAGGCCTAGCCTGCCTGTCTGTACGAGGAAAACATCACTCAGGCATCTGGTCTTGACAACTACGCCCTTCTGGGTCCTAGTGTAAGTCCTGGCTGACACACTTTCACCGAAAGCCATCCATCCTTCACCGTCTAGCATAGTGACACCAGTTCGGTTTGCCGCGTCCCCATGCCAATATGTAGTACCAGACCAGATAGGCGGTCGGCCAGCCGGCCGGGAGATGGAGTTCAGCCTAGGTGCCCGGCCTGGATTAAGTTGCCTGTGTGCGCGCGGAACAAGGAAGGGACAAGGGACAAACATCGGTTCGGTAGGTAGGGTGCAGCCAAAAAGAGCCATCGCATTTTGACGCGGTGCGACAGCAAAAAACAAAACCGCGCCTTCAAGGTTAGATAGGTTGGATTTTGAAAAGGTTCGTTTTGTGTACAGTGCTTCAACATATCCTTAACTAAGACTTATGTTCGAACCACGCTCGCTCTGTAAATTCAGTCAGTCGTCGTATAACCCGTGGCTAGGCTACCTCTACTAACAAACAAAGGGTCAAGTGAGCCAATCCGCGTGGGCGTGGGCGTATGTCCCTGGACTCCCTGGAGGTGTCACTTGATACGTCCCACCCACACCCATACCCACACCCTACATATACCTCTACCTACCTACTTACACCCATATCAGCCCCATCCCACCCCGGCATTCAGCCTCATTAACATCCAAGTATAGGTACGAAGGGAGCGAGGAATAGAAGCCTAGTGGCATCTACAAGTCATGACCGGTGATTGGCAAAGTGACCCGTGAAGATGGTCATGGAACGCGACCCATGAGGCCAACCGACCGACCGACCGGGCGGGAAAATGACAGTCCCGCCCGTCATGCAGCCAGCGAGCGGAGGCAGACGGACGGGATGCAGCCATGCAGCCTTATGCTTGTCTCACCTCACATCACATCACCCATTCATTCCACTCTCCTGTCCTGTCAGCCGCGATGGTGAAAAAGACTACAAAACGGGGGGGGCGATGTCCTTGGTTGAATGATGGATGGTCAGATTATCGGTCGGGGGGTCGCGCGTGTGAAAGGCCTGGCCCTGGCCGGGAGCTCACCTCATTCTCTGTTAGGTGGTTTCCCCAATGCGATGGATGGGTTGGGTAAGGCTTGCTGAGTGCCAAGGGAAGGGAATGATGCACTGGGACGGCGAGGCGGTGGTGTTATCAATGACAAGCCCAAACGGTTGAGGAAATGACTAAACACCTGCTCATAAGAACGTGAGCCGTGATCTCCCAGCTGGCCTTCCCTTCGTTAAGTTGTCACCATGAACGGGAACAATGAGAGAGGCAAGGTGATGCAACACTATCGCACTTGGGGACGATTTCGTCGCCTAAAGGATAGTGCACTAATAGCCCGTCAGCTTCGACCTACCCCTCCAACACTTCAGTTGTTAGCGACATCTAACAGAACTTGCACCGAACAGCAGCGGAATCTGGCTACGCCAGGTCTCAAGACAATTATGTATCTAATCTTCCATTCTACCTTCTCACCAACACTCAAATATGGTATAAACGTCTAGTATAATACACACACACACACACAATCCTTTTTCCTTCTACCACTGCCTTACTTGATCACTTCCCAGTTCCCCCTGTATACACCTCACTGTCTTGATCGACAATAACAACAACAACAATACCAACTCGCTTTACTTGTAAAAAGGTGTTGTAACACCCAAAAATAAAGGTATGATATGCACTTTAATCACCAACCCCCCTTCTATCATACACCCACCCCTCTGGCTTTTCCCAAGTCAATCAATCACCTCTTCCTAGTATCCTTCCCCTTCCGATTCCGATTCCTATCCCTTCCCTTCTTGCGATCCCTCGGTAACTCCAACGGCGTTCCCTCCAAAGCCTTGGCCATGAACCCCAGCATGTACTCATCAATAGTATGCATCCTCTCTCCCCACGCATTATACTCAATCACCTCCTCCTCTACCTCCTTATTCTCTTCTCCTCCCAAAAGTTGGCCATCCAAATCCGCCAGCCCATCACCCGGCGTTCCCGGGCGTGTACTTCCCGCCTCTCCGAAATCCGCTTCGTCCTGCATGATTTCCTTTTCTGCTGCCTTGGCCGCGTCGACATCCTCTCTGTCTTCTGCCATCTCTAGGACCCTGCCCACGTTTCGCACAGGTAGAGGTTGGGATGCACCGCCGCCGTCGGCAGTGCCGTCGTCGCCTCCTGCGCCGGTAGTTGACGGTCCACCTAGCACGCGATCCATAGCGAGGTTGGCGGCTACGTCGTCTTCGTTGCTGGCGATCACCTCGCCATTGGACCCTAGCACGTCTCGCACCGACAACCGATTGAAGTAATCTGTGGTGAACTCTCCTTCCTGAATGACCACGTCGTCCAACATTTGTTTTTGACTAGCCTTGCGGAGAATGTTCGCTTCGATGGTGTGTTCTGATACTAACCGGTAGATGTGCACGTCGCGCGTCTGACCGATACGATGGCATCGGTCTTGACATTGTTTGTCCATGGCTGGGTTCCAGTCCTGGTCGTAGAAGATGACCGTGTCGGCGCCCGTGAGGTTGATGCCGAGACCGCCGGAGCGGGTGGACAGGATGAAGCAGAGGATGCGCGGGTCGTGGTTGAATCGGTCTGTGAGGATTTGCCGCTGTTCGACCTTGGTGGCGCCGTCAAGGCGGAGGTACTTGTGTCCGTGGATGTTGAGGAACTGTTCGAGGATGTCGAGGACTTTGGTCATTTGCGTGAAGATGAGGGCGCGATGGCCGCCCGCTTGGAGTTTGCGTAGGAGCTTGTCGAGCGCTTGGAGCTTGCCGCAGTCATATTGGAGGAGCCGCTTGTCGGGGAATTGAATTGTCAGGCGCATGCGAGCCTCGTGCCACGGGTCCGGTGGAGGTTGAGGTGGCATGTAGGGAGCATATTTGACGGGAGCAGAGAGCTTGAGGTCGAGCTCCTCAAAGAGTTGGATGCCTCGTTCGCCGAGGAGGAAGCGGTTCATTTCGGGGCCGGTCACGACCGCGGGAGTGACGCAGGCGAACTTGGTGATGGTCATTTCCATGGATTCGGCGCGTTGCTGGAGCGTCGGGATGGCGTTGTGTAGCAGGAAGGAATCCTCTTCGAACCAGGACATGATCTTAGCCGGGACTCTAGGTCGGGGTTTGTATGGCCGGAGATGGGTGTCAAGGGTGAGGAACTCGGTTAGACGCTTTCCATAGATAGGTCGTTGTTGGCGACGGAGGGCATTGATGTATACACAGTGCTGCAGCTCTTCAAACCGACCCCATCTGGCGGCACTTTCAAGATACACAAGGTTGGACTTGACAGAGGAAGGGTCCAGCGCGGTGTAGGCGTTGTTGGCGCGCACCTTCTGGGCCTCCCTCAGGTCGAGCAAGATTCGATGGGAGCTGAGCTGGGCGATGCGGTCGGTGTGTGTCTTGGACAAATCTTCATACTCGGTCGGAATCATGTTGAGAAAGCTCAGATTGACAGTGGTCATGGGCTTCGTAACCAACAGCCTGTTCCGAATGAACTTTTCATTCCACTCGTAGTCGGCCGGTACTGACCGCGACATGCGGAACGAGGTCATAATGGGCCGGTCTACGAAGAGATCGGGATGGTTGCAGACCTTTCGGAGCTGCATCAAACAGTTAATGATGGACATGTAGTTGCCCGATTGCAGCGTCTCGCGTGTATCGGCGCGGGAAAGGAACCCATCATACAACTCTCGCTGACGTTTGGAGAGGCGGCAGAACTCGACGTGTTCATACTTTGCCGGCATTTGTTTCTCGACATCTGCCTTGAGTCGACGGAGAAGGTAGGGTCTAAGGACCTTGTGCAGCTTGGCAATGATGGCACGCGCCTCATCGTCCAGCTGTTCACGGCCGCTTTCCAAGATCTGAGATTCGGGCCTAGCGAACCAGTTATGGAATTCGGTGAGGTCAACGAACCCGCCTTCGCCGTTCTCGGGTGGCGCCAAGAAGTAGAGAAGCGACCACAACTCGGTCAGATTATTCTGCAACGGAGTACCTGTCAAGAGCAACCGAGCTTGCGTGTTGAAGCCGAGCAGGGTTTGCCAGCGCTGCGACTTGAAATTCTTGATGTTGTGAGCCTCGTCGAGGATCATGTAATGCCAGCGTCTTCGCCTGAACACCTGCTGATCCTGAAGGACCATTTGATAGGAGGTGATGCAGACGTTCCAAACATCGTCGTTGTTCCATCCCTGGCGCTTTCGCTTGCGTTCTTCCTGGTTGCCGTAGTACGTAAGGATCTTGAATCCAGGACACCACTTCTTGAACTCCATTTCCCAGTTGAGCATTACACTCGTAGGCACAATAACCAGATGGGGACCCCAAACTTCATGATGACAGGCGAGGTGCGCCAGCAGAGCAATGGTCTGGATGGTCTTTCCTAAACCCATCTCATCGGCCAGGATACCATTGGTGTTGTTGGCATACAGCCCAGCAAGCCAGTCCAGACCATGATGCTGATACTCACGCAGTGTTCCACGCAGGAGAAACGGGATTTCTGTCTTGACTGTTGGGGTTGTTGGCTGAGGTGAGGATTGTCGGCTATCTGGCTTTTGCACGCTGACGGCCAGCTCTGAGTGGGGAGTGTCGACATCGGTGGGCTTGGTATCAGTTGTTTTTGGTGACTGTGTTTGTGACTGGCTCTGCATGTCAGTAGCCGCCACCGTTTCCTGACTATCATGTCGGGTGTTGGGTGGTGCCTCCAACGACGGCGCCGCGGCTGTTTCCCTTTGTAAATCGTCTGTGGGTGGGGCATCAACCATTGGCAGGTCGCCCCCAGCTTCAACCGACTCCTTAGCCGGAAGTGCCTGGTTTTCGGACTGTACAATCTCTTCATGATGCTTCAAGGAACTACCATTGGTGAGGAAGTCCTTATTTGCCACTCCGCTGCCCGGCTCTTTTGTGGTCTGAGTATTTTCTGCTGCTTTTTCGTCGTTGGGTATAATCAGTAACGACACTTCATCGTCTGCACCCTCAGTTTGAGATGATGCCAGCTGCTCATTAGTGTGGGAACCATTAGTTATCGGAGCCTCATGCGCATGGCCATCAACTTGGGGCTCGGGACGAAGGGCCGCCGGAGCATCGGTCATCTCCACATCCCCAGCGGATTCAACCGACGGCTCCTCAGTTACAGCCTCCTCCTTCAACTTCTTCAACTCTGACTTTCCAAAGAATAACCCTAGCAAGCCAGCAGGTTCATCATCGGACTCTTCCTCTTCCTCATCGTCTTCGTCCTCCTCGTCGTCGTCTGACTCCTCGCTAGATCCAAGGTCGTCGTCCATGTCTACCGACTCATCGCTTGTATCGTCACCATTCGCAACGCTGCCATCCATAGCAGCGGAAGCATCAGCCATCTCCACGTCTTTTGTTGTTTCTTTATTTCCATCGGTCGTGTCCAAGGTGGGTAGGTTGGCGTATTTTGCACGTAATTCTTCCTGAGTCAGGCCCTCGTCCGACGCGGTCGATTTCTTATCGTCGTCCTCAGAGGAGGAGGACATGTTATCCTCGTCTTCATCTTCGTCATTTTCGTCAGACATCTCGTTGGATCCTTGGTCGGAGTGCTCGTCACTTTCCTCCTCGTCGCCCATTACTGACGGCATGCCACTTTCCAGGTCCTCGTCGTCCTCGTCCTCGTCCTCGTCTGTAATTTCGTCCCCGTCCACTTGCGCTTGTCGTTGCTGTAGCTTTTGTTCCGAAAGATTGACTGCTTGATTCAGCGCGGCCTTGACACGGCGCTGTTCCTCCGCCTCCCATTCCACCAAGCGGCGCCTATTGACCTCAACTCTGACATTCTCCCACGTCCCAGCAAAGGCCCTGATAACCTGGCGCCATTTAGCCTTGGACGCTTCCATCTCCTCCAGCTCGATTTCTTCGGCGGTTTTGGGCTGTGGGTTTCGGCGTCTCCACTCGGCTTCGCATGCAATGGCGATGCGCTTGGCTGCCTGCATATGCAACTGTTGCTCTCTATACATCAACTTGCGGAAGTTGGTCATGGCCTTTGTGAGGTGGTCGAGATGAGCCCACTGTCGAGGCGGTTCCTCCTCGGCCTCAGGCTCGAAAGCCGAACACCTGTCAGGGGCGAGCAAGCCCCCTGGCTCAACCTCTTTTTCAACCCGTAGAATGACCTTGGCGTCTTGGAGGGCCATCTCGTCTGTGTATTTGGGCTCTTCATCGGGAATGTGTTGCCCACCCTCCTCCACCGGTATTTCTTGAGCGCGCGCAAAGTATTCCTCAAAGGTCGGCCCAAGCTTTGGACGAACATTGGCTTGGTTTGGATGAACAAGGGGTATTACGGTCAACGGGGGTCGAACTTTGAGCTTGATACGGGGAGTGGCGCGCGAGGCACCGGGAGAGAGCTGGCCATCATCGTAGGATGCTCGAGAATGGGCGAGGGCTTGGCGCGTTGACCGACGCGTACCGACCGCGGCAGGTTTCGGAGGTGTAGCAGGACGTCGGGGAGATGGAGATCGTCGACGGGATCGGGACGCGGAGGGTCTGGTATCATGAGTCGTGGCAGACTTGCGCGCGGGAGCTTTCGGCGGCGGCGGGGGCGGCATCTTTGCGGGAGCAGGCTTACTGCTGCTGCTGGCTGGCGCTGGCTTCCTAGACGTACTGGCACTGCTCTTATTGCTGACAGGACTTGTTTGGATAGCTTTCCGCGTAACCTTTTTGTCGCTGGGTTTCATGCCGAGCAGGACGGGATTGACGCGGCCAGACTTGCGACGACCGTCTTCGGTGATGATGGTAGTCGGACCCTCGGCCTCAAACTTCTTCCATGGTGGTGACTCTGGTTTCGGTTTGCGCGAGTGATTGTGAGGTGTTGTCTCGCGCACTCGGCGTCGCTTGGCCGGTGGTTGTCCATCTTCGTCGAGCTCGGGCGTCTCTCCGTCGCGGGCATGAGTATCGCTTGTCGTAGACTTTGGTGATAGAATGGATGAAATCGGTTCGGTATCAAACTCAAAGTTATCGGGTTCGCTCAGCGGGGACGAGATGGACGACAAGGGCGACTGGTCGCGGTCGAGGAAGCCAGCATCTTCGGCGTTGGCGTTGGCGTTGGTCGTCGTCGAGGTATTATCGATGGCGGGGACATGGTGGGTGCTGCTGTAACTTTTGTTGTCTGTCTCGTTGTTGTCGTGATGACCAGTAGTACCGTTGGTGTTGTTGTCATCGGCGTCGTTGTCACCGGGAGTGGTGGTGGTGGCGGACGTGGTGGTGGTGGTGGTGGTGGTGTCGTTTCGTGTTGAATCAACAAGTCCCGCACCAGAATCAGACGCGGTGCCAGAGTCGGTCATCATAGTAGTCATGGTCACTGTCACAGCAGCCACGCCTATCGAGGGGATATGGGGGCGGATATCTCGACGAAGCGGGCATTTGAGGGGACCAAAACAACGTCAGAGAAACCGCACGACTTGGAACTATCTCATGCCCGAGTTTGGCCGTGATCAGGCTACGGGAAGGGTTGGCTGCAGCGGGGAAATGTCGAGAAAAGAGCTGTTTCCCGCAAATCGCAAAAAGTTGCCAACCGACGAAAAAAAATGCATCAACGGCACCGGCACTGAGCGGGACACCACCACAGCCGGCCAGCCTGATGGCCCGTCAGGTCACAGTGGAGGAATGAGTGGCCCGCCGCCTCTGAGGAGCTGGCTGAGTGGATGGCGAATAGTGATGCTGCCGCCGTGTTTCCATCCACATGGTGCAGGAGCCATTTGGTGGTCTGTGCACAACGCGCTTGAGAGTGGCTCAGTGGGAGAGTGGGCAGCTGTGATGTGCTGACGACGGACGGGAAGGGGAGCGAGGGAGCTCACTGAAATTGTTAGTGCAACTCGACTCCAAAGCCATTCAAGAGACTTCTGATCGATGCGGGGCGGCCAGCCATTCCTCGGGTCATCTTCTCCTTCCCTTCTTCTTAGGTTGGCCCATCCTTGCAACTAAGCCAATCAGCAGCTCCACAAGCTCTGTGCACAGACCATCTTGCACTGAGCAGGCCGGCCGACGAGTTGCGCCTGCAGTGAGTGGGTGTCCGTCTGGTCTGTCGTCAACGTCAAGATCCCAAATCGCAAACTGAATCAATTCGAACTCGGCATCACGACTGCATTGCGGCCCTCATAAGCCATGGTAGGTACCCATGCGCCGATTGATAGCACCCAATTCGAAACAACACTGACTGACGACTAAACCTACCCAGATGCTGTCCCGCCGAATTGTACGGGCCTCGCCCGCCCGTCTCGTTGCGCTCGCCGCGAACCGATCCCCCATTGTCCAGCAGCGCCGTACCTTTTTGCCCGACCAGCTTACCGGCCGGGGCGGCCTTATGGAAGAAAAGTACCCCGACTCCGATTATCCTCAACTCACCAATGCTGAGGATCCCGAAATGGTATGACAATAGGCAGTTGGTGGAATAAGGAGGCTGTCAAACGAGACAGAGGAAGCACACGGTAGCTGACGGACTGGTTGTGCGCAGAACGGCGGCTACATCAACCCTCCACGCATCAAGCGCCAGTTTCGCGATCCCTACGCCAAGTGGTGGGACCCCCAGGAGCGTCGCAACTTTGGCGAGCCCGTGCACGAGGACCACGATCTCCTGGGCATGTTTTCGCCTTACGAATACACTTGGGTCTCTCCCGGCAAGGGTCTTGCCCAGATTGGCGCCTTCATCGTTGCCTTCCTCGGTCTCTGCTACGGCGTCAAGCTCACGTATCCCGACAAGGTCTCGTATCCTCGTGAGTTCGAGAACGGTTTGTTGCAGGAACTGGGCGGTTCGGGAGCTGTTAGGGTAAGTGGAGCTTCCCCAGGCCAAAAGATGGAGACGGCTTCGAAGTCCTCTCCATAATGTGGATCAGACATGGAACCGGGCCTGACAGTGCTGACTATTGACCTTGGACTTGACAGGCGAGACAGGCGGGTGATCCTGACCCTTGATTAAGTACAGACACGAGGGAACAAATACAGAACAGAGCATGCGCCGTGTACATAGGTAGAGGTAGCTGCTCCTACTTCCATACGGGGTGAACGGTACCCGGGGAAGTGATAAGAGTTGAGTCATGGGAAGCAGTCATTAATCATCCCAGAGAGTGCACCTGGTCCAGCTTCCGCCAATGCCTGTTGTTCTGTTCTTCCAATCCTGTTCGTTACTTACAGTATCATGCTGGAGGGTACCTCTACGCACTCAGTTTAGGATGTTCGTTTTGACGGAATTATAGACTAACACAGCCCTTCCATTTTCATTGCAAACTGACGATAAAGCACCAGCAGGAACAATCTCGAGCAGATAAGTCCACAGAAGCATGTTGCTGCTTCCAACGACTCGGAGATTTTCTCTGCATTATCATGACTCGTGCAAGTTCATCTGGGGTAACGACTCCACATTTGCTGTCGGGTCGGGTGCAAGTCGCAAGTGGATCACTGACTCGGGACCGAACCCTCACTCTGCTACTTCGGTTGTGCCTAGGTAGGTATCAATGGCAACTCGCTCACGATAGCCCCTTGCCTATTGTACTCAACCTCTAATAACCGAAGCAATGGCCTCCAACTAACAACCGAACAAGAAGATTTCACCATCTTTATGGCCAAGCGTCAAGGACGAATTTGGATCATGGCAATAACGCACGAATTACGAGATATCCTTCCCCCAAACCCCCTATCATGTCCATGGAAATTTCGATGCCGGCCATTTGTAAATTTCCATCATCCCGACAGTCAAGACCTAGTTTGACGTTATCTTCACAAACACGGAAAGAGCAACCGCAAAACTACCCCAACATGGTTCGAACTAGAGGTACTAATCGCTCCCGAGATTGTTATGGGCCTTTCGGCCTGGTGATATGCGGGTAGGTACTTGAGCGGGAGCGGTCAATACAACTTGAAGCAGGAGGAGGGGAAGAGGAGAACTTTCATCATCATCCACTCTGTCTACACGGCAATCCTCGGCTCCAACTTCGTCGCCAACCATCGTCACCTTTTCTTTTTTGTTGTGTGGTGTCTTCTTTTGGCTTCTCTGCTTGCTCACTTGTTGAATTATATCTTGCCAGCCCGTGCCCCGAGCAACATCGATACACTAATCGATTCTACATTCAATTTTCCCTCCCCATCTCACCATCGGCTGGGTTGCGACGGCATACCATACAATGCGTTACGACGACTGGGACGTCATCCTGTTCCCTACAGGCAGGAACGGCAAGATTCCAATCAAGGAGTTCAAAGTCCAGTGTCATGTAGTTCCAGACCAGGAGCTCGCTCACATGCACGGACAGGCTGGCTTGCCCATCATGACCTGCTTCATCCCGAGTCTTCCAGCCGGCAGTCCGTTTCAGATCTCGATGCACGCCTGGAAAGCCCCCGATATCAGCCTGTTTACAAAGACATACAGCAGGCATACCGAGTTTGTCAAGTTTGAGGCGCGCATCTTCATCGATGGCCGCTTGGTTGCTTCCACTGCCTTTGACCGAAAAGTCAACGGACCCCATTTGATTGCAGACACCTTTGGTAAGTCTCCCAAATCCTCTGAAATATAATCAAGTATCATGACGTGCTGACAAGTATCAAGAGTACACAAAGACGGGCGAACGCGAACGCCTAAAGTTTCCTATCTTTCGCCGTGAGCTTCTTTATGAGAGCCACTGGAGTCCTGGCGACGACCTTGGCCGCATTAAAGTTCTTATCAGCGAAGGCTTTCCACGCGATTCTCGAACGGTACCCTTTGAGCGGGTCAAGAATATTGTCGCCTTTTCTTTCCAACATGCTCCGCTAGGTAAGACTTTGCAACACTTCTCTCGTCCGCCACCAACAACTGACGTTGCAATCTACGTGTTCAGAACTGCTTGAAAACAACTCCATTGCCTGGCCCAACCCATCCATGTGGCACACTCCGACCTACCTCTCGAACGTTCCCGTACCAACATATCACCCCGACGATGGCATCAACTCTCACGCACACTCGCCCCAGCGACCAAAGAAGAACAGTCAAAGTCCAGGTTTCCCAACGCCTATTATGACACATGGCGTATTTCAGCCTCACCTGCCTCCCGCTAGCTACGTGGGTACACAAACACTCCAGATGCCATACGCACCCCGAGGCTCCAACACTGGGTCTGGCTCGTCGTTTCCGCATTCCGATCCATTCACCGAACCCTCCTACATGGACTGGATGGGCTCAATGGGCCACAGTTCCTGGCAATCTGGTATGCGACAGGGGATCCAGCAGCAGAGTAGTGATGAAACCATGCCCGACTACGGTGGGGGTCCCAACCGTGACCAGCCTGAGGCTATGCATGTTTCCGGAAATAGTATGGATGACGAGCATCCTACGAACATGAAGGTGCCAACGAATACTTCGACAACAGTCCCTCCTCCTACTGAAGACATGAAAGCGGGGGTCCATTTTCCTTCCATGTCTACCCATATGCCATCCATCCCGTCTGACATGGCCGCCTGCTTCACCAATACTCTCTTGAACCAGCCGATGCCGCTTCCACTTCAGCCTCATCAGATACCCCTACCGTCTTCGGATGTCAAGTCACGTAAGGAGAACCGCTTCCTCACGATCTCTGGTTCCAAACTTTCATCAGCTCACTCACCCCCTACTGCAGACCATGGCGACACACGCAATTTCTCACAGCCGGTTTTCTCCCAGTGTCCCATCGCATCCAACTTGTCCCAGATGGTCTCCTCCATGGATGGCGCCGGAAGCTCGAGCGACTCCCCAAGTTTGCAAAGCATGTTCTCGGTCGCAGGCAGCCATCAGAATAGTCCGAAACAGGCCGAGTTTGTGTCCAATTCCAACCTGTATGGTGGTCATGCTTCAGGTCCCAACCCTGCCAGCTTCCCTCCTAGCCTTCCTTCCAACCTTACTTCCAACTTCTCATCCAACTTGACTTCAAATTCGACTTCCAACCACTCCACGAATCCCAGCTCCAACCCTCCTTCTGGTCCGACCCCCTTTGGCGTTCGGACCGAGAGCTCGCTCAACGCTGGCCTTGGAAGCGTACAGGGCCATGGAAATGGTAATGGAAGTGGTACTGCTGTAGGAAATGGAAACGGAAATGTCAAGCGGACTCGAAACTTTACGCCGGCTTCTACCAAAGCTATTGATGAAGAGGACGAGCCACGCCAAGCGAGCCCTCAAATGAGAGTTAGGGCCTATGCTAAGGAATACGGGTTGGAGCAAAACATGCTTGAACTTTGAAGTTTTACAAAACCTCCAGACATTTGGTTCAAGAGAAGCAGTAGCCTTAGTTCGATCACTGCGGTGATTGTTGGAGTTATCATACTGGTCGTGGAGAAGTTTGTTAGTTTTCTCTTCTTTATTTTCTTATGTTCTCTTTCACATATCCAACTTATCACTAGCATTGTCAAATCGGGTTACGATTGGAGTCATGGTTGTGTTGTTTCTCAGAATGCTTGGAGAGTGCGCATGCTTCCTTTGTTCTAATGGCGGGTGTAAGTTATACAAGTAGCCTGGTCCTCTCGATGTCCAGCATCATATGGTGAGATTGATGGGTAAAATGGTCAAGAAAATACAAATCTTGCAATCGTTGTTTCTTTGCTGCCAGTCAGTTTCTCCTTGTGAACAAGGCGTTTGACACAATGTCGCACGGCCTCTGCTTCTGCATTTGCTAGTCCTTGTGCCATGTGATGTGGGCGTAGGGCTTTGCAGCACGTATCTGTCAGAATGTCAGCCAACTTTACATCAGGCGTCGTTCTTGGGTGCTTTGGTATTGGATGGAAGATAAAGCCACCCAACTTGAAGTTAGGTCAGCTTGAAGGTCTAGAGAAAGGAGAAGGAGAGTGGTTGGATTAAAGCTTGCCAAGAAAGTCGTGGACGAAGCACTAAAAGCTTAGCGGGTGGAGATAATGGAGCTTACAACGGAACCCCCCTGTTATCTCCGCGACGGTTGTTAGTGTAGTTGCACTTACACAGTCTGTATAGGGCAAGACAGGCTTTGTATACTGATCATAAGGCTAACATCACTGTGGCGATGTGGAGGCTAATGATTGAGCCAACGTGATGAATTGCGAAATGTAGAGCGGGGAGGATTAAGAGCCATGTCCCTTTGATAGTTCTTACGGTCTAGGTTACAGGCAATCATCGATTGGCTTCGGGATTCGCGAAAGATACCCTGATGTACCTACGTTCGGTGTTAGCGGCCACTGCGGCTATGATCCCGCCCCCCCCCCGGCCTTGGCTGATCCTGTCTCGCCCTAGCTGAGTCTGGCCCCCAAGAGCCCTAAAAAGGGACGGAGGATCCGGTGTTAGGGGGTAGTCTAGTGTAGTGTACATAAAGCTAAAGCTCAAGCGTTGGACTTTGGACTGTGGAGGTCCACTGGTTCACAGCCAGCCAGCCAGCCATCCAGCCATTCTGGCGTCATTCGGTTCGGGTCCCATTCAATTCGTTCGGTGTTAGCGGCGACGGGCGAAGCGGGACGGGTTATGAGAAGAAGGGGAGGTACGTACCTGGTACCTGGTATCTTGTTGTCAGCCATCCTCCCATGGGATGAATGGGATTGAGATGGACGAGAGTTGGAGACCTCGCTTTTGGTTATCGGCGGTAGGTGGTGCTGGTTGGCTTCTACCATAGTCCGTATTGCGTAGTATACATCTGATGGCAGTTAATGAGGTTTGTCTTGATTTGGCTTGGCTTGGCTTGGCTTGTATTGTATTGTCTAGTGGTGGTGAAGATATGTCATGACGGATGCTGTAATGCCGGGGTCGAAGCAGAAGAGGAAGAAGAAGAAGAAGAAGAAGTCCGGTGGGGAGTCATAACAACGGATTGGGGCACCTGGACACCGATGAGGCTCGGAAATAAGGTTAGTCGCAAGTGGTAGGTAGGTAACCCTGTTGAACACTGACCCACGGTGTCGGGAGACATCGAGTCTAGAATCGCGGTACATAGTGTAAATGCGGACGATCGGCCGCTGTCAGCAATGGTGTTGGATTTTGGCAGTACGCATTTCGAGGACGCGATCAATTCGTGGACAAAACGGGCTAGAACAAATTAGAAACCTGGAGATATGGTTCTTCTGGAGCTTACTTATTTTGACGGAATATGATTCAACATGATGCGATGAGTCGACGGGAAGGCGCGCCAAATGCCAATCCGGGCTGGGTCGGTGTGTTAGGTTTGGCCGACCCGACTGACGGTTTGGTGGGTGGGACAGGACCGTGACAGCCAGGGTAAGCAGAACAATGCGAGCGACCCAGTGACAGTTCTCACAATTTTCGGGGACGGTGGAATTGTTAGAGCGATGGGTTGTTTGGTGGCGCGGCAAGATGAATTATACGTTCCCTTACGATACGTGACTGAAATGATCCAATGGCTGCACCCGTGGTGGCCTGGCAAACACAACTTAACTAATGTAGACGCAGGTAATAACGCCAGAACACAATCAAGTGGGAAATACTACTAAATGCACGCAGTCCAAGCGCACCGCAAACGACCAAAACGCCGGTAACAAGCAATCGTGCATGATTTGTACCCAAGTCACCATACGCCGCGTGGCATGATACGACGGAACCGTCCCTACTTGCAGTAGTGTCGCTAGTCAAGTTGGGCTGGATACCTACCTTATTCGGAGTGCTACGTTCCCCCGATTTGTTCTCAGGCTTCCATGCCATGACTCGACGAGGCGCTCCCTAATTCTATTCTGTCAGGTTGACAGCAGGGTACTTCGATTGACACTTCGCTCAAATTCCCGCTTGGCTGGTAAGATATCTCCGAAGTACAGCACATTGACGGGTCTCAGCCCGGGAATTACCCAATGGTAATGGAGGGGGGCTTGGTGGCTTGATGTGTTTGACGTGTATATCACCGTCCTTTGTCCCTGGGCTTCACTTGCTTTCCTGTCCTTCGGTCTCTCTCTGTTTGGATCAACTTTTTCCTCGTCCCACAAAAACCTCCTCGGTTCACTAATTCTGTCTTCCTAGACGAACATCTCTTACCCTTCTTGTCTTCCTGGAAGGAAATCACGACGGAAAACACTTTAACCCGCCAACATGGCCGGGACAAGAAAGGACGGTGCCAAAGGCGGCAACCTAGCAGTCCCTCCAGCCCTCGGCGACACCGAATCAAGAGCGCCAACAATAGCAGAAAGTGAAGATGCGCGTGGCTACAACAACACCAACAACAACGATGTTCTCTCCGACACAGACGGCGGACGGACAATCGACTCAACAGATCCAGAAAAGAAACACCCACATACGTTGAGCCAGCAAAGGTCTAATGCTACGCACAAGAGTCACGCTAGTACAATACGGGAGGATGGAGTTGAGTACCCGACTGGCCTGAAGCTGGGCTTGATCACGATAGCGTTGTGTTTGAGTGTTTTCTTGATGGCCCTCGGTGAGTTTTCCACTTTGTTCTGATGCTCGGAAGTAATGCGAGAGACTGACAGGAAGCAGATAACTCCATTATTGCCACGGCTATCCCCAAGATTACCGATCAGTTTCACAGTTTGCCGGATGTGGGTTGGTATGGAAGTGGTAAGTCCTCTTTGCTCTCATTCCCTCCATGATAGACAGTCACTAACAGACTGTGCCTAGCCTACCTCCTCACCACCGCGGCGCTCCAACTTTTGTTCGGACGCTTTTACACCTTCTTCTCCCTCAAATGGGTCTTTTTGATCGCCATCTTCATCTTCGAGCTCGGCTCCCTGATCTGCGGCGTCGCCAACACCTCCAAGACCCTCATTATCGGGCGCGCCATCGCCGGCATTGGTTCAGCCGGCATCTTCTCGGGCGCGCTGATCATTCTCGCCTACGCCGTGCCCCTCGAAAAGCGACCCGTATACACCGGCTTCATTGGTTCCATGTACGGCATCGCCTCCGTCTCCGGCCCGCTCCTCGGAGGCGCCTTCACAGACCAAGTGACCTGGCGCTGGTGTTTCTACATCAACCTCCCCATCGGCGGCATCACCATGGCCGTCATTGGCTTCTTCTTCCCCGATCCAAACCGCGAGAGACCCCAAGAGGAGACATGGGCCAAGACCATTATGAAATTCGACCCCTTTGGCACTGCGGTATTCATGCCTGCCATCATCTGCCTGCTGCTCGCGCTGCAATGGGGCGGCACCACCTACAAATGGAACAACTGGCGCATCATTTTCCTCTTTGTGCTCTTCGCCGTCCTGATCACCGCCTTCATCGCCATCCAATTCAAGATGCAAGACGAGGGCACCGTCCCTCCCCGCATCATCAAGCAGCGCTCCGTGTGGGCATCCGCCCTCTTCACCTTTTGCTTGGGCGCCGCCTTCATGGGCTCCGTCTATTATCTGCCCATCTGGTTCCAGGCCGTCAAGGGCGCGACAGCCGTCAAATCAGGCATCATGAACCTCCCCATGCTTCTCGCGACGGTAATCCTGTCCGTCGTCGCCGGCGCGCTTGTCTCCTATCTAGGCTACTACGCCCCCTTCATGATTCTCTGTTCCGTCGTCTCCAGCATCGGCTACGGTCTGCTGACCACCTTTGAACCCGACACCAGCTCTGGTAAATGGATCGGGTACCAGATCCTCGTTGGCGCCGGACTGGGGATGGGGCTCCAGCAAAGTCTCATGGCGGTGCAAACCGTGCTGGAGATGAAGGATGTATCGGTCGGTACGGCGCTGATGGTGTTTGTGCAGACGCTGGGCGGCGCGCTGTTTGTGAGTATTGCGCAAAATGTGTTTACGAATAAGCTGGTGCAGTATGTGGGCGAGCTGGCGCCGGGGTTCGGGGATCCGGAGAATATCTTGCTGTTGGGCGCGACGAGCGTGCAGAAGACGGTGGATAAGAGTGTGTTGCCGGGGGTGACGCGGGCGTATAATAATTCGTTGACGGATGTGTTTATGGTGTTTGTGGCGATGGCGGTGGCGAGCGTGTTTGGGGCGCTGTTGGTGGAGTGGAAGAGTGTGAAGGGGAAGAATGTGGAGGTTGGGTTGGCGTGATTTTGTGATGATGATCTCTCGTGTGTAAAAAGAGGTTGGGGGGATTGGGTGGGAAGAGGAGGATGTAATCTTCCCCTGGATGGGTGTTACTGGGTTAGTAATAATTACGTAGACAGGTTCATCGGTTTTAGATGTCTCCCAACTCTTGTGTCAAATAGAAATGTATTACATTCCAATTCTCCCGAGCAAGGAGAAGCAAAGTGGGAGGGAAAATTGCGATTCGAAAAAGGGAAGATACTATTGATTCTAGTGCCAATTTACTTGTCATATCGGTACATAGAGGTATTCCTGGTATCCTGAACGAGATCTCTTTCAAATTGTTTCAAACCTGACGACGACAGGATCAAATGAAAGGCATTAAGAAGATTCAGTACAGTGGGTAGGGTAGGTTTATCTTGGAAACAAAAATGCATACTGACAGCATGAAACATTGCGAAAGCCATTACGGACATCACTTACACGGGCTGTTAAGTGTAGTACCTAGTACCTAGGTAGCTTGTTAGCAACTCAATAAACGACTGGTGTTCTTTGAAAAATCTAGGTTGGGAAAAATCCTCTATTCCCAAAAATGATATCTTCCTAAAGCAATCATCACCACCCAGGCCAAGTATGTTGTTTGAATTGGCGATATCTCCAACCTGGTAATGATGTATTGGCCGTTAGGATGGCGTGATATAACACAATCAGCGCCAATCCGGGGTTCAACCGACGCTATCGGACCCCGGGTGAGGATCACGCAGACATCCGCTAAATAACAGGGCTAATCCCGGCTTACGGCGTCTAACGGACTCGGGTAAGATCCGATAGCGACAGCTGCCGGCAAAAATTCACTCAATTCGTTGATTGAATCACCACGCTATCCTGGGTAATATATCGTGTGCTTACATCTGCATGCAGCGTGTTGGGATAAATCGGTTGAAGGGTACAAGTGCCGACCACCCACCTACTTTGTCTAGTATCATCCATTGTCCCGCTTACTTTTTCGGTTCGGTCTCACATACCCACAACAGTCAGCATCATGTCCAAGACACAACAACAGCAACAGACAAAAAAGCCCATCAAGAGGGTAGCCGTCATCGGCGCGGGCCCCGCCGGCGCCATCACCATTGATGCCCTCGCCCAGGAAAGGACATTCGATCTCATCCGCGTATTTGAAAGACGAGAAGGACCAGGAGGATGCTGGTGAGTCTTGCTCACACCCGTCCTTCCACACCTCCTCCAAGTTCCTCTCACTAAACCCACTATCATCCAAAAAGGATCGGCGACAACAACAACCGCCCTCAACCCCTTACCGACTTCACCTCCCTCTCCAACCGCACCGCCGACCCACCAATTCCCATCCCGGAAGTCCTCCCCTCCTTCACGCCCAAACTGGACCAACAGCGCTTTTCCGAATCCTCCGTCTATCCTTACTTAGAAACCAACGTCGACGCCCTCCCTATGGAGTTCAGCCAGGAACCCTTTCCCTCGGAAAAGAGCGAGTTCTCCATTACCTTGCACGGTCCCGACACGCCGTTCCGCCACTGGAAGAGCGTGCGGGGGTACATCGAAGGGCTAGTGAACCGTAACGGGTATCAGGACTTGGTATCGTATTCCACGACGGTTGAGAAAGTCGAAAAAGTCGGCGACGAGTGGAAAGTGACGCTGCGCAAGGAAGGAGAACAAAAAGATTATTGGTGGACGGAGTGGTTCGATGCCGTGGTGGTGGCCAGTGGTCATTATTGGGTGCCGTGGATTCCTGCGGTGGAAGGTCTCGAAGCGTTTGAGAAGCAGAGGCCGGGAAGTGTACTTCATAGTAAACAGTTTCGGGGGAGGGAGCTTTATCTGGATAAGGTTGTACACACATCCCCTTATATGATATCTCGCTTTGATCGGTAAAAACTGACATCAAGCAGAAAGTAGTAGTAGTAGGCGCATCCGTCTCCGCCGCCGACATCGCCTACGACCTCGCCCACTCGCGCACCGCCCAAACTCCCGTGCACGCCATTACTGTAGGGCACACCTTCAACGGATACTTTGGCGACGAAGCATTCAAGCACCCGCGCATCGAGAACCACCCGTCTATTTCTAGGGTCTGTCCCAAGACCCGCACCGTTCATCTAGTGGACGGCACGTCCATCCCCAACGTGGACCACATCATTTTCGGCACGGGGTACACCTGGACTCTCCCCTTCTTGTCGCAGGTGCTACCCGTCCGGAATAATCGTGTCCCGGACCTCTACCAACATGTCGTCTGGCAACAGGATCCTTCCCTGTTATTTGTCGGTGCCGTCGGCGCTGGGCTGACGTTCAAGGTGTTTGAGTGGCAAGCGGTGTATGCTGCGCGCATACTGGCTGGTCGCGCGCAGGTGGTGCCGACGGTGAAGGAGATGCAGGAGTGGGAGGAGGAGAGGATCAAGGAGAAGGGCGATGGGCCCAAGTTTAGTTTGATATATCCGGAGTTTGAGGACTACTTTGAGACGTTGCGGAGATTGGCGGGGGAGGGCGAGACGGCCAGGGGCGTGGGGAGGAAGTTGCCTAGGTTTAGGCCGGAGTGGTTTAGAGCATTTATGGAGGGGCATGATTTGCGAAAGAGGATGTGGAAGAGGGTTAATGAGCAGGCGAGAGAGGACGAGAAGGTGAAGGCAAAACTGTGAGCGGGCGGGATGTGGGCTCGGGATTACAATGCTGATGTGTACAGTTGGATATGGTGTGTGAAATGAGACGTGAAATTTAGTTGGAACTTGCCATGATGTTGTGCTGATATGTGTGCGAAAAGTGGGGGCGGAGTGCCAACGAAGGGAGGGAGATTTCGTATGGAAAATACTCCACCGAAAGTTAGGGACATTGGTAAATGGGACTGTTACTTGCAGCTTGAAGGCATTTGCGATTGCTTTTCACTTGATTTGGATGCTTCACTTCCATGGTGATTTCTTGATGCTTACAGCGGAGTTGCTTTTTGGCGTGTGTTGGGAAGATTTTAAGATGAAGGTATTGAACAGATGGTGAGAATGCTGTGACTGTCGTCAACTTCATGAGCGCCTTGGCACGTTTTTGTTTTATGGCTTGGGGTTGATGCGAACTAGCCCCATTTCTATGTTATAAACAAAATAATCTGAATGAAGGGACGAACGGGGCACCAGACCCTTCTGCCCTCGGCAAGAACTTGTCACCAAGGGAACTACAGTTGGGAACTGGACCTTGTGTGAGATTATTTCCGTAAAGATCAATCTCACATTCGCAACGAATGAAAATAATTCCCGTCTCAGGCTTTCATTTCCATGGTTCACCGAACAGTGGTTGGTGTTTTGGTGGTTGCCGGGTAATAAGGAAGATGTTCGGGTGCGGGCAAGTGCGGGGCGGGGGGCTCGGAGAGGGAAACAGGAGCCAGAAGGGTGGCCGGACACTCAACAGTGATCCAACCTGCATGGAGCAAGAATATTCAAAACTTTGATTTCAGGGTACATTGGATGTTGGACAATTCATTGAAGATGCTTTGGGGTCTTCTTATCCGTAATGGCTGGATTGACGAGCAAGTGTCCTGACACAGTGCGGAAATGGAAGAGAGAGATCAATGGCGGCGGGATCTCGATTAGAACGGCCATACCCACCACCCAACGAGGTCGTGAAACTTCCATAAAATCTCACAGCTCACATCTTGTCTTCTGGCATGACTTCTCGAAATTTGTTGCAAGGCTCTAAACACGCGACAAATCCTCACAGGAACGACGACAGGTCAAACCAAACCCAGGCCTTGACTGGGCTGGTGATTCCGGCTCCAAGTGATCGGGAAACTTTGTTACGGTTTTCCAAGCCACTGCCTGAAATTTACATTGCGTACGGGCCAGCATCAGCAAGTTTGACAAAACCCCAAGTACAGTAACGGCGCTGACATGTGTCAATGCCAGACGTGTAGCAGATATTGCAATGTACAGGAGTACCTAGTCTAGGGCTAGAAGGTACATGTAGGCCGGAGGTTCCCCACTAAAGCAATCATGACAAAAAGTGTACAGCGCTGATACACGCCGACAGTTGCATGCTTGCGGGGGACTGAACCAAATCCCAGGAAAAAATTTGAGAAGTATTTCCTTTACTCGACCCCTCCCGTGAGTGGACTTGCGACGTACGAGACTGTAAGTGATCAAAGCTTCCTACGCGAATGACGGAACGCAAACTGACCTTAGACCGCCAGAACCCAGCCCTGTACCGCGCCACTCAAGTTAACACCCTGTCCTGCACCAACTCAGGCAACACCTTCTCCCCCTTCCGACTCTCCCGCTCCTCTGCCCCCTCCCACTTGCTCCCACCTGGCAACTCCAATACCAACGGCTCTTCACACCCCTCCCGCACCCCTTTTCCGTACCTGGGCGCCCTCAAATCATCACCATTGATCCTCTTCCCCGTGACGGGATGCGGATAATGAAACGGCACCACCCTCGTATCCGGCCACAACATCTTTCTCTCGAGAATCTCATCCGGGCCCGTGGGGTCCTCCGGAAACGTTTTCGTCGGCCACGGCACATAATTCGGCTTGGTCTTGCTCCACCCGGCCTCGAAATCCGCATGCCAAAACGGAAAGTACCTATACCTCCACAGCTTCCACACCCCGTCTTCCTTCACATACTCATTCTCGTACAGACCACCTTCCCACCACTGTCTGTGGCCCAGCGGCAAGTCTTTCTCGATAGAGTGATGAGTGCCGGCCTGCATCAGGGCACGCATGCGGCACCAGGCGTGGTCGCCTGAGGGGGAGACGTCGACGATGTCTTGCATCATTATGTGGTCGAGCAGAAAGCCGTGGATGGGACCGTTGCGGCCGGCGACAAAGGTCTCGGCGAAGCGTTTCTTGTAGAGGCGCTCGACGCCGGCTTTGCCGAGGTAGCGCGAGCCGAGGAACTCGACAAAGGTGTCAGGGCGGTTGGAGAAGAGGTCAACTACTTCGTTGTAGAGACATTTGTCGAGGTAGTAGCCGTATTTGTGGTGGGTTTTGCGGATTTCAGCTTCGTCTGGATGATTGTTTGTTAGGAAGTGGAAATGCGATGCGGGTCGGAAATGGTACTTGAGCGCTTACCGGAGACGCGAGACAGTTCTTTTTGCAAGGTGAGTACCTGCTTTTTGAGTTCTGCGAGTTCCCGCTCCATGTTGGGCTACTAGGTGTTGGAGTCAGGTCGTGCTTTGATTGGTATTTGCGCGCTGGAACTCCAGGAAGGAATTGAAGTGCGATCGGGACGTGGGAGTTGTCGCTTTAAAAGCTGTAGTAGGCGACGACGGAGTGATATTACCGTTCCGGTTTCAATCCATCAATGGTTCACTTGAGCCTTCATTCGATACCCAATTGAGCCTGAATCGATTGCTGCTGACAACACAGTAATTGAATGCAACGTTCATCCCATGATCGCACACGGGTGCAACTTCGACAGGTGCTTTTCCCCAATTTACCCCCCGCTACCCGACTTCGCTTCCGAATATACCTGGCATCTGTGAGGAGAACATCTCGGGTGGAGATAGAGAGAGCCCGTCCCTCCACCCACCAACGCGTTTTATGCAGGGCGGGAGCTTTGACCATATCGGAATGATGATGCTGATTACTTCACGTATGTTGCGAATTGCGAGGAAGAGTGATGGGTGGGTATTCAGGCGACTGCCATGATGATTTCGCTGTGCGCGGCCGAGCCTGGGTGAGGCGACTTGTTTGCGACTTTCGAGCTGACAATTAGATACTGCCGTTCGGTCAATGTCGTTCGTGCCTTGGAAGAAAAAAAAAAAAAAAAAAAAAAAAAAAAAAAAAAAGGAAGGAAGAACGAAAGAAAGAAAGAAAAGAAAAGAAAAAGCAAAGAAAAAGAAAGAGAGAAAGAGAGAGTCATCAGTCTGTGTGCACAGCCGCTAGTAGGGTAGGGTATCCTGCCCTCTGTGTAGTAGTTTCCCATGGTAAACAACAGGTGGTTAGCGGACCTTGTCTCCCAATAATGTCGAGAATCAGGACATCGACGGTAAACCGGATCAATCTCATTTGACTGACGTCTTGGCATGTTGACATTAGTAGCGACACTGGGCAGCCTGATGTTGATCCATCCTGATTTTTCTGCTTGGGTTTGACGATACGAATACATCTTCCAGGTCCAGTCTTGGTAATGGCATTGATGTACCAGCTGTAGAAGAGTACCTCGACTTTGCAGGCGTCTTGGCCGCGGCTTACTCAAGTATGTGTCATACCTTTCGAAAGAAAGTACCTAGAGGTAATTTTCACAGGCAATGGCCAGGGCAGTCACGGCATCCTCCGTATATGTGAACAGAGTACATGTGGTTGCAGCTCATGATTCGATTGGTGTGAACGTAGGGACGGAAAGAAGGAAGGAGAGCCACCGCCAAGCATGGAAGGAAGGAAGCGACCATCTCATTCTTCCATTTTCAGTGAAGTGACATTCACACATCTTCATGACTCATCTTCGACGTCTCATGAGCTCCTGCCAAATTCACATGAGTGCCGCCTAGTTACGTACACGGGCATTTTAAGGCAAATCTCGAGACAGACCTTGAAATGTTCATCTGCGGGGCAGGCAGCAGGCAGGTCAAGTGCCCCAGCCTCATTGTTAGGGTACGTACCTAGGTAGGTCTCAAATTCTTGGTCTGAGCTTTCCTGCACTGCTTGATTCATGCCTCCATGTCCACTGACGAACAAGACACTCTCTTGTGGTCTCCCTTTTCCTCTCAACACCTCCCCGCAAGGGAGCTCACGTGGAAGAACATGTAGAGGTATGTTTGAGGCTACCCCCCTCTTCCGTTCCCCGATTACCACTGCTATAATGTACTAACCGATGCCAGACAGGACTGTGTTACGTGAAGCTTCAGGGCTGTAAATCAACCATCTCAGACCGATTCCCGCACGAGAACCAAAGATTCTGATACCTCGAGCTTAGAGACATGTGCAAAGTAATGAAACGCGACATTCCGATCTTAACTCCTTGAGCCCCCAAGAGTCTGACTCGCGATGAAGAAACAGAACGAAAAACCTGATCGTCTTCCGAAATGGAAAGTTGTTGATCTGTGAGAAAGTGTGTGTCTGACAACCACGTATATGCTCTTCTGTGGACGCCAAAACCATCTGGCAGACGCTAAACCCTGCGTTTCCTTCACGACACCGGATCCAATACGGTACCAGTTCAGAACAAGACAAACGTTACCTCATGAAACCCTCCAGCTACTCATTGTTCTATGTCAGTGTCTTATGGGGCGATTGAGCTCTAGTGGTCCTGGCAGCGGTAGAGTCCGGTCTTCAGTAGTTGCACCATACTTTAGCGGACAAATCCCGGAGACCAACCTTACAGCGCAATGATAACAACAACTACAACAATTGTGCGCCCCTCTACAGATTCCAGCTTCAGTGCCAAGTTGCTTTCCATCACCAATAAAGATTCGTCAGCAAACCAGCACGTGAAAGCACCTTGACTCAAACATCGTTCGATAAAATTACTAATGCGCCATCTCCCTGCTTCACTGCGCGCATCGTGTCGCTGGTGTAGCGCACCATCAGTCGGGTTTGAGGGTATCAATGTACCAGCCTCTTTTCACCACCAAAAAAAGTTGCGCCAGCTACCATCTGAAGCCCGGAACCGCAGATCCGCAGGCTCCGGGCAGGAGACGCGTTGCTTATCAAGAATACGATGGTCTGTAGCATCTCACCTGCGGTCTAAGAAGTATGAAGTCATTTCCTTTGAGCGGATGAGGAAAACAACTCTAATTGGAGCAAGCTCACGTTTCATTCATGGGTCGATGGTAGACTTCACGCATTTCGCTGGGCAATGCCGAAGTACTGCCTCCTGGAAGGAAACAGAGAGACACAAGGGGAAGAACGCAAAGCAGAAAACGTCTCGGACACTGCTGGGTACCTACCTAGGGCCATATCCCGACATGGAGGTTCAGGCAAACTGAGCTGGAATTTTAGGTGTATTCCGAGAGCTTCCCCGGGGATCTATCCAAACTTCCCTTGGCCTGCCTGCGCCCATGTGCCTACGGACAGAATCAGGACCCAAGAAAAGACTATATCAGTATCTACGAGCCCGATTCATGTTTAAAGGGATGCATTCTTTCGACAGCATTACAGTACCGTGTGCCTTTCCTTGGTGGCAGAAAGCCTTTGGGTCAGGGGCAGAAGAGCTTCCCGTACTGCACTACAGACAGAAAGAAGGCCGCCAAGTCAAAGCTGTTCAAGTTCACGATCAAAGTTTCCAGGTTCGTGTGCATTTGTATTACATACGTGCGGCCCGTGTCGTCACAACAGCTGCTTACCTATATGTTCATTTCAACTGACATTGGTACAGGAAACCTGGATTGGTTTGAATCGCTGCAGAAACAAGGTTTTTGGGTCTGTTGGTTTTCGTCCAACGGCTCTAAGAAAAATAATAAATTGGGGCTCTCGACCATCTCACCCATTCTCAGAAACTCAAGCTCAAACATCCGACTACTGAGCGCCGTTAGTCACTGTCTTTGTGTGCCAAATCAAAGGTGCTAGAGGTATCCCTTCTACCCAAGCTCACTTGACTTTGGTTCTCTCATCAGAGGCATAACTGCGTGCGCGCTCTTCATTCCAAGCTTCAAACCTCGGTCCCTGACGTATTTTGGTTCGATATCCATCCCTACGTGCACCTTACCTACCACGCACTTACCTTGTTGATCTCATCGTACTCACTCTGAGTATATGTAAGCATCTCTAGTGGACATTGCTTTCATGGACATTCATGCCATGCTATGCTAACATGAACCTCTCAAGCCCATATTAACTGAATCATTCAGTTTCCCCCTCCCTGCAAGGTACCCGCAAAGAAGCATTGAAGCCTTTGCCATGTATGTGTCTTTCATCCTATTGATACCTCCCTCGCGCTTCTTTCTCGAGAATAACATTGACCTTGACATTCCATTATAGCTCGACAACATGGCTCGTGACGGTCCTCATACCCCTCCCGACAACCTGTACCGCTCCGGGGTCCCCACTCCGACTTCGAGCAGAGTGGCAGCGGATGCAGCGGACAGGGACCGCCGGGCCCTGAGTCCCAGCCCTTCACCGGGGTCCAACCAGGAGGTGTTTCAGCAGACACCTTCTCCGCCCACCACCCCGTCTTCTCCTTCCCGGCAGACGGCCCCGCGAGAACCCGAGGTCCCAATGAGCACATCATTGGAGGCCGCCATGATGGGTCCGCCGCCGTCGCCACACCCCTCGGAGGCTGCTGTAGAGCAGCACAACGACGACCCACGACGGCGACGACGACAACGACGACGACGACACCCCCGAACCCGAAGGCAATGGGGAAGTTTCGGAGAGGAGGGCAGTCGAGAGGGATGAGAACCTTGAAGAAAAGGTTAGGGCGTACCGCCTGAACCAGAGGCAAATTGAGAGGGAAGCTTTGTTTTGCCACTATAAGCAATGCATCTGCCGCCTCTACCGCCGCTAAGGCCTCACCGTCTACACCAACTCAGAGGATACATCTTAGCGGTGCACAAAGAACCGGGCGGGTGGAATGCTAGCACACACGCAGGCTCTCCTGTGAAACGGGGTGTTCCGGTGGTCATTATTCGGGTTTGCTTGGGGTGTTTACAGCAGGATCGGATACCTGTAGCTTAGGGCAGCGGGCAGTGCTCTACAGTCGAGTGTGGGCTCCCGTCGGTTCCCAATTCATCACTGTTCACAATACGTAAATGGACTACCGCCGATTCTCGTGACAATGCCCTGGCCATTGGCGCACTCGTAGAAACATGACGAGTCCAGGTCCTCGTAGAATAAAATGCAGTTTGCCCTGATTGGGGGCATTGAGGAGAGATTGATAAGCGACCCGTAAGGGAGCGGCTCTGCACCCCCGGAAGAAGATCCTGGCAGATATGATGTAGGCATACGCCCTGTTTGTTCCTTCCCGGATTCTGGTACAGGGAAATAGTTCGATGTGTGTGTACTTCCGATTACCATTCATGTCTTCAAACAAGACCAAGCCGCATGAGAGTACAGGTACCTGTACATTTCTTACCCTACACGCTTTTTCTGTGGGGGAAATCCGAACGTACATGTATCCTGCGTTTCCCTTCACGTACGTGCGGTACAAACTTTGCGATCTTTCATGATATCTCACCACTTTTCTCAGTCCATGATTTTACAAAACCTTGTTTCCCAAAGTCGATTGTGTATCTCCTACAGACCAAGGATATTTTCTTCCTGACAGTGTTTGTTCCCATCAAATCGCATTGATAGCAAGTTCTTTCCTTCCCAGTTGTAGGCGTCCTGGACTCTGAAAGGTCTGGCCTTGATTGCGTAGAAAACATAAACAGGGGGAGGGCTGTGAAAGACATAGCACGTGTACCTAAGAAATTGCACCACATCTACATGACCTCCTCCGAAACTTAAGAGTAGCGAGAGCTCGACTTCTTGGTCAACAAGACTCTGGCGGTCTTGCGTCCTGCTGCTAAGGCTGCCCCCGCTCTCGTTCGCTCAGTCCGGGACCCTGACCGGCTCAGCAACTCCCAAGAAAGCTCGCAGGGCTCCCGTCCCACTCGTGTGGTGCAGTCTCGCTTGGCTCTGTTGCACTGAGTCAGAGCTGGCGGACGATGAGTCGGGCGACATTGACAGTAAGTGGTGGCAGGACAGAAACCGGCTGCTAAGTGTGGTGAGACACTTGGTGGGTTGAAGGATAGTGATGATTCCGGCAAAGGGCCGAAGACGCCTCAGGCGTACCTGTAAATAGTTAGATAGGTTGAGCCGACCGTCCGTCATCTATCTCCCGATGCCCCGGGAGATGTTACGGTACGGTGGGCAGCTGGGCTAGAGCATACTGCAGCAAGGGTAAATCTTGCCCGACCCTTGACAATGCGATCACCCTGTTCGACAAAGACTGCGAAGACTTGGACGTCGAGGTTGACCAGAAGCTCTTGCGTGCTGAGATTGATGCGGTCATCAAGGCACACATCGATGAGCGACAGGGACGAGCATCGCCGCCACTTCACTGGCTCGTATAGCTTTTCGCAAAGCAAGCTGGTGAGAAGCATGAAAAGGTACAGACTGGTCAAGTCCCATAGCACTTCCGGCGATAACTGAGCGCAATTGAGGCGCCTGGGCAAGAATTGTTCACCGGGCTTCATCGATTGATGGCTGCCTTACCTACCTGGAGGAGTGACCTGCCCGTTCTGGCCAGGCCACAAAACACATAAGCACCCACCATGCCGACCGACCGCGGACCGGCCAGCTATTCCGATTCAATCACAAATATTCCCGCTTATGCAACATCTGTCCAGAGATGCCAGGATTGGAAACACCAAGGAAGCCTGGCAGAACTCTCCCACCAACAGAAATCGCACATACGCGCCGTACGGGCGGCGGCCGTTGCGGAGGGACAGCCACACCGGCGTTCCTTTGCCAAACATGCGGTTATACTTTCAAGAGCGCTCAGAAACGTATCTGTCCTTCGCGCCAATGTGATTTACCAGATCTTGGTTCGTCTGTTTTGGGGAAGGGTGGGAAAGGGGGGAGGGGGGGGGGGGGGGGTACGGCTTGTGGTACGGAACAAGTGACGGCGAGTGTAAATAATTTTTTTTTTTTCATGCATTTATGCACGAGTACATCAGATGGATGCATCTTGAGATCATCTTTGCACATGTCAGCACGGTCGCTTCTGTCTGCCTACCTATTTGTAGTGGGTGCCCTGCCCTGCCCTGCCCTGCTCTGCCCTGCTCTGCCCTGCTGCGGTCCGTCGCTGCAACATGCCGCGTCTGAACGCTGAAGAAACATGGCAAGGAAATTTGAGCGACGCGGCGTCAAGAGGTGTCGCACAAACAGACATCCGGAAGGTGACTAGGTAAGCACTCGGATGATATTTTTCCCTTGGGCTATGAAAGACCATTGATCATCTCGTCTGACCTTGTGGGCCATGAAGCCCTGCCCTCTTTTCACGTGAATGATGAGGGAATACCAGGGCATCAGATGACTTGATGCATGTGGAGGTACCTGCCCTGTTTACGAATAATGCGTGCGAGTTGTTCTTGCTACTACGAGGAACGAACAATTCCTTTCATTTCGACCACCGTCGGCATGAGAGATAATCTTGTCGCGCCCATCCCCAGCGTCAGACGGGAGTTGGCGCTCTCTCTGGTCCCGTCGCCCGGTTTCGAAGTGGGGAAGTACATCACTGCAGGACACTCACCACTGAACTACCTTATTTTTTGTTTGAGCAGTATTTTTTTCGTCGGTTTGGTCTATCCAACAACGGCCCAAATAATCCTGGGTCCTTTTGGCCGTTTTGTTTTCTTTCTGAAAGAGCGGGTGTGGGTTGTCATCGATCGATGGTACTTGCCTCGCGGTGATATGTAGTTGTAAGGGGGTCCATCGCAACTCCCTCCTGTTGCCCGCCGCAGCGTAGCGGGCCTACCCGTTGGGGAGAAAGCGGGAGCTGGGGAAACGACAGGAAACATGAGCCCCTTCCCAACGGGTAGAGGTACCCAAGTTTCGACGAGAGGTACCTAGCCTTACCGTGAGGTTCGTACCTACAGTCTAGGGCCGCACCACCGCTCACAAGTACCGGTACTTCCCTATACTCACATTTTTGTACGGCAGATACACATATACAAATACGTCTGGTGCAGAAAGTATGCCGTGAATACTTCACCGGACCTTACCTTACGTTCCGTGTAAGACCAATAATCCTATTGGCTGAACGGGACGCGATGGATGCAAGTGGAACGGGGGTGCAGACCCCCCAGTGCCCCAGTGCCCCAGTGCCCCAGTGCTCCCCCCCTGGCGGCCTTCAGTTATGTCTTCAGTTGGAAATCAACTCTCGGGCCAGAGAAGGTACCGTATTGTCAGCCCTGACGGCTCGGCCACGACCCTGGCTGTTTCCAATCTAGATCAAAGACGGCTTCATCCCCGGCCACGCCACATGCCTTTGATGATCTGATGATGAGGGCATCGTGCTCCGAACGTTCCGAATTCCCGCTGTCTCGAGAACCCTTCCAGTGTAAAATGAAGAGTCCGTCCCCCCCCCCCCCCCCGTAGCGATGGCCCCATCTTAGGTAGCCAGCTACTCAAAGGCCAAGGTGGAAGTGACCGACAGTTATCTCAGCGCTCAAGCCTATCTTGTCGGGCGCACCTGGACGGGAATTGGGAACACTGGCCTCACTAACCAAAGGAAAGAAAGAAGGAACGTCCGAACGCTGAGATGCCAAAGTACCTCTCGTCGACGGACTGCCCGCATCTTTGTAAGCGCGTAGTACCTGAAGGATCGCTACTTCCCAGCAAGAATCGTCGTGTCCGTTGACCACTTCCTTCCCGGGCTGTCCGGCAGAGGGAAAGAATGATGAGCGAACTTGTCGGAGCGAAGGTGCCACTAGCTGAACGATCGTCATTTTCTTTGTTTCGTCTTCTGCCTGTGTTCACTTGAGAGTGTTAGCTCAATGTTTCTTGGCGAAAGGGAGGAGGTGCGCTGCTGAATGAATGGAAGCCGACAGAAAAGATGGTGCTTTCTCGCGTCTTTCCGCCTCCCCTTTGGGACGGCTAGCAGACCAACAAAGGCCTTCTACAGCACTCACAGCGACAGCTGTAAAAGCCGCTTCGGAATTTGCTTTCCCCCAATATTCTCCGGCCGTTTCGATAGCTCCTTTGCTCTGGGTACCACCCATTGACTCGACGAGAGTAGTGGTTCGTATCAGGGCTTGGTGAATTCCAGGTCTCCCTCCGTCGTTAAAGCCGTGATGGCCTTCCGTGTGCAGAGCTGAAGGGTAGCTCTTTCCGAGGAGAATTTTTTGCCTGGCTTGCTGGCCGAACCTGCCAACTTCCTGCCAAGTTTACTTACCTGAAAGAGAAGGAAAGCAGTACGAACAGATCAGTGTCTGTGCGCTTGAATGACGGGGGCGGTAGGCTTCAGTTCAGCAGGAAAGCGTTGTTCGCCAATTCGTTGGGACATGAAAGGGTCGGGGATGTTACAGGAAACGGACCGACGTAGGGTCGAAATTTGCGTATTTACCGTACGCTTACACGCTGAGAGGCATATTTTTTATGGAGTTTGGGGAAATTGGGGAGAATTGGGGAAGAACTGGGGCCATCGGCTATTCAGCGTCGTCAGCTCGTAACATCTCCTAGCCCTCTCCTTAGTAGGCGTCGCGGTCGCTTCAATACTTGATGACCTGGGAGTAGTGCTGTTAGGTTGCCTTCTACAGCGCTCATGATGACCACTATAGAGGAAACTCCAGGCCTTCGTCTCCCTCTTCCCTTTTTGCTGGGAGTCTCTCCCGTCCCAACTTGACGCATGAAGCTGCCCACAAGGCGGAGCTTTTGTGGACCACCGGGCTCTTCGTTTCATGATCAGGGACGTAGAAGTGAGGCCCTTGGTTGAAGCGTCATCTTGTCTTGGAAGTTTCTCTCAGGGTTGCGGTACCTGAGGCTGCTGCCCTCGTCAGCTCCGGTAGGAGGGGCGGCACAGATCCCCTCTCTCGATGGCGTCGCAACAACCATCTGTCAACGGCCCAGGCGCCACCCACATACTGCTTCAGATTTCAGGAGCAGTGCTGCTGGAACCAGATGGCGCGATAATGCAGACTGATCTTGTCTTGTCAGATGCGGATGTGGTTGGTGCAAGGTAAACCAAGCGGCCCTTCCTCGTATGCCGTCGTTGCCCGCAGCTGTCTGGTAAGCAAGATGGCCATCCACATCGCCTCACTGGCGTGGACGGAGGACACAGTGTCATGTCCGTCTGCCTCGGCATGCGCCTACTCCCTGATGTGAGTTTTGGCCACGTTCTCTTCTGGCAAGTTCTTGCCTGGAGTGCGCGTCAACATGGTTTTCTCACGTTGGGGTTGTGGATGACACCACCTTCCCACTTACCTTGGTTTGCAGATGTAATACTGTCCAGTCGCTAGCCTGCGGACTAGCCTACATCGTCTCCCCAAGATCTTTCAAGTTTTCCCTTGGTTTCTGGATCTGATACACCTCATCGTCGTGAGTTTCGGAGGGGCTGTCTCGGGTCTAATGATCCGATTTTCCTCGAATTATCCAAAGCGTGGCAGCCGTGAGGTCGTAGATATGACTAATCTGCTAAGTTCAAGATGCCGGACCTTGCAGGATCTTTAACTTGCTGGCCTTGTTGCTGGTGGCGTTTTCATGTATCCAGAGGTACTTTCCCGAAGGGAGGGTAGAAAATTATAAGATTCTGACATCAAGAGGAACATGAGCTCTACAAGTAAGTAGAGATATGTAAAACAGAGAAGCCAAAGAAAGAAGCAAAGAGGAAAATTCCTCTTCATTCCAGGTGCGACTATCCTTCCACTTTATAGCTCATGAACTCTATGCATAGAACTCGCCGACCTGTTCAGGATAACCCTGCATTTCTTAATCGCTATCGATTCCGTCATTCGCCTCTGGATGGAAAACGTGTCGTTTCGGAATCAAGTCAAATCTGACGGCAACTTTGCAAGTGAGCCAACATTATATACAAAGTGGACCTGATTTGGCTTGTGTAAATCCTTGATCACTCCGCTGCCACAGGCTATCTTCGCCTGCCTGCTTGTCAGGAGTTATAAGGAGCCCAAAGACATGATGTGTAATGAACAGCTTCATGTTGGTTCCTTGATCCTTTGTTCATTTGGCAGCTCAGTCTTGAAGAGCTCTTATCGAATACGTGCAAGGAGGCAATGCTGGGACTTATTTATGCCTCGCCTGTCAACTCTCAGACTACATGTAGGAGCAGCAAAAGGTTCAAGGACATAAACACACTTCAGCCTGACATCAAACCCCAGAGCGTCATGAAAATGACAAGCGGGAAATTCCACGTGCTATGCACTTGTACACTACACGATCGAAAAAATGCATGCTTTCCACTTCCTTCTGGGAAAAAGTTGCTCTATTGCGTCAACTCCCACAGCAGCAGAGCATGCGGAATCTGCGATCGAAAGCAAAATGAAACGAACAGAGAGGAAACTTAACCCAAATCAACCTGACCTGCAGCGACGACTAACTGTTCCAGGATGTATATAAAAGGCCTTCGAGTCCCCTTAATCCAGCTCAGATTTTCTTCCTTTGTCTTCACGCTTCATGGAACACTACATCCTGTGAATCTTACTTCGGACAACACTACACCAGACCAACCTTGGGATTTTGCAGATCTCCCTTCCTTCCCAAACTCGAGGTATCTTTTTCCTTTTTCTAGTTCTGTAAAGGACCCTGCGTCGTCAAGCTGCCCGTCACAGAAAATCAACCCGGTGACATTTTGATCGGAATTCTCCCTCTGTCCACCCTGACCAAAGGTAGAAAGAAGTAAGTAAGTTCCCATCCTCCCATTCTTCTTTGGCTGGCCTTAACACTTCTCATTCTTTTCAGATAACGACCTGGCTTCGAACCAGCCTGCCTGTATAAACTACCTACATACAAATCTAGGTACCTTGGAGCTTCGTCAGTCCCTCCTTCCCTCCGGGCTTTTTGAAGGCAATTCAGGCTTCCTTCTCTCCAATTACCGTACGAGAGACCACAACATACGCTGGTCTTCTACCCTTTGACTTCTCGAGCGGACAAAATCTCTCACATCATTACCTAGGTACTGTCGCTTTTACTGTCGCTTTACTTGACCCCTTCCTTCGACACAGTGTGAGAGACCTTCCACTCAGGTTGGTCTTCAGTCGTTCAACTCTCTTGCACCTGGCACAAGCTGGTGCTAAATTACCCCGGCATCTATCTACCTATCTCAGCTGGTCGGTGCAGGTCGCTTTCACCCTCATCGATCCCCATCAGATTCGGTAGGTCACTCTCCGGCCGTCTCCTTCACCCTTCTCAGGGTTGAAAATCACTTTTCCACCTCTTTGCTCCAAAGTTTTCACCGACATCGTCAGGACCTCCACGCCATCAACGCATCAACATTCGCTGACCTCTTGACCCGCCAACAGTTCCGCTTAGTCAAGGACAACAAGATGGACAGCCATCTCCACGAGCAGAGCGAGGAGGACATGGAAGAGTACCGCGTCATCCTATACGCCGGTCCTAGCAACGACCAATTTGGCCTGACTGCAGATGACGACCTCGAAGAGGATTTCAGAGGCGACCTCTCCGTTGAAGACGTTGAGGAGAGTGTGAGGCGGAGTCTTGAGCGTCGCTCGGCGCGAGAGGAGGAGGAAACAAGGGAGGAAGAGATGGAGAGGGCGACAGAGGAGACAGAGAGAGGCGGAGCTGCTCCCGCCCTCCACATAGAGTTTGAGCCCACTGACGTGAGCGTGTATGTGGGAGAACTCCTCCTTCGCTCTTTTCTCGCCGCAACCTTGGCCTGCCTCTCCGCCCTCCTCTCTACCCTACGCTTCTTTATTATCCTCCTCGTCGTCCTAACTCAATTTTTCGTTGGACCTTTCGTATACTACTTCATCCTTGCTCTCCGCTTCCTTTTCCTCTCTTCTGCTCAGCCACTAGAGACACCCGAACCACTCCCCATCCCGTTCGGCGCGGGCGAGGCCGATGACTTTCATGTGGATGGACCGGAGATGTTCTTTGAGCCCGCTCTCTTTGTGGAGCTGGAGCCTGTGCTTGCCCCTACCGAGGCGGCATCACTCGGGCCCGATATCCTTGTCGAGGAAGAGGTCAACATGGAGTGGATTCCATATCCCACTCCCCCTCCAACTTCTTCGGAGGCTTTTACCGCCACTTCAAGTTCTTCCTCGTCTGCCAGCACTACTCCGGGCTTGTCCACTTCTTCCTCCTCCACGCCCTTGACGTCGTTGATGTCTGAAGAATAGTACAGTCAGTGTTGAAAAGTGGTCCGCATACTTCAACCTACCTGGAAACAGGTACCTACCTTTTCACTCTTCATCCCCTGCTCCCAGCCAGAAACATCTTACCGTGGAAGAGGGGTTTGATCACTTTCTAGAGACCTAGGGGCGGGAGAGACAAGGCCAAGGACAGGATGAAAACTGATAGCGAGAAGATTTTGTTTACATTCTAACGCTGAACCTTGAGGTTTGGACGTTGGGCGATTCTATCTTATCTTTTATATTTTCTCTCATTTATTCGACATAATTGAGACGAAAAGCATAGCGGAACATGAGGCATAACAGGTACAATTCGAACGGGATGGTTGAAAAGCAAAACAAAAAGAACACCAACTAAGAGGAACGACGTGTCCATCAAGGACGAAGATGACCTGGCTTCATGCAGCAACAATAGCCCCAGTCTGGAGGTGAAATTCCCGGCCAATATCACACCGTCCAAACTTCGTCTCCCGAACAAGCGGCCACCCCTTTCCGAGACCCCCTTGGAGACACGTACCAGCAAGCCTGGCGACAACGTACCAGTAGCATCTCAAATTACCCAACGCCCCAATGAAGCGCATTCGGTGACTTCTCCCATGGGAGGAGAGAAGAACATCTGCCAACGATACAGCGGCACTCTTGCAGTCCGGTGGCCTGAACGGGAAGCGCAGCTATATCATTGGCAGATGTTCTTCTCTCCTCCTAAGGCCAAAGGCACTCGTTGCCGTCCTAACCAAACTAGACAGCCTCGTGCTGTGATTTTTACACACAATCGGGCACTCCGTTTTCAGCAGGCCAGGACACGGGATGTGGAAAAGTCGAGGACCATCTCCTCACTGCCTCGTTCAAATCGTACTTCCACCGCCATCCACACAAATTACAGAATTGTCCCATCACCAACTGCGACTACATCTACGTCGTCCCTGAGCCCAGCGACCATCCCAAACCAACAACAGAAAACATCACCTGTCCCCATTGTCTCATCGACATTTGTCTACGCTGCCACGAAGGCCACGCAGCCAGAGGCATGACCTGCCTCGAGTTCCAAGACGACCTAGCGCATGAAGCACACCAGAGCAAAGCATTCAGGACTGTCCCAAATGCTACCTACCCATTCAAGGTCTGGTACCCAAGGTAGTTTCTTCTTGAATTCGGTAAAGTGGAGGTCGACTTTCCAGTCGGGTATGTTAAAGAGAAGAACCCGTCTTGTCTGCGACGGATTCCGCTGCAACTATCTTATTCCTGCCCTATGCTGTATCGGGCTGTGACGGGCCGAATCCGGCTCATCACAGCCCAGTGTGCATAGGCCCAGGGGAGCGACCGGGCGGTGTTGATGGCTGACATGTCGTCCATCTTGGTGATTGAAGCCCTTGCGGGCCGCCATGAGGATGTTGTTGCTCGTGACTTGTGCAACGTTGTCGACGGACTTCAATGTTGTACCCAACTTCCGACAAGATGCCCTGGCGGTCCTCTTCGGACAGGACCATATATGCCGCCCGAGGGAGCTTTGGGCTGAATGCCGTCCCGGCCACATAGCGATATGGCAGTTCTTGTTGTTACGACGGCTACATATAACGAACTGGTCGTATTAGACATGGACCATGGCCCGGACCCATTGCAGTCGTCAGCAGAGTGACTGCCCCACCATCAAACCCAGACCCTACCGCAAGCACCACGGTCTGGCTGCACCTCCTTTAACTTGTTTGGGGGGCGCGGACCGGACCTGGCCTGTTGGGGGAGTAGGTTCATCGGCCGGTGGCCCCGGTGAACCCAAAGCCGGTTGTCGACAGCTGCTGTTCAGAAGCGCGGTGATTGGGGACAGTGGCCTGGCGAGGACACATGGGGGGACACTGCGACCTTTGCGACAAAGGGTAAGGTCTGTATCTAAACCAACCGATGGAGAACTGTGGGCGAAGAGCATGAGGTAGCATGTGCGATACAAAAGCGAAAAGCGTTCTTCTTCTTTTCTGTTCTTCTTCTTCTCCTATGGTCTTTTTCTTCTTTTCTGGTCTTCCATTCTCCTTTTTTTGTCCCTTTCTTTTCTTTATCTTTCGCATTTTTCTCCTTGAGTGTCCAGTATGGAAGAAACTGGAAGTCAAAAGCACAAGTATAGTGTGAGCAAGCGACTAACGAGCAAGCGAAAGGGAAAAGACATTTGTACTTACAGGACGGATACCCGGTGCCACTTACCTGTACGACACTAGATTATTGGGTTAACTGGTTGGAACGAGCAGAGGAAAGTAAGAAGATGGACGGATGGAGGACTGGAATTGGATGTATCTGCGGATTATTAGCATGTTTAGCTTCATGTTTGGTACATTGGCACTTGTGCAATGTACTACAGTAATGTGTTTGACGAGGTGTTGTTCACTTTTTTTCGGCACCATCGGACCAGTCCGGGAAGTCGGAGATGGGATGTCACAATCACACACCTGGCTGCGAATATTTACATTGTCGAGACGACGGTGAGGTAGTCCCAGTTAAGGGCATCACTAGATATATTATTAGACATGGATGGTCATACTTCACTTCCGAGAGAGAGAGAGAAAGAAGGGGGGATCAAGATAACTCAGTGACTCTATGACTTCATCAAGCAGAGAGCCGCTTTTACCGGGAATTGTGTAGAGTCGGGTGTTGACTATCAAGCTGGTGGATGATGTAGAGCGAGAGGTAGCTCAAGACTCCATCATCAAGTGTACCGTATCAACAATAACACGGGTACAGCTAAAATATAATTCATACCTACCTCTAATGACACCCCGGCTCCAGCTCCAAACCTCACTCAGACTCCAACTCCTGGTTCCCCCCACCGACGGACATGGCTATCCACCAACCTGAACTCAATCAACATCATCATCCCCACCGGTAGCCGCGCCAACACCTCCACCTCTCTTTGGACCCTCACCCTCACCCAAGGCAACACCCTCCAACTTGTTCTTGGCCTCTTCAACTGCCTTGTCCGCGTCAAACTTGTCGCCTCCATTCACGGCCCCTTTCTCTGCATAATTCACCTGCTCATCTTTCCCACCACCACTAGCCCTAGCAGTTGCTTTCAACGCCTCAGGCTTGAGCGTGCCGTCTTCGTTGATCATGTCGTTCGGGTAGAGGGTGAAGAGGATGACGAGGTAGGGTTTTTTGGTGAGGCGGTTACGGAGGACGTATCTTTTATTGTTAGTGTAAGCATGCATACCTAGAGGCAAACAGTATCTTTCTGACAGAAGAACAAAAGCATGAAAAAAAAAAGAGAGAGAGAGAGAATAAAAATAAGGAAATGGAAATGGAAGAAAACAAAAGAAAAATGAAGTGGAAAAAGAAAAGAGAAAAGAGGGAAAAGGGAAAAGGGGAAAAGGGAAAAAAAAAGGAAGAAGGAAGGAGAAAGGGAGGAGGAAGGGGGAAAAATTGAGAAGAAAAAAAAAAAAAAAAAAAAAAAAAACATACCTCAACCCAGTCTCCCCATCCCAATACCTCAACACATTAACCCCAAAACCCGGTAACTTGAGCTCGCACTTGCCGAAATCGATATACGGATTATAGAAATCCACCGCGTACGTGCGTCCATACTCCCACACCCACTTCTTTTTGGCGTCCTCCTTCAACGCCCACTTTTGGCGTTTCTTGGGATCGTTCCCGACTCCCGAGCCTTGAAGCACCTCTTCTCTCCACTGTTTACCCGATTTCCTCCCATTTCCTTTTTTCTGCTTCTCCTTCTTCTTCTCGTGGCCGTGTCCATGTCCATGTCCATGTTCATGTCCATGTTCATGTCCATGTCCTCCTGCATCCCCAGCTCCCGAGGCCTTGTCATTCTCGTCCCCGTCAACATCAGAATCGAGATCAGAATCGGCGGCATCGAGATCAGATTCCAAATCGGACGCCCCCTCCTCCACCCACAACCCCCCCTTACTCTCATCTTCCTCCCCCCTGCCCACCCTAACAGCATTAAAACTCGACAGCGCCGGCCCATACAAATACGGCTGGTCCGCATACGCATCCCCTTCTAGTCCTGGGTCGATCCACCACTTGAGGATGTTCATTGCCGTGTTGACGCCCGGTGGGAGGTAGTTACGGATCGGATGGTCAAAGTCGTTGCCGAATTGGAGGTCTGTTGCTGGGATTCCTTTTTCTTTTTCGTTCCCATCCCCCTTAGCAGGTTCAGTCGACGTCCCCGGCCGCCGCGGCCTAAATCTCAACCCGATACTATACTGATCCCTATTATACCTATGCGGTTCCCGGTCGAAATAGGGGGAAGTAGAAGGGGAATTCCTAGGTAAGCCGCGGTGAAAGTTTTGGATGCGCACGGTGAGGTCGATGTCCATCCCTGCTTCCGTGGTTGAAGAAGAAGGAGAAGATATGTGGGTTAGGTGAGGGGAGTTGATGGGAATTTCGACATGGGTGGAGAGGTCGTAGGTTGGACCGGCTGTCACGCGGAGGGTGTAGTCTTGTGGGGTTCGGGGGGGTGGCATGGTTGCGATTTGGTCGGGTGTTGTTGTTGGGTATCAATGTTCGCGGTGTTGTTTTGTCGTTGTTATTGTTGTTGATATGGTGGGGGTGTTGTAGTTGTAGTTGCTCTTCTGGTTTATGAGTCTGACTGATGACTGATTGACTGACTAACCGGCAGGTAGATACAAAGACCAGGACTGAATATCCGAGTGTAGTAGTGTAAGATGAACAAAATCAATAGCTGGATGAAACGAAAAGAAGAGAGAAAATATCGGAGGTGGAAAGACTACCATGTAAAGTGGAGTGAACTTGTTTAGCTGAAATTTATCAGTTTCAGATAGTATGTAACGAAGGAGGTACCGTCAAAGACAAAGACAAACAAACACATGAAAAACAATCAACGACGTCGTCATTGCTGCCAAGAAATCCAAGTCGTCCCACAGGCATCTGGACCTGGACTGGTCGATGACGTCGCGTGCCCCGGGGGAGATCCGCTGGTAGGGCTCTTGCATGTGATTCAGAGACGGATGCTAGAATCTTAACAGAGAGAGTGTAGAATAGTTACAAGACAAGTTAGTGAAGTAACTTATTGATTCATGTTTGGATAACCGAGTTTCCAGACAATGGTCACAAATCACACTTCGCGATATGTATCAGTCCTCAAGTAATATATACATTCCGAAGTAGTGTATTCGCTGATTTCTAGTATCGCTGATAATGGGCCTTGGTGCAAGATACTCCCTACTGTACATGCTTAACTTGGAATGTAAACACCACCCGGGGCTTCTTCTATTAAACCATCACCATTCATCTCATTTTCCATCGCTTTCTTTCACCACCATGGCACCAGCCAGACACAAAACACCCCGACATGACTTCAGTGCCCGTCTATTCATTCTCTTCACCCTTCATTTCACCCCCATCTATTTACTACTTCTTTGGCTTCCGCTTAGACCTCTATTCTTCATCATCCGCCTCCGCATCAGTAAAGTACTCAAACTCCGCCGGCGTCGGCGCCTCCTCATCACCCTCGGCATCTTCATCAACAGCATTCAACACCGCAGCAGCAGCAGCCGCACCAGCACCGCTACCAGCCGTAGCACCTGCTCCAGTTCCACTTCCCGCCGCAGCACCCCCAGAACCGCGAGCTCTGCTCTCCCCGAGTCCTGCAGAAGCATCCTGCTCCATACGCTGGCCAAGCTGCAGCAGCTCGCTGAGTTCCCGCATGCTGGACCGGTTGAAAGCGCCCGTTCCTTGGAGCTGGCTAAGGAGGGATTGCGCCGCCCCGCCAGAGAGACGGGGGGTTCCGTCGCTGGCACCCGAAGCACCGGCGCCGGCAACAGGGGCGCGCTCCGTGGTTACCTTGTTGAGCTTTTCCTCTACAAGGGACTTGGCCTCCGAAGGTTGAGTGTCGAAGAGGAGGAGGGGACCACCGGTAGGCTAGAAGCAAAATTAGTTAGTACAGAGGATATGAGTTAGGTAGATTAAGTTCAGGGCAACTCACCTTCTTGACTGGCTTGTAACGCCCAGCCGGGAAGCTAATGTACTTGAGCTGGCCAGGCAGGATACGAGACATGTTTTCAATCTCGTAGCCAACCTTCTCCTTCTCCGCCTTCTTCTTGGCGTCGGTGGCGCCAGTTGCCTCCTTCTCGCCAGACTCACCCTCCTTCTTCTCCTTGGACTCTTCAGGCTTAGCGGCGGCCTTCTTATCGTCGTCGATATCCATCTTGTCCTCGGCAGCAGGTTGGGAAGCTGTCTTGGAAACAGCCGGCGTGTCAATATCCATGCTCTCACGACGCTGCGCCTTCTCCTTCTTTTGGGCGCGGCGCTTGGCCTGCGCCGTGGTAGACAGAACCGCAGTCGTGACCAAGGCGGGTCCCTCCTCCACCTTGACCTCCTGCTCCGGTGGGTAGTCGAACAAGCTGGGACGGGTAGCGCAGTGGAACTTGACGTTGGGGATGGCCAGATCACTGTCAAGACCAATGATGGACGTGGGCACAAAGCTAAGAGACAAAAAGTGGGTAAAGGGGAACCAGTACCAGTACTGGGTAAACACAGCCATACCCACGATGCCCGCCATGTTGAGGTTGCCCGTCTGGGTTTGAAGACCAATGGTGCAGTTGCGGCCACCGGCATCAATGATACCAAGGGCAAGCGCGGCACCAAACTTGGTCATCTGCTCCTCGTGACGGTCACTAACCACCTTCTTGAGCGTCTTCCGGATGGCCGCAACCTTGGGGTTCATAACCTCGTTCTGCTGAACCAAGATCATGGACAGAGCAATGAGCGCACCCTGGCGGACAAAGTCGGTAGGGTCCTTCATCATGGGCTCGAGCAGGTCAATCGCTTCGTCCAAACCGGTTCCGGCGCACGCGATACCGAGGGCCATGGCCGAACCGTAGCGCACATGCGGGTTGTAAGACTCGGCGAGCAACTCGACCATGCGAGGTACGCTGCCGGGCTTGCGGAAGAGAATAAAGCCCAAGCTCATGACGGCAACACGGCGGACGTCGTCGTTCACGTCGCTGACGGCAAGGTGAAGCAGCTTGCGGATGGCCTTGTTGCTGCCAGTACCGCAGTAGGCCATGGCGAGCGTGAGAACACCACCATAGCGGAGGATGGGGTCGGGGTTCGCAAGGAGAAGCTGGATCGTCCTGTCGGCACCCTCCTGCTGTCCAAACATGATGAGAGCAATGCCCAAGGCGATACCCCGGACAATCTTCTCGTGCTGGGTCTCATGAGCGTACGTGAACATGGCATCGATAGTGGCGGCATGTCCAGTTCCCAACATGATCAAGCCCATAGCCGCACCAACGGCCTCACCGTTGAGGGCCGAGTCCGAGTAGAGAGCCTCCTTGAGATCCTCAATGATCTTTTGGTCGCCAGTGCCCATGCCGGCAATACCCAGACCCAAAGCGCCACCGTGCTGAATAACCTCCTGATCGGCGTCCTTGAACTGTTGGTGGAGGTAGTCCAGAGCATCAGCGCCGTGGTTGGCGTGAATCAGACCGTAAGCGTAAAGGGCGCCGGCCTGACTATAGACGGAACCCGTGCTGACGCCAGAGGGGCGGGGAAGGTAGGGCTCGAGGAGCTTGCGAGACTGGGTGACGTTGCCACGGTGCAGGACACCGAGCGCGGCAGTGGCCGTGAACTTGGACCAGTTGACGGCCCTTCCTAGCCACTCGAGGTTGTCTCTGAAGAATCTGTCGTTTGTCGTGCCAGCGTTCATAAAGGCATTGCAGAAGGTGACGGCGCTGTGGAAGATGGAGTTGCGACCGTCCAAGCTGTCGCGCACCTTGTTGAGGATGCTCATGTCGGCGTGGTTGTTGCGGTAGAGGAATTCGAGATTGAGCTTGATGACCTTGCTACCGTCGAGAATGGTGCGGATGTTCTTGTAGACCTTGGCCACCTCCTCGGGCAGTTCCTCCTCAGAGCTCTCCTGGCCTTCCAAAAGAGGCTCACGCTCCGCAGCCGCGTCGTTGCTTCCCTCGGCAGGCTTGGGCTTGGCTGGCTCGCCAGAAGGCAGAGCCTTGATGACCTTGCCCAAAAACTCTTGAGTGCTGTTGTCGTATAGATCAAAGGCGATTTGGTAGGCAATGGCGATGGAGTCCTGTTCGCCCTTGGCAACCAGCTGGCGGAGCATCCGGGACGCCTCCTCGTCCGAATCTAGATAGACCACGCACTTAGCGATGGCAAAGTAATCCGGGTTAGGAATGTCGTTTAGGAGATCGAGGATCAGGCGCAGAATCTCGGTGCGAAAGCCGCGTTCCTGGACAATGTCCATGCAGATGCTCAGGGCATAGTCCATCAGCTCCTCCGCCGGCCCCTGGCTGCCTTCCTGTACCTTGGTCTTGCCGGACTTGACATCTTGGTTGGCGCGCTTGATGACACGACGCAGAACATCCAGGTTCTTGGCCTCGACAGCAATGCCCACCACCTGTCTGTATTTGCCCTCCTTCAGGCAGCTCTCAAACAGGCGCTCAATGACGTTCTGGAGCGCAACCTGGGTGGCGGTGTCATGAACCTGGGCTATCGAGGCGGAGCGAGTCTCCTTGGTGGGCTGGAAGGTGGGATCCAGGATGGTGTTGTCGTCAGACGATGCGCGCGCAAGCAGGGACTTGGAGGGGACCGAAGACTGCGAGAAGGGCGTGGTGGGGGAGATCAGCGCCGAGCTATCGATGGCACGGCTGCCGAGATCGGTCTCGAGGGCGGGCAGGTCCTTCTTGGAAGGCGTGTGGTGGAGAGACGAGACGGCGATGTACTGGTCGATGCACTTGGAGATGATGGTCTCCTCGAACTCGCTGGGGGCGTCGAGCTTGAAGAGGGGACCGGCAGCCAGGGCAAAGGTCATGCTCTCGTTGTAGGCTTGGAGGTGGAAGTAGACCTTGGCGAGCACAAGGGCAGCGAGTTGGCGCTCGGGGAAGGTCTCGTCTTCGTAGAGGGCCTCACTGGAGAGGGAGACAGACAGACAGATTAGCTCGCGTGCCCAGCTGAGCTTACTAACCAACTGACTAGCTTGGTGTCGGGTATCAGGGAGCTACTCACATCTGGGTCAAGGCGCCAGCGACCTCGGTCCAAACGGTGTCGATATCATCGTTGAGGGTCTTGAGGGCGAAGACCTTGAGCTCGGGCTCCTCATCGGCGAGGAAGGCCAACACGCCGGTCGCGGTGACGAGGCCGGGCATCTTGGTGATGTTGATAGAAAAAGAAGTGGGATGGCGGCGAGCTTCGCGGTGGCGGTTTCTGGTTGTTGTTTAGATTTGGGTGTTTATTAATGTCGGGGTATTGTAGAAAACAGCCAGCGTCCTCGTGCGCCGCGTGGTGGTTGTGTAATGGGATGGGATATGGACGAGGCGATTTGGGTTGTTTGTTTGCTGAGGAGAGCGAGTGGAATCGAGATACGTTCCGTTGTTTTGTTGCCGTCAAGGTCGAGATACTAGTAGGTGCAGTGATGGCTTCAGTGGACAGCAGTGGGCAGCGATGGAGCTGGCGGGCGCTGGAATGAGAGGTTCTGGTTGGTTGGTTGGCTGGTAGGAGCCTGCCGACGGCATGTTCGCAGTGACGAACTGACGGCCGAGGGGAGCATCCACGTCAGGGAGCTCCTGCCTTGAGTGGGTCCATTGCTAGGCTGGATGTAACCAAGTACCTTGACTGTTGACCAATGAAAGAATGAACGGAAGGCGAGATTTTCCATTCGTTTGGACCCAACAGCTTCCACCTCAAGAGCGCACGAGCCATGACAGGCAGCTGAGCTCAACGAGACAGGCTCCAGTCACAGGCTGAAAGCATCCAACTGAACTGAAGCTTCATTGCTTCTCTCCGTCCAGTCCCAACTCAAAGACTCTCCAAAGTCTCAAGACAGTTCCAGTCAAGACTAGTGGAAGATAACTTGACCTCAACATAACACCAACAAGATAGAGATCTCCAATGGTAAGTATGTAGCGCTCCCAGCACAGTTGTTGAAGGAAACTGTACATAGCAATCTACTTGATTCATTTCCAGGAATACACACTGTCATCTATGTCATTGACTTCAAGTTGGATGGACTCAAGGTACAAAGGTACATACATATTCTACACTACTTGAACATGTGCCAGTGGAACAAGTCTGAATATCTCTGCCTGTTCCTGGACTACTCACCCTGGCTTCAACCTGTTTTCGGGCATCATCATGGACAGCCAAGTCTTTTCTGTGCTCTTTCTCCCTTTGTGATCCATATCAATTTCAACCTGATGGTCTTGAACCAACACGACAGGAGTGGATATATAGCCTCCACTAACACTTTTCCACCTTTTCTGTGTGACATAGAGATAGCAACGAAATCAGTGCTACACTACCTCTACACTACACTACTTATATCCTGACATGGTACTAGCGTTTGTTGCGCGGGACAATGTCATGATGATACTCTAGCCTCTATTTTTTTTCCCCTTCCTTTTTGTCCTTTTTTTTCCTTCTCCTGGTGCAACACTGCACGGTCATAAGCTTCAGTTGCCCGTGAACGGCCGTCTGCCCTCTCGTCATTTCTCACCACCAGTCGAGAGTTACCTATCATAATATTCAGCATCCCCACACATTCGCGACATGGGATAGGGAGCTATACTGTAGCTACCTTGTTGTTTATTCGACAATACACTCAATATCTCGTCTCTGTCACTCAGCTCCGACAACACCAGCATCAGCTCCCGCGACCATCATATTTCTCCAGACTGCGCCTTGGAATTATTCGACAAAGAAGGAACTCTCTTCATACAGTACTGCGAAATCGATTCCTTGTCCAAATTCCCACGACACCCAAGTTCCTTGTGCCGGCGACGGTCCACCATTCGCATCCCCAGACACGCAGTCACTACCTTACTGTCTCTCCTTGTTGCGACCCATCCAGACAGACAACCCATCGAACCCCAATTCCCAGCCTGTCTGCAATCAGTTGTCCCCTCCAAGTCTGCCCGACGACATTCGAGTACTGCGCCATGACGATATGATGTATCCCAATCGCGACACCAATCCATGACCACGTCCTTCTTCAATCGAGCGCACCGATCGCAATTCCAGCCCCATGCGCGACACTGCCGCTGCCGCTTCCCCATCCGTCCCAAGTCGCCGCGATTCACACAAAGGACACATTGCGAGACATAGACACTCAGCCAACATAGCTACCTAATCCTGAGCCTTTGTCCATGGTCCGCGGTAGAGACAAAGATTCAACAGCCGAAGCAACGTGTGAGAAAGAAAGCGCAGCGCCGGCCAAACAAGAAACCGATCAGGGACGGAATCACAGTAATAGTAACTACGACTAATAATCGCCAACATGGACTTGAGAAACGTCCTCAACGACAGCAGCAGCGGCCCTGTCGCTCCTCGCGCCGCCGTGTCAACGCCTGACCGACCACCGCCGCACCAGCAGCAGCAGCAGCAGCAGCCACCACACCCGCAGTACTCCCAACATCCTCCTCCTCCTCCCCAACATCCTCAACTACTGCTCCAGCGACAACAGTCGTATCATCTTCAGCAGCAGCAGCAGCAACAACAACAACAGCAACAGCAACACCACCCCGCATATCCCCAGCTGCCCACTACACCCGGTCAGGCACCACCACACCCACAACAGCACCAGCAGTCGTATATAGACTACAACCACCAGACACGGCCCTCGCCCGTTCGCCACATATCGCAAGACCCAAGCTACGGAACCCAGCGCATGCCCCCGGGCGCGTTCGCGTCTACTTCTCCGTTTTCCGGACCCCCTGTCCCCGGCCCGAACCCCTACGCGAACCGACCTCCGCCGCCGCCTCCGCTACAGCAAGTCTCGGCCCACGATCCCCGCTCGCCCAGCCTTGCATCCGGACCCGGCCCTTCGCCGTACCGTCACACGCCCACTTCGTCGATTAGCGCTCAGAGCGGCGGTTATCCCTTTCCTCCGTCGGCGCAGCACACGCCCACCAGCCCTGTGCAACGACCCTATAATCAATATCCTCCCAGCAGTACAGGAGCCGCATACCCCTCCAGGGAAGGCTATCCTCCAACACCGGGCGGCTCCGTGGGTGTCGCAGGCCCACAACAACAACCACCACCACCACCTCCACCACCAGGACCAGGACCAGGACCAGGACCAGGAGGCGCTGGACGTGCCCCTTATTTGCAGGGCCCGCCAGTTAGAGTGCCCCAAACACCCCCGATTAGCACAGCACACAACCCGCATTTCCAGCGATCGCACTCGACGCATTCGTCATCGACGCCAACACCAACGTCGGCGCACTCGCAGGGCCCGCCAGGACATTCGCATTCGCATTCGCACCCCCAAGTGTATGGAGCTCCATTTGGTCGGGCAAGTCCTGTAACGGGGCCGCAGACAGGAGGAGGACCTCAGGGTGGCCAATTCCTCGTGGATCCCCAGCAGCGGCAGTCATCCCAACCAGGGACTCCAGTTGCGGGTCCAGGTGGTGGTCCAGGGCCGCTAACAGCTTCCACGGGCCCTGGAACAACAATTGGAACGGCACGTCCACTACCGCCCCAGGCAACTGTTAGCCAGGCCCAGGCCCAGGCCCAGGCCCAAAACTTCAACCACTACCACAGCCAGCCGCCAAGCCCTTACCGGCAACAACGACTGCCTCCTTCAGGTTCCTCCTCTGCGACAACGCATCATCACCTCAACCTCAACTCTCCCCGGTCCTCTACTCAACAGCAGCAGCACCACCACCACCACCACCACCAACAAATTTCCTCTCCCCATTCTCACCACCCTGCCCCTCCACAACCGCCACCACCACCTCCACCACCTCCACCACCGCCGCCGCAGTCTCTGCCCAGACAACCCAGCGCACAAAGCATTTACGACGCCCGCGAACGTGAACGAGAAGTAATACGCGAAAGAAGCATCAGCATCAGTCCCAAAACCCGGGTCCCAAGTCTGCCAAGCAGTGCAGGTCGTCCTGCCACGGCTACCTCGGTCGTCTCGATTCCCGAGTCGGAACCTCCCCGCCTCAACAATCATACCGCCGCCACTCCAATGGCACGATACAGGGACGAGGTTCGCGACGGTGACCTTGGCCACAATGCCGCCGCCGCCGTCAAGAGAAAACTCGACGACCGAGAATTGAGGCCAGACGAACTCGAGAGGCGAGACGTTCGTCCCCCACCATTCGACAACAGGGCCCGTCCGAGCCACACTCCCAACAAATCAGTCAAGAGGCGAGCATACGATGGCCCGCCTCCCTGGGCACAGCAGGCCACCCGCGGCACCACACTGAAGGAGCCCAACTTTGTCCTCTACAAGCCCGTCCACGCTCCAGGCCAAGGCCCCGTACAAATTAATGGCCATAGCCGTCATGCCTCGCCCGAAGAAAAGCGACCCGTGCCTCGAGCACATGAACCCACTCCCCGCGCGCACGAGATTCGACACAACGAACGATCCGCGACCCCGGGCACACAGGGTCCTCCTCCCGAAGCCCAGGCTAAGTGGGGCCCTCTTGGCCCATGGGAGCCCACTCTCACGGGTGACGTACCCCAGGACACCATGGCCAAGGTCATGGCCGACTTTTTCTTTCACTATATCGTATTGAACGAAAATATGGGCGAGATCCAAAGCCGAGGCATCCAGTTCGAGATCGAGGCCAAATTTGGAGAATTGATCGACCGTAATACCAACCAAAGGATCGACCTTGGAGTGCTGTCCCCTGCGATACTCAAAGAAGACGATTATGTCTATCCTTTCCGGAGCATCATGACCGAGGTAAGCCATGTCCCTTCCTTCTCCACTGATACTCTAACTAACCAATACCTTCTTTGTTCAGGCACAACACCGATCCTATAACGAGTTCCTCAACCACCAGGTTGTCGTCTCCAAGAACCCCAAGTCCAACATTGGCCGTGAGCGTCCTCGAGTTCCCATATCGTATGAACACAAGTACGAGATCGACCGGTTTTACGCGATACCTCCTCAGATTCGTGATAAGCACCTCCCCGTCACCGTCGCCAATCTTCTCGCATCCAAAGGGCGTGACGCCAAGGTCCGCGTTTCCTACAAAGAGAACAAGGACGGCAGCAGGGAGCAGATTGCCAAGATTGTCAAGGCCCGTCTAAAAGACCTAAGCATCCACTTCCCGGAACACCGGCTGGATTGCCGCATCAGCATCAACCTCGAAATGCCCTGGGAGGGCCCTCTTGAGGAGCTAGAGGCGTATGCGACCAGTGCCAACAAGGGACAGTCTCCGGACCGCCGTAAGAATCGACTGAGCTATGGCCATTGTAGCTATCAGTTTGATTTGACGCAGGTGGTGGAGAATGTTAACGTGAGTCGATCTACCGTCTTTGTTTTGAGTGTGAGACTAACCGAGCAACCATAGGGCCGAGACGAAAAGAAGCACGAACTGGAGATCGAACTCGACCCCAAGGCAGTCCTAGACCAAGGCCGTAGGGCAAGAGAGGGTCAGCCCAACCAGTACTTTGATTTGGTGGAAGGGTTCCTGAACAACATCAGGATCATGGCCAAGATGTGCGCCTAAACTGTGCCATTTTGTACTCATTTTATGTTCCTCGACGCTACCGCACCCATGTACGCAGCAAATGTTGCCCTATCGCAGAGAAGGTTGGAGTGAGCTCCCCTTTGTTGCTCACACAATGGCGGTTCATTTCTTTCACTGTCAGGCAGGAATATCACCTGGCCGCCGCTTTTGAGCCGTGGTGCAGTTCAATTTCAAGGACGCAAAGGAGATTATTGTGAACAGGGTTGACCAGACGTATGGCCTGGGCAGCCTTAGACTTTTTGGGAACTCTGCGGAAGCATGAATATCTAGAGGCAGAGGTCGAGACGGAAGGAAAGCATGTTATCATCATATGTGTTATATATGGGTGGGAAAATGTCACTTTAGCATTAGCTATGGAGTTTTGGTGGCCACTTGTTTTTCCCAGTTTACAGCCAGGTCGAGTGGACAGCAAGTTATTGATCGGGAGTTTCCGGCTCCAGATGGTGAAAGAAACCTGTGAGGATGAACATGGATTGATATTGCAGAGCGCACGTTGGTTGTCTATTGACCTCTCCAGACTTGTTTGAAGAGCAGGTTAGGTACCTACTAGTCAGGCTCATTGGACGGCCGTGGTATGGACGGATCATAATGATAATTTGTTCAGATACATGTTAAATGGTAAAGTATTCCCTAATTACCCGTCAGGAACAGAATCTGAGTGCCGCCAAATGTTCACTTTTGAGTTCACTTAACGCTCATTTTCTTCACACCGCCCATATGGTAGAGGTAGGTAGTCGTCACACCCACATACCTCTACAAAAAGAAGCCAAGCACAGAGGGAATGTCTGGTCGGTAGGTACCTGGCGTCCTGACACTCTGGAAGGAAGGACTCGCAAGGAAGGAAGGACTCGCAAGGAAGGAAGGTAGGCCACGAGATGAGAGTTCTGGTATCTAAGTACCTAAGAGTGCGGCTTCCCCATAACTTGCTCTGGAGCTGCCCATGTTCTCTTCTCCCGGAGGAAAGCACTTGTACTTGAAAGTTCAATTGATTCACACATTTCCAGGGCATTTTTGCCTGACTGGCGCTTACTATCATCACTCACACGCAAGTCCCAACGTGAGGTACCTACCTAGGTAGAGGTAGGTACAGCTGAGTTGTTCCGCTGCGTCGCTCGCTCGCTCGCTGTGTCCATTGGATCCCGCGGTTCTTCTCCTAACAGTCCAACTTCCATTTCACACGCTGAATGGACTGTTCAAAGAAATTTGCGCATACCTATCTTCTCGCTTACTCCCAACTTTAATATTCAACCCAGTTCCGTCCAAGTTGAGTTCAGTCCCGTCCCGTCCGGTCCCGTCCGGTCCGATCCAGTTCAGCTCGGTCCAGTCCGGTTCAGTTCAGTTCAGTTCACTTCAGTCCCTTTCGATTAGGTCATTTCAATTCGCTTTCCTTCAGTTTCCTTTCCTTTCCTTTTCTTTCCTTTTCGAAAAGCTCATAGTCCCTCATGCCCTCCCAATCTTTTCCAGATGTACCTATGTGCAGGTCATATCAAGCAAAAAAAAAAAAAAAAAAAAAAAAAAAAAAAAACAGCTAGCGACAATGCCCAATCACACTCTCCTGGTTCAACCCCTTGCAACAATCCTTGAACAACTGTCTGTTTTTGCGGTCGACGCCACAGATCTGTCCTCTGGTCAGACGGTATTCATTCATTCCCCATGTCCAAGTGTTCAAGATATCCTTCTATGTTAAGGACTTGAGATGGGGATCATGAATTGGGGAACTGGGACGGTAGGTATGTAGGGGAGGGGGAAGATAGGAAAGGAAACAAACAAACATACGCTATTCATCGTCTTGTACCCCAATTTCTTGCAGCAAAAGGCAGTCTGACTGCGTAAAAGAGATCCGTCGGTGGAGAGCATGCAGATGCAATCGTCGGGGTTGAGGTACCATTCGCAGACTTGGGCGAGGGTGCCAGTCATGAGGAGGGCGAGAGGGAGAAGTGTGACTGTGATGGCAAGTTTCATTTTTTTGGGGGGGCGTTTGTTTTGACTGATCAATGGTAGTGTTGTGGTGGTTTGGTTTGGCTTTGTTGGTGTTTAGCAGTTGCTCGTGCGGGTTACGATGCCCTCCAAGGTGCAGTGGTTGGACAGACGGGAATATGAGAATATCAGTCGTGATGGTCAACAAGGTTTAATGGAGGTTATATGAATGGCGAAGAGGGACTATGCATATGCAACGAGTGGGATTAAGGACTGGAGTCCTGTGTGTTGGAAGGGATGTCCATATGTTCTTTATATCGATGATATCTTGTCGGACAGAGACTTTTAGGGACAGAACACAAGGTAGGCCATCATCACCACGGGTGAGCGATGACTGGAAGTAAGTATACCATGCTGCTATTTCTGTGGTAATACTACCATAGCCATGAAGTCACTGACTGCCATTCAGTGTTTAGCCGCAATATCAATATCGAGGGTATTGGAAGCGAGGATGGGTAGGTAACATGCCGTTCTGCCTCGCACTTCCTGCCGAGTAGAGGTGCCGTGTTCCCGAGTGGAAGGCAGACTACTATTCTGTATTTTCAAAACCCTGAACTTGACATCGCCAGGTCAAAGTACTTCCCCGTACGATCGGTGACACTAAGTAAGTCCAGAAAGGCAGGTAGATGATGTAACAAGAATCGTAAGTAAAAGGTCTAGGACCGGGCCCGTCGAATATTTGGTACTTGGTTTCCGGGCATTTGTTCCTGCTTGGCGGGTTTCCGACCCACGTCCACATCAATAGTTTTATGGGTGACATGTGAGAAAAAGAATTCATCGTAGTAATCCAGATTTCATACAATATGATACCATGGTAGACCACTCTCAACAACGGTCAATGCTGAGATGTGGTGCGCTTAGATACACAAATAAGAGACCAAGCGAACGACTTACACGCATTCCACTTATTACCTACATACAGGCTAATACCCGCCTCCGCAGAAAGTAACCCAATATCCCGGTACGTGGGTTGCTTTTGTATTGTTGTTGGTGGTCTTGTTCTGGAAGCCAGTTCGTGGAATCTCATCGACTCACTCACCGTGGAAACATCCGCGAGGGGAAACTACCTTGCCTATCAGGTGATGGCCGGTAATGATCTGTCCATATGTTTTTCAAGGAACGAAAAACGAAAATGTAGTATTAGCTTGTATAGGTATGATCAGGTAGCGTAGTCACTGTGTGGTGTATCTGTGTTTCTCGCGTGCTGTGTTCAGTGTTTGCCTTGTCTGCCCTCTGGTCGTAACCTGAATTTATCTTCTTGTCGTCCATCATACCCTGACTTTTCGAATCCATTACCCCATTGTCCATTACCCCGTTCTTAACGACTCTCCATCATTACCTCTGCTTGTTCTGTACAATAACTATTATCCATCTTTGACGATCTACCCGCTAACACCCATTACTCCCGTCTATCACCCCCACATTTCAAAACCCTACTTCCACTGACTCCCTGTAACAGCCGGCTCAATCATATCAACCAAGAAGTTCTTGGCCTTTGCAGTCTTCACCATCAAGCTTGGCACCCCCCACCCTAGAATCTGTCCGACGCCTCCACCGGGGCCAATGGGCACCAACAGCGTTCCAGCCATCTTGTTCTTGAACGTCTTTTGCTTGAGGGCGGCAGGTAACTTGACACCACTAGACTGACTCTCACCACCTTCAGGATGGAGGATTTTGGTAGCAAGGTCAACCCCAATGCTAGAGCAAACGACGGGGACCTGAAAGTTGGTTGAGATGAGCGTGTTATCGCTTCCAGAGACGACGTCGCCTACGGCATAGATGCCGTTTGCCTGATGATCGGTTTCCTCCGAACTGCCGCTGCCGCGTACGCGAAAGAAGTCATCTTTGGTGATGACGCGCGAAGAAGCGTCGAGCCAGGTAAGGGGCAAGAAGCCGTCGGCGTTTCCTGAACCGCCCGTGGCGTCGATGTACAAGCCTACGGTGCGGGTGGTGCCGTCGCTGAGTTCCACCGTGGTCTCATGTTGCTCCACTCCTCCTTCTCCCGGAATAACAGAGTCGGAGACAGAAACAACCTTGATGCCGTGCTTCACTTCCACCAAGGAGCCAAAGTTCTTCTTAAGGTATGCTTCTGCTTTGCGGCCCAAGCTCTCGTTGCAGTTGCGATTGAGCAGGCGATCAGAGCCGGAAAGCAAGGTGATGGTGACACCCTCCGTTTTTCCCATGGCTTTTAGTAGAGTGGCAATCTCTCCAGTGGTTTCTACGCCCACTGGTCCGCCGCCTGCGATCAGGATGGAGTGGTGCGGATGCGTGCCGGCCTGCAAGTTCTTCAACTTGGTCCTGAACCGTTCCCACTCGCGCTTGGTCGCATCTTCCGCCGCGTGCAACCCCTCCGTTCCCTGGCCGGGCATGGTCCACAGCGCCGAGCGCGCTTTGGTTCCCGTGGCGATGACCAGAACATCATAGCGGACCGCGGAGGTTCCTTCAGAGTCGGATGGTGAATTCGTGTGCACGTGCTTGATCGTAACCTCTTTCTTGGACGTGTCCACGTCGGTGGCGTAGGCTTTCACTACGGTTACCAGTTCGCCATATTGCTTCACAGCGTCGGACAAGTCCCTAAAGATCTGCTTCTCTCCTCCCGGCAAGAGGTCAGGATGGATCAGCGCGCGAGGCGAGGCGGGCTTGAAGAAGAAGTGGTTGTTGGGGGTTATGAGGGTGATTTTGTATTGCGGCTGAGACGGAAGGCGCTGGAGGGCGGGGATAGTGTGTCGGGCGAGGTTGTGTAGCACGCCCAGGCCGGCGAGGTTGCCGCCGAGAATGACGATGGAGGTTGGGAGGGGTGTGGTGGGTGTGGTGGTGGTGGGAGCCGGGGCAGCAGTGGATTGCGGTTCGGGGACGGCATCCAAGGTTGACTGAGGCTCGGTGGACGCCATTTTGGGGTTGGGTGGTATGGCTGGATTATTGTTGGTCTGGAATTGAAAGAATGGTTTGTATGCCTGGTACTAGCTGGCGAACTGAGAGGTAGAGTAGAGGTGGTGACCTAAAACGCGAGACGGTGAGGTCGCACGTGGTGGTCGCGAAGAGGGAGGCCGGGGAATGGAGGGAGGAAGATCGGAAGATGCAAGAGGAAAATGTCGAAACGGGTTATCGCTCCCTTGCCTCCCAATGTTCCGATGTCGCACAAAACACGGGAAGGTCCAACTTTGGCGTCACAAAGTCAAAGAAGAAGAAAAAGAAGTCGGCCCCGAGCACTTTTATTTGAGGAAACAATGGAAATGAGGTCCTCACCATGCCTGTAATCTCCGGCGTTCCAAGTCAACAAGAGGTCCCGCGCGCATGTGAGACCCGCAAATTGACATCAACCCAAGGGGACGCACCAATCACAGCACTGTTTCAGGCCCATCCACTAACAAATACCCCTAACCCATTGTGTCCAAAATAAGCTTAACGGGGTTTCCCCAACGTGAGCCGATCTCAGCCTTGATAAGCTCAGCTAACAAGATTTATTCACCACTTACTGTATTCTCAAGTGTGAGACTTGATGGGCTCGACCTCAGTCTTACATACCTAGATCTGGTATTATTAATAAATAAACAAAACAAAACACATCTTATCTACAGGCTGAGTTGGATATCTGAAGGCATATTGAGCCTTGACTAAAGCCTAATCCTCCTCAAGGTCCCAGTCCTTCTACAACTACACCGCTCATGCATGAGTGATGAGACACTTTGGGCTAGGTAAGATCACCTACCATAATCTTTCTCCTCTCACCGATTCTCCCTGTCCCCTATCCCCATCCCACTTCTGAAACTGATTCTGAAACTGTTTCATGGCTAGTCCGTCATGGGCTAAGACGAGGGCCGACCCGGACCCGGACCCGGAGCCGGAGTCGGAGAATGGCGATGCCGAGAGAGTTGCCAGGAGGAGCGGAACCATGTCGGGATTGACGATGGTTCGAATAGCACGTTTCTAGAGGTCATGTGGGATGATACAGGGAAGGCTTGGCTTTTAATCAGTAGGGTCCGCAGCTAGTGTTAGTAGACTGAGACCTGCCATGGACCTAGCTCTACAGCCGACAAGTTTTCGATCATGTGGTCCCAGATGAATCGGATTTCTATCTACATCCCAAGAAGAGAAGATAAAGGGGACAAACGACTACTGGTGGGTACTAAGGTCCAGATTATCCACCAATGTGTGTCCCCAGCCATGACAGACCATCTCTTCGGGACTGAAAGTCAAGATATTGTAAAGCACAATACTCCCTTGGGTAGGATTTTGGCTTTCAAACTGGTGAAGCTGCAATTTAGTTATATGACGCATCTAGCGGGTAGGCATGATGTGGTAAACAGTGGCAGATATATAGCATTCATAAAAGTGACCTCCCTAGAAGACAGTCACCCACCAATGGGGTGTTGTGAAGCTCTAAGCGGTAACTGCACGTTGATTCACAGTCCCGGTCCTTATTTGGGAGGTGATGACAGTGAACAGATGCTTCAACAAAAAAATCCAACGAGATTTGGAGGCATACTCTGCCATTAGAGGAGATCGACATGCCCCAGATTTGCCATGTGGCATTGGACGGATCTCCGCCTGGGGCCTGGCCAGCCTCTTCGCCCAGTACCTGCACATGTAACAGAGTGCAACCCTCCGATAGAAAGCGGCGAGGCAAGGGGAGAGAGCTCTACTGGAGTAGAGGCTGCGTTGCTATAAAAGCATCGGATTTCTGTGCCAGTCGGGCAAATAGCTCCCCGTGTCTTTTGTACTAATGTGTTAGTTCCTCGAAATGTGATATGAAAAAGTGATTCCAGATTCGTGACAAGGTTGAAGCTGAGCTGATCCCTCTTTCATAACAGTGTTTCGTAATAAACACTACCCTCCATTTCACCGGACTGTATCGAGCCAATCACGAACCTGCGCCGGATTTCGGGACTGGTGAAGCCGTGCCTGCATTTGGAAGTACTGTTCCAAATAGCCATATCAGCCTGTTTTGACATTGAGATCACATGCCTGACGATCATCCGAATCGATTCCACGTACTTATCTCATCCATAGTGCCAAGAGGAATCTTTTCATGGCAATCTCTGGCGGCCGCCTCAGCAAGCAGTCGCTTGAGAGGAAATGCTCAGGGCTATGGTAGTAAGCCTCTTGCTATAGGTGAAGAAACTGCGGGGAAGGTTCCATAGCCACAGAGCTATGTAGGTGATTTGTCCGGGACTCAGTAGTTTGAACCAGGGCTGTAGGCACCTTGAGCTGCCAAGGAGGCGAATTACCATTCTTTAGTCAAATGGGTATGGTTCGGGCAAGAAAAGTGAATCCGAAGGATGTCGCCTAGGAACACGGTAACTTTACCGTCTCCTAACTCGAAGGCCTCGGTAGATGAGAAAAAAAAAAA